CAAAACACATTCAGAGGTACATCCAGCAGACCATTGGATTTCAATTGAGGCAATAGATACTTCCATTTATCCTCGGTAAACAAGGGCGGACGAGTTTCATCCAACGTCATCTCGATGCAATCGTTGTCGTGTAGGATCAAACCACAGTTCACATTCGATTGCGGGGTGTGAACACTGAATACGAATAGACGCTCGGAATTGATCGGATACTTGGTATGGATGATGATATCGGCGAGTTCGATCTTTTCGTCCTCACAAGTGCGTATCAGGGAAGACCATGTGTTGTTTTCCGTTTTCTTGTATTTCATTTAATCAAAGCTTGAACTGGGGTTAAAAGAGATATATAGAAATGCATTATTAGAAAAATGAATACACACACTCACACATTGAACCCCAATACTGGACGAATGATCAAGATTGGCACTTAAACCTGGAGACGATTGGCAGCCAAGTATTACATGATCGATGGGAAGTTCACCGATCAGACCATTCCTGATTCACGAGTGTATGTGTCAAACAAGGTATAGATGAGAATATGAGGTCAATGGAGGCAGCAAAGAAACCAAAACAAACAACTCCTCGTAAACGAGTTGGTGATCCCAAAGGAGAGCGTAAGTATCTGATTGTGGGAAGCAAGGCATAGAACGAGCGATATCTCGTATACGAGTGGAATGGACATGAATTCGGTGACTAACGAAAACAACCGTTGCCTGAATTCATGAATACGGTGAAGAAGAGACGAAAAATAACACGACAATACTAGTTTTTCGCTCTGATTGATCGCAGAGTCACGGAAGGACGCTTGTCAGATGTGATCGAGTCCTCACTTGAATGTTCACTCACGTATTATCACACTGTAGAGAGGAACAAGTACAAAAAATGGATGAATGAGAAATGAACCAAGAATGACTTTCGCCTCAAGAACGATGATGACAAGAGACTATGGGTTCGGTTACCGGATGGAAAGAGCGAAGAGGAAGTGGAACCGATAAACTTGATGATGGATGAGTCGGGTAAGTTCAATGAGGTAGCGAAGAAGTACATCTTGAATGGGATGCGCGATTATCCTCATTGTTTCATCACCATCATGGCATACTACCTCATATGGACACATGCCGGAGAACTCAAGATACTCAATCTCACCACCGATGATCGATTGAGAAACCTTCACATCATTTACAAGGATCATATCGACGAGTGGTTGGAGGATTATCTGAGATGGTACAGAAATGCTGTGGAGGAACAAGGACGGAAGGAAGTGGTTTTGTTTACCGAGGTTAAATCGGTTTCCATGTCGAGATGTTCCCACTTCGCACATTCGTGGGTTACAAACATCACACACCTCTTATCCTTGGATACACAGTGGTTAACCCCAATATCGATGACAACCGATGCCTGCAACGGTATCTCATTTTGGCAAGTGAAGGCGGGCACAAGATCATTGCGAATCGCAAGATGGGCGATACGAGTGTGTACAACAAGTGGTGGAAACAACACGACAAGTACAAGGTGTTCGGAGTGACGATTCATAAGGTGGAGGAAGCAATGGATATTTGTGACAACAAGGCATTCGATCAAAGTGAAGAGAAATTCGCACAATTGGAAGAACTGTTGAAAGTTTCTCTCTATATCTTCGAAATCATACTGTTACCAAGATACAATGACAACTCCAAGGACAAGTATGATCTATTCACGAGCTCTCAGGTGTACAAGCCGAAGGTGAATGGAGCCACCCTCTCTCTGTGCATCGTAAATGACATACGAGGGGAGGAGGAGAAAGATATTCCCAAGCATTTCTTGTACATCAAGGACTTGAGCGATTTCAAACATCGCATCTTTCGTCAGAGTGATGCGAAGAATAGACATACAGCAAAAAAGTGAAGTGCAGATTCTGTGACGACTTCTTCGGATCAAAAAGAGCTGTCCAAAACCATGAAGTGCAGGCACATCGCGAATAGATGGATGATCGTGATCAATACGAGTTGTCGAGTGAAGATACACGTCTGCGATTCACAAACCAACGATTGGAAATGCTGGCACCGGTCGTCGTGTACGCTGACTTCGAGTCAGCCATTGACGACAAGAACAGACACAAGCCAATCATGTTGTCCTGTCTAGCCGTGTCACGCATTCCAGCCATCCAGACACAACTGCGGATCTTCCACTCACCAAAGGAGGAAGAGAGCGATTTTCGTCCTTTCAGGGAATATATGATTTGATTGCAAGAAAACATGAAGAAGTACCTCTTCGATGAATAACCATTGGAGAGCACATCGAAGGTCGAGAAGGACTTTTGTTCAACAACCATGTGTCCCTTCTGCCATGTAAAACTGGAGGACGACAAGGTGAGACATCATGCACATATGGCAGGTGAGTATTCGAATGGCACTGAGACCCGTTTCTACGAGGCTGAACAATACATTGGCACCTGTTATACCAAATGCAATCTACAACTCTCACTCAACAAGAAGAACTATCGATTACCAGTTTACTTCCACAATGGATCGCACTACGACTTCACATTCATCATGAAACTCATCGCCACAATGCCTGGAGATCACGAAGTCATTCCAACCACTGAGGACAAGGAAATGCAGATCGAATACAATGGCATTCAATTCAAGGACTCGTTGAAACTCATCAGCAGTCCTCTCAGATCGATCGTGGCTTAAATGCTCGGAGGGAGCTTGGGTCTCTATGTGCACACCAAACAACAACTATGCAAGTACTGCGAGTCTCGAGGCAAGCAATGGAGTGATGAATACATCGATTTGTTGACACGGAAAGAACCCATGTTCTACAGTCTCATCAAATCATACGAGTCATTGAACAATACCGTCATTCCTTCTCGTGAACAATGCATTGATGATATGAAGGGTGAGATGATGCCCCAAGACGAATATGATCACATGATGAAGCTGTGGAAGACCTTCGATATCAAGATATGGTGTGAATACTACGAATTGTACAATGTACTCGATGTGACTCTCATAGCTGATGCATTCGAGCATTTTCGCGTTACCACACTGAATGCATTCGGTGTTGATCCAATGCATTACATCACAGCACCGCAAATGGCATATTCGCTCTTCTTGAAGGTCACAATGGAGGGCGATCATAATGAGAGTAGCCTCATGACCCTCGCAAGGAAATGGGCTCAGTACATCATGCGCATTAGCGCGAATGAGGGACTCGCCGAGAAACAACTGGTGAAAGTGTTCTTGAATCGCATGGGCGAGTTCTATGAGAGCAAGGGCATTCGATTGATGGAGACAAATGATATCGTTGACTTCATGCGATTGTTGAAGAACCTGCGAGGAGGTATCACACAGATCGTGAAACGACATGCCAAGGTTGACATTGACAACAAGGAGCAAGCAACGTCGTCCCAAGGCATCTACTACCTGGACGCCAACAACCTGTACGGTGGAGCCATGCATCGAATGATGCCTTATGAGTTGGTGGGTGTACCTGAGCGACGAGAAGTGATGGAGAAGATCAATCGTGATCCGAATGGGTGGGTGCAATCACTCAAGACGTTCGGCAAGTATGGATTCTTCATCGAATGTGATATCGAGGCACCAGTGGAACTCCACGACAAGTTCAATGATCTGCCATTTTCCCCGTACAGAAGGCAGGTATGTACTCCGATGGAATCAAGAAGTACGCTGAGAAGAACGACATTGTGGACAAAGTGAAAGAAACGAATACACCGAAGCTCATCTGCGATCTTGTGCCTCGTCGAAAGTATCTCGTGCATTACTCACTGTTGCAACTGGGCATTCAACAGGGATATCGTCTCACGCACATTCACCACATCATTCGATTCAAGCAGGCACCGTTCATCTTCGAATATGTGAACATGCTGAGTGAGAAACAAGCGAAGTCTAAGACCACTGTGGAGAAGAACCTGTACAAGCTGTTGGCAAACTCCACCTATGGCAAATTCGTGGAGACTGGGTTGAAACGGATGAAAGTGAAGTTCGCTAACACATGGAATGAACGTGAGGCAATCATTCAGAAGCATGGGTATGATATGATCGTTGGGACAACCATGTATTCCGAGAATCTCATCGGTATCAAGCTGAATACACCGGTTCGCAGGGTCGAGAAGCCATTCTTCATTGGGTTCGCCATTCTCGATATGTCCAAACACATCATCTACGATTTCTACTACAATGTGCTCAAGAACACATTCGACAACGTGGAACTGCTAGGACAGGACACGGACTCACTCATCGTGCAGTTGCACGACAAGGGCAACATCGTTCACAAGATGTGCGACATGTACAAGTCGTTCGACTTCTCGGAATTGGATAACACGAGCTACTTCTATGGAGAACTCGTGAAGTACTACGAGTATGAGGTGGACAAGAGCAAGTTCCCTTCATTGGACTCGTTCCTCAATTTCAACAAGAAGTTGCCTGGTCCGATCTTCAAGGACGAGCACAACGGACATCGCATTACGGAGTTCGTGGGACTTAGACCGAAGATGTACTGCTTGGTTGATGAGAAGCATGTGATACACAACGCAGCAAAGGGAGTGCCTCGCAATGTGGTAATCGATGATGAGAGAATGAGTGTGAAGAACATCGATTTGTACAAGCGTGTACTCGAGGCAGAGAAGAAGGAAGATGCAGTGATCGAAGGCAGCTTCAAACGCATCAGTATCCAAGGGTACGATATCACCACGAAGGAGCAGACCAAGACCCTTATGACTTGCACGGACAACAAGCGATGGATCTTGGACGACAACGTACACACACTGGCGTTCGGTCATTACCGATTGAAGTAAGGGAAACAATGTTTCACTTTGGACAGCAGGGCAGAAAAAGGCAGCCATCGGTTTCCGCGCGTTAGCCGTCATTTACCTACTACTTACAGGTGATAAAATACCAAGACATATATTTTGGTTCGTTATGAGACCACGAAACAGCTTGAACGGGCATGTTTTTCAATTACTAGAATCTTTTCTTTTTTCTAACAAACAATGATTAAACCTTTACAGCCTTCTTCGTACTCTCCTTCTTGGACAGATTCTTCTTTGATGGTGTGGCTCTCGCACTTCTTCCCTTCACACCACCCACAGCCTTCGCTCTTCCAGTCACACGAACCAGAACGAAGGCAACAATAGCAATAATGATAATCGCAATGATCACCAGAATGATGATCATTGCGATCGGCATACAATATCCAGAAACCGGACCCCATTCTCCGTCATATTTACCAAGGTTACAAGCTCTCTTCTCAGTACCCACGTAGGCTCCTCCCTGAGCGCAATCATAAACAAAGACCTCACCAACATTCGTGGTATCGAAGTGTCCTTCAGCCTTGCAAGTTCCCTTCTTCACCATAATGGAAATCTCAGTAAATGTCACTCCAGCCTGGTTCTTTCCATAGATCGTGAAGGTTCTCAACGCAACCTCTTCTTCAGGAACTCCAGTAATCTCTCCAGTCTGGGCATTCAGCTGCAGTCCAAGAGGAAGTTGCACACCTTCACCCAAATAGAACTGTTCAATGATATTCACATACGTAGGCTTAGGAATCTCGACAGTAGTTCCATAAACCAGATTGTAGATAGACTTATCATACAACAGCTTATCAGGCACCTTCTGAGTGCAATACTGGTTGTTGATCTCACCCAACACACCACCAGAGCAAGTGCGGTACGAATATCCACGATATCCCTCTTCGCAACTAGCAGGCGAGATTTCTCCCTCTCCCACAGAAGGATAATCGCCGATTCCAGGACACACTCCAGTTCCACTAGGCTTGCAGTACTGAAGAATAATCGAGCTGAAGTACACCGCAGAGGAAGCAGGCACGTCCACTTCATACTTGAGCTGTTTGAATCCAGCAATTCCAACAGGCACGCCCCAGGCAATTCGTCTCAAAGCCTGCGTGGACTGACCCGTAACAGCCAATGAGGAAATATACTCATCCTCGCTGGACATACGGACATAGAGAGAGAATCCAAAACCAGTACGAGAATACACGGTCTGCATGGCGAAGCTGTTGAATCTGGTTCCCTCCAGGTTCTCTACCTCCCAGTCAAGATGAGTTCCCTGAGTGTTCGCCTGATATCCATAAGTTGTGGGATTCAGATCGAACAAGTTTTCGATTTCAGTATTAGAAACGGACGATCCAGAAATATCGGAATATGTATCCACAAGAATCGAACACTCGTTCACTCCGAACACACCCGTAGCATCGAACACGATCTTATTCGAAGAGGATTGGCCGAGAGGACGATGGATTTCGAACGCCATCATATTCTTTCCATTCGTTCCACCAACCGTAGTCATAATCACATGGAACTTGGAAGGCGTGTCAGCATCATGGACAGCAAGCGACTGCGATTCCTCGTTGAAGTTGTCCTCCAAATTGAAACGAGCCACCTTGCGGCCATTGAAATAGGCAACAATACCTCCAGCATACTTGACCTGAACATTCAATACAGAATAGCTGCTGATGTCAGGAATATCGACTTGATGACGCACATAGGTAGTGACTTTAGCATTCGTCTCAAACTGGCTTGTCTTCTTTGACTGCCAAGCAGAATCATCAAAGTCAAGAGAGTTCCAATTCTCGACAGTATCAAAGCTGATCTTCCATTCAGAATAATCGAACTGGAACGGGAGGTAAGAAGAGAACATCGTGCTAATGGAAGAAGTAGAAGGAGGGAGCTGTCCCATTTCGAAGATCATCGTACCCACATCCACAGTCAGATAGTATCCAGCAGGATTGCTCCAACCATCACCATAGGAGTCCAGCATCTGCAATGTGTAAATATTATCCGCCAGACAAGAATCCACATAGTTCAGATTGGATGATACTGGGAATCCATTGTTTGAGGAAATGAGGGTTCCGCTCGTGCCAGCTCCCTGGAACAGCTTGTAAGAAGCCTCGTAAGGCCAGCTATCAGTACGTACCACCAAAGTGATCAAGGACTTTCCTCCCGTGCAAATCAGGACAGTAAGAGAGAAGGAAGTAGTGGAAGTGCCTCCAGTCAGCTTATTGGCAGTGATAGAGTACGTGGTGGCTGGCATCTCAGCAGAGGCGGTTCCAGAAATAATACCAGTGTTAGGATCAAGTCTAATTCCATTCGGAAGAGCAGGAGTGATCTGGAAGTTGTAGTAATAAGCAGAGTTCGGATAGACTTCTCCCATCTCAATATCCTTGTAGATGGTAGTAGTAGCATACGAAAGTTCAGGAACGGTCATGGTGGTGCATACCGAGCTCAGATCCAGAGTATTGAACTTCCAATAACATTCAGTTGTGTCGCCTGTAGCAAAGTTCTCAAAACGATACTCATGATAGGCCTTGTTGTTCTGGAAATAGATCGTGTGAGTCTGACCCGTCTGAGACCAGATGAGTCCAGTCACATTCGTCAACGTGGTCCACTCATCATTTCCACTACGAGCCTTCAACACAAACTGACGAACTTGCTGAGTACCCTGTGTATGGTACAACTTGATCGTAAGGGAGTTGATCCATTCATGTCGATCATTGTTGAATGCAATATTCAAATAGTTATTACCACACGAAGAAGAGTAGCATGTGTATGAATAGTAGTGGTGGAAAGCATAGGAAGGACTGCCGTTAACTCCACTGTAAGTAAGAGCGTAGTCAAAGACACGAGATTCCTTTGATTCACACATCAACCGAATAGCACCATCGAAGATCGCTTCCTTCTGGTTTGCATTAGCAGCAACAATTCCAATAGCAATGGTATTCGATCCCTGTTGGATGTAGTTCACAGCAGCAGTCTCTCCAACTTGAACCGTCTTGAGGGGAAGGGAAATCTGGTGATAGAGAGTGTTCGTGTAAATGTTGTCAGCATAACTCGAAGTGCTGATCGTAGCATCTGTCAATCCCTTTCTGAACGCTTCGTGTCCATTCAGATAGACAATGCATCCATACTTGAACTTGATGGAAAGAACGAATCCAGCGATGTTGTTGATGTCCGCCACATTGAACGTCTTCTTGTACAGCTGGATCTGGTTGGAAGAATCGGGATAGTTGGTGTCATTTCCCTCAGTCCATCCTTCAGTGGAAGTCGACGAATACCAATCAGCAGGAACTTCTCCATGCTTGTAATGCCAGCTAGAATGGGGCTGAACGGAATACTGAGCATTGAAAGTGCGACTCGTAGGGAAACCGACATTTGTATCGTATCTCATACGAAGAATCGTTTCCATCTGAGGACCAGACAAAACAGCGCGGACATACAAGAAGGAAACATAATTCCAGTAAGTAGAGGTGGATCCAACAGTCACTTCATACTTGGCATTCGTAACACAAGCAATGCTACTCCAATCCTCATTATTAACCTGACCCGAGTTGGCAGCAACGGACATAATCACCTGCTGATTCGTAGTATCCTTGATTTCGAAACTCTCACTCGTGGCACTCGATCCATAGGTACGAAGAACGTTGATGACTGTTCCAGCACATTCCTGGATGGTAAGGGTGAAAGTTCCAGTGTAGGTGTTGCCAAGAACAACCGAAGATACAGTAACTGTCACACCCGACACAGCATTGGCCACAACTCCAGTAATCACGCAAGTGGCAGCATCAATAGTAAGTCCTTCAGGAAGATTCTGAGCTGTGCAAGAAGTAAACTCATTGACATCAGGCTTAACATACACCTCTTCGTATTTGGCCCAGAATGTGTAAGTATTGGGAGTGAAAGTAATCGAGGTAGGAATAGCAGTCGTACAGGTCAGAGGCTGCATCTCGTATACGTAACCATAGGTAGCACCGCTACTCTCGATAACGACACGATAATAAGGATAAAGTCCAGCATAGAAATAGCCTCCAAACGATTGATATGTGCTCGACTCATAGGTAGCTCCAGAGACACTGATCACATTTGTCCACTGCGAGTTATCGTTCGATCCTTGCCAAGTGAAGGTACTAGGCGCAGATGTAGCAGATGTGTAAGGCCATACACGGACAGAGTTGATGTAAGCCTTATCACCATTGAGAGAATAGGTTACAGTCGCAGGGAAGGCTGTAGAACCAATATAGTAGTAAGTAGATCGAGACCAGTCATAAAGGTTGGAGACAGTTGAACCTTGAGTGGAAGACACGGAGGCATCATCAGAATAAATGAAACAGTTGCCATCCGTAGTAGAAGAAGCCAAAATAGCAAGATAAGCATTGAAATCAACGTTGGTTTGTGCAGTATAGAAATGGACTTCGACAGCCAGAATCGATTGCTGGGCAGCCACTTCAGTACCAGGACGAATGAATCCATGGTAAGCAATATCGGGATATTCTCCAGTAGCAGAAGTACCAGCAGAAACAGTTCCAGCAGGCATGTTATCACGATAGACCTCAGCTCCATTGATATAGGCAATCACTCCAGCCTTGTAGTACAATTTAACATTGTAAGCAGCCATGTTCGCAAGACCCACGAACTGCTTGCGGAAGTACTGAGTACCAGAAGCAGTCGTAGTCACAGAGCCGAGGGTAGCATCCGACCAAGTGCTGTCAGAGAACGAATAAGCAGTCCAGCCATCAGTAATCGATCCAGAGGTCATCTTCCAAGTAGCGCTCTTTTCAACACCATAGTATAAAGAGAAGGTGTAGGTCTCCTTACGCGCATCAGCAAGGAAATTCTTGAAGACAATATTACCATATTGGCCATAAATAGCAAGATAAGCTCCAGAATACCAAGAGTCACCATAAGAGTCGATCATCTCAACGGTGTATTGGTTGTTGGTGGAAGTAGTCAGACACTGCTCAATAGTACGAGTTTCGCTGTTAGCAAAACCAGTTCCAGTATACAACAAGGTAGATCCAGAATAGACCTTGAACGACTCTTCACTTGCCCAGGAAGATCCGCACTTCTTAATGAACTTCATGTACGTCTGTCCAGTAGTACAAGCAAGATCGCTAAGCGCAATGGCAACTAAAGTTCAATATCAGAACGAAGATATACTCAGCAATAACGATATCGGAATCAATTTCATTCTGCGAACTCACAAAAATATAATGAATTATGGATTCAATTTTGCATGATCATTAATACAAGATAGAATTAGGACATCTTGGCCTAAATTATGAACCAATCATTTTTACGATAATGACAAAAATAGTCCATAATTTTGGAATTAAGACTATTCACTTTTTGATCTATAATCGATATATGATAGGATTGAATTCAAGAACCTACAGTAATGTGATGTTCAAATGTAGTTGTGAATGGAAATGATTGGTTTTAAATCTAATTAAATTTCTTGAGTTTCTATTGGCTTCTAGTGTATAATGGTCTATATTTGGGACAAGATTCTACAAAATGGTCTATTTGTGGAAATAGTACAATCATTTTGTGGAATGAATCACAACCGTATGGAGTTCTATCCAGTGTATTCCACTGGCCAGAAAGGGTCCATACTATATACTGACCCTGTTCTATATCAATTAGCATGTGAAAAGAGGAAGCAGATGCTCGCAGTTCGTGTGTGTTCTACTCTCCCATGCTTAATCTGTAGAAACGTATTATAAGAAAGAGAATAAAGGTCGAAAAAAGGCCGGTTGTACCTCAAGCGAAGTGGATTGTCGTAGATTCCATCAAATATAAAGACAATGACTTTACTAAAGTTAAAGTGTTGTATCATAGAATCCTATCGAAATAATGTGAGTGCTAGTTGTCTTTTGTGTTTGTTGAAAATGAGTTTTGTCCATCAAATTCGATCTCTTACCACCCTTTAATAGGTTTGGTCTTCATAAGCATGCTTTTTGAACTATGTCACATACGAAACTTGGCTCCTATTACGTGAAACACACCAATTCATTATAAATGAAATAGCGATGTGCGTTAAAAGCACTTGTTCAACGTTTTTGAGCCACCTTAAGTCATCTCCTAATCAAGCAATCATTTCTTGGTACATGCATTCATACGAATGACTTAATGAATATGCTACGACGCTGTCCAATGTTTGGCTGGTAGAGTATTGTGTGTAGAAGAAGTAATATTCTTTGAAAATGATTATTATATGGAGTTGAATACTGTATTTACAATTGTGAACGATTGTAGAGGTGATGCAAAATAGATGTGTTTGTGCGGAATCATATTGTAGCGAATCCTTGAAATACTCTCGATATTACATATTATGAATAAAATAGATCATGGAATACCAATGTAGGTATAGTTGGAATGACCACTAAAATAGGTATTCTTCGTTCATGTTGGACTATTAAAGAATTGCAAAATACTGTAGACAAGCAAAATATGAAACTGTAGAGAACAATTGAACAAATCATTCAGATGGTACAACCTGATACAAAATACTATTTCGACTATTTCATGTGTTTCCTAACAAGGAATCCAAAACAAAGAACGTAGAAATACATGTTATACATAAGCTAAGAAACACGAAACACACTTTTTTAGCATGCTAATGAATGAACCCACATGTCCAAAAAAAGAACGAGGATATCAAAAACACATAGAAACCGAGAAACAAATAAGGCACAAATCAAGTTAACATGAATAGTAGAAAAAAGGCATTATAAGTATATCTTCATACCGAAGTTATCATAGTTGTATACAACATTCAAAACCCAGTATTCGACTATCAATGATATTCTGTGGACAAAAAGCATTGTTTCACATTCGGTCCTGGTAGAATAAAACCACATTTCAAGTCATTACCAAAAATGTGCAATTAACATACTCCTTTTCCATATCTGGCAAGCCATAGGGGAAACTCTACATTCCATCCTATTAACACAGGTGAATAGGTGAACCTTCCATCCAATATGGAATTACCTAATAAAGAAACAGCAGGTAAAAATACGATTCAATAACCAACATTCGGGTGGATTCTTGTGACTCGATTGCAGTTAATAGTAATTACGTCAATTATGAGGTAGATAAAAATATTTAACCTTGCTGATTCGCTTTTTATACAAGTAGGTTGTGATTTTAACACTTTACGGGTAGGAAGGTAACTATAGGACATAGTTGTCAAAGAAATGGATATAGCGACGTGTATCGGCTTATAGAGCCGTAGATAACGCTAATTACACACATGGGGTTGCATACACTTTTACGATTCATCAAAACGCTCATTGTTGCATACTTATTCTATTGTGGAAAAAGAGATCAGAAAACTGGAAAAAGGTTTACGAGGTTATTCTTACCTATTTAAAAAGTGCATGTAACGGTATTATTCCTTCGATTTCAGAGCATGGAATTAAAACAAATGGTCCAACTCATCCCATTCACCAGGATGGGAATCTAAGCAGCCACAAGGTAACACATGGAGCGATCCATGCGGAGAATTCGGTTCTTGTAAATCGAGATGAGTGGTGTTGAACGAATGAATCAGGGAAACGGCGATGAAGGAAATGAACGAAACATGTGAAGTGAAGTGTACGCGATCGAGACTTTCGCGTCTACTGGATAGGGAATGGTCATCGAGAACGGAAAGTGCTCGCATTTTATGCTTTTGCTTAAGTAATATGCTATGCTATGCTATGCTATGCTATGCTATGCTCTACTGTGCTATGCTATGCTATGCTATGCTATGCTATGCTATGCTATGCTATGCTATGCTATGCTATGCTATGCTATGCTCTACTGTGCTATGCTATACACACAGATGGCATAGGTGCTGCTGGCTCATTTTCGGAAAACGTTCGAATTGCTACCGTTCTCCCTGCAATGGCTGATGCAACTTGATAGAGGGTCGTTAGCAGTAAACAGAGACGAGAGACAGAGGGAGATGTATCTCAAAAGGTTACGAAGTCTGGTGGAACAGAACGTGGTGCGGGACTATTTGCTGCTGTCGGATCATAGAGGAAGTTATGTATCGCAGTGAGAACACAGACTCATTCAAAGGTCTTCCTGTTATGAGGTGTTGCCATAGGCATTGATTACTGAGTGGATTGTTAGTTGGAAACTTAGTGCAAGGTGTTCGGATAATGAGTTGAAGCATATTAGTGACCTGTGACAAGTACTATGCTTCCCGTAGTTCACGCCATTCTTCTTAATCATAAAATGATTATACCCATTGGATATGTTCATCATAGTTCTGATAATCCATGTCTTATTCTTATAACTTTTTTGAAGATCTTCCTTCCCTGCAAAATCCAAAAAGGTATTAGCAGAATCCACACAAATAATACAATTCTAGAACAAACATTCCGACTCACAAAGAAGTTCCCTTCCATTCATAAGTCTTCACAAAGTCATCAGTGAAAGAACAGCTCTTCACACTGCTTAATCGTATCGAATGGTCCTGTCACCGTATGCCCAATCGTTCTGGGATCCGTGAAAATCTCGTAGTCGTTTCCTTTCTGCACTAAACGCCTATTCTTACTCCTACTGGACCTGTTTTATCCCCAAAGAAATGAATTTCATCGTAATCGCCCAGGAACTGAAGGCAGTACGTTTTGTCCCAGCCTTTGGGAACCACGTCGAACGAAATCTGGCCGCCAATTAGATAGACAAAGTTGTAATCGGGGAACTCCTTTTCCAGGGTCGCGACCATTTTTTCGCGGATATGATGCTCTTGGTCGTAAAGACCAAATGCATCACGCTCGGATTGGGTACAATTACGACCGATCGGACAAATGTTAATCATGCCCGATCGGAATTCAATGAACGTACCTCTAAAATGAAGGACGACAAATTCCTAATACCGCTTCACAGGAATATCCAACTCACTAAGATAACGTAACACAAAGTTGATGAACTTGTTGAGCTTCTCATTTGAGTACACGTCCGTCAAAAACTAGTTGTAACAGCCATGGATAACGAATACCGTATGATGAAACTCTTTTCCATTATGGTAAGCGACTAAACCGTTTTCAGAAAAGGAGTAGGTTACATAGGTGGTAACTACGATAGATTATTATTTAAGATTTCCACTATCTTTCCCTAATTGCTCTTGCTGCTTCGATAAGTCGGAACCTCCAACAATACCAACGTCTACCTTCGTCAGAAGCTTTTTCAAGAATGCTGGGATCTCTGGAGGTGCCACCTAGTCCTTCAGTGCTAAATGGCTGCTCCATACCTTTCTACTTTCAGAAAGCGTTCCATCCACATCAAACAACGCAATGACCTTTTTGGGGGAAGGATCCATAGAAACTGAAACAATTTTGTAACAAACAAAATACACACTCTCAGAACCAATTTCCTTAACGCAGGTCCAGGATCCCTACTACTAATCATCCCATTCCAATGATACATCAAATCGCTCTTTCCACAATCGCACCTTGTTATCGTCCCCACTCGAGGCCAGCACAGTTCCAGTAGTATTCCATTCAATCCTCCACACCTTACAACATCAGCAATCCCTCCCCTGTCATACATCACATTCATGATCTCGCAGTGTGGTTATTAACGAGCAACCCTCCTTTGTTACCTTGAAAATGCGAATGCATCCGTCCTAGTCTAACATGTCCCTCCCATTCCTACCGAACATGCTGTCGCAATCGTTTCGTAATCCTTTCCTAAGCTGTTGCTCCACGCCACATTACGCACGGTTCCTCCGTGGTCCGGAAGGTAGTGCAGCAACTCCCATTTGTTGGAACTTCCCAAACGCCAGATCTCTGCGTCAGTATCCGTGCCGATCACCAAGCTCATCGGCTTGTCTCGTGATTTGCACCACGAAAGGCAGTGAATCTCCTTGTTCGTATGAAACCAGGAGTCACATTGCCACTCTCGAAGCTGAAACGGGTCCGTTGGACTGTAAATCGACACAGATCCGTCTTTATAACAAATTGCCTGAGGAAAAAATAATAGAGAAGAAAAGTACTAGATTCAGCCCGAAAAAACTCGGACTAAATGCGATATCCAGTGGAGATGTGTTGGAGGTAGATATCTGGCAACGTTCCTTCCATTCCTTGCGCTTATTGCAATCAATGCACTCCTGATATATTACGACCGTGTCGTTGTGAAAGCAAGCAGCAAATAACTGCCCAAAAACAGGGTGTGCCCAGTCCACTCGACTGATTAAGGACGAGTACGCCTCAATCTCGGTTTGGAGCTTAAACTCTCCATCTACCTCGTTCCAAACCCTTAGATGGCCATTTGCCGACGCTGAAACAAGTCTTTTCCCATAATAGTCAAAAGCAGTATCACTTATGAATTCCCGATGTCCAGAAGGGATAGACTGGATCGAACTCTGCATAATTATTGAATAAAAAGTAACTACCATTTCCGTCATCAACTATTTTTGAATCCATTTATGAATTACAGTAGTATTTAATAGATTCAAAATGTGGTATTCCTGTTATAATATTCCTTTCATACCTACTACAAATACTCATACTTTCCAAGATCCCACAATATCCTTTAGAATCGATTCTATATCCAATGTATATGCAGAAATCAGCACAACTATTTAAAACGGTACAACGAATAGAAATGGGGTACGAAGATCTCGCTAGCTACCTATCGAAAAAGGTTATGCAATCTATTAAGAAAACAATGAATTTGTAATTAGAGCAAACCAGTAAAGCTACGCTATTTTGGAAGAACAAGAGACATTCATATAGGTATTTCTTTGCATATCAATAAATGTACAATGTTATGAACACCTTCTGTTGTTATGAAGCTGGGTTATATGGTGATAATAGATAATAGGGAAAGATAATTTGCAAAATAAGGGCGTAATATCCAAAGCCAATGTTGCACTTATTATGCTTGATTGATATCACAGCTCAATGTATTGACATAAACAAAGTGACTTGAGAAAGACGAATCGATGGATAATAACCATTCCAGTAGTTCATAAGGTCGATCAAAATAAACGATTTTATAGAATGGATTCTGGTATTCTTCAATCGTTGATAACCGATCTTATCGTAAATATCAGTGTTGCAGTTAATTTGCAATACTGTTGATGTTCAATAACCGTCATTTTCATTTTTGAGAGTATAATATGAAGAAACTAGTGCATCCAATAATGTGCGGTTACTCTAATTCCCTATTTCTACATTGTTTCCCTATTCCCTTTTTTCCATACCTTCAGTATTAAGCCTTATCAAAGTTGAAGTTGCTTCCCTGTCGGTTACATGCCAGCTAAAATACAAGAAGTGGCTAATTCTATGTCACCAAAGGGAATTCTGATTGTAGGCAGCTGATAATAATGGGGTTTATTTTGTAGGGAAATGCTTCAGAAGTGCAATTAGAGAGTCCGGACCTATCCAGCGGTCTTTGCCTGTAGTTGTGTTTGATTTTTAGGTTGTATGTATTCGTCTTCCTTTGGACGGGGAGTTGGTCTGCCGTTATCTCCAAGCCATCCCTTGACATATGAAGATCTCTCTGCTGATGATGTGTTGTGTTCTCCGGCTCCTCTCGATCTAGACCATCCGAAAGATTCTGTATGCATCAGGGATTGGTTTGTGACAGCAGATGGCCGAACAATATACATCCAAGTTAAATCTTACAGAGGTGGTGATGAAACATTTGTCCGAACCAAAAAGGAGACTCGTCGATGTCTTGTCAGATTATGACGAAGAAAAGCTCGGACTTCTCCCTGTTTCTTCGCTGAAGAAGTGTCTTCACTGTCACTCTATCGATTTAACAAGCAGCGAATTTCGCTTAGTTTTCGATGGGTATCCCCAACAACAGCTGTGCTGATGATGTTGTAGATTTATCCAGAACGACAAGGTGAATTATATCAATTTTTTAAAATCGTGGAGTGATCTCTCCAGCGAGATCGATTCTCCCCAGTCCATCAAACGTGCCTCTAGCGGAGAAGATTCCGGTATCGGTTACACGTATGTCTTCACCTTTTATCTCTCACCGCAGAAGCCCCAAACGACGTTTTGTTCTGACCCCTCCAGACGACGCCTCGCTGCAGTCCCTGGCGGAGTCGATTCGTCTTCACATCCTGAGTCTTTTCGGGAACGTGCAGCCTATCTTCAAGGCACTGGCAGTCTCGGACAGCGTGTATCTGCATGATCTTGTTGGGTATTTTACGCAACATCGCGTCGCCTGCACGCTGTCGCAGCTCCACTGTCTGCTTCAGCCCTTCATGTCGGCGCCCGCCTCGATCACGCTCCCCGAGTTCCAAAAGTACGAGTCCGAAGCGGAGTCCAGCGTAGATTTGCGGCTTCCTTGACGATGGATGCGGATCGGCGGCTCTCGGAAGCCTTCCCCGGAACGTTCGGGCGGAGCACTCATATCAGTATGTCGCTCGGAGAGCGGTCCTTGTCGTTGGCGTAGGCGTGGCGAGAGAGATCGAGAGTAGGGGGAGAGGTCGGGGAATTCGGCGGTCCTTGTCGGTTGCGAAGAATTTGGATAGCCTGCCTCTCTATCGAATGATGCTGAGTCTGAATGAGCAGGCGTCGGTGGATTCGGAGGAAGACGCGGTCTTTGTTTAGCTGCAGTGGCGGTTTGTTGTACCTTATGCGAGTGGTTTAGCCATCGTGAAAAGTTTCTCTGTATATAGTGCTTCTTTATATATTGCTATTTCGAGCTGTTTGTTGGATGATTGGAATTGGAGATATAATAATAGAGAGGGGTTCAAGAAGAAGGGGAAGGGGAACGAACAGAAGCGTTGCTTCTATCTCTTTCAGTTGTTGATTCGATCTTGAAATCCCGTCCTATCTCTTGGTTTGCGTGTTTCGACTATATACAACAAGCGATTTCTATATCTATCTATCTCCAATCCCTAGTGGATGTAATAAAAGTAAGTGAGCGAATGAGCGAGAGACGTCTCCCCATCACCTCAATAACTCGACCGACAATCTGCTGTATCTTGTACCCCACAAAGCAATTCACATACCTTCTTCTTCTTCTTCTCCTCCTCCTCCTTATTTCTCAAACAAACACCCCACTGACGTAATCCCATTTCCTCCAAGAAAGCGTCCATCTTCGGCTCGCGCTGCAAGTACTCGCGCAGTACCTTCGCCGATCGTTCCGAAGCTCCCTTGCTCAGTACCATCTCGCGCAGGCGCGTTCCTTCCTCCTGGTTATAGATTCCCTTCTCTTTGAAGATGCTGAAGATATCGCAGGAATACACCAACGACCACAAATACCCGTAGTACCCGCACGCGTACATCGAGGACATGATGTGTCCGAAACTCGCAGGTCCCATCGTGTTCTTCACCACCGGACGCAACGACACCTCCTCCAGAATTCGGTTGTACACGTTAATAATCGGCTCTTTCACGTCCTCCGCGTGCACCGTGTAGTCGAAAATGCCGAACGCCAACTGGCGCAAATTGAACAACGCAGAGCAGAAGTTCTTGCTGTGAATCAGATTGTCGATCAGCTTCTCCGGCAACGGCTCGCCCGTCTTGTAATGGCGCGAGAGTCGCTGCAACACCGGCTTCTGCCAGGTCCACTGCTCCATCAGCTGCGAAGGCGTCTCCACGAAATCGGTTTCCTCGCAGAACGCACCGAAGCTGCAGATTCGCTGGTTGTTGCACATCACGTTCACTAAATGGCCGAATTCGTGGAACAGCGTCGTGACGTCGTCGTGCGAGATCGTGGCGGGAAGCGTCGGCGTGGAGTGAGGGAAGTTGCAGATCATGCACGCCACGGGGAGCTGCGATAAAGAGAAAAAAGCGGATCATACAGCGCGATCGTCGTCGAGAAGAGACGAACTCTGAATGTTCTCGCAGCAAGCGTGCGTATACTTGCCTTCGCGAGGGTAGAGATCGAGGAAGAAGAGGCCTTGCAAATCGCCGCTGCGCGTATACACCGAATAGCACTTCACTTCGCTGAACCACTTATCCTCGTACTCGATTCTACCCTATCAGACCGCCTCCTCTTCGATCTACTCTTTGAACGTCAGTCCGAAGATCTCCTGGTAAATGCTCAGCATTTCCGACACGACGTGCTCCGTCGGGAAATACTCCTTCACCAAGTTATCGTCCACATGATACAGCTTCTCCTTCAGCTTCTTTATATAATAGCTGAAGTCCCACGGCTGCAGCGGGCCTTCTTCCCCACACTCGTGCTTGAAACGAGTCAGCTCCTCCAGCTCTTTTCGCCCGCTCGCCTCCAACTTCGCGCGGAGATCGAACAAAAACTGCTTTACGTTCTCGGGCGTTTCCGCCATCTCGTTCTCCAGGGCGTAGGACGGATAGTTCGGATAGCCCAGAATGTGCACAGCCTTCTTTCGCAGCTCGATCGTTTCGGTCAGGAGATCGAGGTTCTTCTGTCCACCACGGTTATTGAACGCCGTCATGACCTGGCGACGCGTGTCACTGACCGAGCAGTTCTCCAGCACTCCGAACACATCGGGATACTTCATGGTGACGATGTAGGCGTCCTCCTTTCGGCCGAATGTCGCGAGGGTGTTGTCAGGAACGCCCACAAGCTGCTCCTTGGAGAAAAGAAGCTCAGTCTTCTCCTCTGCAAGATTCACGCTGAACGCGGTTTGGTTCTCTATGATCTTCTTCATCACTTCTTCGTATTGCTGGCGTTTCTCAGAGGAAAGATGGGCGCCACAACGTCTGGAGATGAGAAGGATTGTGTTCCCCCCTACTTCATGCTAGTCAGATTGTCCTGAATGTACTTCTCAATATCGGGATCGTACTTTTCATTGCGCTTCTTTCGATCCTCTAGAAATGAACCAAGGTGGCTGTCAAATACCGTTGAACTCGTTCAACGCGGTATACAGGTCGTTTTGGACCAGTCGAGACATTGAGTACTGACTCATAGCCACAGAAGCTTCATTCGCTGCGTCACGCACTTCCTTCACGGGCGATACATTGATAAGAGTACCAATCGTACCATCTAGAGTCAAAGTTCGAGCCAATAGATACTCGCTCCCTGACTTCCGTGGTCGTAGACTAAAAGCGGCTTAATCACGTTCTGAAATGTTCTCTTCTCTCTTGGTATCGAGACGATCGCCTTGTCCGTGGATTTTCCATTGGCAATCTACTTCAAACACATGAGGTAAGAGATACGAATTGCTGGGCAAGCCGTTGGATCTCCTCGACAGTAACGTTAAATCTGGGTTTTACGAATTTGGCATACATGGTTTTGATTTGAACAGAAAGACAGGTATTTCAAAGAGAAGAAATAAGAGGGTACTTTTCGAATTCCGATAGTACGCAGTTTTGGAGTGATATGTCAAATTTTATTTTAAATTGTTGGACGGATCAGGACTGACGAATGGACCCTTCAGAATGCGGTGCATACGCCAGCATCCAGAAAATCAAAAAACATCTAAGCAAATCAACAATATTTTATGATTCACTTATAAATAGTGCATACTATTTTGAGGAACTGGATGATGTATGGAAATCGCAACTTTTGATTTTTAGGTTCGTATTATTAAGTGTAATAGGAATGAGAACAAGGTCACAACAACGTTTTCGTACAATAATAAAGTCTTTCCGGTTACATTCAGTGATACTATGTACACTGAGAATTTGTATTCCAAGATTCTGGATGTAGCATTGTTTTTATTTTTTAAACGTAGATCCTACATAAAGAAAGTCCAACCCTTTCAGTAAACGATTTCCAAATTCTCGTCAATGGATCCGTTTTAAAAATATCTGCCTCGTCTCTGCAGTCGTTCAATGGGATAAATACGATATCTGTTGTGCCGCATACGAAACCAAACTACACGTCTTTTAAGGAAGTCAGTTTTGAGAGTCGGCGGTGCCTCCATTGGATGTTTTTGTACCAGGATTATTCGCACGAGATGCTGAATTATATTGTCAACACGGATTTTTCCGATGTCGAGACCCTGATTGTGAGCGTCAATGAATGGACCGTTTCGGAGTGGCCCGTTATTTTAGGGCTGCTTTCGAGACTCTACTTGAAATCCCTTTGCACTCTTATTCTTTATTGTATCCATTCATTTCGTTCTTGATTTATACATAGCTCCAGTTTGCATTGATTCCGCTTTTTTGCGACAAAGTCTGTATTTCCAATACGAAAGCCGTGTGAAGCAAGTACTGGTTTATTGTGATGTCAAGTATTCTGACTTTGTCTATTCTCCGTCGTGTTGGCAGGAAAGAGAGGTTGAATGGGATCAGATTAAGAGTTCGTTGGATAATCCGGTTCAGAAAGACGCGGATATGAATATATTTTTGCCTTCTGCTTGTCTTTCGTTTATCTCATCCACCGAGATTTACTCGAGGGAAAAGAATAATACCCATGCAAAGATCAAAGTGGAATCGCGCGATGTGCTTTTAGAGAGTGTGGAAATGGTCTGTAAACATTATCATCTGATGAGTGCGAAAACAACAAGCAGTAACACGTTGTTGCGATTTTCGTTTAATGGCAAAATTTATCCCTTGGAGTGCTCGCTGACTCTGGAAGGCCCCAAAGTTCTCGGCATCATTGCACGCACTCTCCAGAAGAACAAGCTGCTGTATTATCCTGAGGAGATCGCCATTTATGGACATAATGATGATTTATCTCTTCAGTCGAAGGGTTTTTCGGAGCATGATTGCATTCCTGTCATACTGTCTGGAGTTACTCGTGAGAGAGAGAAGCTGCTGCAACTAGAACAAAAGGATGGGTATTTGTACTATGATGTAACTCTGAAAACTCAGAAAGATATGGATTTGTTTATCAGAAATGCACAAAAGGATGCATTCTTCTTTTTGAATCGTCTAGTCATTCGATTTGGATCACTTAGTAACGATACCGCTGGATATTTAATTACTGACTTTTTTAGCTTGCTTCATGAAGTGTTTTTACCTCATTTGGAGGTCTTGTCATTGATCTATTTATCGATTGATGCTTCTGATAACTGGATTGATTGCTTTTTTGTGAATCCTTGTGTTGCCCTGAAGGATATTGTTGTCTATATTCCATGTGCTCCGGCGCTAATTCTTGATGCTAGGTGGAATAGTTCTCGTAAAATGAGAAGAATCATCCATTCCGTTGATTCCACCAATTTTAGTGACTCGACCTCTGTTTCGTCTTCTATCTTATTATCGGATTCGGTAGGCGACGCAGCATCTAAGTCGATTTCTGGCACATTTTCTGATTTGATTTCCGCTACGACGTCTGATACAGCTTCTGATACAGCATCCTCTGATACAGCTTCTATTGAGTCCTCTGGTACATCTTCGGTCACAACCTCTGACGTGGTTTCTATTGAATCCTCTGATACAGCTTCTATTGAATCCTCTGATACAACTTCGGTCACACCCTCTGACGCGGCTTCTATTAAATCTTCTGACGCGTTATCCTTTTCATCATCGGATTCAAGTTCAAACTCGGAGTCATCATTATCCAGCTCAAGTGCAAAGGCTCAGCCAATGCAAAACGGGAATACTTCCTCCACTTCCAAAATCAAAACCTCGGGTGAAACTACTCTGGCCAAAATGTCAGTGCTCGCTTCCAAAACCGAAAACAGTACTTCGATAAAGAAAAAGAACGCAAATCCCATTACAACGATGACCACCTCCACTGTGATCAATGGCGTTTCATACAATATTTCAGTGGAGGCGAATGCGGAGACCAAGCAAACGACCTACAAATGGAAGCGAGTGTCTGGGAAACGATCTTTCTCCGTTATTGAGTCTCAAAACTCTTCGATAATTCGGGTTTTTGTCAATAATGTGTGGTATCTTATTCCAGTTTCCAAAGTGAATAAGAAACAAACCTTGTATTCTGCGGTTGTTAGAGGCTTAGGGATGTATGGCATCGTTGCTAGCCATTCGTCGATTTCATTGCAAAATCAGAAAGGGAAGGAGATTAACAAGAATACGTTCGTTACTGTTGCTAACACAAATGATAAATACACTTGTACGATTCGTAGCAAGAAGTACAAAGCGAATAATAGTGAAATGACTCTCGATATGAGAGAGAATGCGGACAAAGTCATATTAAACTATTACACATCGATGTTCGTCAATAAAGTCATTCATGTAGTCGGTAGGATACTGTAATCGTTTCTTGATTACTAGCGGATACGGATGAGCAGTTCGAAAAAGCTGTTGATTTTCTCTCATGCTGTAATACTCCATACGTTATACAGATCCTTTTTGATGTTTCATTTGACTATGACTGGAGCATTTCCAGCAAGCTTTTTCTCTATGACGGTATGCCTCATTTGACGACAGTTGTTTTCAAGCAGAGAGGCGAATTCAAGAGTCTTCCAACTGACCAAACAAGTACTGTCAACTCTCAGAGCAAAGCCTCTACGCAAGAGAGTACACCAATCCAAATTACTCCTCAACAAGACGAGAACCATGAAAATGCAGAAAAAGAAATAGTTTCTCCATCATACACATTTATTAAATCGATATGCAAGAATAAGAAAGAGCCTCTCAACAGGTTGGTGACATTTTTTATTCATGGAGTAAAATATCTCTGGGATGTTGATGTCGTTCTTAAAGATAAGCGTCACTTTTACACATATACCATTACGAGGGAGTCGCATTCTTACATCCATAGTCCAATAAAATCGGATCTTCTGTTAAAATACAAGAAACTCACAATCCCTATTTCAATCGAATCACAGATTACGGAGGCTCGACTTGCTCAAGAAGCATGTGTGGTGAGTGCTTTAGGGTTGGAGTACTTTATAGATTCTTGCGGAATATGAGATTTTTATTCATCCAAGTAATATTGTACTTTTAATCAATGGACAGAAAATAGGAAATAGTATGAATAATAAAGTCATACTTAATCCGAAAACAGTTATTGTTGCTCAACAGACTAAGGCAAAAGAGACCATTAAGAACCATGTTGATTGCATTCTAAGCGGAGACTTTGATAAGTATTATAATTTTCTTATGGCTGGAGGCGTTTACAATGTGGAATCGATTTCCATAGAAAGTATTTCATATGAACTCTTTTGTTATTATTCTTAGCTAAAGAAGCCGATCTTCTGCACTCCTTTTTGAAAACGCTTTCTCGTCTTCCATTGCCCTATTTGAAATCACTTCAGCTTATACATACTAAGGGTTTTGATGAACATTATTTAACCTGGTTCTGTTCCCCAAATATTCCGGAGCTCGAAAAAATAACACTCAGATTACCAAAAAAACGTGTACCTGTAAAACTCGATTCATCGTCTACTGTTGACAACAAGTCACTGTCTCTCTGTAACAACTTAATAGCCAATCAAAAAATGATGAACATTACTACTGTCCAAATTCATGGCGGCTATGCTGCCTTAAGAGATTTGGCAAATCAATGTGCCTTTATTCTTGAACTGGATTCCCGATATCCGTTTGTTTTTAATACTACCCCAGGAAGTATAAGGATGCAGACAGTGAAGAGAAGTGTTCGCAACGTATATTCACTGATTGTCTTATATTGTTTAGATTGTGCCCTTCTATGGAGTTACAGTAAAATGGACTCCAGGGAAATTCTTATCAAAAACCATTGTTAATGTCAGTAATGGTTTTTCTCTTAAGGGTCCTGCCTGGGATCACAAAGGGAACATTCTTGTGTTATCGAATTCGAAAGTAGATTGGATGAATGTTAGTCATTGTCAAGGAATTATTGTGCAAGGTAAGTCTCGATACTAGTATGTTTCGTAGTCATTGGATCCCAAACATTTGACCAAGTGATTCAAATTATCAATGAACAGAATCTTCCACTACTATTGTATCTCCAAATCTGGGGTAAGCCTTATTTTTCGTTTTCAACTGATAGTCGACGGTATTGATTTATCTCCATCTCTACTCGAATCCTTGTTTAATGAGTCTCACCCAAATTTGAAGATTGCAAGTGTCTTACCCATAAAAGACTTGAAAAATGAGGCTCTGGAGTCTTCAAAGGACTCAGATAAGGTGGAACAGAGTCCAACGTTTATCAGTGGTCCCACTCTAGAAACATACAGCATGTTTACTATACGAGGCGAAATAAAGGTTATTTTGAATGAGATTAAGTTGAAACTGGATGTGGATCGGTCGTTCCAGCATCTTTACATGCTGGATAACAGCAGTACAAAGTACGGAGAGAATGTTTTCCGAGAACCATCAGAACAAACAAACATGTCTTTTGATTATGAGAACTCCACGTATTACTGCAATATAGATATGAATGGCAATATTATTGAGTGTAAACAAGTCATTGCGAATGTAGCTATTCTTGCTCATCCGATTACCCTTAGACACTCCAGAGTTGTGGTATCCACTGCTTGTTTACGAACATCCATATCTTCTTTAAATCGAAGGAAATCACCTTAGGTACTTTGAACATGAATAGAATCCCCGTAAACTCCAAACTTGTGGTGACTGGGGAACAGACTTCTGAGAATTTTGTTGTACAGAAATCTAACTTTTCTTGGTATTGCTGCTATATTACAAAGTCTAGTTACTCACATCACTTTAAAGATATTAACTATCATCTTCTTTTCTTTGTCACTCATCTTGTGCTCCACTTTTCTGAAGAAATTAGTAAAGAGGAAAAGAACAGCATTGTTTTTATGATAAAGGAGCAAGTGTTTCCCTACTTAAAATGGCTTTGCATTATTAACGGCGATGTCCAAGCAAGTGATATGTACCTTTTGTTTTTGGAAAAGAAGGTTTGTCTGAAAGAAATTCTGCTGCTAAACGAAGGAGTTGATCCTTTGTACGTAAGTGTGAAAGCATTTAATCCGCTCTTTATGAACGATCAGAACCAAGTGAAGGAGAAAAATAAAAGTGAGGACTTACTGATCTTTTCATCGGATTCAGTTGACAGCTCCAAACCGGAAAATAGTCAGTTGGAACAAACATCACCTCTAGACAATGCAAGTGAAAAAGAAGAAGAAGAAGAAGAAGAAGAAGAAGAAAAGGTGGAGCAACCTGATAATGAGCATGATATCGTGAACAAGAATGAGATGGGTGTTGAAAGAGAACCTGTATTTCCTAATGTACTGAGTCAACAGAGTGACAAAATGAGTAAAGAAAGTGATATCATGAGCAATCAAAGTAAAAAAGAAACAAAAGAAAATGAAGAAATAAACAAAGATAGTCAAGAAGCGAGCAAACAGGGAGACGTTATGAATCAAGATAGTAAAGAAACAAGCAAACAGGGTAGCGAGCGATATACGTTAGATTGCTTAAATAACTACCGCCCAAATGCTTCACTTCTGCTCTATAGTTCCACGCTAACAAACCCCATTTATTACGCTGTTGCACATCTCCCAAACCTTTCTTTTTCCCGTGAAGACTTCATCTTTAGAAACCTGAAGTTTAAAGCTTTGATTTTCAGTGGTAAACCGGAATTCATACCTATGAAAGATTATAGCGCGTGGAAGGACTATAAAAAGACAAATGATTATATCGATGTCAAATTCATTCTGAATAGTAAAACTTATCCCATTGTTATCAAAAGGATGAGCTCGGTCGACGACTTGTCCAAAGCAGCTTTGCTCTTTATTCGTTGCCTCAAGTATAATGAAGTCAGCAAAATGGAGCTGATTCTAAACAGGAGTAAATTGGAAGATTCTGAAAATGGTCTAAAGATTGAAAACAACTCCGATATACATGTTATCGCTACTGAGAAATCAAAGCCACAGTCTTGGAGTGGCATTATTCATAAATACGAAAATGATAACGAGATTCGGTCGGCATATGTCCCACTATCTTTAAATATGCAAGAGTTACTGCAGAAAGAATTATTATTCTCTGTTCACTACTTAGCCATTCACATTCCTATTCTCGAAGATGAATCGCCTCTCTATGTAACACTTTACAAAACACCCCTTCCCTATCTCAGAGAATTGACAATTTTCACACAATTCAAAAGTAGTTCGTTCCATATAGAATACTTATATTCTATTTTACACATCTCCTTATCTCTCGTTCGCGTTTGTGGTACGTATTTGTTGCATTCGTCAAAAATAGATGATGACTCGATAGTTCAGATTAGCAATCCACTCAATTCAAATGTGAGTCAGGAGCTAAATCAGTTAACTACGAAAATGAAAGAGCTCCAAGAAAAACAGACAAGCACTGATAATGAGATTAAAAAGTTAGTACAAAGCTATTCAGAACTAGAGAAAAAGCTAAACTACTCGAAGCAAACCTTATATTCCAGCACACGAAATGGTCCTGTAACGTCTCTGCGCTCAGCTCTCGGCTCTCTGATAGTGAATAATTACTATTACTTCTTTTATTCCTACTCCGCCAATACCATCATTATCGATATTATTCAGAGTTTTATCAAGAAAGGAAGCTGCATGTATAACCGCACGCAGTCGATTTACACAAGACAGCCGCGAATCCCCAAACTTCCTGAAGGAATCTTCCCCAAAGTGCAGAGACCTCTCGTGTCCAACTTCGTTAAGATTGAATTCGAATATCGCGAGTTTATGGTGAGAATCAATGAGAAAATGACCGGAGCTCAGTTGTATTCGGTTGTGAAACACTCGCTTTTGGCGGATGAGTTCATAAATGAATGGGATTCCATCGTTCTCATCTATAATATGAACCACATTTCCCCCAAGGATCTGTTAATGTCGCTTAATATGACGGCTAATAGCGTGATCCAGGCGTATCGCAGGGAAGGAAATAAGCCGCCAGTTGAAAATAGAAAGCCGGTATATGTATCTCTTCAAGACAGTTTGCAGCAGGATTCTTTTATTATGGATCTGCAAAGGCAAAAATATGCGAACGTGCAGCACTTGGTATTGCTGGCTGGTTTTTTCTTTTTTGCTCGCGTCATAATTAGAGTGTATATCAAACAGCCAGCTTGAGAAGGTTTTGAAGGCGATCGTGCAGACGCAGCTATTCTCTCTTCGTACTCTTGAGTTGTATAGTAGGGAATTTCAAAAGCATTCAATACAGCTAACTTCGAGCTGACACAGCAAGCGGCGGCCACATTTAGTACATATCACTTGATGCCAGCTTTGAAATCGTTGATTCTTTATCGCGCGGCCGATGCTAATGCTGCGATGATGAAAGAGAAAACGTTAGACAACACGTTGGCAGCAAGCCAAAACAGTGCGAATATTGAAACAGAGATGCGTTCAATTGCTCAACAGCTTAACCGGCTTCAGGATGTACGAAGACAAATCCAAAACGAGATTGAATCGATGGAAAAAGATAGAGCTGCTCAGCTTTATAATTAGAATGGAATGTTTGAATTGTAATTCTTTCTCTATTCTGCATATACTTTTTGATTCTATGGGATGTTTGTTTGAAAAAAAGGAGAGGAAGTATAGTAGTTATATATAGGTGTCATCTATTTGGATGAGTATTCTTTGACATACACAAAAAGCAATTCGCATCGTTAGAATAGCACTTCCTACTGTGTATTTGTTATGTTATTGTCATTCTTCGCTTGAGCTTACTACTGCATACTATTATCTCTAACATTTGATTCTTCTTCTTCTTCTTCTTCTTATTGCTCAAACAAACAACAATTTTCCTCATTCCTTTATTCCCATCCGAACAACTTCGGCATCCAAAAATGAGACGACAAAGGGAACAACCAATCTGCGTCCTGATTCAACCGCATCAACAAATCCACCGCACGCTGCTGATACTTCTCTCCCAGCGGCTCGCGCTTCTCCCAGCTCATCAGCAGCCTCGAGTACCCATCGCACAAGCTCTTATAATCGAACAGCTCGCTCTTTCCGAACGCATCCAGCGTCTCTTTCTTCTCCTTTTTCTCGAAAAACTCCAAAGCCTGCAGGTACAACCCTTCGCTCATCACGATTTGGTCCTGCTTATACACGATTCCCGCGATCCAGCCCAGCGTGCAGCTGCTCACTCGCTAGTCATCACGCTGCCCAATCATTCTCACGTTCGAGGACAGCGAGATCCCGCGGGAATCCGACAGTTTCAGCGCGTATTTGAGGAGGTCGCCGGCTTCGTCGCGTTTGTCGAGCGAAAGCAGAAAGGAGCCAGCGGTGTTAAGCGACTGGCGCGCGTCTTCGAGAACGTCGTCGGTGAGTTCGTTGCGGGATTCCATCGAAACGACGAGTGCTTTGAGATCGTTGCAGAGAGAGATGGTTTTGTCATGATCGAGGTCATGGTCCCAACGCGATCCGATTAGATTGTGCAACACGCGGAGCTCCCATAGAGAACCGAGTTTCTGAGCGTCCGATCGTTTCTGAGGTGGAGGGAGTGATCATTGCATTACAGATTCGAGCATGTCGCAAAGTTGTTCTCCGGAGAGATGCTTCTGAAGCGAACTCAGTAACAACGAAGAAAGCCCTGAAGGACTCGACTCTTGGGTATTCAGCTAGGAGATTTGAGGAAATAGAGAGAGAGAGATACTTCCTTGGAATACAAGCCGGCCTCCGTTATCTGACCCAGATTTAAAAGGACGTTCACAAACTCTCGTTTTTCAATCTGTGCTTCTATGGGGTCGTTTCGTGAATCCACGTTTTTGTTCATTTTCTTGATCAAAGATACTGCATCCGCAATGCGATTGGAGCGAGTGTACAACTCAAGCTTCCTAAGCTGATACAAATAACGTCAAACGAACTTCCGATTCACGACATCAACCATAGGACTATTCTCGGGACTAAACGAAGAAACGATGTCATGGATTCTTGAATACAGCTGATCCGCTTCTTTGAATACGCGCTTGCTCATAAGGTCTTCCGCCTGCTTCATCTGAATTGTTCACAAGTTCCCTTGTCACCTACTTCAGGAAAAGCGCTCATCATCTCCTTTTCGGTCTTTTGACAAGCTGTCTCGCTGAAAAGACGAGAGAAAGAGCTAGATGTCTATACTTCGTGGATCTCGAGGATCTCTTACAGAAGCAACAGAGACCGTTCTTAATATACTCCTAGAAGCTGCTCTAGTAAGCGATAGCATGATAAAACAAAAAGAAAAATAGAATGGGTAATACCACTGGTAAATTCCATTGGCATAAAACGGATTAAACACGGAAAAGACAGGATAAAGTGGCGTCATCGGAATTCCAAACGTTCCAGACTGTCCATGATTTCCATCTTCTCCTTCTCCTTCTCTTTCTCCTTCTCCTTCTTCTAAATGATCTAGTTCGGTTGCATCGATGTCTTCCAAATTCAACTCCACAAAGTTTCCCTGGGAAGACTCCACTACTTCACTTTCTTCGTTTTGATAAAACAGCGCGTGCTTTTCCTTCTCGCTCATCTCATTCAAATCCTCTTCTCCAAATTCCCCTAACTCTTCGGCATTCCCGCGCGAGTCCTTCTTCTTTTTATCGAACCAATCAGCTCGCTTCTTTTCTCCCTCCAAATCTTGAGGCACACAACATTTTTGTATTCTGCTTTGTCGCTGCGCGAAGAGCTTTGTTAGCGCAGCTTCCTGCATCCGACTCACCAAGTAGAAGCAAATAGAACGGTCCCTCTGATGATCGCCAGAATCATCAATGTCGTGTTTTGGCGAATTCTTGGTTATTTCGCTACAGATATCAAAACAATATCGATAATCATACTTAGAAAAATCAATATCTTCATTCTCACAACCATCAAGATTCATGACGTCGTGTCTGGTTTCAGAAGGACGCAGTAACGCTTGTCTACCTCTCAGCACTTTTTCCGAAAGCGGAATATCCAGATTCAACACCCCATCGCAACATTGCAGCGATGCGACGGCAGGAAGAAGACAGTCGTGGATAAAGAGAATGACTGGCGTACGAGACTCCACAGCATCCGAAAAAAGCTGAAGACGCGCTTTCAATTCTTTGTGAAGGATAGTTTCAGAGAGAGCAATGAGTTGAACGGACGAGCTTGCGATGAGATCCTCGTTTTCGGCTAGGAAAGCCAGCAAATAGCCAAGATTATAAGCTGAGAAGGATGTCACCGCGATGCAGAAATGCTGCTGAGAGAGAAGCGTTTGAAGACAACGAGCCGCATAAGGAACACGCTTTGCTACAGAAAGGCAATCTGCAAAGGAACCGCTACAAACAAACAAACAAACCTGAATCAGGAAGGAGCCAGTAAAGCGAAGATGCGAAGGACACATCTTGATTCAGAGCAGGAGCAGGAGGAGCAGGAGAAGGAGACAGCGGATCATCAGATTGAATGTGGAATCCCCATCCTTCGATCGTGGTTCTAATCACATCCTCTTCAACCGAGCGCGACGATAAAGGATTGGATGTAGATAAGTACACATTTAGAGTGTCTAGGGAAAGGAGAGAAAGACAGCTCCGCGTCTATCACATTACAGAACACAGTACACACACACCTGATGGAGAACAGATCGATAGAAAACCAGCTCGGCTTGATCAATGAACACACTATGAATCGAAGTGAAGCAGTTTTCATTTCCTTTGTACAGACGGGGCAAACGTCCTGGAGTCACGACAAGGATATCCACACCTAAATGAAGTGCTTTTAGGTCTCGCTCGTATTTTATGGACCCCACCGACACATGGCACAGGATTTGTGTAGAACGAACGTAGTTACATATCTCAGAAAACAGATGAAAAGCTCTCTCACGCGAACCAGTGAGAACTATCATCTGAATGTTGTATTTTCGATGTCGTTTGATTTTCGAGACTTCCTCCAGGAGAGAGGAGCAGATTGCGTCTTCTGTTCCGTGAAAAATATAGCAATCCTTTTTTACAACGTAGCCGTCTCCCAACTTCGCATCCATACGTTGCAGCAATCAGAAACCCGCAAAAATACCAAAGAATGGAATTCCAATTAGTACATTTTTTCATTTTGAACATAGAGCCTATCATCCTCATTCATGTCTCAACTTTCTGTATTTTGCTTGTCTTGCTGGGATAGTCCATAGAATACTGTGGAGGGTGATCTTCCCCAAGCTGACCTTTCTTCGCTCTATAGCAATCAGAGTGGGAATAACACTCCAAGAAACGCCAGTGGATCCTCACAAAAGAATTCAGTTGGTACTATTGGTTGCTTTGTGTTTTACTGTAGTTTCTATGCTTAAAAGCGTTCTAATCCCCAAGATTTTGATTGTTGCAATCATCGTAGCTGTTCTGTACTTTTTAGCTGTAATCTATTCCCTCTACTCATCAGCGATAGTTCATCAACGAATTGTCAGAAGATAAGGTTGAGAAAAAGTTGAGCTTATATCCACGAAATGTAGTGGTTTTTGTAGTCTTGTAATCCAGCTTTCTACTATTTGGACTATTTTCACCTGCACGTTTTTTCACGACGACTACTATCACCTAAATACGCTTATTTTATTCTTTGTTGTCTGTGCGATTTGTGTAATTACTCGTGGTAATGTCCGTTTTCTGCTCATTTCTCTCTTTATCATCGTCGTTGGCAACCTGCTAAGCTGGGCTTTGGGCTCCTCTCGTATGAACGGAATTTCTGGTATTTCTGACCTGCAACCTTGAATCACAGGTTGGACGTGCGGCCTGCTTGCAAACATCTACTTTTCGATCATTACCGACCTAGGCTATCCTGTACACTGCACAAAATACGGGTAGGACAATCACAGCACAATCAGCCTAATCGTTAGCGTGGAGACTTTGATAATCGCCATAGTGCTTACAGTTCTCATGATCGCATTATTTGCAATGGACTTTATTCCTGTTTCTACTTCTTGTTGGCAATATCATCTGTGCGGTGCTCTTGCTGGCGTTTCGGCCGCTTTTCTGTTCGCTGCGTCGCCGCTGGCTAAAAGCAAGACGCCAAGGAACACAGAGAACGGATCCTTGCTGAACGGGACACCGAACGGCACCCCAACGTCTGATGGAGAACATCGTGTCATGGTAGGTAAGAAACTGATTCGATTTGAAGACCTCGGCAAGCCTTTGTTGTGGAGTGTTTGAGAAAAAACAGAAGCGACATACATAAGATACAGATTTAACCCAAGAAAGCGGAATCAGAGGTACGATTCGACTGAAAAGGAATCCACATGCTGCTTGTGTGGAGGAATAAACTAGGATTAACGACATGGAAAAGCGATTACCTCCTCTTCTGAAGCGTCTTGTTCGCTATCCTCACCGCTATCAGAAATGTTGTGAGACGCATAAAACATCACTAAATAAGCACACAAAAAAGCATCGTACTGTCATCCGTGAGTCCTCGAGGATAGTTCTGTCCAGAAGAATCATTTCCAGACATACCGCGGCCTACACGATAGACGGGAGAACGCACTCTATCAATCACTCCTTTCAGGAATGCGTACGGTTTTTTAATATCAATTTCTTTGCTCCGTATTTCCGAATTTGAGTGAGGACTGGGGGATTCTTCCCGTGTTTCGTCCTGAGGCGTAGCAGATTCGCTTTTACTCTATTTGCTAACACGAGAACGTAGCCGCATACCAAATTCAATTGCTCTAGACGCAATAGCAACGCTTCTCGACTTCGGTCCAGTATTTTGGGTGACTACTAGTAAACAGGCAAATAAATAAAATACCCCAGATGGATAATCAAACAGTCTTTTTCCATATGACATTTCAGAATGGTTTGCTAAAGGAGTGCTCATTACAGAAGTCAATGATGCTGAAGACAACTACACACCAAAAAACACCAAATACAAAAATAAATGCCTTAAGAAAAGTACTGGCATGCGGTAATTTTGAAACTCCCCACCCCAAAAACGACAAAACACTCAGTTATTTTAAATTGAATATAGATTATTGAACATAGAATACAAGAATTATTGATTTACACAATGTACAGATAATCACCAACCAACTCTCTTTGATATGTATTGTTATTGTCATTGATTTCTTATGATTAAATAAGCTATTTCAATTTCGTAATTTCCTGTACACAATAATAATCAAAACACAGTTTAATTCACAAACATGGCGGTCAGTTTATATGCACATAGAGCATTGTATATTTTTCAAATTGGGTAAGAATTAATTCGGAGAAACGCTAAAAGCGGCTAATTACCAAAATATTAGTTTCCCCTTTATTCGTGTAGAACCGTATTTATGGGTAAAGTCACGAAACTAGTTTAGAGATAAATTAGAAAGCTCTGGAATTAGCTAGATATGCGCGTAATACCTTAGAACGGTGTCATCACCTCAGACACGATGAATGTCGAATTGTGAGTTGATTCATTTTTCTGGCATATATCTAGTAGTGTAGCAAAATGTTACAAAGATTTGCTCCAAGGTTAAGTAATGGAGTCATGTGGATTTCTTGTAAGGAATATAACGATGACTGGAACTTCTTCAAAGATCTTTCGTTTCCTTGTGAATTGTAGCTTGCTCTTACCAACCATCAAGAGAGAGTGAATAGTGAAAGAGTCAAACACACGATTTATTATTAGCATGTCCTTCATATTAATTTGAAAAAAGTAAAATCGTCAAGGAAGATGATTTACTCACATACACCGAGTTTGGTAAATTCAACGTATCGATGTGTACAAAAGAACAGTAATTCATTAAATTTTCAACAATGATGCATCAAAAACACTTTACCAGCAGATGTCGCTGCTTGTGTCGAAATTTTCAAAAGACGATGCAAATTATAAAGGTACGACATGATTATTTATGTAAGCTCCAAAAGATTGTATTATCAAATGCGATATTTGATTGTTCGTAAAAAGAACAGAGAGATCCTTCAGTTTATATGATGATATGGCCAATTTGGCTATTGATGTCGGCTCTTCCTATACATGTGCTTGTATGACAAGCAGTGGGGACATGGAAATGGTAAAAGATCTGGAAGATCCGTTAATTCCATCAGTCATTCGTTATAACAATAATGGCTCTGTTTAGTGCATTGGAAGGTATGCACACAGAAATTACTGGAGTGCCAAGAACGATGTTCGTTGTTTTAAGAGAATTAATGGATATCGTATGAATTCCAGGGTCATGCATGATTACATGAAAAACTGTGTGTGCAGAGTGATTGAAGGAGATGATGAATTCCCTGCTTTTAGAATGGAGTGTTTCCCTGATAATTCACTCACCCCTACTCTATATACTTAGCATATGATTGAGTACGTCAAGAATCTGGCATATAGACAAAGAGAAATACAGTTTGATGAGTTAATCATAACAGTTCCTGCTTTCTTCGATAATATTCAAAAGAATGAGGTTTTGAAGGCAGCAACAGCTGCAGGAATTTGTAATGAAGATAATATAAAGATTGTATGTGAACCTGTAGCAGCTGCATTGGATTATGGTGTAGTGGCTGGAGAGAAAAATTGCAGAATCATGGTCGTAGATATTGGAGGTGGTACCACGGATATATGTGTTATGGATATCAATAACAAGAATTACTCTGTGAAGTCAACTCATGGAGACAATCACTTAGGAGGAGATGATATTACCAACACATTCTGTGAGTATATTTTTAGAAAATATGAAGAAGTCTTTTACAAGCCACTAATTACTGCGCCTTGTATGAGTAATGTTCTTCAAGTTTGCCTCAAGCAATTGAAAGATAAAGCCGAGGAGGCGATGAAACTGTTTGCTAGAGAGGATCGTGTAACAATTTATAATTTGGGCGTTATTAATTCCAATATTACCGCTGCTAGTGACTTTTCCAGCGATGATGATTATATCACAATTAATTACCAAGAGTTTCGTGACCTGGTGAAACCTTATGTTGATCGAATTGTGAACTTAACAAGTCGAACACTTTAGATTGGAAGCATCCGTGAAGACTCGATCGATAAAATGATTCGTGTGGGAGGAAGTTGCCGTTTGCGTCCGGTTCAAGATGCTTTAAGACAAATGTATGGCAATAATGTGATGGTATCGAATCTTCCTGATGAATGTGTCGTTTATGGTACTTTGCGAGCTTCTAGTATTGAAGAAGCGAGAACTGGAGTCGTTTCTGGAAGCAGGTCATTCCTGAGTATTATGGCTTCCCAATTTATGATGATTACACGCATCGCGAAAAGTTCCAGGTGATGATTCCTCGAAATACGAAGTATCCAATGGACAGAGTGTTAAGTATACAATGCCATGGAGAGAGAATGGCTGATGGAACCTTTTGTAATTATGGCCGTTTAAAATTATATGTGAGTTAAGAAGGAACCATGCGAGATGCTAGGTTTCTTACTGAATAAGGATATATGATTACGACCCCTTCTGCTTTCCCTATTATCATTCAATTCACTATTGATCACAATGGATTCATCAATGTGAAAATCGTACAGACGTGCGATAATCGAGTGCTTTAACACAAAGAGAAAGTCGTGAAATTGAAGACTGAAACACGTGAAGTTGAGTATAATAATGATGAGGATTCGGACAGTACTATAAGTGGAGGAACCATCGAAGAGCCAGTTGTGGAACCTGTCTTTTTGCCATCACCTTTAATCAATTTGGGAAGAGTTCCATTCGAGTTCCCAGCTGTGCCTCGGAATGAAATGCCATTGCCGATCGAGCAATCCGACTCTGAGGATATTCTACTATCGGAAGACAGTGACCTGTAAAAGGCAAGTCCTCTACAATTACCACACTTTACTGTTTGTTCACACACACACTATGGATTGATGTACATCTGAAAAATATAGAGTTCTATGTTTTGTACCATTTTAGATTTCACAATTGCTCCCCTTAAAATATGGTATTCTGTATAAACGGCATATGAAATTAAGAAATTCGGAGTCCTTTTACTGATTGCTGCACTCGCTGCTTCATCTCAACTCACCTTCCCCATTCATAGAATGGTGCAGTTCCAACGCAAGGGCAATCTTTATGGATCACAAGAGAATAATGGAGAACTTCGGCTGGCTTCTCTAGAGTCCATTCTGCAAATTGACAGTGATGCTCGTATGCAAGCTGATCATTATACTGCCCTTGTCATGATGAATGAATTGGATAAGGAAATATTGGAAAACCTTGTGGACAAGAAGGAAGTGGGTGGTTTAGTCATTATTATTCCATCAACGGTAATTGCCGGTACTATACTATGCTGATGTGGTAGAATGATGAATCAGTAATCTCTCGTTGCCAGTCTGTCGAGAAGTACATGCTGGATCGTTCCTTTGCCTGCCCTGTGTATTTCATTGAGCAGTCAGACGACGTTCTCAATGTTTACAACACGCTTCAGTCGAAATCGGGAGTTCTGAGTGTATGTCCTTCTTCCCTTCATTTAAACCCCAGCCATCGAACATCTACACGATCAACGTGAAGTTCCCTCGCACCAAGTCTCCCCATCCCCTCCCCGAGATCCGCACCATCGAAAGCGTCCTCGAAGGCCACAAAGAAGGCGTTTCGCCCTCCTCCCTTCCCACCATTCTCCTCACCGCCAGCTACGATTCCTTCTCCCTCGTTCCCTCCCTCGCCTCCGCGCAGACCGACGGCGCCGCCAGCACTGTCGCGCTTCTCGAGATTCTCCGCATGTTCCGCCGCCTCTACGACGACCAGAAAACCGCGGGCAGGTACGTGGCCCGCGCTCTCTTCCCTCCAGCTACAACCTTCTCTTCCTGCTCAGCGGCGGCGCGCACTTGGACTTCGAAGGCTTCCGCCAGTGGATGATTCGCTCGCCGCCCGAGCTCTTCGACGCCGTTCACTGCGTCCTTTCCCTCGACGATCTCCTGTAGGTTCCACGGTTTCCACGTTTCGTGCAGAGCGTCCGACCGGCTGGTTCTCCGCGTCGCGAAGCACGCCGCGCGCGCCGATCTGCAGGGCCTCTACGACGCGTTCGAGGCCGTGGCCGCGCAGCTGGGCGTTCCGCTGACCGTCGAAAGCCGCACGGTGAACATCATGGACGAGCACAGAACGCTGCCTCACGAGCGATTCGCGCTCCGCCGACTCCCTGCCGCCACGCTGACCGCCACCAACACGGGTAGAAATTCCCTCGATTTTTGGAACTCCAGAAAACTCGCCGTATTTTGCAGGGTCGCTGTTTGCGGCGCCGCTGAACGAAACGCGGCTCTGTCTGCACATTCAGCTCGTCGCGGAGGCGCTGGCTCGCTTCACTTTCCGCGTTACCGATGCGGGACTGGTAAGAACCGCGGGGATGTGCGACGTAGATCTTTTCGCGGGGATTGGAGGCGGATTCGGTGTACGTGAATCATTGGCTGCAGAAAGTGGCGTCGACGCCGCGACATGCGCTGTTCTCCCCGCGGGACTCGCTTCTGGAGAGCGTGGAGGAGGAGATGAAGGCGTGGGCGACGCGGACGAGCGTTACAAACGTGGAAACGGATCTGAAGGAGGAGGTGAAGGTGTTCGCGGATAACGAGGGCGAGGTGTCGGTGTTCGTGGCGAAGTCTCCGCTGTTTGACGTGTACACGTTCGGCGCGGTGTGCTTGTATCTGACGGGAATGTATGGAGTGGTGATGGCGATGCACGGAGTGGGAAGAGAAGGAAGGAGGTGATGGGTAGGGAGCGGAGGATGTGAAGAGAATGGTGAGGAAGGTGATGGAGAGACTGGGACTGAAGGGAAGGGCGAAGGAGGAGTAAAGGAATGAAGGAATGAAGGAATGAAGGAATGAGTTTGTTTGCAATAGTTAACTGGAATTGTTTGTTAGCTACTTTCTATCTATCATTTTGACAACTTCGTTCTAAATTCATTGTTTTCTTCATGGAGTCGCGATCGATCATTGAAAACCCGACGGAGTTCATATCCTAAAACAAAAAACCCAACGTAGTACCTTCATTAACACTCACCCCAAACCGAAGAAGAGGAAAAGAACCAGAAATTATGGAAGCTTATGTCTACCTACCTCGATACAGGTACTTGCTTCGAGTTCCACTTCATGATTAGACAAGCACTCCATTCAGCGAATTATCGTGAATCATGTGGAGTACACCCTCTCCTGCAATCGGTGTAACATGAATATGCACAAAGCGATGTTGGCTACCTCGTATAGTCTTCGTGACCGATTAATAGAGGATATGAATGACACCCAAACGTTCATGCTTGAGACGAAAACGAAATGCGTAAACTATCTATCCATCGAGTACCTTCTTGGAAGATGGCTGCATCACGTGCTGATAAATATCGGTCTTGAAGGGGAATACAAGGAAGCATTACAGGAAATGGGATACCAGCTCGAAGACTTGTATGACGATGATCGAGACGCTGCTCTTGGAAATGGAGGATTGGGGCGGTTAGCTGCGTGCTATATGGATAGTCTAGCAACGATGAATGTTTATGGTACAACTTCTTCACTTTTTAATCATCATAGCCTTCGGATATGGTATTCGATATAACTATGGTATGTTCGAGCAGAGAATAGCTGATGGGTGGCAAGTTGAATATCCGGATTATTGGCTATCCTATGGAAATCCGTGGGAGATAGAGCGGACCGACATTCGATACGTGATTCACTTTGGAGGCCGCTGCGTGAGAGTGGAAACGAATGGGATCAGGAAGTATATCCAGCAGGAAGGAGAAACGATCTTGGCAGTTGCCTACGACACTCCGGTTCCAGGCTACAACACTCACAACTGCAACGTGCTTCGATTATGGAGAGCGATTCCCACCGATGTATAGCTCATCTCGCATGTGCACTCTAGGAAATCAATCTGGAGGTATTCAACCAGGGCGATTACACGACCGCATTGGAAAGCTCGCGACGAGCCGAAACCATCACGAGCGTGCTTTATCCTGACGACAGCCAGCTGAAGGGGAAGGAGCTCCGCTTGCGCCAAGAATATTTCTTTGTTTCCGCGACCATCCAGGATATTCTGATTCGATTCCTTCGATTGGAACTGCCGTGGAAGGAACTGCCTCAGAAAATGGCGATTCAGCTCAACGACACGCATCCCGCGCTGGCGATTCCGGAATTAGTGCGATTGCTAACCACAGAATACGAACTGGCGTATGACGAGGCCTGGAAACTCACCACGGAATGCTTTGCGTACACCAATCACACGGTGATGAGCGAAGCTCTCGAGACGTGGAGTTATGAAATCATGGAGCGATTGCTGCCTACGTAATGGCACGCAGAATCGATAAGGAATAGGATTACGCAGATCATTTGCGATATTAATTGGAACTTCATGCAGTCCATTCAAAATCGATTCCAAAACGATGCGGACTTGCTCGAAATCATGGCGAACACGTCCATCTTTTCAAACGATGTCGATAAGCGAGTTCGCATGGCCAATTTGTGTATTGTGGGATCCCACAAAGTGAACGGCGTGTCCGAACTCCACACTTCCATTCTTCGCGATTCGATCTTTCGGTATTTTGATCGAATCCAGCCCGATCAGATCATCAACATCACAAACGGAATCACGCCTCGTCGATGGCTGCTTCAGTGCAATCCAGGTACTTTTTACACCCGTTCCTTATTCCAGAAATCGCCAAGATTATCACCGAACTGGTCGGATCCACGACGTGGACAACGAATCTCTCGGCTCTCTCGGTGCTGGAAGACTATGCTGAAGACGAATCCATTCAGAGTCGATGGCAGGAAGCGCATTCGAAGAGCAAGCATCGCTTAGCGGAGTTTATCGAACGGACGCAGGGAGTTTCGATTCCAGAACATTTTCTGTTTGATGTGATGGTGAAACGGATCCACGAGTACAAACGGCAGCTCTTAGACATTTTGTATGTGATCTATCGCTATCAGTGGATCAAGGGTCTCTCGGAATCCGAGCGAAAAGCAGTGGTTCCGCGTGTTGTGTTTTTTGGAGGCAAGGTTTCTCCCTTTGTTTTTGGATTACAAGCAGGCCGCTCCTTCCTACCACCGTGCCAAGAACGTCATCAAACTAATCAATAATGTGAGTGAAATCGTGAATAAGGACCCCGAAGTCTCCGACTATTTGCGAGTGGTTTTCATCCCGAACTACGGAGTTAGCATCGCAGAGCTAATCATCCCTGCAGCCGACATAACGCAGCATATCAGCACGGCGGGCACGGAGGCCAGCGGCACGAGGTAGTGCTGATGGGAGAGGATGAGAGACAGCAATATGAAGAGCGCGCTGAATGGAGGCTTGCTCGTCGGAACGTACGATGGAGCCACGATCGAAATAATCAATGCAATCGGGGAGGAAAATGTGTTTGTTTTTGGCCATCGAGAAGAGGAAATCGAGCAGATGCGAACGCAACTCAAATCGATGGGTGTAGGAAAGGAGATGACGTTTGATGTAGAACGAACAACGGTCACGACCTGTGTCGAATGAACTGGCCATGGTATTGGGGCAGTTGATGATGAACAGCTTTGGTTCTTCGACTTTGATGCGAGAAATTCTGGAATCTATCTGTTTTGGGAATGACTGGTATGGTGTGACTTTTGACTTCGACGAGTACGTGAAGGTGCAGGAAAAGGTTGACAAGACCTGGAAAGACAGAAAGGAATGGATTAAGAAGTCAATTTTGTCTACATCAAGAATGGGCGTTTTTTCATCTGATGCTTCGTTTATCTATTTTATTCTTCTTACATAGAATCCTAAACTACTGCTCGAAAGTCTGGCGTGTGGAACCCTCACAGAGACCTGACTATTACAAGCAAGAAAGTTCACGAAAGCGAAGCCGATCATTTCCGCATCCTTCCCTAAAGAGTACTAGCGACGAGTATGTTGGATTGAATATCTTTCTTGTTTGTTTCTACCAACAAACGATTGGAATGCTCATTGTTTCGGACGCGCACAGTTATTATACAGACAATTATAGATTCCATTTCTATCAGTAATTCTCCAATCCGAATCAGGATGGCTTTTTTGGTAGTCCAATATTTCATTCAGAATCTCGTTTCGACAACTCGTATTCCCTTTACGGAAACGCTCTCCATATTTCTTATAAAAACTCTTTTCTTGTTTACTAGGAGTACGTCTTTTGCTTCGATTTTTCGTCTTAATATGTTCTATACAGCGTTTCGGTTTATTCGTAACAGCGGCTCCTTGTTCGGCTAGTACTTGTTGAAACCGTTTTTCGTTTCCATTTATAAATACTCGAACTTCTTTTATTTCATAATCTGCGTGGATAGTTACAATTCCGGTCTCTTTATCAAAATGATAGTGGTCGGGCTGTTGATCTGGTTCTATGAATATAATCGGCGGATAGTCAATGGAATCCCAAATATAGTCTCCGCAGCCATAATTATCGACTTGAAATACATTACCAATTGTATCTTTCACATCATTCAAACTTTCGACATTCGTATATCCTGTGTTTCAACTATTTATGTAAAAATACCCTCGACACTTCCTCTTTCTGGAGAAGGTTCATTTGTTACATTTGGGTCGGGCGCGTCCTTACTATCATTGTTGCCTGTTAAATTGCATGTACTCATTTAAGAAAATAATGAAAAATAACAGAGATCAAACAATGAAACTGCCGGTCCGTTTATTTTTGCAATTCTGTTTCTGTGGATCAGTCTCTTCAAGATTCCTATTTTTCTTATCATTCTTATTGTTACGAGTACTTAGTACAAACAAAGAATACACACTAAAATACGGAATCGACACACCATAACTTCAGGTTAGTGCTTTTTCGATTTTTTCTTACTCTCTCTAACACAATTGTTGTAAATAAACTGATAGATATTCTTCTTGTCTGTATAGAAAGGAGTAGAGGGAAGTTGCCACTCTTTGTCTTTCTTGTGAAGAAGATTTAATATCTCTCGATTCTCACCACTATAGAGTTTACTTATAATGTCTGCTACTTCAATAGCCTTTCTCGGTTGCAATAGTGAGTAAGTCTTGAGCAGAAACATTCTTTCTTGTTTGGACGCTCGCTTCCGATGTCTAATTATATTTTGTACTCGAGAAGAACTACTCTGGACATCAATAGTAAACAAATATTCAATTCCTTGCTGTATTTGGATGCACAACTGTCCTTGTAATCTAGCGACTTTCAATAAACCTTTTTCTTTACCAATTTCTTGAAGTCAAACAATCCCTCATAGCCGTACCTTTTGGATCTGGATTATCTAGGTCACTTTCCAACGTGGGACTACATTCAGATTGAATACATTCCTGATCAGGAATAGGAAAATAAGGTATCAATAACGAAGAGGTCAATCCAGTATCATTAGGGAGATCAGAGTCTGATTCATTATAATGCATAACAAAAAAGAAATCAAATGGTGTAAAAAAAGTGTACTAATAATAAACATAGGAACCATAGGTCTGTTTATTTGCATTCATAATCGCTCTCTTTAAAAGGATCATCCATGCTACCTTCTGCTCCAACGTGTTGCAAGCAAAAACATAGGGGCGCGATGGCGTGTTCAAGATAAAATGATAACGGTGCGAACTTCCCGAAGCTTCTGGAACGCTACCTGCAATCAGCTTGGAAGCCTCCGTCACAGCGTTTCCAGCATTGATCGCATCTACTCCCTCCCTCTCTACAGCCTTCTCAGAAGTGTCGTTCTCAATCGAGCAGCCTTCCAGTAATATTCTATTCATGATGACTCGCAAAAACAACAAACCCCGTTAGAATCTTTGTGGACTCAGCATCAGCGAAGTAGTACAAAATGTTTTCGTGAGTTAGCACAAAGTAATAGTGATGCCAACGACTTCTCACGTTTGTCATCTTCCACATCCGAGCGCGAGCATAGGAATTTGGCATTTCACACGCTTTGTACTCAACGCCCTGCCCATACTGTTCCTTGATTCGAGATGATACTACATGACATGTCGGCTTGTCGAGAGAATAGCCTTCCTCCTCAGCAACATGCTGAAGCCATTGCAAAGTGTTGATTTCGTTTGCCCCTCCGTTTTGGATTGGTAGTAAACTACGGTCCATACATTGCGGTATGTACATATCGGTGTTAATGCACACCTGACGAGCCCATCGCTCCGGAAGGAAACTTCGTAGAATTGTGAACAACCCCTTGAAAAAAAAAGGAGCATTTTGAAGATACAATGTGTACATTCCATCGTTCACGGGAGGAATGTAATTTGGATCATCACTTACATAGATATCCGATAAGCTTAAAAACGAAGGATAGTGGCAGAACAATGTCTCCATGATCGTTTTCGGATAGTTGGGGAATGCATTCTTGACAAAATGAAGATTGAATCCCGCACCGTTCAGCATCAGTTTTCCATAGTTCTTAATCGGAATATCCATATTTTTTTCCTGTCGGAGATCTTCCAAATCCTTGAGCACGTGGTCCATAGCAAAGATCACGTTCTCAATGACACGCTCCAGAGGAGGAAATGGGATTGTAGAGGGAATATCGAAATTTGCAAAAACAGTCAGCATTCCATTCCCGTTCGAGTCGGTAACAATAAAGTTGATGTACTTACAAATATCGAGTACATCTGAAGCGATGATTGTATCTGCGTTCCATGCTTTCCGCCACGCAGCGGTTCTCTTAATAGCAGCAACTGTCTGTGTCACATCAAGTTCGTTTTCGATCAAATACCGCTTTATCTGGACCGTACGATTTCCGAAGCGGAAAAACTTCAGATCCTGGGGTATAAGCGCGTCCACCTTCTGTGCAAGCTCTTCTAGCTCCTTTGGGGATATTACTTTGACTGTCATGGGGCTACTTAGGATAATAATGGAATCATTCGTACAGAACTGGTGCGTCACATTATCGATTTGATTTTCCCCAGTCTCTCTCTCTTCTTACACTTTCATAGCTAGCTACCTAAGTTCCACTAATTATTTTTCAAATGATGTGCATCATCTATATTGGTTTCTTTGTGTTTCATAGAGATTCAGTGATATCGATATGTCTGCAAGGAATATTATTGTTGGAGAGATTCGTACTGTATTATCGCGACTTCGGATGAATAGTCGCTATAGTACAAGCTTCTCTGTATCTTTTTTTAAAATCGTGATCACACTAGTATTATGAGGAAGGAAACCAGGAAGATTCATTGATAGAGTCACTGGCAAACTTGTTAAACCAGGTTGCAGATAATGGGATTGGTAGCTGCTTTATCTTGTTCTTTGATAGGTAGACAAAGATTCGATTGATGCATTACTTCTCTTACAGCCATTGATTCTAGTATTGAAGAGTCCGAACGTTACTGGTCCAATTGTTGAAAGCATTTTGACGGCTCTGGACACGTTCTTTCAATCTGGAATCATTACGGAGCGGTCTCTGAATGTGAAAGAGGCGCTGAGTATATTGCTTGAAGCAGTTTCAAAATGCCGTTTTGAAGCAACCGATCGTAGTCAGGATGAGGTTGTTCTGGTCCATATGCTGGAATTGCTGCGTTTAATGATTTCTCTTCCTATCGGCAACATCTTAAGCCATTGCGATATCTGGAACATATTTGATACTGTCTTTATCAACAGTCAAGAGGTGGAGGCGAAGTTTGTCACTCATCTCTAGGTCGGCTATTCTCGTCTTCTCCGGAAGGTGGCGGAGCACGTTCTTCGCGATATTACGATCATCATATTCCGTCGGTTTTCCTCCTCCTCCTCTCTGAGTATCCTTCGCGAGCAGCACTTCCAAAATCACAAACGCGCGGGAATGCAGTGCAAAATGTCACGAGCCAACTCCATTTATTCTCCAAACCACACTCCTAGACCTGCACCAGAGAACTGTACGCCAAGCCCTATGAGCTTGAGCCAGCCTCTTCCTATCGTTGCAGATACCCCTGCTTCGGATGCAGATGTGGACGTGGACGTGGACGTGGATGTGGATGCAGATGCAAATACAAATGCAGAGCAAGCGCCCGATCATCGAGACCAACTTCCCGGTGCAAGCAGCACAATTGAGGGCAAGCCGCAGGTGCGATTGGTTCTGGATCCATTGGACCAGACCCAATCGCAGAAGGAATTATCTGACTCCTCTCGCTCTCGCTCTCTCTCTCCACTCCGCCACTCCTCCGAAAAGACACAGACGAAGGAAGTCTCCGAAAACCCGGCTCCTTCTGGCTCGCAGCCGCACTCGGAGGAGATTCCTTCTGTTTCATTGCGACAGATCCGGATTTCTCCTCTCTCCGAATCGATTTGCTCCACCGGCGAGAACCTTTCGCCTGTCTCTCACTCAGAGAACGCGATCCCCAACTGGGACGCTGCTGCTCTCCGCATTATCACCTTCCTTTCTTCGCGAATTAACCCCAACGTCGCTCGCACAAAAATCTCTGAACTGTAGGCGCGCGGTGTGGGAGTTTCCGAAGACGAATCGAACAACACGCTGTTTCTGTGCCTCAATCTCATGCGGATGGCGCTGGAGTCCTGCGGAGGCGTGATCGCTTCTTCGCCGCCCTTCTTTTTGATCATATCCGACGAGTTCTTCAAGCATCTTCTGATGCTGACTCTCCGTCCCGGTGTGCCGGCAAACATCCTTTCGGAGATCATTCGAATCTTCTCGTTCTTCGCAGCCACCATGCGAGTCGAGCTCAAGCTCCAGCTGGAGGTGTTCTTCGAACGCGTCGTGTTCTGGGTTCTCGAGGGAAACGCGAAGAACCCCTATCTTCTGCAGTTCATTCTGGATATGCTGGTGGATCTGAGCAATGACCAGTCCTTCTTGGTTGATCTCTATGTCAATTACGACTGCGACGCGCAGCGCAGCGATCTGATGGAGACGCTCTATAAACTCGTTGCCTGCCCTGGCTGTCGATGATTCGTAGCTCTCGAAGCTGATTCTCGACGATTCTTCGCCCGATTCGCCGTCTTCGAACGAAGCGTTGCACATCATGTACAACGGACTTCACTGCATTCATCGACGCATCGACACCAAGCTCGAAGAGCAGCAAGCGGCGATCGAGAGCGGGAAATCTCCCTTCCTCGACGACGCCGAATCGATGGACTGCCCCTACCACATCAGTCCGCAGATGCTCTGGGTGGACAAAGTCAAAAAGCGAACGCTGCAGGAAGGCGCGCTCGTGTTTAACGAGTCCGCGAAAGAAGGAATCAAGTATCTTCAGGAGGCGCAGCTCATCTCCGACCCCGCGACTCCCGCGGATATCGCTCGCTTCTTGCGGTTTACTCCGGGGCTGAGCAAGTCGCAGATCGGAGAATACCTCGGGAAGAACCAGGAGGAGAACAAGGAAACGCTCTACGAATATGTGCACACGTTCGATTTCACAAACACCACGCTGCTTACTGCGCTTCGAATGTTCCTAGATACTTTTTTGCTGCCTGGAGAGGCGCAGCAGATCGATCGAATCATGGAGGTCGCGTTCTCTCCTTCTCTTTGAGTTGTAGTCCTTCGCACGACACGCCTACGAGCAGTCTGTAGACCACGACATTCTGATCAACCCGGACGTGACGTACTGCGTCTGCTTCTCGATTATCATGCTGAACACCGATCTGCACAACCCGAACATGAAGCCGGAGCGTCGCATGCAGCTGAAAGACTTCATCAAACTGAACAAAAACTACGGAGAAATGAATCATGGCCAGGACTTGACCGACGAGTTCCTGATCGACATCTACAAATCCATCGCGAGCGAGCAGATCTTCACGAGCTCCATCGTATCCGAGCGCTTCCCTCCTCACCCACAGGCGACAAACGACCAGCTTCGAAACGAGCAGTGGGTGAACGTCATTCGGCAGTCGCACATCCCCGAGAAGCAGCAGTTCATCGCGCATTCGTCCGAGTTCTTCGAGCACTGCGCGCACTGCAGCGCCGGAATGTACGACCGAGACATCTTTTCCATCGTGTGGTCTTCTTCGCTCGCCGCCGCCGGCGCGCTTCTCGAAGTCACCGAAGACCATCGCTTGATGGAGTTTTCGCTGGACGTGTTCGTGACGCTGGCTCGCATCTCCGCGTTCTTCAATCTCTCCGTATCCTCTTTCCCCCTCTTTCAGTGCAGAACGCTCTCGACTCGCTCGTGTACTTCCTCACCAAGTTCTCCAGCATCACGACGGAGTACGTCAATCCGCAGGGCGCCAACGATCCCATCGAGTTCCTCGTGCGCCTCGGCGAAAACCCTTCTTCGCAAGCCTCGCTCGTGACGCTGTGCGGCATCGCGCGCAAACTCGGCGGGTCGCTGGGGCAGAGCTGGGAGAAAATGATCGAAGTGTTGTGCCATCTGTACTTCCTGGGTCTGTTCCCGATCGCTCAGTACAACAATCATCAATACAAACTGCTCTCTGAGAACGAGCTGGCCAATTTCGTGGTGATGGTGAACGGATTGATGGAGGAGAAGTTCTCGAATCGCAAGGGACTGATCTCGCGACTGCTCACGTGGAGTCGAGAGAGCGAGCAGGACGAGCAGCAGATCCAGAAAATGCCGATCGATCCGCTGTTATGGATCGATTTCCAGGAGATGCTGGATCACATGGACGAGAAGAACGAGGGCGAAATCGCGGAAATGAATCGCAGAATGGCTGCGAATCATCCGATGAGAGGAAATGAATCGAACTCGAACTCGAACTCGAATTCGAATTCGGCATCGAAAAAGAACGAAACAGAAAGTGAAACAGAAAGTGAAACAGAAAGTGAAACAGAAAGTGAAACAGAAAGTGAAACCGATGAGAGTGAAGGAAGCAAAACAAACAAAAAATGGACAGGAAAGGAAGCATTCGATGAGTCTTCCGAGTATTCTGATTCTTCGGACTTCGACGAATCGTCGTTCGATCCGATTCAATTCGAATTGACTCCGCACGAGATCCAAAGCATCGAAACGGTGTTGGAATGCATCGAGAAATGCCAGCTGAACGCTCTGCTCTCTTCTTCGGTCGAATGGTCCAACAACACGCTCCTCATCATCATCAAATCCGCCATCAAACTCGCTCAGTCGCCCTACCGTTCTCTTTTCCTCTTCACTTCGTTGATTCATAGAGCTGAAGCAATGCAAACTCGAAGGAGAGCATCTCATTTCCGCCACTGCCTGCATGCACACGCGCGTGTTCGTGATCGAGCTCCTCTCCGCTCTGCTCAAAGCCAACATCAAACGCATCGACATCCTCAAGGACGACATCTTCGCCTTCTTCTCCAGCACCATTCAGTCCTGCACTCTCCTCAATCTCGAGCTCAAAACCATCATCGAGTGCGTCTTCGATCTCATCTACACCTGCATCAACTACAACGTCATCCCGCCCATCCACAAACTCCTCTCTCTCCTCGATTCCGTCGTGCATCTCCCGCCCGAAATCGCCCAGCCGCTCGCTCCGCTCCTCGTGAGCGGCATTGCCGTCCTGATCGAGCAATACCGACTCGCGATCCCCATTATCGGCTGTTGGGAGACGCTCATCTCGCTGTTGGTGCCTTGCTTGCAAGAACCCTACGCGATCAATCGCTGCTATCGCTGCGTTCTCCTCATGTTCTCCAACGAAACAGCCAAAACGCTGCCCCCCAGCACGCTCTCGCTCATCGACGCCATTCTCCAATCGCCCTTCGTGGCGCCCTCGATCTTCTCCGAGCTCATGGAGGATCTTCTGCTTCTCAATCAGAACTGCTGGAAGATTTTAACGCGCCTCTCGCAGGACGACGCGGGTGGAGCCACCTTCCAGAACTCGCTGCAGACCATTTGGAAGCCGCTGCTCGATGTGGTGTGTAGAGAATGCCGCAAAGCGAGCGGAGAATCGGCGGAAATCGCGCTGACCGCGTTCTGGGTTGGGCATAACGAGATGTGTAACGAATAGACGCTTCTGAGCGACCAGTCGCTGCAGCTGCTGTCGTCTGCGCAGTTCGGCGAGCTGGTGTTGAATAGCATTCTTCCAACGTTGAAGGATGTGCTTCTCCGAGCGATCGGGATTGCGCCGTATTGAGATTGTTTGATTGATTGAATTGGCAGAACGGGGGGATCCGAGAAGCCGCGTGTGGTGCGAGTCACTCAAAATCCGCTTATATCGCATATTATCACGATTCTGCAGGAAATAGTGAAGCTACGATTCGAATCGCTTCTTGTGCTGGATGATTTTGTGATGATCTGGTCGAAGGTTGAAATAAAGGGGTATTGTGATGTAGACGCTGGAGATCTTGCAGTTTATACAGAGAATTAGCTATCCGGGACAAAAGTTGCAGGCGGATAATGAACATGCGGTGAAGGAAATCTTGCAACACGCGAATCATTTCCGCTTATTTGATGTATGCCTTTGGGAGAGAATTGAACAGCAGACGGACGAGGGAGCATTCACTTCCGAGCTATGGAGCCTAACGGTGGGGTTACTGAAGGGTTTTGATGAAAATGTGTTGAGACAGTATGTGAGTGAAGAGGAAAAGAAGGAAACTCAGTGATTTGTGTGTTGTTTGTTTGTTTGTTTGATAAGGACGATGACCTCCGTTTATCGGAATTCCAGAAATCGAGCGGTAATCTGTGATAGAATCAGTCTTGTTTAATAGTAATAAGTGTTTTGCTAAAAGAAATCTTCGATGAGCCCGAAAAAGAAATCGAATAAAAAGTCAAAATCAGCGGAAACTGGTAAACTTTCCAATGGTGCTTCTCTCTCGGATAGTAGCTTATTTTTCAGTTTCTCTTAGATAGATGAGTATTCTAATATAATCAAGGCCGCGGTAGATGCAGGATTTTCGAACAAGGAAGCGTCAATGGCGTATGACAAATTTCGAAATGAGGGGAGAATTACTGAGGACATCGAATTTACTACGAACAAACTCATTTGCTATTTAAAGGTAGATCATGAGTCACACTTCGATCGTAGAACGAAAGGGACGCAAAACAGGTCGAAACTCCGAAGATTGCTATCGATGAAAGCATTCCCTCGCAAAAAGAATTGGCTCGCATTCTTGATCTCCCCAATCTCTCTTCTCTGATCAGTGAATTAACATTGTGGTACAACAAAGCATCTCCCAGCGATGTTTGCTCACATCTTCCCCATTACATGCAGCGATCTCTTCTCTCCGCCCCCGTTCTCCACTCGCTTTACTTCCGCATTCTCAGCCAAAAAGCTTGGAATCTCAACTCCTCCACGCTCGCCTCCTTCTTCCGCGCCATCTACATCATCCCTCTGGTTTCTCCAGTTTCCCCATTTTACCATAGCAACTCGCCACCCTTCTATCGAATTCGATGGAGAAACTCTTCCACGCGGACGATTCGCTCGCGCTCTCCCGCAGCGAACGTCTTTCCCTCTTCGAAGAACTTCTATCGAACGTTTGCGGAGTTCCAAACGAATTCTCCGCGCTCCGAATCGCCAATTCCCTTTCTCTTTTGGGTTTCCACGTTTCCACCATTTGACAGCTAGACGAAGCGAAGCAGGATGCGGCAAAAACCGCGGGAACGGACCCCAAAAGCCAGTTTATTCGACGCGATTCGCTGTACAAAGCGGTTCTTTTAGAATTCGATTTGGTTTCGCGTCTTTCCGAATCGCAAACCGAATCCCAGCCCCTCGAATTCGTTTTCCACCCCATCGACTTCGCGGCTTCGATTCGAGTTCCATCGGATTCCGCGGTTATCGAGGCGCGCCAGCGGGAATTGGCGGAGCAATTGGACAAAGCGCAGCGCGAGCAGTCGAATTCGATCGCTTCGCTACGCGCGGAATGTGCGGCATGCGAAGAAAAAATCGCGGAACTCACCGCACGCCGCGACTCGCTGCGCCGCGAACTGGAGCGCACGGAATCGGAGCTCACCGCGGTTCTTTCGCGGTTCGAATCGGCGCAATCGTCGGTTTCCTCGCTGGAACAAACGTCCCAGCGCGCCATCGAGTCGCTCCAAAGCGACCTCCACGTTGCCCTTCTCTTCCTCCCTCACAGCCCAGGCCGTTTCTCTCCGCGCCGGGCGTTTCACCGCCTGTCGGTCGGTTTTGGCGGCGCTGGACGCGACGCAGACGCGCGCAGCGGCGATCGTCGAGGCGGCAGCGACGCAGGCGAAGCAGGCGACCCAGGCGACGGTCGATCGACGCGCTGAGTGGCTGCGCAGCGTGTGGCAGTACGTCGAGAGCGAGAAGGCGTGCGTTTCCTTCCTGCAGTCGCGGTTAAATCGCAATGTGGACGAAGTCGACGCGTTGGCCGCCGAATTGCAGAGAGAAACGCCCACAGAAGCGAAGCTGGCGCGCGTGGTGCAGCTGCGACGCGCGATTGCGTCCGATCGGGAGGCGTTGAAGACGTTGCGGACGTTTGCCGCGGGGATTGAGCGGAGACTGGCGGAGATGTTGGATGGAGCCACGGCAGAGGCGCAGAAGGAGACTTTGGTTCCGATTTATGTGGCGTTCTTCGAAATGGGAGTGCAGAAGACGATTTCGATAGAGGTTTACAATGTTTTGGTGGATGCAGTGAATGCAGCGCTGCCGAAGCCTGAACCAAAGAAGAAGGAAGAAACAGAGAAGGTGGACGATGAGCAAGAAGAAAAAGAAGAAGAAGAAACAGAACCGGAAGCAGGAGCAGAAACAGAAACAGAAAAGGGAGCAACAAAGGAAAAGGAAAGGGAACAAGGCAAAACAAATGCAAAAGGAAGGAGAAGAGGAAAAGGGAAGAGAGGAAACAACAAAGAAAAGAAACAAACCGAAACAGGAAGGAAATGGGGAGTTGTCAAGCAACAGGAAGTGAAGAGTGTTGATGCGATTCAAAAAGAAATTCAGGCTTCAAGGCAGTAACAGATGAGGTTTGTTGTACAAACAAAACATTATTCATTTTTGGAGGGAACAATCCAATGTGTCTCCATAGCCATTTCATATCAATCCGAACCCTCCAGAAGACCTCCAAACACAAAAATGCAGATTATCAGCAGCAAAATAGGAATCAATTCCCGCGGGAAACAGAACCAAAATACACTCCTTGTTTGGCTTGATTGACAGCTTCGACGTGGATTGTCTCACAGAATATCAGCTCGAAATGCAGATGTCAAATGTTACTCAGGGATGGCTCCTGAAAAAGGTAGACATCACGAAGCCATGGTCGCACATTGCAAAAGCAAATAAGATTGTAGGAAAAAGCGTTATTTCGTTCTGAAGTGTGGTCAACTGGAGTATTACCGCAATCTTCGCGATAATGTAGCCTCCTATCGACTTTCCCAATGTAGAAACCGAAACAGGTGATAAAGCTCTCTGCTTTCCACCAAGTGGTTGACTATGATGATGACACCGATTGTCACCAGTTCTCTTTGTTCGATCAGAAGAAGCGAATTCTCTGGTTGGCTGCTGAAAACAATAAAGTATCAACATAGTAAGAGGAGTGAATATACAGGCCAAGTACTGGATTTCGGCTTTGCGATATGAGATAAGTTGCTTACAAGAAGACAATCCTGATCAGTTAATCGAGTCAGGAAGTATTCGCGTTGATTGAATCTTTTTTCAGACTATGCCACCTCCTCTTCCACCTCAACATCCACTTCCATCGCTAGTAGTATACACGATGCAGATGACTACACGTTGAGTAGCAGCATCCAATCATCGGCAATCCCAATCAGTATGCAAGAAGTACAGCACTTTCCCGTTTTCTCGTGTAGATGTCGTACATTCTGCACACTCCCACATTGCCGAGCACGCTCGATCAGTGCTCAAATGGTTGTCTTTACTTTACAGTCAACGAAGTGAAAGCAAAGCATGGTTCTAACTGGTTAGAAGCAGACAACGTTTCATTCCTATCGCATGATGACTTTCTCGATCACTCTCGGAATGGAATACGTTGCACTGTTCCTACTCGACTTCACTGTGGCTCGACCTCTTTGGGATCCCCTCTTTATGAATGCCAAAGAAATCGAGAAGAAAGATCAGAACAACCGCGTCCTTCACCTAGTTTATAAGCCTGTCGACTTATTGAATTTCCCATGGTTTTTTCAGTGCTCAGGGTTAAATCCTAGCAAATTTCGTAGTCGTATGCGCGAATATTGTGTTCATCTGCATTACAACTATGATTCCGAACTCAACACTTACTACATCATGCTTTCCTCTATAAAGCACCCATCTTGTGGAATGCAGCCATGGATGGTGCGTGGAGAAATGCGTACAGAATCGCTATTCACAGTGAGAAATAGAGCTGGGCTTTCGAATTGAAGCTGTCGACATGGACACGACTCGAATCAGCGTTCTCTGGTCGATTTCCCCCTGTGGAAACGTTGCCTTAACCTCCTATTTCACAGAAATCTACGTGGCACAAATGATTGCCGCCTTTCCTGGACTGCGCGATATGGTCAATCAGATTCCTCGCTATCATATTCACAATCTGATCGATCAGATCCGGCAAACGCAAAACAATGGAGTGGAAAAACCATCCAGCAGTCCCAAAGAAAATGAAGTGAATGAGGCACAAGAACCAGCGACAACCCCTCCCTCCATCCACTACCCTTTCATTTCAAATACTGTTCAACATCTGTCTCAATCTTCCGATAAAGTACGTTCCTCAAACCAATATGGCTTTATCTCGTAGATTCGATGTTGGGGCGAAGTGGACGCCTCTGTTTGGAAGGTTCGCAGTACAACCTATATGACATCGCACGAGAAAGTGCAGTCCGCTTCGTGTCTGTGTCCAATGCTTTGTATGGATTTGTTCCGGTCCAATCAGCGAATCGATCACATCGCTCTGTATCCTGAGAGTGCGTTAAATCGAATGAAAGAAGTCGATTTCTCAGCGATCGAGTGTGTAATGGTAGTGAATCTGCAGATCAACGGATTTATCAGCGTGGTGAGCTATTTCGGAGTACCCAAGAGCCAAGAAGAGGGCGCCAGCAAACTGCTTCATCGCTTCTTAGACGAATCCGATCAGTGGCGAAATGAGCGATTCAAATTACTGCCTCACATCGTGGAAGGAAGTTATCTGATCAAAAAGATGGTGGGAATGACTCCCTGTTTGATAGGAAAGAAGGGAGAAAGCCGCTATTATCGTGTAGGGATCGCTCGATCGTGGTGATCTAGGGAACATCTCCAGTGCCATACTTTGAGTGTGATTACAATATGGACAGCAGCAGCGTGGCTCGCAATCTGTGCAAGTTTCTCTTCTCTAGCGATGATATGGTGATTGAACTAGGCTTCGTGCTCCAAGGCGAATCCTCCGACGAACTTCCAGAGCGCGTTCTCGCAGGCTTTCGCTGCTATCGACTCTCTCTCAGCGAAGCCAAGCCTCTTTCCGCGCCTTCCAAGCAGCCAACCTCCCCCTCCTCGTATTCTGTTTTCCACAAACACACCATCCTTATAATGAACACAACACATCAACAAAATCCAAAGAGCCTTTTAATACTTCTTCTGCGTCATGGCCTCCACGTTCCACTCTCTGCAAACACACTTGCCGTCCTCGTACAAGCACTGGAAGGTTCCCGAGATCCTCTCCGCGATGAAATCAGCGGAGCATCCGCTCACGTCCGTCCAGAACTCCACGGTCTCCGCAGCCGTCGACGCGGCAATCTCCAATCCCGAAGCACTGGTCACCAGTCCCTGGCTCCACGACACCACGTAGCGATGCGAGGGCTTCAGCGAGAACAGCGAGGCGCTCCACGCCACTTCGTAGGGGAACGACCCGCCGAACGAGGCCTTGCTGGCCGGCAGATTGTAGCTGTTCGTGTACTGGTCGTTGCTGTACTCGCTCACGAACAGGAAGCCATCGCCCGGCAGGACCGGCTGGTTGAAGTACAGCTTGATGGGCACGTCCATGGGGACTTCTTCGAGGTGCGGCGGGAACGAGTCCACCATGCGCGGCGGGAGCGACTCTACGGCTGAGCTAAGTCCACAATCCCTACTGTTTTCCGTCTGGAACACGCGGGTCATCCGGTTGGTTCGCATGTAGTCGCGCGCGCGGAGGAAGCCCTCGGGGAAGGAGAGCACGTAGGACGTGTCCGCGCGGAGAATGCCGACGCAGTCCTCGACGGGGATCAGCAGCACGGTGGAGGACGCGTCGGGGTGGAGGATCTGGAGACACTGGTCGTCGGCGGCGATGGAGAGCGCGTTCAGCGAGACCGAGCCTTCGTTGAGGAAGAGGTACGACGTGGGGAACTCGACGCGGATCGTGCCGTTGACAGGGAACGGCGCGGTGGCGTTGGGCCACACGATGTCGCCGTCGATGGGGACGTACTCGCGGATGGTGAAGCGGAGCAGGTAGTCCTCTTCGGGAGTGAACAGCACGCCGGTGTAGGCGTCCTCGATGAGCTTGTAGGTGGAGGCTTCGAGGCGATACTCGGTCAGCGAATCGAGCTGGCGCGTGTTGAAGAGAATCGACGAGCCGTTCACCGAGAAGTAGGGAGCGTAAATGTTGGTGGTGGTGTGCTGCTTCATGTTGTGGAGCATGAAGAAGCAGGACGTGCAGTTGTTCACGACCACGGGGTACTTGAAGGTCAATCGCATGGCCACCATCGGAGCCACGTTCACGGCGTCCAGCTCGGGATAGCGGCTGATCAGCTCCGGCTTGAACTCCTCGGGCTTCGAGGTCACCTCCAGCGTCTCCAACGCGCTGTTTCCGTTGGTGTCCTCCGCGACGCAGGTCACGCGGTAGGCCGAGTCGTAGGTGGTCAGCAGCTGCAGCGACACGTCGAAGCCCGTCAGCGTCTGCACGTTGAAGTAGGTTCCATAGATCTTCAGCTCCTCCTTGGAAGGAATGGTCTGCAGATCGGACACCTTGCAGTACAACGCGACCGGCTTGTTCACCAGGGCGCGCACATTCACGTCGTAGTTCGTGTTCGAGATGAGCGTCAGGCTCAGCGTGGGCAGGAAGACTTCCTTGGTCATCACGGTGAAGGTCTGTCGGTTCTCAAGACCCAGCTCGTCGTGCAGGGCGCAGGTCACCGTGTACTCGGAGTTCGGCCACAGTCCCGTCGCCACCACATCCATCGACTCCAGCTTGGGCAGCTCCACGCTCACCAGCTTCTGCGAGGCCAGCTTCTGCGAGATGAAGCTGCACGTGCCGGAGAGCGGGTAGAGAGCGTTGCCCAAACTCACGAGGATGAAGTAGTCGCCCGGCGTGACGGTCATACTGAAGGGAGGAAGGAGCGCCACGTCGATCGAGGCGACGCTCACCGTCTTGCGGTTGCCCACCATCATGTAGGAGTAGATGGAGAAGGAGAAGGTGTAGCCAGGCTCCACCACCACGTCCGTGTAGGTCTCGTCACACACGGTGTTGCCCAGCGGACAGAGCTTCACGATGCTGAACAGCGAGTCCACCAGACGGCGGCGCGTGCCCGTCAGCTTCTTGTAGATGTAGATCTCGTGCTTGCTGTACGCCACGCTGCCCATCGCGATGTCGCCCAGGTACAGACGCACCATCTGCGAGTTGATGTACTCCAGGGTCGGCGTGAGGTAGTTCGGACGCATCAGGTCGCGGATGCGGAAGGCGCGCAGCGACGAGAACGGCGTCAAGTCCACCGAGTCGGCGCTGTACAGCAGGCGCTGCTGCACCTCGAACAGCGCGTTCGTGGGGAACTCGCCCGTGAGCGAGAACTCCGCGCGCTCGCCGGCGATGCAGCCGCCCAGGCTGGAGCAGTCGAAGGTTCGGACAATCTCCGTGTCCATCGACCCGCACTGCTCCGTGCACTTCATCTTCACCTCGAGCTTCTGCGCCTCGCCGGGGCACGTCGGGAAGCGCGACGAGAACTCGATCGTTCGGTCGCTCGCGTTCTCTCGGATGTCCACCACGTCGGGAGGCTGCATCGTATCGCAGGTCTGGCGGTAGTAGATGTTGCTGAGCATGCACGAGTCCGTGCACTCCGTGAGGCTCGGGTCCGAGCAGTAGCTCACGAACAACGAGTACGCCACGTTCGGCTTCAGACCGCTAATCTGCACGACTCTTCCGTGGGTGAGAATCTTGATCTCCTCCGAAGAGTACGGCACGATGGTGACATCGAGATTCGTGTCCAGCGACACATCGAACACCAGCTTGATGATGCCTCCGTCGTACGTCGTGATCGTCACGTTCTGGCACACCTTCTCTTGGCAGTTGAACACGGGCTCCTCCCAGACACCCGACGCGTGGCACATTCGCGTCACGCTACCCGTCTGATAGTTGCTGCAGGGGAACGAGCGCAGCGTCGAGGAGTTCGTCAGCGGCCAGTGGTAGTTCTGGTACACTTCCTCGGGGCACTGCAGCTGCGTGCACTCGCCGCGCAGCGCCTGCCAGGTTCCGAACAGCGAGCAGGTGCGCGAGACAGAGCCAGCGAGATCGCCCGCGCACACCTGCGAGACCACCTCGCCTCCCACGGTCTGCGCGAAGTTGTAGAGATGGCCGTCGGTGTGGCGGAGCTCGTCCTCAGGGCAGCTGCACGATCCCGTGTAGTAGTCCTCCCACTGTCCGCTCTGCGTGCAGAAGCGGTAGTAGCCCTCGCCCACCGCGCCGCTGTCGCAAGGCAGGTGGCGCGTGGTGTTGCTGTCGGTCTCGGGGAACGACAGTCCGTTGAAGGTCTCGTACGCGCAGTGGACGCGCGTGCACTGCACGTCCAGATCGCTCCAGGCTCCCGAGCGCTGGCACATATAGCTGATCGTACCGTCGTACAAGGGGCCGCATCCGATGATCTCCGGATTCTCGTCGTACTTCTTCGAATTGAACACGTAGGTCTGTCCGTTCACTTCCACCGTCGTCATGTCGCACCAGCAGCCGGGACCGCTGATGACCGACGACCACTCGCCGTTGATCGAGCAGCTCCGCTCGTTGTAGCCCTCCGAGGACGACGAGCAGTTCACGCGCGCCGTGGTGCCCACCGGCGTGTCCGGCCAGCTGATGCTCTCGAACACTTCGCCCTTGCAGGACAGCTGATGGCAGTTGTTCTCCGGCGCCTCCCAGACGCCCAGCATCGTGCAGGTTCGCAGCATCACGCCCATGTAGCCTTCCATCGAGCAGTTCACCGTCGCCGTCTCGCCTCCCTGCGTCTCGGGATACACATAGCCGTCCACCTCCTCGCTCGCGCAGGTGCAGCCGCCCGTCACCGTCTCCCACTGGCCCATCGCGTTGCAGAATCGGCGCAGACCCTCGCCCGTCTGGTTGCACGGAATCACCGCGCTCTGCAGACTCGGCGTCTCCGGCCATTGCACGCCGTCCAGCTCCTCCGCGGGACACATGTAGCGCTCGCACGTGTTCTCGATCTCCACCCATTCGCCGAAGAAGCTGCAGCTTCGGCTCACCGTGCCCTTGTAGCCCTCATCGCATTGCTGCGAATAGGTCTCGTTGCCTCGCGTAACCGGCCATTCGTTGCCTTGCTCGTCCTCCTCGTAGGGGCACTCGCAGTATCCAATCACGTCGCTCCACACGCCGTTCACGCCGCACAGACGGCCATACGACATGCTGCTGTTTCCGTGGCACATGTACATCACCGTCGTTCCGCCCAGCGTCTCGTTGAAGTGCAGCACGCCCACAGTCTCCTCGGGGCAGTACACGTCTTCGTGGCAGCCTTGTGGCTCCTCCCACACGCCGAACAGTCCGCACACGCGCGAGATCGAGCCCTCGATGCCCTTCGCGCAGTCCATGATCACCGTGCTTCCCGCAGGCGTCTCGATGAATTGGTAGTGCGTGCCCGCGTAATTCGTCCAGTCCTCCTCCGGGCACGAGCAGCTTCCCTCGTGGATCGGGCCCCACGAGCCGCCAGGCATGCACACGCGCGTCGAGGGCGTGCCGATCGCGTCGGCCGCGCAGCTCACGTACGCCGTGATGCCCGCGGCAGTCTGCGGCCACAGCACGCCGTCCACTTCCTCCTCCGGACAGTCGCAGTTGCCCTGAATGCGCTCCCAGCTGCCGTAGATCGAGCAGGTGCGGTTCATGGAAGTGCCCACCGAGTTGGGGCTGCACGTCACCTGCTGCGTGGTCAGCGGCTCCGCTTCAAACCAGGTCTCGCCCTCCTCTTCGACTTCGGGGCATCGGCACGAGCCAGTCACCTCGGCCGACCAGCCTCCGTCCACTCCGCAGAATCGGTGATAGGACTCGCCGACGGCTCCATAGTCGCACACATGCTCAGCCTCTCGGCCGCCCTCCGTTTCTTCCCACTGGATGCTCCGGAACTCGCCAGCGACGCACCAGCAGCCGCCAGTCATCGCGTCATCCCACTCTCCGTTCATCAAGCAGAGTCGGTCGCGCGTCCGCACGTCGCTGTTCACGCACTTCACGTGCGCCGTCTCGCCTCCGCCCGTCGCAGGCCACGTGGTATCGAACTCCAGCGTCTCCGCGCAGGTGCAGTTGCCCTGAATGTAGTCGCTCCATCGACCATCGGCGCCGCAGGTACGCGTCAGCATGCCCTCGTCCGCATCGTCGAAGCAGGAAATCACGCGCGTCTCGCCGCAGCGCGTCGCAGGCCACACCATGTTGTTGCCTCCGGCCGCACGGCACATGCACTCGTCGCCAGGACCGTCCAGATTCACCTCTACGATCGACACCCCGCCAGGCAACGAACTTTCTCGAAGGAAATACGCGCAGTGCGTGCCCTCCAAACCTCCGCAGCTCAGAACGCGGTTCGGACCGGTCGAGTGGACGTCGCCGAGCCAAGCATCGCTGGCAGCCACGTCGCCGTCGATCTCACAGCTGCGGAAATTAATCGTACCGTTGTTGTAGCCAAACTGAGAGAATGTAAAGTCTTCCTTGCCGCTAGAGGTGAGATGGGAACGAGACAGGAAGTACGTTTCGACAAGCTTGAACTGCTGGTTGTAGGTGTTGCAGCCGACGATCAAATCCGAAAGATCGATCACAGATTCCGCAACATCCTCGTTTTCAAAATATACAGCGGAGAACTTCTTCTCGCTGTCGCCGACTACCATGGCCATCAAAGAAATCGGGTTCAAGCCGAGGTGTGGAGACACTCCCACAACTTCAGTATCGGAAAAGTCAGAGTCCTCGCTGAGGAAACCAACCGCAGCTTCAAGCATGGAAGCATAAGACGGCCCCTCTTCAGAATCTGCACTGTTCTTGTAAAACAGCGTCCAACCACCTCCATTAACAGACATGATACACAGAGTGAGATATGGCTCGCTAAAAATTAATAGAGAAAGCTACAAAATACACAGAGTCATAGTTATTGATATAGTAATAACCATCTGCCGCCATAGGGTCCTTAACTAGCACGTCTTGACAAGACGAGAACGCTGTTAGCGGACTATTCACTACGCAGGTGACAACGCTCTAAAACAGCCTACTTGTCTGATAACAATAGACATATGCAACTAGCACACTAAACAACACAAGAAATCGAGACATTTCTAGTTTATCTAGCTTTATCTATTTAGACTATCAACGTTTCAAAAGAGGGCCCAGTCTCTATAATTTTTCAGATCATATTAGGGGACATAAAAAACGGGACACTGAAGGAAGGCCGAATTTTTGGAGTTCCCAAGATTCCGCTCTTTTTCAATAAAACTCAAATGGCTTTTAAGTTGGAAAGCAAGCCAATCTATGGAGTTGCTCTGGTACGAATTCTCAAACATTCACTATCTTCTAGGTCTCAACAGATAGTGTAAATGGACAATTGTGCGTTTCCCCTCTTACAATTCACGAAATAGACTTGTGTTTCGATATCCAATTTTATTTTGCGGTCCGGAAGTAACCCCGCTCTTTCATACACAAGGAGACTATTCCGGATGGAAGCGATTTGCGCAACTATTTAATCCACTATCGATCGCTCAGAATATCGTCGTTTCGTTTGGAAACAACCTATCCATGATTCCTCGTTGTATAGAAAACAAAAAGGAAACACCCACGGGAGAGACCTCTGCGTTTGCGCTTGTTTTGCTTGTTAACAATACTGTCGTGAACGAATCGTTCTCAATGAAGTCCTTCGAGGATTGTACTACATACGTCTTTCCTTTTCGGCCCTCTAATTTGCAGCTCTCCCAGTGTCTACTCAGGGAAGAGGTCCGTTCTGGTTATCTGACCAAGGAGAAAAACATTCTGTGTAACGTGCTCAACGAGAACAAAGGAGTGAAGCATCGAAAGGAATGTGCTCCCGGTTCGTTCTGTCTCCTCTTTTTTCACCCTAGAGCAATACGTTTTGAACAAACAACTGGAGGTTTCGCAACTGGCTCGCGAACTCTCTCAGTTCTACCACGAGATGAATCGCTTCCACTACTGCTCGCTGACCATCAACAACACGATCCCCTTTCGCTTCACGCTCCCCAGTCGACACAAGCCCAAATCGACCATCCAGTTCTACACATCGACAGAGCCGATCACGAAAGAGACGATCGAGCTGTACAATTCCATCCTGCTCTTCTATCCTCCCCACTTTTACACACAAGCGGCCAAAGAATCCGAAAGCTCCTTCCTCGCGAAATTCGTCGCGCTCGCTTCTCCGTTTCTCTCGTTCGAAGCGATGAGTGTCGAGCTCGACGTTCCCATCGAGAAAATCTTCGAAGTGGCGCTCAATCTGCAAGAAGCCAACATGGCCACCATTATCATTTGCATTACACATCGCACGTGTTTCACAGTATTCATTCTCTCTCGCCTGTCTTCTATTCCAGGTCGCTCCAAACCTTCCCACCGAGCACCTTTCAGCACGAAACAATGAATTCAAAGCGAGATTTGGCGAGCTTGGCTCGCTTCTTCACATTCTCGCGATCTTTAGCAACGCGCCCAGTTTGAAAGCCGTGTTTCCGCACTTTAAGCTTGCTTACACACCCTACACCTCCGCATCTGCGGAAGAATTGCAGATCTACAACGCGATCGTTTTTTTATAGTTCTCGCTTCTTAGCGTAGCTCTATCTCATGCAGAAGCGATTCATCGTTCCTGTCGCTGTGCATTGCCAGTACAGAGAGTTCCCTCCCAGCTCCAAACTCCACAAAACACGCGATGAAGAAGACACCCACGATGAGGATGAATACACCAGTACCTTCCTGCATGCCGTTCCTCATCACCAGACACTCACTACAAGTACTGCGTCAGCAGCCAGACCTTGAGCAGCGTCTCCACCGCCCCTTCGTACGCCGATTCCCAGCTGATTCGCGGGGAAAATCCCGATTTTCTCTCCATTCCGAAGTCCTTGCGGAACACAACGTATTATCCGCTGCTTTTCCGCTGTCACGAAAGCTTCCTAGAGATTCCCGAGTCGTTGAGCGCGGCCACCATCTCTGCAGAAGGCATGGGGGACCGTTCCAGAGAGCATTTGGCGCGGCTAATCAAAGAAGGATCGCCGAATCCTGGACTTGGAATCTACAAACCGCTGGGAGAAACGAAGGTCGTGTATCATAAGGAATTGCTGGAGAAATGCAAGCCACTGATGAAAGATCATTATTGCGTGGAGGAAATCTGCTATAAACTGGCAATTCCAGAATGTACGTTTTGGGATATGGTTCGGGAGGATCCAAAGCATTTTTATGTGTATTATGTGGTTAGTAATCTGTGATCATTGTTATGTTTGTTGGAATATTCATTTGATTACTTTTGCGAACCTGTGTGCTCTTCTGCAATATCTTAACGGAAGACATAATGAAAATCACTTCAGCCTGTTCGGGCGATACACCTGCGACAATCCAACTCTTGCCAGTTGAGAATGATCCTCAGATTCTAGTATCCGAACAAACAAGTTTAAAAAAACTAAGAAAATGCAAATCAGAAAGCAAAATTATAATGGCATGTCAACTGTCTTTAAGATATCTATCATAGAGGAAATCTGAAATTGGTCATGGTCCTTCAAACAATTCAAAAGTTCGCTCTGCGTTTTCTTCAACTGATACATTTCCAGGAGCTTTAGAACCTCCCTTTTGGACCAGTAGCCAAGATTAATACTCTGTACCAAATACGTATTGTAATAGGTGTAGCATTCTGTTGGTGAAAAATGGGTTGACATATCTATAGATAACGTACCTTAACAAGAGCCAACTCTGTGATACTAGTTTCCAGTCCATATTATACTGCTTAGATAGGCGGAGCAGTTCTAGTTCTTGCTGCAAGGTCCATCGCTTCCGAGTAGTGTACATGGGCGGGATATGAACTATAACCTTCAAATCCATAGGACATTCGAATATTTCTTTGATACTAGTGATGATATCCTTTTGGATTCCGGTTTGTGAAATGTTTGAATCGGATGAAATAGCAACGCCGGACTTATTATGCGATACAACTTTGCAAGGAATGGGTGACATGAAACAGCCAAAAAACGGATTGTACACCTTATTACTACATTTTTTCAACTGTGACTTGGTGGGATAGGAGGACTTTGCATGACTTCTCTTTTTGCGAGAGTGAAAAGAATCGTGGAGTGAAGACTTTACTGGAAGAAGGGAACTGCTCTCCAACTCCTGATCCAGTATTCTAATAGAATCGCTATTAATAGAGTTTCCTTGGGTACTGAGGGAATCCAATTCAATACCAACATATCGATCACATAGGTCAGCGTCCCTTAGATAGAAATAAACTCAATATCTCGTACCATTGAAGGGGGTCTGTAAATGTTAGAGGGTCTTGAATATAGTCCATGGGACATATCACCTGATCGGTACTATAATCAGAACTCTCTTCATTATGCTTGTCCAACTGGTTTATATGTTCATATTTCATTCTTTTTAATAGAATTTTATGGAATAATCCTAACGAATGATAGTTAAATCGGCTTTTTATCTAATATGCCACTTTTTCCAAAAATTCGCGGTTACCTTATATAACAATATTTCTTATCAATTACTACAAATAATGGGTATAACAAACAGAGATGAGGAAAATAAGCGAAATCACTCAAGTAGACTTCCAAAATTCATAAAGGGAGCGATGCGGCAAAGTTCTCGTTCATAGAAGCGATATCGAGGATATTTGGATTTAACATAGTGCAGTAACTCCACAACCATGTGATTTATCACCAAAACATGCTTCTTGGTACTACCTTGCGCTGTAGCTTGTTCTAAATAGCGTATGTACATTTCCATCATTTCTTCTTTCTCTTCCCACACACATCCCTCTCCCTCCACTCGTTCCATCGCCAGCTTCAGAGCGGATAGGATATCACCTTCCTCCACTTTCTGAGCCACTTCTCCGTTCTGCAGACTCTGGAAATCGGCTTCGAGCAACATTCCCGCCAACGAATGATCGAAGAAGAAGTTCAGCAACAACACGCGCTGATTCCAATCTCTGCACGGAGAAAGAAACAGCAAGAGAACGCGCAGCACGAGAGGGCAGAAATAGTATTCCTCGGATACACATCGGCAACACCGATCTAAGAAGTCGAGAAGCTCGGATTTCGGCACCATTTCGCTCATTCTACGAATGCAATCGTCGTGTTTTCGACATTTGCACGCATTCCCCGCCGATTCCTTGAATCCTGCGATCTCGTCCGTTTTTTTGGAATCCACGAAGTCAGCGTGTTCTTCTGACTCCTCCGAATCATTCAAACCCGATTCTGCATCCCATCGCGGATCAAACTCCAGATAAACCGCCAGCAGCGCGTTCAGCGCATCGTTCACCGCGGGAGACAGCACAATCGCGTTCCCCGCGAGACAGACGTGCAATGCCGCATAGCATCGCAGCGGCTTTTCCCGCGGGTCGAGCGGGGACTCGGCGGCAGTTTCGAGTTCGCGGACGAATTCCAGCAGCGCGACGGCCTGTTTCTCGTTCTGTACGGTGAAGGGTTTCCCCGTTTCCCCGATTTTTCGGAAGCGCAGACGCATGAAGGGCATCAAAAACCACTGCGGGAGCAGCGGAAGCGACGGCGGGATGCGGAAGGGCAGCAGGCGGAGCGACTGTCTGGCATCGAGATCATCGCGATGCAATGCCTGCGAGTGCTCCACCAGCGCGCCCTCCCCGACCTCCTGCACCAGCAGCTGCGTGACGACATCCAGGTCCACCGCACACGCCGCCTGCGCGCCGCGTCCCTCGCAGAACCGCTTCACCGCGGGGGGATCCAGCAATCCCTGCACCACCAGCTCCACCGCGGGGAACTCGTCTCCCGGCAGCAGCTGCCGCGCCACGCGCCACCCCGCGCGCCAGACCTCCCCGCGGTGCTCATCGGTGAGGGGCAGAACCGCGGTGAGGAGGCGCACGGCGACGGCCTGGGCGAGCGCAAACCCGCGGGGAAGGTAGGTGAGCGCGGGGGAGTGCGGCGCGCGCAGGCGGCGCCAGGCGGGGCGGGCGGCGAGGCGGCGCAGACGCGCGGCCCAGCGCGGCGCGCGAAGCAGCGCGGCGAAGGCGAAGCAGTTCTGAACGCCCTGCAGAGAAAGACGCGCAGCTGCAAGAGCCGAGTCTGAACGAGCCAGGAAGCGGAGTTCCGCGGGGGAGAACGCCGGCGGCGACGCGGTGGGATCGACCAGGGAGCGTCCCGCGGGGGAGGAGAGGAACTGGGGGTGAGGGGAGAAGAAGAAGAAATAGAGGTACGTTGGGAAGACGCGAGCGCGCGCGCCACTCCGATTCCACGGCCCACTGCGCGGCAAACACCCCGTCGAACCAGCCCGACGCGCGCCCCGCGGGGGCGGTTTCTCCCTTCTCTGCGTGTACCCGGTTTCCCCGTTTCCCTGTTTGTGCGTCCTCGACGTCCTCAGAATCCTCAGAATCCTCAGAATCCTCGGTACCAAACACGAGGAATCCGAGCTGGGTCACCTGGCGCTGCAAGCTTTCCATGAGATCGTCGGCGTCCTGCCAGGCCTCGCGCTCCTCGTTGACGACCTCCACGTAGGACGCGATGAAATGCACGGCGGCGGTGCGCACGAGACCCGGCGTCTCGCTGCGCTGCAGCATCTCGACGACCAGCTGCACGAGCGTGTTGCAGAACTCCACGAAATACGCGCTCGACGCGCCGCGCTTCGCCCGCACCGACGCCTCGAAGAACGACCACGCCAAGCTCTGCGGCGCGGGCAACGCGAACTGGCTGATGCGCAGCAGCTGCGGGAGGAACGCGTCCACGCTCTCCAAATCGATCCCGTACATCACGAACAGCCGCCACACGCTCAGCACGCCCTCCAAAACCGCGTTCAGCTCGCAGCGCGTCCCCGCGGGTACCGCAGCGCCGCCGTCGAAGAAGAGCAGCCACTGCTTTAGCCGCGGGAGGATCGACGAGTGGAAGAGGTGCAGCGCGTTCCCGCGGGAATGGCGCACCAGCGCCTCGAGAAGCGAGAGGAAGTGCAGCGAGGAGCAGAACGCGGTCTGCGCGTGGTTCTCGAAGTAGAAAAGGCGCAGCGACGGCGACGAATCGGCCGCGTCGCAGGGCTGCGGGCGAAGCGGGGAAACCGGCAGAATGGACGGGTCCAGAAGCGTCGATGCCAGCTGCTCTAGCGACGCGTAGAACGCGTCCGAGCGCAGAATCCGCTCGCTGAAGCGCTTGTCGTTCTCGACCAGCACGCGCAGCACGCTCAAGGCAGGGTTCAGAACCGCGGGAATCTCGCGGTACTCGGCGATGCACGCGAAGAGCGTGGAAACCAAGTCGCATTCGTCCAGCATCGTGAACAGGTTTCCACAGTTTCTCCGTCGGAAGGGATCTCGGTTTCCCCCTTTCTGTGCATCGGATTGGTCATCTTCGTCGTCATCTTCGTCTTCGTTTTTGTCGTCGCTTTCAAATCGCAAAGCGTCCGGGTCTGGCAGATTCGCCTGCTCGTACCCGTGGAACGTCAGATTCAACAGGAGAAACCGTCGAAACTCGTCCTGCGTGGAGGCGAGCTCCTCGAGGCAGCGCAGCGCGAGAAAGACTTCTTCTCCCGTGCGTCGCCGCTCGAGCAGCAGAACGAGGACGCGAAGCAGAGAAACCGGGAGAAGAGACGGAGTGAGCGCCTGGTGAGCGATGCGGGCGAGCGATCGGCGACGCAGGAGATTGAAAAGGCACTTCAGAGCGAGGACGCGCTGGCCGTGGACGTGGCTGCGAGAGAGCAAAAGCAGCTCGGAGAGCGTGTAGCCGGGCAGGTCGGCGTTCTGGCCGTGGTTGTAGAGACCGGAGTAGAGGCTGATTTGGGCCGAGTCGGACGCGGAGAGGAGATAGCCGTCGAAATGGAAGCGAGGCTCCGATGATGATGATGATGATGATGATGAGGGTTGAGTGGGGGTTGTCCATTCTAATTTGCGCTGTTCGGAGAGAGGAAGCTTTTGAACGGCGGCAGCGAGGTCGGCTTCGGAGAGAATCGTGGAGTAATCGATTTCGTTCGCGATGCGACGTGCTTCCTTCTCGTCGTCGTCGATCGGATTGAGAGGCGTAGAACGCGATGTCTGCGCGGTACGTACGGCAGAAGAAGCCTTCTCGTCGACAGGAAGCTCTTGATGCTGAGGAAGTGGGTTGGCGGAAGAACGGGCGATTCGGTTTTGTAGGAGCTGCAGCGTGTTTGGGTTCTGCATGGACGATAGGAAGGATTGCAGCGTTTCTTGCATTTCTTCGGCACTCATGTTCGATATCATAGACATCACTTCGTCGTGAATTCCACTCATTCCTTCAATAGAATTATCTGCATTAGGCGTAGTCGCAAGAGCCGTGGGAGGCGAACGACGCGGAATGGCAGGAGAAACGAGCGTGGGCTCCTCCTGACGTTTAATTTCAACCGCACTCTTCGCATTCTTCTGCTCCCTGGACTGTTTGAAAAGCGATTTCTTTCCACCCTTCATTTTTCTCGTCTACATTCAAAATCACATTCCAACAGCATACGTCTATCACCTCAGCTTGCGGAAAACCGTGCTCCACGGGAGTAATCACAACATCCCTCTTTTCTCTCACGACACGATGCTCCTGGATCGTCCCCACGGGTGACACTGGAGGAAGCACTGTTTTGTTCCCTTTGGATTGTTCCTTCGCCGATTTGTTCTTTTCGGCTCCCTCGCGAATAATTTCCACCGAGGGAACGCCACCATTCATAAAGAACTTTTCCTGTTCTTTGAGATCGTCCTCCATCTTAATTCTAACAAACACCTCCACATTAAAACACAGACATACATTATTCACGAATGGTTTCCATCTTATCCACCCTTTCCACTGGGTTTCGAGGCTTCTTATACGACCGATTCGTATAGCTCTCCGGCCGATACATTTTACTCTCTCGGATCGCCTTCAAGAACGCGAACGGGTTTCGATCGAACACCCTCGCCCACTCCTCGCTGTACAGATCGACGATCGCCCGCACGAGCGGCTGGGGCGAGGGATAGGAGAACTGGCAGACCTGCACGAGCCTTCCGTACACGTCCTCCTTCATCCGCTGCTGGAACTGATACACCACCTCGCTCACTTCCCGCGGGATCTCGCGGCACTCGATGTACTGCGGCCGCAGGTAGATCTCGCTCGCCATGATCTCGTTCTGCGGCGTGATCACGTCCTCCACCTCCTCCACGGCGTTCGGGATGTGCAGATTGTGGCACACCGACGCGTTCAGACCGAACTCCGAACCCACCCAGCTCGCGTACCCCGCGGGATCCGCGCCGTACTGCGCGTAGATCGACGCGGCCTCGCCCAGACGCTGCGGCGCGTAGAGATAGAGCAGCGAGACCACGTCGCGGAAGAACTGCGGGTCCGAGCAGTCCGCGGGGATCGACGGCTTGAAGTCGGGGTACCCGCTGAGGTGCCGCGAAACCCCGATCACCGTCATCATGTCGCTGAAGCTGTTGAACCGCACCGACAGCAGCACGCCCAGCTGCGACTTGTCCAGGAACTGCGCCACCCACGGCTCGTCCTGCGTGTTATCGAGGAGGTCCAGAAATACCGGCTTTTTCTGAGGCACCGCGATCGCGAGACCGGACTCCTTGAAGACGATCCGGTTTTTGAGGTAGTGGTCGTCGGGACGCTTCAGCACCAGCAGCATGGCGTCGGTGAGGACGAGCAGCCGCGGCTTCCAGACGCGTTTGTCGTACACGAAGCCGAACACTTTGGTTTGGATCGTCTGCGACGACGCGTGCAGCGCCAGCGTCGGATGTTCCGCGATTAAATGCACCAAAGCCGAATCGTCCGCCGGCTGCCTCACCGTTTCTCCGGTTTCTCCGGTTTCCTCGGTTTCTCCGATCCGAATCTCTTGGTCCTCCATTCCGCACAGCGCGAACGCGATGTCTACGTGAAACGCCGAGCCAAGCAGCACCTTCCCGCGACAAGATCTCCTTCTCCAGAGCGGTGAGCAGCCTCTGTTTCCCCTTTTTCTCCTTCTGGTGGGGCAGCTCGAGCGACAAGTCCTTGGTGGAGCAGGAATCGCCGCCGTAGGACAGCGAGATCTGCCGCATGGTGGCGAATCGCTGCTTGAAGTTGTCGTGCGAGGGGTCCACGTACTGCGACGGCGCGCGTCGTCGCACCACCACGACGTCCTTTCTACGCTCCACACGCCCGCCCGGCCCTACGGCGACCGCACCTCCGGCGAGTGGACCGGCGAAATGGACGGGTCGATGGACAGCGGGGAGCGGTCGGCGCTGCGCGGAGAAGCCTCGCTGACGGTGGGGAGAACGGAGCAGACGGGGGGCGTTTTCACCGCGGGGGGCTGCTGGGAGGCGTCGGGGAGGGGCTCGCAGGAGGACTGGGAGAAGATCTCGAGGTTGAGATTGAGGAGGTCGCGGTATTGGATGGAGGAGAGGATCTTGCGGTCGTCGGTGTAGATGCTGCGGATCTCGAGGAGCGTGTTGCGGCGCGAGCGGTCCTCCTCGATGGCCTTCATGGAGATCGCGTGGATGGCCTGGAGGCGCTGGGAGCGGTCGTAGTTGGCGCTGGGAGTGAGGAGAGGAGCGAGGAGGGACAAGCAGTGCGCGTCGAGGCAGACGAGCTGCGCGCCGAAGGACTGGGTGAGCGGGAGATTGCAGGTCTTGGCGATGGAGACGGTGTTCTTCCCGAAGTAGAGCGAGGTGAGCACGGAGGTCGTGCAGCAGGGCACCTGCGTGGTGTTCACGGAGAAGTGCAGCACCTCGTGCTTCGCGTCCTTCAGCATGAACAGCAGATCGCCGCGCGCGGGCACGTTGATCTACGCTCCAGCGCCGCCCTCGAGCGTACGTCGATGATGATCTCCGACTGGTACGCGTCGTAGCACGGCAGCGGCGAGTAGCTCCACGCCGAGTTGTACACCACGTTCCAGTCGCTGCGGCACTTCAGATACACCACCAGACTCAGCTCCACCGCCGCGCCCTTCCCCACCGGCACGTTGTACAGAATCAAACTCCCCAGGAACAGCGACGGCTGCAGCTTCGCGTCGAACTGCAGCTTGTTGTCCGCGCCGATCGTGTCCGAGCTCACCAGAAAGTCACGGATGAACTTGATCTGGTCGGGGTTTTCCACGCCGTCCCCGCGTTTTTCGCGGAAATAGTTCACCGCGGCATTCACGTACTCCGTGGTCGTCTTCGCCTGCAGCTTCGTGAACGCGCCCTGCATCAGCAGAGTGCAGCAGATGACGATTCCCGTGCGGCCCTTTCCTGGAAATCACGCGGTGAGACACGCTGGCCTACCAGCTAGGCAATGCGCTGCGATCACGTTCTGGCTGTCTACTGCGATCCATAAATCGATAAACGCGTAGATGGCCCACATTAGAGCGACTGGGGGCGAGTGGTGATCCGCCCAACCGCAATCAATCACACGGTTTCCAAATGGAGTATAGTCATATTGACGGCAGCTAAGATTGAAAATCAGGTAGTGCTTCCCATGTTTCTTATCTAGTAATTTTGCAACCTAAAAACATCATGCATCCTGAACGAGCAAGTACATCAGCTATATTGTTACGGTACAGACTTTCCAGACTCCTTGAAGGATAGCCCATAGCTATAATTCTACAGCCATCAGCGATTCATAAAAGAACCCACTTGTCAGTAATGTACGTTAGATCCAGGTTGAACTGGTTGTCTATGTATCGTACTCTTCGACCTAGATCATCACATTCTCCAAAACGGAAGAATACCAGAAAAATAAGTACGAACCGCTGTGCTCATCGGATGAAACGCTGAGAAACGGAATAGAGATGGGCGCTGATCGAATTATGAAAGATAATCGGCTGTGGTAAAAGACACTATTTTGCTCCTTTTTCACATTCAAACTTGATTTCCAATTCTTTGATTTTTTCCGCTCTTCTGGTTCGCAACACTCTCCTTATCACTTCTGTGAGAAGAACAAACAAATTTAGATCACACTATTTTCCTATGCAAAACTCGGAAAACACGATATCCAGAATCTCCTCCACGTCTACTTCACCCGTCAACCGAGAAAGCGACTTCAAACAATAGCGCAACTCTTCTGCCTCCAAGTCCACCAAATCCTCTTCCGACAGCTCCATACAGCGATCAATGCTCGATATACATTGCTCCAAGCAATTTCGCTGACGCTCACGCGTGATCAGCTGACTGTGATCTCCCTCTGTGTTCTCGTGCGCTACTCTCCCCACCACCTCTTTCAACGCAGTTAGCACTGCTTCAATTCCCTGCTTTTGCTTGCACGAGATGGAAAGAACATCTACATCAAATCATCATGCTCCCACACTTACTCTGAACGAACGGATATTTATTCAGCACAAACTCCCGCACCTCCTCCACTTGCTCTTTGCTGACCAAATCGCTTTTGTTCAGCACCACCAAAACTTCTCCCTCCAACTGACTTTTTTTCGTGTTTTCTTTTCCCTCCAAACACGATTCTCCCATTTTTCCTTTTCGTTCCGCCTCTCCCTTTCCCTCGATCTCCCGCATCATGCTTTCCACATTTTCCTTCGCATCGCGCGCAACATCGACAACCACCATGCGAACCGAGCTCTCCGCCACGGCCGCCCTCGCCCGATTCATTCCTTCCCTTTCTACCACTTCCTCGGAGTCGTGCAGCCCCGCAGTGTCCTGTAGGATCACTTTCCATCCCTCCAAGTCCAGATCCACTTTCAGCACATCGCGTGTCGTGCCGGGAATTGCCGACACGATCGCCTCCTCCGAACCCGTCAGAACGTTCAGCAGGGACGATTTCCCCACGTTGGGAGGACCGAACAGCGTGACTCGGATGCCCTCCTTCACCAGCTGGCTTCGGCGAAATCCGCGAAGCAGCTGCTGCATGGAGTCGCGAATCGAGCCGAGCTGCCGCGTCGCGTCCGCCAGCAAAACCGACTCCTCGTCCATGTCGTCCGCGAACTCCAGGATCGTTTCCGCATGAGCCAAGCTGTGCATGAGCTGCGATCGCCACTTCCAGCAGAGCGCAGAGAGCTCGCCGCTGAGTCCGTGTATCGCCTGCTGCCGCTGCGTCTCCGTCTCGGCGTTCAGCAGGTCGGCGAGCGCCTCCACCTCCAGAAAGGACATCTTCCCGTTCAGAAACGCGCGCTTTGTAAATTCGCCGGGTTCCGCCACGCGGAAATAGGGGATGTGCGACAGAGAGCGAAGCGTGGCGTTCACCACGGCGGGACTGCCGTGGACGTGGAATTCGACGACGTCCTCGTCGGTAAAACTGAGAGAGAGGGGAAAACGATGCATTACCTTGCGCCTTTGTTAAAACACAGAACTAAGCCCTTGTCGATCACTTCTTTTGTTTGACTATCGAGAATCGAACGGAGAGAAGCTTGGCGAGGCGTAGGGAATGAACATTGCTCCGATGTCATCTGTTTGATTGCATCAAACGCGTTGCTCCCCGACACACGAATCACTGCCACGCCTGATTTGACAAGCGGTCCTAGGGGACAATGATAGACTGCGTACATATACCCGAACTCAGCGCATAAATCGTATCGTCATCGTTACACCTCCCTATCACCGAAAAGGGTCGACGAGAAAGAACTATCGGCGAGGAACGCAGCAGCCATATCGCACGCCCTCCACGACTCGAAAAACGAGAAAGAAGATTCGAGAGCATAGAAGCTTCTGGATGGGGGCATGATTGGAAAAATAGTCTCGAATCTTGGCACCTTAAGTCATATCTTTGTTTTGAATGAGCTACAAACAGCTAGGTCGAAGTAAACCCGAGTTTGAGAACACTGTCATCTTGGAAAACTATCCTGTCAGTGCAATTCGTCTTGTCACAGTCCCCCACATGTCGACGATCTCGGAGGAGTCTGGGTCCATCGAGAATATCCGTACTAACGTGGGAATCGCGGGTGAATTGTGATTTTACGGGGCGAGCGTTCATGTCTAGGTACAACGAATATCAAACGGACAACAGTTGCGTTATCGCAGATCTGTTGCGAACAGAATGTGGGGGTGCTGGTTGCTGGTAACCTGTAGCCACTTCTCCCATTATCACGGCTTATCTGCGAGCAGGTGCACGGAAGAAGTTGTGGTACAAGAAGGAGGAAGTTGGTGCCGTTATCGTGACGTGCGGAGGCATTTGTCCCGGCTTGAACAACATTATCCGCGAGATCGTCGTGACTCTGTACATATCGATCTTCGCTCGTTTATTCTAGAACGCGTCTTTACGGCGTGAACCGCATCTACGGAATCATGAACGGCTATGGCGGCTTTGCGAAGGCCTTGGAAGAGCCCGAGTCAAACATGGTGATTCTAACCCCCGAACTGGTCGATAAAATCCACCACCAGGGTGGAACATTCCTCCAGTCCGCGCGTGGCGGATTTGATGCAGACAAGATCATCGAATGGTGTCTTCGCTACGAAGTCAATCAAATCTACGTGGTCGGAGGCGACGGAACGCATCGCGGCGCGAACGTTCTCTTCCACGAGATCCAGAAGCGAGTAGGTTTCGCCTCGATGGGCTGACCGGCGCAGCATCTCGCGATTTCGATCGGCGGCATTCCGAAGACGATCGATAACGATATCGCGATGGTGGACCGTTCTTTCGGCTTCGAGACGGCGGTCCAGGAGTGCACCAACGCGATTAACAGCGCGTTAGTGGAAGCAATGAGTTGCGAGTACGGCGTGGGAATCGTGAAGCTGATGGGGCGCGAAGCCGGGTTCATCGCCGCCTACGCGACGCTCGCGAGCCACGACGTGGATCTGTGCTTGATTCCGGAAGTGGACGTGGATCTGTACGATGACCAGTACGGAATTCTGCCGTACATTCGGCGCTGCTTGGAGAGGCAGCACCACTGCGTGGTGGTCACGTCGGAGGGCATCGAGATCCCCGGACTGCAGGGCGATGGGTCCACCGACGCCAGCGGAAACAAGCGATTCCCGGACGTGGGGCTGTACCTGAAGAAGCTGGTGATTGACTACTTCGCGAACGAGGAGACGAATCCCGAGAAGATGAACGTGTCGGTGAAGTACATCGATCCGTCGTATATGATCCGGAGCGTGCGCGCGAACGCGTTCGACTCGATCCAGTGCTTGCTGCTCGCGGAGAACGTGGTGCACGGAATGATGGCGGGGTACACGGGCTTCACGGTGGGCGTGTGCAACAATCGCAGCGTGTACATCCCCATCAAGACGCTGACGGACAACTCGCCGCGCACGCTGTATCCCTTCGGACGCACCTACGAGCGCGTGGTGAACATCACGGGGCAGCCCGACTTCTCGATCCCGATGAAGAAGCGATTGATGGAGCAGAAGGAAAGGGAGGAAAGAGAGGCTAAAGAAAGAGAGGAGAAAGAGGCTAAAGAAAGGGAAGAGAAGGAAGCCAAGGAGAGAGAAGAGAAGGAAGCTGAGAAAAAGGAATAAGGAAATAACGCTGTGAATCCTATGAACGATCGAACCACTTTTCTGTTTGTCACAAACATCCCATCACGTCAAATTTACGCCTTGCCTGCCGCCTTCATCAGTCCATAAATCGCCTCTCCGATCTGCGCCGGGGTGTCCACCACCTTGATTCCCACCGCAGTCATCGCCTCCATCTTCGCCTTCGCCGTTCCCTTTCCTCCCGAAATGATCGCTCCCGCGTGTCCCATGCGGCGACCCGGCGGCGCCGTGCGTCCGGCAATGAATCCCACCACCGGCTTGGACGGGTCTCCGTACTGCTTCAGCCACTCCGCAGCGTCCTCCTCCGCCGTGCCGCCGATCTCGCCGATCATCACGATGCCCTCCGTCTGCGGATCGTTCGTGAAGCGCTCCAGACAGTCGATGAAGTTCGTACCGTTGAACGGATCGCCGCCGATGCCCACCACCGTCGACTGACCCAGACCGTACTTCGTCGTCTGCGCCACCGCCTCGTACGTCAGCGTGCCAGAGCGGGACACCACACCGATCTTACCCTTCTTGTGGATGTAGCCGGGCATGATGCCGATCTTGCACTCACCGGGCTTGATGATACCCGGGCAGTTCGGACCGATCAGACGAGACTTCGACTGGCTCTTCATGATGTCCTTCACGCGGAGCATGTCGTGCTGGGGAATTCCCTCCGTGATGCACACGATCAGAGGGATCTCAGCAGCAACAGCCTCCAGAATTGCGGAAGCAGCACCACTAGGAGGCACGTAAATGACGGTAGCGTCAGCATTCGTAGCCTTCTTGGCCTAGAAAGATAGTTTAGCGATTCAAACATTCTACCTCCTCCACACTTGCGAAAATAGGCAGACCCAAGTGAGTGCTACCAGCCTTCTTGGGATTTACTCCACCAACCATCTTGGTTCCGTACTCAATAGCCTGCTGCGTGTGGAACGTACCCTACAGCATCAGGCAACCAAAAAGACAATGCTCACATTCTTTCCAGTGATACCCTGGCCGATTACCTTGGTATTCTTGTCAATCCACACACGCGCAGTGCTGCTGGCACGAGCAACGGATAATCCAATACGCGATACTTTAGAAACGGACGAAAGCATTGAACTAATTGATTTTGTTGGATTTTGACTATAATTCCACGTTTCTACTATTGTGCAAAAGATGGTTTGATCAATCAAATCCACTCATTCTGTGTGATGGATAGAAGGAATAAACAAGAGTGCTCGTATCTTCCACTCCCGAGAATACTTGGAAAAACAGTTTGTCATCCATGCAAAAGATTTCATATCAAAAAGATGGATTGTAGAAATAGCAATCGACTGCAAGCATAATTATAACCAAATTTACTTTAATCGCCGGGATAGGATTTCTTTACGGTTTTTGGAGTTTCATAATCGAGTCTAGTCATCTGACAATGTCATTTCGCCGTATACCATGTTCAAAGCAAGTCTACCGCGGTTATTTGAGCATATTTTCAAAAAGGCAAAAGTCAATTTCAGCAAGTAGGAAGTGATTTTTAATGGAATTTGTAACGCACTAACATCGTTTAGAATTGAATATTTGTATATATAAAACAGCATGAACGTATTTGGTTTGAGGAACGCGTTTTACATGTAGGTAGAAAACGGTGCTTCATTCGATGCAGGTGCGTGCAGAATTTATGTTTGTAAGCCGAATAGAAAAGGGACGAGGAATTTTCGGTACTGGGTCGTCCAATAATGGAAACCGCACAGAGGGACGCGCGGGACGCTACGACAAAATCGAAACATCGGGAACGGGACCCTGCCCTTGTATTCCTTTGTGAAATCCCTGAAACATAGCGATTGAGGGGTGGATTATTTTCCTAACAAACATCCACGAAGAAGCACAAGAGGAAGACCTGCTCGACGTGTGCGCGGAGTATGGAACAGTCAAGAATTTCCATATGAACGTGGATCGTCGTACCGGATTCATCAAGGTACTTTCTCTCCCCTTTCTCGATCGCAGGGCTACGCTTTGGTGGAGTATGAGACCTTCGAAGACGCTCAAAATGCCATTAAAAACCTGGAAGGTAGCTCGATTCTGGGTCAGCAAATCCACGCCGACTGGGCCTTTGTTAAAAACTAGAGTGCTTGTGTCTGTGTTTGTTGATGAAAAAACAGCAGCAACAACAACATGAGCTCTACAATTTCCACCCTTTATTCCTCAGCCTCCGCCTTATCGTTCTTGTGGTGCTTTCTGGCCACACGTCCCTACACATTAGCAATTTTCCTCACACAAAGCTTCTTACAGGACGACCGCCTCCATAAGGAGAGTTCTCAGCGAACTGGATGTGCTTCTCCGAATCCACATGAACCATGAACGAAGGAGCGTTCACCACCTGCTGGCCAACACGGATGTGGCGCTGCTTGATCAGCACACGAGCGTGGTGGATCGACTTGGCAAGGCCCAGCTTGAACACACGGGTCTGCAGTCTGCGGTCCATCAGCTTGGAAGTCGACAGCTCCAGAATCATGTCCAACTTCATCTCCTCCTCAGAGACGAGTCCCAGACGAGCCATGCGGCGAATGATGGCAGCTCCCTGGAAGATTCTGCGAGGATCATCCTCAGGAAGAGTCAGCAATTCACGAGCAGCCTTTGCATTAGAAATATGCACGAAATAATACCTTGCGGATCTTGGCAAGCACCAGCTGCACACGCCAGATCTCACGCTTGCAGCGCAGACCGAACTCTCCGCAAATACGGAGTTCCTGGTCCAAACGCTCGCGCTCGAAGGGGCGACGAGGAGTGCTGAAAGTCAAACGATCTAGAAACTGATTAGCACACAAACACTTGAGATGAAATCACAGTGAAGAATAGCTCCTCGAACTCAGTTCGCTAAACTTACAATTTCTATGATGAGCACAGGTAACCATTGTAGAGACTCGATTATTATTCCTTTTTCTCCCTTTTTGTGGTTCACGGCAGAATCCGGAAACAGGGAGTAACTGTTCTTTTATCTTCAAGGAAGAGCATTTTCAAGCGAATCCTTATCTTTTCTCTCATGTTGCGATTCGAACAAACCAGCTCAAAGTACAAAAGAGATAAAAGAACTACAGCACTACTGATACAGTGTTGATTTCTTCAAAAACTGAACCGGTTTCGATTCCTGCAATATCTTCTTCTTCACCCGCGTATACATCTCGTTCCCTTTCTACCCTCAAACCCACAGCTCATTCCCACCTGAAACAAATTGCCCATCATGACTTCTCTTTCTCTCTGAATCACTCGTTTATCGATTTCCACCTTTCGTTAAGCACCCCTACCGCTCTATTCAAGGATATTTGTCTCCTCTTCCTTCGATCTTCCTCTGCTTGCGCTTCAAACGCGTCGCATTTCCGTTTCAATTCATCGCACGTCTTCGAAAGCCCATCAAATCGCTCTTTCCATTCTCCAAGCTCTTTCTCTTTCTCCGCAATCGCCTATCCATCAGCCATCCGGCCATCATCGCACCGTCTCTTGTTTTGCTATCATTTCCTTCTGGGATATCACGACTTCGCGCAGGTCCGCGATCACCTCGCTTTTCCCCGCGATGTCCCGCTCCTTCTCCTCCATCGCCCCCCTCAACTCGCGGTTCTCCGCCAGTTTCTTCGAAAACTCCTCCTGCAGCGTCACTTTGCTCTGTTCGTATTCCAGTTCCTTTCCCTTCAAACTCTCTTCATGCTGTTGCCGCTCTCTCTGCAATTGCAATCGCAAGTCGCTGTTTTCCACGATGTACCGGCGAATCTTCGCCTTCGTCTCCGCGTCCTGCTCGTTCGGACTCATCATCGACTGCAGACTCGCGCCGTCGCTGGCGACTGCGGGCGCTGGACTCACTTCCATGCTTCGCATGACGCTCTTGAGCTCTGTGGATGAGAAGAAGAAGCAGCAAAACGAACGTTCTCGTAGCTGCGAGTTTTCGCTGCGCAGCTGCTGCAACTGCTTCTGGAGATCCTCCTGCTCGAGCGAGGTCTATCGTTCAGCAAGCACGCGATCTCTACGGCCTCCAGTTTGCCGCGGAGCGCTCCGTTGTCTTCGCGAAGCCGCTTGAGTTCCTCTCTCGAAATCTCGTCCTGAACGAAGATTTGGCGGGCAGAGAATTGGCTCTGAAGCTCTTCATGCTATAAAAATAAGGACAATAAATCGATGCTCACTTCCTGCTTGAGCTCCTGGTACCTTGACTCCATTTCCTTCAAAGCTTCCAAGCGGGATTGCAGCGTATTCACCTTCTCGGCCGATTTCTGCAGGTATTCCTTTTCAGAGGTGAGGATTTCCACCTCGTTCTCCAGCTTTCGCTTTTCGTCCTCCAGCTTCTTCAAATTCATCTGGATGTGAGTCGATCGATCGGTCCAAACGGAGTGCTGCGCCATTTCATTCTCTTTGCTCTTCTTCAAAAACTCGATTTCCTGGAGATATCGCTCATTTTCAGACGAATACAATTCCAGTTTGATCTACTTCGCACCCTTTCTTTCCGCCTACGCTGAGTTGCTCATTCGATTCTTTCAGCGATCGAATTTCCTCGTTGGATTTGGAGTTCACTTCTTCCGCCTTCAAGCTCAATCTCCTTTCGTTCCCCTCCAATCCTTTCACGATCTGCCGCTGATCTCGCAGCTCCGACTCCAGTTTCCCCACTTCTTTCTGGAGGTCGTCTCGTTGACGTCGCAACGACTCGGATTCTTCTTTTTCGCACGACAACTGCTGCTGAAGTTGGAGTAATTTGGATTCTAACTGCTGGATTTCTTCTGATCGTTATGCTGTTTTGCATAAAAGAAGAACCTTCGAAGCGATGGCGAAGTTCCATTCGGGAGTTTTCGAGAATCGAAAAGGAGGCGTCATCGTTGCCCAGAGAAATGGAAGATTCCTCTAAAATCGTGTGCATTTCTGAAAGGGCAGAGGAGTTCGCACTGTCCTGAGGGAATGCATTCATGACGGTCTCTATGATACACTGCAAGTAAAATTGCGTTTCGGAGCTGAGCGAGAGAATTGTGGTGATATATTGCCTTTTCTTCTCGGAGAAAAGGATGGTTGTGATTACCCATCGAATGATCAGAACCAGTGGCTCCGGGTCATTGCTGCGTATCAATCGAAAAGAAAAGAGCAACTTGAGAAAGATGGAGCTCAGGGCGATATTTGATTCGAGCTCCCATCCTCTCGTTTTGTCATAATAATGTACGATCGCGCGAATGATGTTCTTTAAATTTTCCAAAGCGTCTTCATCGGAAAGAAAGGAACGATCTACCGGTGTTAGATTAAAATTTGTTGGATCACTACATGCATAAGAGATTTACATAAACCAAACATACATGTCATTCAAAATCATGGAAATAGAGATTCCGTCCCTCAAATCAAGGAATTGCGAATAAGTTCGCCTGACAGACGGGCACGAATTGACCTAGAATAGAATCAAATGATTTTAGCTAACCCATTCAAGAAGAGCATCGGCTTCGGATTCTACAAGTTCGTTTCGTTCCTGGTTCATGTTTCTATTTCAGAAGCCGATTTCTCCAAGTCTTCAACAATTTAAACCAAAATGTGTTAGCACAAAGCGAAAAAAAGTAAACTAATTAGCTCTCAATCTTTTCAATCGTCTGCTCGATCGCTTCAATGCTCTCTTTCAAAAACCGATCAAATAGTTTCAACCGCTCTTCCTTCCCGCTCTTGCTATTTCTTTGTGTCTTTTCCTTCGGATTCTTCGGAACATCCTTCCTTTTATTCGTTCGTTCCCTCTCATCCTTCTTTTGACTCTTTGTTTTCCTTTTGCCATTCTTTTCCTTTTTTCCCTTTCCTTTATCGCTATCGCTTTCACTATCGCTCTGACTTTCACTATCACATTCGTTTTCACTTTCACTCTCGCTGTCACTTTCGTTTTCACTTTCACTTTCACTCTCGCCTTCGCTCTCTTTCCCATCTCGCTCATTCCTCCCAAACGCGCAGTCCTCGCCTCGCAGATCCACCACCATCACCGTGATATTATCCATCGACCGTCTCCGCACCGCTTCCTCCGCCAGTTTCTCCGCGCACTCCTTCAGCGACTTCCCCTACCCCTCACTTCCTCCCTCCTTTCCTACCTCTCTCACGCCTTCGCGCAGCAGCTCCGCCACTTCTCCGTGCTCCAGCACGTCCCTTCGCTCTCACCTCGCCCGCTCTCCCTACCACAGCCCGTCCGACGCCAGCACCACGAAGCACTCGTCGCCCTGCAGCGCGAAGCAGCTCACCGTCGGCACGTTGCTCACGAACGGCCGCAGCGAGAAGTCTCCCAGCGCGCGGGTCACCGCGAGGACGCCCTGCACGCGGAGCACGCCGTAGTTGATGATGCGTCCGCCGAGCAGCTCGACGCGCTCCTTCTCGCTGGGATTGCTCGGCTTGTGGTCCGCGGTGAGATTGAAGGAGTCGTGGAGGGAGATGAGCGCGGCGCGCGCGTCGCCGACGTGCGCGGTGATCAGCTGCCTCCGTGCCTTGTGGAGAAAAACAGACACGACCGTGGAGCCGTCGTCTGGAGAGCAGAGAGGGCGAAAAACTACCTCGAATGGAGACGTCGCGGTAGGAGCGATCGCAGAGCTGGAAGCCGTTGATTATGTCCATCTCGCGAAGAAAGCTGGCAGGGATTTTGCCGGGAGCGGGTGAGGAGTCGGACGAGGATCGCTTTGGAAGGGAGCTCTTGTAGGGAGAGTCGTTGATGGACTTCGCGATGGAGTGATGCAAATGTTCGGCACAAAACCAAGTGGTAAAACCAATTGCACAACTAATACTGGGAACAGAAAGACCCGCCGTGGCCATCAAAAACTGCATAAAACGAAATGTCACTATCATCTACATTAAAAAGTAAAAAAAGAAGAACCATTGAATTTCCCTATAGCACAATAACGATCTTCTTGATAAGGGCGTGAATTCTGGGAATAACCCTTTTCCAGAACGTACTTGTAAGGAAGATACAGCAAACGGATAAAGAATATCATCCACGTTTTCTTCTGGACAAAAGCTAGAAGTAAGACCAAAAGAATACATGAACTATTTCGGTGTTAGAAGGTTTTTCCGATTGAGAAAACGGAAAGAATGTGAACTGGAACATAGAAAAGGAAATGTACACATACCGTTTTGTAATTTGTGACAGAAGAAGAATTATCAGAAGAGTAACAAGAATCAGGAAGCAGGCAAGTGCTAATCTACAATAACAGTAGAGAAATCAAAATACGAAGATGGATGTACCGAAAACGGGTTTCTAAGAGCAGAATAGTACCGATAAATATCGAAGCTCGACATGATATTCACCGGAAAAAACAATCTGGCCTAGCGTCGCGAAATCTGAACCTTTTCAAAAAAAGGTCTATTTCAGGAATCAACAGTTCGATCAAACAAACAGACAAAAAAGAGGCAAACATAAGATATTCCATCAGAGCGTCTCACGCGCCCTATCCAGTATAGAATTTATCGTTTTCCAGTCATCGACAGTACAATCCCCATTATTACAAAAATGATCTATAAGACGCTGCTTAAGATAGTCAAGCTTTCTGCTTTTCGGAACGAAATAAGGAGCAATCCAATTAAAAAAGATCTATTGAAAAGAAGAACAAAAACAATACAATCCCGAAGCTAATAAGTAAAAGAATGGCAATAACCACTTTTAAAAAGATGAACAAACACCGATCTACATGTCATCAGAATGATTGAAATTATACATTCTGGGTCGTTTTCTACATTATATTCTTCTTTTACGCGCATCTTTGTGACATTTCCCGTTTCTTTACTTATTTCTTTCTACAATGATCAGTAACCACTTCAAAAGGTACAGCTGTCTGTGTTTCCATGGTGGAAGAACCTTCACATGATGATAGGTCCTTTCCCCGATTTCGTACTTCTGCAATGTCATAGAAAACAAAAATGAAATACCATTCGTACTCATTCTTACAAACTAAGAATAATAAAGAAAACACATAAGAAAAACACTCCGCGGGGAAATCAAAAATTGTAAGTAATACAATGAAAATGATAATCTGTGGATACGTAGAGGAATACTTCCAGTAGAAAAGTGTAATGAAAGATATTTTACCGAATAGAGCAAGAAATGGAGAACCTAGTGAACCATTGTTGATTAACCTTGAATTAAGGAATTTCTCATTTAGTGCGGGGAGCAGGTATCTTCATTAGATAAAACATGACAAAACAAAAATCACTAAAGCAGTGTGTAAGGAATATCACAATGAATATGGCATAACACGTGTAAGAGAAAGCAATGGTATATAGGGGATGATGAAGAAAGGGAGAGTGTCGTTGAAAAAGATCTTTAGAGCAAAAGGATGAGCGAAAACAGTAATTCAACATTTTGATTTACTCACATTTATGTACTACTCTTTATGTGATAAAAAACAAGAGAATACTTGGTGTAGCATAGATTTAAGCTAGGTAGTTTTTGGCACGTCACACTGACACATCCTATTTATTTTTATATACAATATTTTAGATTATATTAGTGATAGATTAGTCATTGAAATCCAACGAAACACAAGTATGGAAGAAAAGATAAGATTGAATGAGTAGTGTATTTGATCATAATACACATCCGAGGATACTATAGATCCCAATGTATATTGACAAGGATAGTGCAAAATAGAAAAAGCTATGAAGAAAAAATACTAAAATGGCGTTCTTCCATACTGAATCATATTTCGATGCAAAACATTGCTGATTTTGTCAATTCTGCTATTAGTAACTATCATATTGATAGTTCTATTATTCATAATGTGCATGGATTTGTGAATGAAGAAATGAAACCAAATGGCTGGATTTCACTCATATTGAGTAATAGAGAATGTGTAGTATTGCAATTCAATAATGGAGTATTCATGAATCAAGGGTTTGTGCTCAATGAGCAGAAAGTGTTGAAAGTGTTTGGAAATCATCAAATTGGTGCTATTTCATATAGTGAAGAACAATCCATAGAAGTAGTAGAAGAAGGAATCGTGGATTTGGATCATGGAAGTCGATTTGAAGGATTGATATTGACAGAAAAAGAAAAAGAAGGTAAAATTGGAGTTCCATTTGGATATGGTGAAATGTATGATGATGATGGAATATTGGTGTACAAGGGCATAATGATCAATTGGAAACGATTTGGATATGGAACGAGTTATCATAATAATGGATGTATTGAATATGAAGGATATTGGTGTGATGATAAGCGATTTGGAATTGGAAAAGTGTATGATCGATATGGTAAATTAGTAAATGAATGTGAATGGTACAATGGAATTGAATGTGATATTGAATACGAAGGAAATGGAAGCAAACCACTGAATATCGGAATGAAACATTTGAAACTGATTGACCATTGTGCTTTGGTTGATTGGGATGTTTCATTGTTGTACAATTTGGAATCAATCGAAATCGGCAATGATTGTTTTAGATCAGTACAAACATTCAAAATCGATGGACTGAATCGATTGAAAACTATCAAAATAGGACAGAACTCATTCACTCAGCAATGGAATAGCTGGGGAGATGACAAATCGAAATCATTCTACATATTGAATTGTGAATCATTGGAATCGATTGAAATCGGCGATTATAGTTTCAGTGATTTTGCTGGCGACTTTGAATTGAAGAATCTACCACAATTACAATCCATTCAAATTGGAATAATTGGAAGCAGATCAGGCAATTTCTATTCTAATTCCTTTGCAATTCGAGGTATTGCTGTATTACTGAATATTTGAATGATTAGATCTTCCAAATCTACAACTTATTTCACTGGGTACTGGTGCATTTCAAGACTCTTTTTCAACAATAATTGAAAGTATTGCATGAATTTGATTGAAGTGATTGATGTAGATCTTCCATCATTACAATCCATTCAACTTGGTAGGTGTGTACTTTGGGGAAAATATGACGAATCATGCTCATTGACAATGCGAAGTAATAATGAATTGATTCTATATGATTTGCTTTGTAGATCTTCCAAATCTAACATCCATATATTCTGAAGGAGGGAGTTTCTATGAACCTCATTCAGTGATATTGGAAAGTATTTTTAAAGTACAATTATTATGGTATATAGATATTCCGAATCTTCAAAACGTCAATCTACCTGATTCATTCAAGAAAGTGAAAGCGAAATCAATATTAAGTATTTTTTGGTATTTTTATTTCATTAATAGATGTTTCTTTTATTCTCGCTGGTCTTGTTAATATATAACAAAGTGATTCCAGTATTGGATCTGCACATTTCTTTCAATTCCATTTCATTTGATGATCATTGTATTATCAATGCCCACTTTTTTTTGTTCCAAAACCCTTACTATGGTTCATTGGTTATTGATTAAGGATCTAATCATCGATAAGCTCTTTTCCATCGTCACACCCGAGATTTGTTTAACTAGCATGATCCAATCCTTTGTGATTTCGATTTTAAGATTGAACAAAGGAATGTGCAAGAATGGATAATCCAAACTGAGCTTATTGAGTTTCGTTCGTTGTTCACAATAGAAATGCGGTATACTCGACAAACCTATATTTTAGAAACAAGTGGATTGCAATATCTACAATATATACAGAATTGTAGACGATAGTACCAAATAAGCGTTTGTTTATAGAATAATAAATAACAATGGAGTAAATGTGAATGACACTCAATGTTTCGATTTGATTTATGTGTATAATGTAACCTTTAATATCAATTAATTATAGAAACATATTGCAAACAATGGAACTGTCTAGGAGTTGTAGTTCCAAACGAATTGCCAATTGTTTTGATTGCTGGTGAAATTAGCCATACAAACAAACGTTTCTTTGAATAGTTTGATAATGAGTGAATTGGATTGTAACATAATAATTACTTTTAAACAAAGAGTAGGGTATTTCAGTGAAATGCTTTGACAAATGATTTGAATGAGCATCGATTTTGTGTTTGTCTCTTCTTATTATTCAAGGAAATACCTTAACCAAAGTACTCTATGATTAGTGCAGCCAGAGAAAAGTATGTTTTGTTCAACGTTGTATCCTGTATTATTTAGAAATCCACACAAAGATATCAGCTTTCTATTTCCAACATAGATTTGTTAACATTAACTCAGTTCATTGATTCCAAAATGCATTAATTATCACTCTTTTTTCATACTATCTCGATTAAAAGGTTGGTATTTAGCTATAATGACCAAATATCAATTCTTATTTGTCAATATCACTTTAAGTACTGGCTATCGTTGTGAAATGAATAGTTTAACAAATGACTATTCTATTCAATAACTGATTTATGATTGTTTGTTGTTCCAAAGTATGCAAGTCCAAATTTCGATTCATTTCGATTTCCAGAGAAAGTGATATGTGTATTCTGCCAATTTGTCAACACAGTGTGGTGTCGTTATTACATAGTCTTTATTTCCTATGACTACAAATCAGCAAACAGTAAGTATCTTCTTTAATGCCTAGTTGATTGTTCTCCGAATATATGTGTATTTACTAGTATTCTTTTATGGTCGAAAAGTATTATGGTCATTTCCATGTTTGTTTCAGTACCTTTACCCCAAATAACAGTAGAAGGGTTTCTTCAACAGATTTCAATTGGTTTGTTCAAAAAATCCCTCATGATTCTTTATCTAAGTGCATTTTAAAGATGTTGACAAATTATGATACCTTCAGTTATTCTCACCATTATTTGATTCCTTTCATCATCATTTGCTTTTTTACACAAATATCCTCGATTTCTGCCCTTTTGACACACAACTATAATACTTACAATCTATATAACTATTAATCTATTTCTATGCATACCCATTTCTGTAAAAAGTATTATGTTTTCTTTGTGATTCACAATTCAGTCTTCCTAGTGTTTTACAATAGAATACTCTGTGACGCTTCTTTATTACGTGACCTATTGTGTTACGAAAACAGATATATGGGTGAATACTACTATGGCTGACAGAGTAAAATGTCATCATCTTGTTACTTAGTCGCAAAAAACACAGAAAACCATATACTATATTTCCTAAACAGCGCACACAGCAAGTTAATTAATAAATGGAATAGTTGCCCTATTTTTCTAGAGAATAGTCCATTACCATAATAGCCAATATCTAATGAATGATTTGTTTGTAGAAGTGTTCTCATTCCCTTTCCTATGATCCTTGATTATTTACCTTGAACAATCACATTCTACCTCTAATATCGATATTCGTAGGATCCTATCGTATACTCTCATTCTACCTTTGAAAACTGTGATTATCTTCAATCCACCAAGAGTCATATAATATTCATGATTACAGTACTATCCACTAACATCGATTACAAGCCTATCAAGATAATCTTAGCATTGAGTAAAGCATGTGATTATCGTCCCTTCAATCTCCAGTATTTGGGATTCTTCTATGAAATACATGCCAATGTATTATTTATTCTGTCCGTATTTTTGGTTTTCAAATCAATCCTTGAATTGACAGACTGAGGAGTGAAATGAAAACTCTATGTGAATATTCTCAAATTCTCATACAAATGAATGACTTTTCGAGTATTTCTGACTGATTTCTCCAAAAGCAGCTATTATCACTATCAATTCGTGATAAATGTATTTTTATTGTGAATTATCGCATTCCACAACATTTTGAATCTGCTTTTAGATAAAGGTGTCCATGATTGACTTCCAAACACTCTACTCTTATCCACAATACGATATTCCATTGCTTGTAGTGTAAATAAACAAGAATTACTTATGAGCATGACAAAGTGCATTTCCTCTTTTGATAGATATTCGCACTAATTCCTACACATAATCGATATAGCTATCGATACTCATACTTGGATCATAAATTAAAACCTTGTCTCAGTTAGATTTGTATAGTGCCTGAAATACCACGTAGAGGGTATTGAATTGTGCCTTCAGATAATTGCAAGTGGTTATGATAAAATATCATCCATATCTACCTTTCAGAATCATGCTCTCTTTTCTGAACGCTCAAGCCTCGCAGGCACATCTACACTTCTTGGCAACGCTTCCCCATCCACATCTTATACGATTCTCAACGGATTTGTCAACAAACAGCACAATATGGGGAATCCTTATTATTCAGATAATTTTTTTTATTTTAGGTCAAATATAATGGTTGAAGAATGTACTATCTTGATCCCGTGCTAATAAATAGCAACGTTGACCGAAATTAACGGAGCTGAGTATTTACTTGATAGATATACTACGCTTGGCGATCCAGAAACCTTGGTAAAGAGGGGAATACAATACAGTGTTCAGCGATTCCAGGGAGAACACAAAAATGAATATCTTTTGCGTTCTGTTACAGGCTCTGTTAATTTGTATGAAAATAACGTATTGAAACAACAATGGAAAGAAACTAAACAAGGAGTAAAATCGGATGAGTTCATTGCTTATAAGAATGGACGAGTTGAGTTCCGTCAACGATTCCGAGATATCACCGAGCAAACCAACTTTTATAAGATTGTTAACCACAGGAAAGGACTTCGAATGGAAATCTGGTCAGCCACAACAGGACATTTGATGTATCACGGAGAATGCAATAATAAGTTCCAAAGAGAAGGTTGGGGCATAGAGTATAACGAAAATGATAGTAGCATGGTCGTAGAAGGTATTTGGAGCAAAGGATTGTTGAAAGAAGTAATTCGACTCTTTAAGGGAGACACGATGACAGAATTGAAGCGAAACGGAGCAGACAGTTTAGATCCAACCAAACGAATTCCGATCTATATGGGTGGCTTTCGTTATGATGAAGACAATGAACGATTTGTTCGTGAAGGGAGAGGTTGCCTGGTTGATGAAAAGACTGGAATCGCTACTCGAGAATGTGAGTGGAAAGATGGAGAAGAAGTGAGTGGCGTGAATCTGTACGGTGGATGGTATAGCCAGCAGGAAATGCAGGAGCTATTTTATGTTCCTGATAATACGATAACAATCAAGGAAACAGAGGATTTGAGGAATCTGAGTATTCAAGTGACCGATTTGAAGATCTCACCGCATTGCTGTAACGATTTGAATGAACTAAATTTGAATCGATTCGCGTGGTTACGATCGATCGAAATCAGCGATGGCTGTTTTGAATCCGTGCAAACATTCAAAATCGATGGACTGAATCGATTGAAAACGATCAAAATCGGCAAGAATTCATTCACTCAGAAAAGGAATGGAAATGGAAATGATGAATCGAAATCATTCCACCTATTGAATTGTGAATCATTGGAATCGATTGACATTGGCGATTATAGTTTCAGTGATTTTGCTGGCGACTTTGAATTGAAGAATCTACCACAACTGCAATCCATTCAGATTGGTAGCAAGCAGAACAATTCGAAGAATTTTGCTTATAGCTCCCTTGTACTCCGAGGTACATAGTACTTTTAAAGCTCAATATGCAGATCTTCCTAGCCTTGTATCTATCGTTTTAGGCCGTAATTCGTTTAGTACATCAAAGTCAGATGTATTCGAAAGTATGGAATTAACTCGATGCGATGATTGGAATAGATCTTCCTTCTCTACAGTCTATTGAACTCTATGTTCATGCTCTTAATGGTAGATCTGGAGATCCAGACTGCTCTCTGACAATGCGAAGTAGATATTAGTGAACAGAGAGATTGATATTAGATCTTCCCAAATTAACTCGCCTTTTCTCTTCTGGAGGTAGTTTCATACATTACAAAAAAGTAGTCCTAGAAAGTACTCAATACATAAATCGTAATATAGCTTAGATATACCAAGTCTTGAATCGGTTTCTCTTCCTAAAGATACATATGATAATGATCCGTTTTGGAATGTTCAATCACAGACTATTTCCAGTAGTTTTGTTTCCAGTATTATAAATAGATGTCTCTCGAACTCTCACTGATTTGCTCTCTGTTGCACGACAAGCCATTGTCTCCGATCTGAGCCAACTAGATAGACTGCAAGACAATATTACTGCATTATCCATTTCTTCAAATACGTATAATAATAATGACATACTCGATTTGAATCGATTTGGCTCGCTGACCACTATTATCATTGGAAACAATTGTTGTAGTTCAGTGCAAAGATTCAAGATCGATGGATTGAATCGATTGAAAACGATCAAAATCGGCAGTAACTCGTTCACTCAAAGCCGAGATGGGAATCAGAAAAATAGATGGAAATCATTCCACATTCTGAATTGTAAACAACTAAAATCACTAGAGATTGGTGATAACAGTTTTAGTGATTTTGCTGGGGATTTCCAGTTGAGTTGTCTTTTGTCACTGCAATCCATTAAAATAGGCTTTGCAAATGCATTTTCTTACTGTTTCTACGGTAGCACCTTTATTGTCCGAGGTTTGCTTAGGGGTGGAAATGATGACTCTGCAGATCTTCCAAATCTCGAATCGATTGAACTAGGCGGTCAAACATTCCGTGAATCTTTGTCAACGGTCATAGAAAGTATCGAATCGAAAGGGATGAGATAATTGAAATAGATCTTCCCAAATTGCGATTCATTGCACTTGGTAAATGGGCGCTTTGCGGACAAAGGGATGAATCCTGTTCGTTGATAATGCGAAGTATGGGAGAAATGGTGTGAAATGATTGAATGTAGATCTCTGGAATCTAATTTCAATAACCGCTGTTTGGGGCAGTTTCTATTTTGCTTGTGATGTGCATCTTGAAAGTTCGTTCTTTCTGGTTATTGATGATGATTTAGATATTCCAAGACTTGAGAACATTATGTTGCCAGATTCGTTCAATAGAGTCAGACTTAGAAACGTGCACAGTTCATTGCTACTGTTGCTTGTTATTTTGTAGATATTACTGCCCAACTTGTCCGTCTTGTGGACAAACATTAACCTTACATCGTTCCGTCAAGATCCAATTGCTCTGCTTTGTGTTGCTATCGATGTTCTTGCTTGTTTGTTTCATTCCTTGAAAGAAAATGCTTCCTTCTCTTTTGATTCATCCACACAAACCAATCCATTTCTCAACTTCCTTGATACAACAAACAACAAGACATGGAAAAACTCTTCATAAAAATGCAACGTATTCAATTCAATTCAATTCAATTCAATTCAATTCAATTCAATTCAATTCAATTCAGTACAGTCGGAGCGGGTCCTCCTCTCTTCAATCTCTTAATGATCTCTGCAAACGAAGGTCTTGCATCCGGATCCTGATCCCAACAATCCCGAATGAGTGTCGCATACCACTCAGGACACGTATCTGGAATTGGCAATCGCTTCTTATGTGTATGCACCATCATCGCGACCTATCCTTCATCCTCTTTCGATTGCTTTACCTGCATCGGCTGCATGCCATCGTACGGGATTTTCCGAGTGAGCAACTCCCACAGATTGATTCCGTACGAGTACACATCGGCCTTTTCTGTGTAAATGTGTCCGCCGATCACTTCCGGAGCCATCCATTGATACGTTCCGCACTGCCCAGTCATCATTCCGTGGGCTGCAGCCGACTAAAAAGAATGAAAAGAGCAAAACATCGAGTACCTTGAAGCGAGAAAGGCCGAAATCGCTGACCTTCGCGGTCCATTTCTCATCCACGAGGATGTTGAGCGATTTCAAATCGCGATGAATGATGATCGGCGTGGAGGTGTGAAGGAAGTTCATTCCGCGCGCCACGTCCAGCGCGATCCGAACACGACGCTGCCAGGGAATCTGCACCGCGTAGTGCTCCTCGTTCTCGTCGACCGTGTCGTGCAGCAGATCGAACAGATTCCCGTTGTGGCAGTATTCGGTGACCAAACACACCGGATCCATCACCAGCCCCATAAAAATCACGATGTTCGGGTGCCGCAGCGCGCGCATCAGCACCACTTCCGAGTGGAAATCGCGGATCGCCTTCGCAGACATTCTGCTAACGCGCAGCTTCTTCACGGCCACTTCGCACCCGCGATACATTCCATGGTACACGATCGCGAAGCCTCCCACGCCGATTCGCTCGTCCACTTCGATTTCCGACCATCGAATCTGGATCCCCGTCAGCTGCAAATCGCTCAACGCCGACTGCAGCGCCGTCATCACTTTCCGCTTCAGCGCTTCGTCCGCCTGGCTCTCCGATTTCTCGATTCGCGACTCGTAGTCCACTTCGTCTTCGCTCGAATCGTCCTCCACCAGGCCTGCGTTCCGCACCACCGACGACAAGCCACGACGATGCGTCGGCGTCGGCGTCGGCGGCTCGCATGCTGGCGCTGGAGGCTCGCGCGCCGGATTCATCAGCGGAACGATGGTCGTCTTCGAGGCTTCAGCGGGCTTTCCGAGGAGGCTGGGCAGCTGGGCGGGGCGCGAAGGCAGCAGAGAAGGCGCGGGAGGAGGAACGGTCGGCTGTGCGAAGGGCTGTGCGAAGGGCTGTGCGGAAGGCTGAGGAGGAGAGAAGGGCTCTTGGGGATTGGGGGAGAACATGTAGTCGACGGAGAAGGTGGAGGAGGGACGGGCAGGATTCATCGCGCGGTAGGAGGGACCGTTGAAGAGACTCACCGCTTCGGGAGCGGGGGAAGCGAAGCCCGCGTTGAATTGGGAGGATTGGGAGGGCTGCGAGGGCTGTAAGGGTTGCAGGGGTTGGGAAGGCTGCGGAGAATGGAAGGGAGGCGAGGACTGGCCTTGAAGCGCCTGCATGGGTTGCATGGGTTGAATGAGTTGGAGAGGCTGCATTGGTTGGATTGGCTGCATTGGTTGCATGGGTTGGAGAGGTTGAATGGGCTGCATGTTTTGAATGGGTTGCATGGGCTGGATTTGATGAAGTGATGAAACTGGCTGCAAGGGTTGGGGAGCATTCTGAAGAGAGTGAATTGATGAAACTGGCTGCAACGCCTGCATGGTTGGCTGCATGGTTGGCTGCATGGTTGGCTGCCTTCCCTGCATCGGCATTAGCGGTTGCTGCGGCTGGGGAGGCGAGGCGAATCCTCCGGGGATCGGCGTAATGGACTGATTCAAACGCACCGGAGCCAGCATGGGTCCTCGCTTATCGAACACATAATTCCCTTCGTTATGATTCAGACTCGGCCGCATGCTCCACCCCACATCCTGCTGCACCGCCGCCGGACCGAGTCCCGAATAGTCCAAATCCAGCAGATCCTCCTCCACGTCGGAGGGCTTGGCTTCCTCCTGCTTCGACTTCGACCTACGCTCGCAATCCCTGCTCCCGCTCCTACTTCACCACCACCGGAATCCACAGTCGCTGGATGTATTTCTGCTTCAAAAACGACGCCCACGCTGCGCATCACATCGCTCCCGCGTCCCTACCGCTCGGCGACGCGTCCAGCGCCGGTCGCTTCTCCTCCGGCAGCCGATTTTCCCAGAACGCCTTCGCTTTCTTGTTCCCAATCTCCGCCGCCGCCGCCACCCACTCCGGCCGAAGCACTTTCGCCGTCGTGCTGTGCACCTCGCTGATGCTTTCCTACGCGGAACGCGCCCCGACCGCTCCTACGCCCAGCTGCTGATGGATCTTCTGGCAGATCGCGCAGAGAAACACGCCCAGATTCACCGAGAAATACTTGACCGGCGCGCGGCCGCACTCCACGCACACCTTGTTCTCTTTCCGGATCAGCACCTTCTTCATCGCCTGCCGCGTGTTCTCCTCCGCGCGCTGCGTTCCCACCGTGCCGATGAGCGGGACGATCGCTCCCTTCGCGGTGACCTTGTACAGCGAGCCCAAAAGGTGCACGTTCTCCTCGTTGTCCGACGACCCGCTGTCTTCATCGTCCAGATCCGCTTCTTCCAGCATGTCGTTGTCCCCCACCGACATAAAGCTGTCCAGGATCTTCCGCGCCGCTGCACGCGCGCGCCGCGGATGCTTCTCCAGCGGGCTCTTCGCGGGAATGCTCGGAATCTACGCGTCAAACCCCGATCACGCGCGCACGTCGTCGAAGAGATTGAGTTCCTGGATGTTCTTCGCGCGCATGATGATCTCGCGGAGCGCCAGCCGCTCTTCCTCGTAGCGCGCCAGCGTGGACTGCACGATGTCGGGCTCGTCGTTCTTGCTGAGCAGATCGGCCATCACCACGGTGAGCGAGAGATAGATCGAGTGAGCCTCTTCGATCATCGGGCGGATCGCTCCATTAATCACCGGGTCCGTGTTGGCGAGCGCCCAGCGCAGCGCCAGGTTGAGATTGGCGAGGAGCGTGGAGAGGCGCGCGGGGACGTTGACTTGGTCCTCGACGTCGAGCTCGGCGCCCTCGACGAGCGCGTAGTTCATTCCGAACTCCGTGTATTTGTTCAGGAAGTACACCTTGTTCGTCAGAATGTTCGCGAAGCGCGAGATAAACGGCGCCCAGTTCATGTCTTTCCGCTTGTCCTCGCTCTCCTACGCCTCGCGCCCTCGCCGTTTCCCCACTTCCACGATTTTCCAGCGCGTCGAGATCTCTTTGAGCAGCGACACGTGCTTGAACGATTGGTACACGACCTCCTGCGTGCTCAGCTGGAACACGCACAGCGTCGTGGTCAGCGCCTTCACGGCGACGATTTCGCTCGCGAACAGCGGCCGTCTATCCGTCAGCCCTCTCTCTGCGCGCCCACTTCGACAAGAGCGAGAAATAGAAGTCGATCGAGTGGTTCTCGTACGCGGCGATCGCGATCTTCTTCATCGATCGGCGCGGCGGCGGCTCGGGAACGCGCGACGTGCACTTCAGCACCCACCGCGTGTGGTTCTTCTTCCCTCCGAAGTACTGCAGCATCGACGTGCGGATCCGGTCCGTCATCTCGCCTGCCTCGCGCTTCTGCTGCACCAAATCATCCACGTCGCTGCTCGACGACAGATCCGAGTCGCTCAGCTCCAGCGACGTCGAGTATTTCCCAGAAGACGTGCTCTTTCCGGAGCTGCCGCGCTGCGCCGGCTTCGTGACTTGCAGTTTGTTCGATCGCTCGCGCGGAACCGACGTCGATTTCGGCCTCGTCAGCGTCGCTTTCTTGCTTTGAGGCTTCGGCTGCACAGGCTTTCGACGCTGCTGCTGCGCGTAGTCCAGCACGGCCGAGGCCTCCTGCGTCATCCGCCAGCGCGTGAACCCCGAGGCCTTCACCACCACGTCGACAATCGACGGCCGTCTGCGAGTGAGGCGAAGCGAGGAGACTCACTTGTTCACGTCGGCGGTGAGCAGGCGACGGATGATCTCGAGAAACTCCGCGGAGTATTTCTTGGCCTCGTTGGCGGGGAAGGTGAAGCGGCCCGCGATGAGCGATCGCGTATCGATCTTTCCGTCGACGGATTCGAAGGGTGTCGAGAAGAAGGCCAGATAGTACATGAGAATGCCCAGTTCCCACACGTCCACCTTCTCCGAAATCTTGCGGTGCTTCGAGTTCGAGGTGCTGCACGTTACGGGAGATAAAGCTACGATACAGATCGCAAAATTCGGGGGGAAAATAGGCGGGATCCGCCACCAACTCGAGCTGTTGCTCCACGATGCGAGATTCTTCCATGGTGTGGGGAGTCTGCACATTCAGAGTCGGAAACGCAAATACGATCATGTTGGATGTCATAGAACGCGCAGCTTCCAGTTTGCAACGACCACTCGCATGGACATAAATGTAATTGGGCTAGGTCGTCAAAACGATTGGGTGGATCGCGTACATTGACGTTGCGATAGCTGACGGGAGGGTCTTCCGTGTGGAGAACAAACAGAGCGCAGGCTACGTCACGCAAAATGGCGAGTAGCATCTTTTCAGAAAACGTCTGCGGATAGGTCTGTGTTACGACATCCGAGAGAAGACCACCATCACAATGCTCCGTGATTATGACGCCTCGGACCAAATTTTCTTCATTATATATCTCGGAGTCGTAGTAGCGAACAAGATTTCCATGGATTGGCATGTGTTTCTACAAAGTAAGCAACGCCTCTGGATTTCAACCCATTGAAAGATTTCTTGTTTTAGCCGGTTTAGGCTCTTCATATCTCCTTGATCAAAAGTCGCTACTCGCACATCATAAACTTGGTTTGTTTCAATATCATGAGCTAGATAGATTTTCCAGTAGCTATCTATCCAATTAAACAAATGCAGTCAACGATCTCACCTTCATAGAGAATGTCCTTGATACGAACAGTCAACTTGGATGTACTGATTTCCTTCCCTTGAGAATTTCCCATCGTCCGCTTTTACAACTAGACTAGAGTAAGCGCTCGTAATTCTCAAGAAATATGAAAGTCTTGATTCCCGTGAAACAATGATTTTTGGAATTCACGTTTGGAAGGGGCGTATCTTTTGGCGGACGTCCGCTTTTTAAATATTGCGAAGTAGTACCTCACCCAAGCCAGGTTTTGTTAAGTTCGTGATGGGTTTAAAGCTGAAAACTCTTCTTGATCTTACAAATCGCTATGGCAGCGTGTTTGTAGTGCATTGAATGATCATTTCAGCGAGGGACGTACATTTGTAAGAATACGATTCTGTGGGATCCCCTATTCTGCTACTTGTGCTTTTTCCAAATTCGCAAAATGTCGCTTCTACTGCGTGTTGGGAGATGCTTCACGGCTCCGTGTTCTGTTGTACCCCAAGGCAAGTTGTAATGACCTTCGCATGACCTTCTAGTGTTTTGTCGATTTGCGCATAATCAGTCGGGAGGAAAGACGTTGAACGGGCGTGATTCCAATCCAAAATATCTGGGTTTGAAGAAATTCGGAGGGTACGCGCATTTTTGAGTGTCGATAATGAGTTAGAGAGAAAGTCATTCCGGGAAACATTATTATGCGTCAGCGGGGAACCAAATTCCATCCTGGTGAGTTTCGCAGACTTTTTGCCTTATTTGTAGGGCAAGGTGTTGGCATGGGTCGTGATCACACTTTGTATGCGCTGACGGAGGGGTATGTGCATTTCACTTGGAATCCTTTCAACAAGAAGCAGGTTGGGTGTGTGAGTGGTGTTCTGACACTAGACAATCGACATTACAGAGAAGCCGATGCCTACAACGCGTATCACGGATCCTCGTAGTGTTCCAAGACGTATTTGGGGTTAAGTCAGCAATTCAGTTCTTCCAATTCTTCAGGTTCATTCGTTCGTTCGTTCGTTTGTTCGTTTGTTCGTTTGTTTAGTTCCTTGTTTTCCACAAACACTCCAAAATCCAATCATCACTCCCATCATCATCATCATCATTACTACTCTTCATCCGAATACGAATAGCCCGAATAATCCGAATACTCCGAATACTCCGAATACTCCGATTCCGATTCCGATTCCGATTCCGATTCCTCCTTGCTCAGCGTCTGCGTCTCCATCGCCTCCACTTCGCTCTCCGGCACGCGATACACTCGAATGAATCCCTTCAGCGGATCCTTCATCAGAATGTAGTGTCCGTTCTCCTCCTTGCTCAGCAGCTTCACGAAATACTCCACGACGGCCCACATGTTCTGCTCGTTCAGCATGATTTGCTTCTTAAACGTCTCCAGCGAGAAGTTCTGCACGCCCAGAATCACATGTCCGCTGTTTCTACCGCTCATCGCCCTCCCTCTCTCCCTTACATATCGTCCATCTTCCGACGACTCACATACCCGATCTTCACCAAATCCACGCCGGCCAGCACCGCCTGCACGCCCCACTTCGACAGCCGATAGTTATTGTTCTTCATGTCCTCCGTCAGCGCGTAGCCCGGCTACTCTCGACCCCCTCGCTCATCCCTACGCTCGCCGCCAGCTTGCTTCGCCAGCGATTCGTCAGCGGCGTCCGATTGCACCACTCGTTCACCGCGTACGCGTTCAGCAGCTGCGGCTTCTCGCGGTTCGTCTGCACGCCGTGGACCTCCGTGCGCACCAGCAGCACCTGCCCGTCCGACAGCGTGAACTTCCGGTACCGATACATGCGGTTGATCTTCTCGGGGTTCTACGCCTCACCCGCAGAATTCGAGCGAACATCGTCGGGGAACGGCGACGGGAACTCGCAGGCCGTCACCTCGGACGTCATGATCTGCTTGGCGAAGTCGCGGTTGATGTCGGTCACCTCCTTCCTGCCGATCACCCCTCCCTTCCACGCCTACCACAAGCAGTTGTTCTTGTTCTCCTCCTCCGTCGGCAGATCCGCGGACGTCTCGTTCACCGAGTACTGGTCGAACACGCCGTCGCGGTGCGAGATGAACAGCCCGTTTTCGTTCTTGATCACCTCCAGATCCCTTCCCGTTACGCGGTTTCCACGGTTCCCTACCAGCTCAGCTGCGAGCGGATCGCCACCATCAGCTGGGACAGCGCCACGTCGGTGGTGTAGATCTGCGCGGCCTTGGAGTTCACCAGCTGCGCGATGAACGGGTCCTTCATCACGGAAGTGACCTTCAGATCGCCGCTCGCTGCGTGGTCCTCCAGAGCCGCGGTTTTCTTGAGGTTGACCGAGTCATACAGCGGGTTGTAGGTGTTGTAGCTGCCGCACGAAGCACTAGATGGGAGAGAAGGGGCAGGGAAACAATTCGGAGACGGCGGGGAGGGTTTTGAGAGTGAGTTGCGCGAGATCGCGGAAATCCACTTGGAACAAGCTCGGCCATGTACTTTTGATCTAGATTACAACCGCGAAATGCAGCTACCGTGATCGAGGGCAGATGCAGGAAGTCATAGTTACGACGCTGGTACTGCGAAGCGCCCTTCTTCTGCGAACTGCGACCCTTGCCTCCAGACGCCGCCTGGTTTGCGTTGTTCGCATTGTAGTTGGCCTTTGTCTTTGTGTGCAGCACTATTCCTCAGAGAGAGACCAAGAATCCCACATTTGCTCTTGTGAGACACGGGCGTGTGCATTTTGTCCACTTTGACGAAGTCGCCATCGTTCTGTTCCACATCTATGTGTGAGCATGCCACAAAAAAGCACAAGTACTACTTTGCAGTCTCTGCATACCGGAAAGCATATTAATATCGATAATCATTCCCAACTTATCATCTCGACTAAAAGACTCAAGGGGCAAGTCCTGAAATTGCTCCGGAATGGAACATGGACCCCAACCATTCGAATTAAAAGCAAAATCGGGAATTCCATAAACGCTCTGCTCGGGAGTTTGCTCGGCCATTGAATTGGAAAATAGTAAGTGGAGTTTACAGGGTAGGCAAAATAGTCTATTTTTCTGGAAACGCTTATAAACAATACAAAAGTATAAATCTTATTCCAACAAACAGAATATTGTACAACTCATAAATTATAGCGCTGGCTAACTCGATGTTTACTTTTCCTCTTCCTGAGGCGAAACATAGGCGGGATCATTCTTGTCCAGTGGCATATCTTCGGCAAGATACTCATCACCAGGCTTTCCCCAAGTGTACTTTCCTCCAGCACCTCCTTTCTTCACTTCCTTTGTAGCGCCATTGCGCGACAGATGTCTATCCATTTCCTTTTTGCCCATTGTAGTCTTCAAAAGATAAGAAAAATTATGATACAAAAAGGATCTTGATCGTTAGAGTTTCAGTTGTTCATAATTATCATGAACTACTTTACGGATCCCTGTTCTCGAAGACTTTCGTTCTAGAACCTTGGTTACCAAATGAATTTGCGCATTGATGAGGATATCCATTCTGCGAGTCTTTCATTTCATTCAATTCGCTTTTTGGATTGGGATCTTGGTATTTAGCTTTTTTCAACTATTTTTGGTTCGATAGCTAAAGCAGCAGTTTGGAACTTGAGGATGATAATTATTGATCCAAATAACACTAGCACAGTCTCATCGCAACATTTATTTTAGAAAACAGACAAAGTCTTAACCAACACAAATCCGACTTATTCCATCATCTCTTCTTTCACCTCCTTCTCTTCAGGTGCAGTAACTTCCTCCTCAATTTCTTCTTCTTCTCCCGAAATCTCCGGATATTTGTACTATCTTATCAAAACAACTGGAGTCCTACGGATTGGGCGATTTCCAAAATCAGAAGCGTGACAGCAATGCCGAAAACCAGTCCAATGACAAGAAGAAGAGAACAAGTGAACAGCGGGTGCTGGAACAAGTAAGTATTGGCCTTGAGGGAGTATTTCTATGCATTACAACACCAAAACGAGACCAACATCAAAGAGAATGGACACAATGTTAGGCATGGCAGGGACAGGTTTTGATTGCTTCATTTTGTATCTACTCACTGAGAACGATTCTACACACTTACAGATGAAGCGAGAAATCCTCAAGACCTTGTACAGTACGCGATCCATCAAAAGCATAGTATTTGCCCTTAAAAGTTAGAAGAAATAGGTTAGATTACTTCACTAAACAGCAATACGGTAGGGTATCCTCGAATTCTAAAGCGCTTACTCAATCCCGTTTCCTCAGTTGCATCCACCTTTTTCTAAATCATTCTCCAATATCCATACATCTCCGAAGTGAACCTGGCCCTTCAGTTTCTCGGCAGCTTCATCCCACGTAGGCTTGAGGGCTTTGCAATGGCCGCACCACTATATTATTATGCATCACTTCGTGAGTAATATACAGGCGCATAGAAGCGTATAAACCAAACTCCTGCTTCAGGAGCCAATACAACATTATCGAAAGTAAGGTCGGTGAGTTCCACAACTTCTAGGATTCGTAGAATAGATAGAAGAGGTACCAGAAGAAGTAGCAATTCCAACGGCAATCAGCAATAGCAACAACGATCTATGCGAAGGTAAGTGGCGTCCATCGCAGAGCATTGACTTACTTAATCATCTGCACAATCAAAAGTATAAAAATGTATTTGAAACAAACAACAAACTAATCAACACCAACTTAAAATTCAACGGAGACGAGAAGCAGAAAGATCTAAAGGATGGTTAGTATTCATTGTTTGTAGATCCCTATCAATATATTCATGAGAATAATATCGTAAAATCCACATGTCTTTTGCAGAATTAGGTAGAGAAGAGACGATAACCGGCACCTCTCTGTTTTACAATCTGCATTTCCACACAAACACAAGTACAGCCACTTACCACTTCGCTAGTAGGAGCGATTGCGCAAATAGGATCTTCACCACTTATCATCTCCGTTGATTCCACATCCCGCTAAAGAAAAGAATGAATAATATTTCGTCCCTTCAACTAATATTTCCATCAATTGCCCTATTTTATTATAATATACTGTGAGATTAATAAGCAATAGGAACCATTTTGAATATAGGTCTGTAATGTGAATTTCAACAAAACAGTATAGATCTGATAGTATACTAAGTTAGATTGACGAGCGAGATGAAAGAAAGCACAGACAATCTCATGATTCTTTTCTCTCAATTTGCCATTAATGTGAGAGTCGAACAAAATCAATATCTCAGGTTCGTATGTAATTTCCATTAGGGGAATGCAAGAGGCATGGATAATGACGACCTGCCTCGAAAAGTCAGCTTGAGCGAGCTTATTCTGTATAATGGACTAGGATAAAGGTAGGTCAGTTCATATTACCTGCGAGGACTTGAATGGAAGAAGGACTGTTAGAGAAATGTCTGGTCTATCATTTTTGAAGCAGGAAACCAACGCAGCTGTGTTTTAGCTTGATACGATGGTAATAGCCTACTAATCGATGGGATGAGTTTGCAAACGATCGTTACTGTTGCCTTCTGTGCCATTTCAATGCAAAATGCAATCTATCTGTCACAGAATGTACTCATTTCAACCTTTGCACTGTAGCTACTGCTAAATGTACAGTCTTTGCATAGTACACGCAGTTGATTGAGTTCCTTATTGGTATTTCCCTTCCTTTATTGAATACCTTCTTGTCTCCTTTGACTTTGAACTTTTTATCCAGCAACAAGTAGGGATGAATAGAAATGAACATTTTCAAGTACGGTATCGTGCTTCGCTTTAACATTTCCATTTGTAATGGAGTAGGCTGATAACTAGGATGCCGTTCCTCGCAGCGCAATCCACGAAGACGATTCTTCTCCATCACCATGGAGGTTGTCATTGTGGCAAAATCCGGGTACCCATTACTAAAGGCACGTGCTCTACACAAAATAGCTTGATATGACCAGTCATCATCATCAGGCATATAGTAAAAATCGGTTTGAACCATGATAATCGAATGGATAGGCTGATCTATCACATACGTATCTTTATACTTTGTAGATTCCAGGTAGATGTCATAATTATGAAGAATAATGTGAAGTAATTCTGAGGTCACAAATTGTCCTAGGCTACGCTAATCAAATCTATCCACACGTACCATGTATAAGGAGCACACAACACGCCTCCATATCGTCTCCACGCTCTGCAGAGTCGGTCGATGATCGCTTGGTTGGAGGCAGATGCATCGTCGGCAGTCCAGATATTCGTTCGACATGCCTTCCGTATTCTTGACACCCAATCAGGAATGCATATAGACTGAGTAAAGATGAGGCAGCAATCATAAGCAAAGCCTGCGTACTCTTTTAAAGGTTTCTTTTCATTGGAGAGTTTGGACAGATACATAGACCAGGTGTGGCAACTGAATTTTATATCGCGGTTGATCAGCAGATGAAGGGAGTCGCAATAGGTTTGGATGTATGGCTCGATAACAGAGCGACTCACAGACACTTTATCTTGGCCGTGATAATGCTCGTTCCATTTCGCATCTTGAATCAGCGTGTCTTTTATGAACTGCTCCTTCTCGTTCAAGAATTCTAGAGAAATGGGATCAACGATAAGGAGTTCTGATTGAATTGTAAGTTCGTTGGCTAGAAAAAGTAAGAGTTCCTGTGCTCTGGGTTCATCAAAATCCAGCAATTCACTAATTCCGTAGACTAGCATCGTAACAAAAAGCGAAAGAAAAGCTACCCATTGTTACAAGATGAGCTGCGCGTATATCATCTGCAATGGAAAGGTAATCGTGTCTAGAAAGCAGAAATGACAAGGAACTACAATAGATCCACAGCTTTAAACTCATAAGAAAAGGACTTTGACTGATGATTGCGAAGAGACTCAGCAATGGTATCCAGTCTATATGATAGAATAGGATGGAAGGAAAAGAGTACGTTGATTTCCAATGACTCTCTTTATCAATAACGGTTATATGAATGTGAGGATTCGTCAACGTACTCACCAATGAAACAAGTTCAGCTCCTGAGCCGCCACACAAGCAAACTATGTTGAGATTCTCGATTTCTTTAATGTGATCTGATAATTGAGTTCGGAATAAATGTTGAAGAGCAAAAATGTGAATTGGCGTTGTTCCGAGAGAATAGGCGGAGATTACTTCGGGACTATACATGATGGAGTTGTTCTCATCAATTCGGTCATAGTTTTGCCTGGTTGCTCTCCAATCTTCACGAATTGTTTCCTTCTCTAGCTCGTTTGCGATTCGGTGTATATTATCATCTAAAATACTAACAACTTGCCGCACTTCGTCTTCTAAAACGTGATAAGTGCGAGTTTTCTGAAAATCACTATTATACATTAATAATACGATTTCTGCATATTCGACAGGAACAACCTACAGTAAAAAACATAAGATAGAGTACATTCCCATAATATCTCTTCGCCATTTCGACTGCTGTGTCCATAGGCCGAGCGCCTTTGCAATAATTTAGAATCGTTGATTCTTCGCACATGTATAAAAAATAACTATTATAATCACCAACGAATTGTGTATACTGTAAAAAATACAAAGTACATTGCTATTATAAATATACATTCCACATGGAATTTGCCTTTGAGTCTTGTGGCTGTTCCTGGTGAGAAATCTCGCTTTCCTCCTCAATGTGATCAAGATCTGTCTATTTTTCATACGCTTTGCGATAAGGATTACCACATAAACGGGTTCATCGGGTTTACTTGGCTTCGATTTCGTTAGCATCGCAAACGGCAAATTATCTATTGTATGTTCTCTCTCTTTCTGCTTGTCCTGCGCTTTCTCTGTCTGTGATGAGTCCATGAAGGCACGAGAAGGAGTCATAGTACCGTTTTGATTAAATGGTGTAAAGGGATTTTTGGATTGGGTAAAGGTATTGAACGAATCGCGTTGATTGCTTGGTTTGTAAGCTTCGCGTTGATTGCTTGGTTTGTAAGCTTCGCGTTGATTGCTTGGTATGTAAGCTTCGTGTTGATTGCTTTGTATGTAAGCTTCGCGCTGATTGCTTTGTATGTATGATTTATCAGGACTGAGAATTCCATTGGACACCCCACTGAAACGATTGGGCTCTGGGAACTTTTCATAGTTCCATTGTTTGCTGGACTCCAATTGCTCTAGCGGGTCCAAGACATCCTGTTTCCCAACCTTCTTTGCGTGCCTTCCTTCCCTTGACTGCCTTGCCTGTCTTTTCGTCCCTGAAGCCCGAGGTGGAAGTAATACCGAAGAATCTGTGATAAATCTTGGGTCTTCGTACTCCTCCTCTTCAGGTTCTGTTGACTTCTACCATTTAAACTGGAAAAACTCAAACTACGTCCAAAAACTGATTCCACTTGCTTTCTGTTGGAGGAGCCTCGCTTCGTGGCTTTAGGAATTCTTCATTTTCCTCAGGGGGAACTTGTTCTCCCTGTTCTCCTCTCTTCCTGTTTAGTTCCTGTACAACAGCCCGGATATCCTTTGGGTAATCACTTTTTGCATAAATCTATATGAAAGCAAGCAACCTCGACTACATGACGGAAACTTTGCTTCTCACCACACACTTTGCATTTAAATTTGCGTAGCTTATTCATCTGAAGTGTTACTAAAGAGAGTAGTAAACACCTGCTGCCCTTGAAAGAGTTTGCATTGAAAACAACACACCACTACATATTCCGGCATTTAGTACAATATTGTTAGAAAAAACTACTATCATCGAAGTTCCCGCCTAAAATACCACCCTATCCATTTTGTTCAAACTCTTTTGAGAAATCATTGATAAAACAGAATCCATGAAACTAATTTGGGATATAAGTTGTTCTTCACTTGACAAGACACAACTTCTGTTGGAAGTGTCTCTCTAAGCTTCTATGAATGGGATCACAAAATAATGAAACAGACTTTCCTTCGTCTGGTGTGTTCATGGAGTATAATCGTTTGTTTTTGATACTCTCTTTTCCTCAGGAGATGATCGGGTGTTTTTATCCTTCTCTGATGTAGATTCGATCTTTGAACAACGAAGAAGCCCTTTTCGTTGGGTTCCTAGAACGACCCGAATCCATAAGTTGGTACGATTTGTACCGATCGATAACCCTGAGATTTTCCCACCCAATACTGAAATCGATAATAGTCCAACTCACCATTCGGGAGAACTAAAGCATGTGAATGGGTTTGCTCACTCGGGCTCGTTGACTCTAATTCTAGGTGTTACGTACAGCTCGCATTTCTTATTATCAGTAGACGATCAGGAAATTCCTCGTTACTTCATGTTCTTTCAGGAACCTCTTCTATTTCTAGCGGCCAAATAATGGTTAACGGCTACATCGTTCATCCGTTTACTTTGCAGTACCCAGATTTCCTTGTATTCACAAATAACTAGTCAAATAAGCTGCTTCGTTCAACAAGATCCGGTCTATTATCCACAACTCACCTTCGAAGAGCAGCTGTACTTCACGGCTCAATTCCTCTTGGGAGATCGTCCTCAAGAAGAGCGACTGGAGCGAATTCGCTGGGTGTTTGACCCAGTTGGCTTCAACTCTAGATCATTTATCACTTGAATTTGAAAGAACTCGCGTCTCGTTCCATCGGGAACGGGAACAAGGGAGGTTTATCGAATGGAGATAAACGAAAGCTTGCGATTGCATGCATGCTGCTTTACGATTTGCCGTATCCGTTGAGGAACCGATTTCAGAAATAGGATGTATATGATAGAAGAACCGCTTGCAGATTTAGACGCTGTGGCAATTCAGGATGTGCTTATCACGCTCACATACCTAGTAGTGTCATGGCAGAGTGAATAAAGCAGAGAAACCAAGGAGCCTGTGTGGTTTGTTCCATGCACACGCTTCCTTCCTATTTTCTTGACTATTTCGATCGCGTTCTCTTGCTCGCTCAGGGCAGAGAAGTCTTTTTTGGCTCCCCCTCCGAACTCCGGAGCTTCTTCTTCTTCAACTCTTCCAACTCTGTGGAGTCGCATTCGGAAACGCTGATATTCGAAATCATGCAGCAGTGTTCCTTTTCCGTGTATGACACACTTCGGATACAACGCCAACAAGAAGTCGATCTATCAAGTCTCATTTTGAAATACGAGTTCGGCTCCGCCATCCGTTTTTGATTAGATCTTCTTCGCTGTACGCTCAAAATCGAGAGATAGCTCGGATCGGCAACAACACATTCGAGTCGGAACCCCTCGCCAAACTCATCACCCAATCCGAAATCAACCTCCAGAAATCGATATTTCACCGTTTCTTCTATGTGATGTTTTCTCGCCGCTCGCACGCGTCCTGGTGGCACCAATACAAAACCATCATCCAACGAGAATGGAGAGTCGAGCTCCCGCTCATCTTCCAATTAGGTAATCGTGCGGTACAACACGCTGTCCGTCGCTCGGCTGTTCCACGCTGTCTTCACCGCGCTGTTCATCGGGCTGACGTACCTCAATCTCCCAGTGGATCAGGCAGTGAGTGTGTGAAGGATGTTTAAAGAAAGGGGGTTCGAAGCCGTGTTTCTGTGATGTCGTTTGCTCTGATGAACGAATGCTACGCTGCACTCTTCAGCGAGTCTTCCATCTTCGATTCCTATATGCAAATTATCTTCACAGAGAGCCAAAACGGTGAGGATTGGGAGAGAAATGATGATGGGAAGGCCTCTATCGACTGGATGCCTTTTTTCTGGCGTTTAGCACCATCACCCTTCCGCTCTCTCTGCTCTATCCGACTATTTTTGTTTGTATTCTCTACTATCTTGTGGGGTTTCGATCCGATCCAGCGCGGTTTATCGGGTTTTGGGGAATCATGCTGCTTACGACAAACACCGCAGCCGCTCTCGGACAGCTTATCTCTGCGACCACTGGGAACTATTCCATTCTGTCCACGATGACGATTACGATCATTATTCCCTTTATTCTCCTCGGAGGATACTACATCATTGGCACTCGTATCATGTGGTGGATTCGGTGGATTCGGTACATCAGTCTGTTTTATTACGGACTGAAATTGCTGATTATCAACCAGTTCGAGGGAGTAGAGATTGATTGTCCCCCGGGAGAGGAGCCTTGTCCCTTTCCGGATGATGCAGCGATCTTTGAAGCGTACGACGTGCAAGTCTGGGCATTCAGCCTGGACATTTGTATCCTATTTGTACTCAATTTGGTTTTTCGAATTATAGCTTTCATTTGCTATGAGATTCGAGGATATTCGAATATCATAAAGTAACGCTTTTCGATTGATTGAATGATTCATTGTTTGTTTGTTTGTTTGTTTGTTTGTTTGTTCTGATATGAATTCCAAAAAGTGGGCGTATTTTTGTCATTTAAAAAAACGCAGAATACGATGAGTTTAACACTTTATCAGTTTGAATATGCATGGGAAATCCATGTAAATCGAATGGAGCGGATCTTGACGAAATAGGCATATTTGCGAGTTGCTGGTATCTATTACGAGGAAGAAAATTATGACTTTTACTCCGGGAAAGTGGTTTCCAGTTTACCCTATTTGCAAGACAAGAGAGCCATTATCGAAGAAGATCAAGCGATACCCTATTTAAAGGAAAATGTAGAATCAATTTTGCTTCTCACTATGTCATAGTACACAGATATTGACCTAGACTTCTCGGAAATCGACCGTGCAGAGATTGCTCTCTTCTCACGAGTTTTACACACATTCGGAGATTTGCTCTTTGTTCGGGAAGCTCGATTCCTTTATTTTTAGAAGCAAAAGCTGTGGATGCGAGCATCAAACGTCCAAAAGGTGGTTACATCCCTTTACAAGCCAGTTATGGGAAGTCTCTCTGGCTATTCTTATGCCTTTTCAAACTGTTGGCAAACTTGGAGACGACTGCAACGATTTCACAAGGCCATCACGATCAGTGAGAAAGAAGTACCAAAAAGTCGCGAGGTTGATTACGAATAGATCACTGAGGCGCTGGAAGCACTGTATTTCGTTCTAAATAACCGTTTGGACACACAAAAGCAGGGTAGCTACTTGTACGGAGACAAGTAATCGATTTTTATTGCTGTGATTCAGACCTTCATCGCTCGACGTGGCTCTTTTCGCGCATCTTGCAAGGGTGAAGCAGTATCCTGAGTCATTGCTTTATTTGGTGGAAGACTATCCTCATTTGATGGAGTTTTATGACCAATTTTTGTTTTCCTATTTTACGCCTGTGGAAGGAAAGGACAATCCTGCCATTTCCACGAATCTGTTCGTTACTCACCAGCAGCTAAAGATCGAAAATGCTGACAAGAAATTCTGTTTTACCACACGGAAGACGCCCTGTAGTGGATCAGTTTCCAGTCTATTGTGTAGATGAATCGAAGAAGGAAGAGTCGGAAGAAGAAAAGATGAGTTTGAACCGTCTGATTTTGTGATTTGTAGTGCGAGAAGCGTACGAACAAGACAAACAAATGTTCTACTGGAGAATCGGCTCTTTTGTCGGAGTTTTAACGCTCGGGGGCGCTCTATCCCTCCTTATAAACATATTTGTGGATAGTTCTGAGAGTGCATGATCATTGTCTGAATAACCTCGTTCTTTTATTTCCGTTTTTCTGTTTATTTGTAACACAATAAGACCACTCCTGAAAATCGTTCGAATCCAAACTCCTTAGTATTTCAAAACCTGAATAATGAATGGTGAAGAATTCTCCATAGTTTATTTTCCATCTTATACCCTATTTGCTTCTGTTTTGAACATGAGCATCAACGTCTCGTTGAAAGGAAGTAAAACAATGGACCAGTCAAATCAGCGGCTAACCTCGATCTTGTCTTCAAGTAGCCGGGCTAGACGCGAAAATATTATCAAAAGAAAGAGAGGAGAAGCCGGATTTCTGGATTCGTTACAAAAGAACTATGGACAGCAGATTACATATGAGGAAGTATTCTGTGAAATGGTTTGATAATTCGATAGGTCGAGGAACATGCGAACAATATCCGCGATGAAACAAGAGATCCGCAGAACCTCGTGAATGATGTAATGTTTTTCAGAAAATTACTTTCGAACGGTACCATTTCTTTTTCGTTTCAAGCGTCCAGACCACCATCCTCCTATCGACTTGGTCATTTCAACAGGTTTGGTTCCTCGTTTCGTTTCCTTCTTAAATTACGACAATTGCCCCAGTCTTCAATACGAAGCGGCGTGGGTCATCACGAATATCGCCTCCGGAACCAAAGAGCAGGTACCCTCTCTCGCCATGCCTCAAGCCAAGACTGCAGTCGTCATTCAGTGTGGCGCCCTTCCCATTTTGCTTCGTCTCATCGAGTCTCCCGACGTGGGCGTGCGCGAGCAAGCGAGCTGGGCGCTGGGCAACATCGCCGGCGACAACGCGCAGAGTCGTGACGACATCATCAACGCGGGAGGCGTCGAATTGATTCTGAAGCAGCTCAACAAAGTGCGATTCGGTCTTTTTTCTCTCTCACCATGCAGGAGGACTGCACGTCCTTCTTCCAGAAGAACGGCGTGTGGCTGCTGTCGAATCTGTGCCGCACGCGCGACGACCAGCCGACGGACTTCGAGCGCGTGAAGATCTGTCTGCCGTACATGCTGCAGATGCTGCAGGACAGCCAGGAGGACGTGGTGACGGACGCCTGCTGGTGCTTCGCGTTCATTACCGACTACAACAAGCGCAACACGGCGGTAGGGGCGGAGAGAGCGGCTAACTAACGCGCAGTACATTCTGCAGATGGGCGTGCTGCCGAGCATCGTGCAGCTGCTGAGCAAGTCGAACAGCAAGGTGGTGACGCCCGCGCTGCGCACGGTGGGCAACGTGCTGGCGGGAGACGACGAGCAGACGCAGCAGTGCCTGAATCTGAACGTGGTGGAGTATCTGGGGAACTTGCTGGCGAGCTCCAACCCGCTGATCGTGAAGGAAGCGGCCTGGTGCTTGTCGAACATCACGGCGGGAACGGTGGATCAGGTGCAGGTGCGAGAGAGAAGGCGGAGTGAGGAGTAGGTGGTGATTAACTACGATCTGATCCCGGTGCTGGTGGAGCTGATTCGGTCTGGACGGTCCGATGTGCAGAAGGAAGCGTGCTGGGCGGTCTGCAACGCGTTCTGTGGCGGCAATATGATGCAGATTGGGTTGCTGGTGTCTGTGGAAGACGCAATTCCTGCGATCTCCTCGATGCTGGTGAATGAATCGGGAAGCAAGCTGATCTCGATCATCATCGACTCGCTGGATCGCATTTTGGTCGTAGGTGTTGGAAGAGACATCGAGTGTAGTATGAGAAGTTTATGATGCAGAATGGAAACTTGCAGTCTGCTGTAATTACGCAAATGTTAAGTGATTGCGGATGTCTGGACAACATTGAAAAATTAGAAGCGATAGATGAATCCACGTACGAAAAGACGAAAGACTTTATTGAGCGACATTTTGGATTTGAGGACGAGATTAGTTTTAATGACATAAATTGAGGGATTGTTTGTTTTGTATTACATAGAGAGAGAGAGAGAGAGTATTTTGATATGGGATGGGGAAAAGCATGGCATGTATCAAAGAAATGTATAGCAAGATGAGAATCGAATTCGTGATGTGAGTGACAAAGGTGCCCCAACAGCATGTCTAGAAACAAACAACAGAACAATGCAATACACGACTAAAAACACACTAACTTGTAACAATTGTTCATAGAAACTTGGAAAGAGAGAATGACAACATTATCTGATTGAACACAACTCATTGATTCTGTACTTCATTTATTATTATTTATACGAAGATAAGCATATGATAATTGTCTCGATTATCCAATAAGAGGAAATACTTGAGTGATTACATGACCGAAAAATATAGAAAGCACGTTACAATGCAGAAAAGAATAAGCAGCAATCATGATTGAACAATAGAATAGTATTATCGTGTCATGTAGTAAAGACAAAGAATAACATTATATTCTCGAGCACTAACAACACAAGCACCTTTTCCTTCTCATCCATTTGGTTAGACCAGATGGAACATCTGTGTATGATAAACTCTTTGCGAAAACTTACTGGTGACTCTTTTATATCGAACAGACAGAAATGATTCAGGGAGGTGAACATTTTGAAGACTTGGAATATCTAATTGCAATCAAAAGGCATCATATTTCTCCATACTTTCAAAGATACATATATAGCTAAATCCAAAACTCCATCCTTCAGAAGTCATTATTGATAATTTTGGAAGATCTATATTCAATCATTTCGAATCATTGCATCTATACTTCGCATTATCAATGAACTTGATTTATTATCATAATTTCCTAAAAGTGCATATTCACCGAGTTGAATGGATTGTAAGGATGGAAGATCTACATCAATCATTTCAATCAAATTCATTCAATACTTTCGATTATTGTTGATACGCAATTCCCAAATGTCCAATTTCCTAATGTAATGCATTGTAGATTTGGCAGATCTAATCATTACCCAAATATTCAATATCATATCATTACCTCGAATCAAAAACGAACTAGAATAAAAATTACATGAAGAAGAGTTAATTTCCCCAATTTGAATGGATTGTAATTGTGGTAGATTCTTCAATTCAAAGTCGCCAGCAAAATCACTGAAACTATATTCACCGATTTCAATCGATTCCAATGATTCACAATTCAATATGTGGAATGATTTCGATTTATCGTGTCCTCCAAGATATCTTGCTTCTGTATATGAGTTCTTTCCGATTTTGATCGTTTTCAACCGATTCAGTCCATCGATTTTGAATGTTTTCACTGATCCAAAACATTCATTGCCGATTTCGATTGATTCCAAATTCAAAAACCAAGAAACATCCCAATCAACCAATACACATTTGTCAGTCAGTTTCAAATGTTTCATTCCGATATTCAGTGGTTTGCTTCCATCTCCTTCATATTTTTCATCAATATCACATTCAATTCCATTACACCATTCACATTCATTCACTAATTTACCATATCGATCATACACTTTTCCAATTCCAAATCGATTATCATCACACCAATATCCTTCATATTCAACCAAACCATTATTATGATAACTCGTTCCATATCCAAATCGTTTCCAATTGATCATTATGCCCTTGTACATCAAGAATCCATCATCATCATACATTTCACCATATCCAAATGGAATTCCTATTTTACCTTCGTTTTCTACCAATACCAATCCTTCAAATCGACTTCCATGATCCAAATCCACTATTCCTTCTTCTACTTCTATGGATTGTTCTTCATTATATGAAATAACACCAAATTGATGATTTCCAAACACTTTCAACACTTTCTGCTCATTGAGGACAAACCCTTGATTCATGAATATTCCATTATTGAATTGCAATACCACACATTCTCTATTACTCAATATGAGTGAAATCCAGCCATTTGGTTTCATTTTCTCATTCACAAATCCATGAACATTTTTTATTATGGAATCTCTAAAACTGGCGATAGAAATAGTAGAATTGATAAAATCTGCAATATGTTGCATTGATGGTAGATTAGAAGAAAAAGTAGCTATATAAAATTATACAGTTCTATTCTATCCCTTATTCCTTCTGTAAACACTTACCGTGATTCCTACACAGATTTATACTGTAGGAATCCATACCAAAACGCTTTGAAAAACAAAAATCACAAGTTTGTAATTGAAAAATTACACTCGAAGGAACATAATAATAAGAGTATACCAATAACAAACTTTTACTGGCTGACTCAATGTCAATGTAAAAGTAATATACAAGAATAACATGAACGGGTAGCATATATTACGTAGCATTGTGAATGTATTCCAGTAGAAACGCTTGTATCAGGCATTATCGTATATTGCGAGTAAGCAACAGATACATAAGATATGATTGTATCAACGTAACATATGCAGTAAACAGAAAAGGGTTTGAAAAATCGAGGAATCTACTACTACTACTACTACTACTACTACTACTACTACTACTACACTTATTATTATTATCAGTGGAATTGGATAGTATCCTGTTTAAGATAATAAAAAGAGAGTATAGATATTATCTACCTAAATTAGTTAGAGAGTATAAATAATTGAAAAAATATAATAATCAACAAACAAGTGGTCTTTTTTGGCTGATGATAACAAATAGTGGTATTAAGATAGAACTTTGTTTATTTTGTTTGTCAAAAGATCAGCGAGCATAGATGAAGTATCTATAAATAAAGCAATAGGCATTAAGAAATACTTATTACAGTTTTTGATCGGATATTCTCGAATGAATGAGGTAGACCGACATCCAGACATCTTGGAATATCTATAAACAATCAATACTCAATCTAACTAACTACTTTCCAAAATCACTTTTTGTATATAACGCATACAATCTCCTTCTGAATGGAAATAGTATAAACTGGGTAGATCTAGAGAATCATTACATGTAACCATTTCATTCATACTTCGCATTATCAAAGAACTTAGGACATCACTTCTCATGAGTACCCATGTACCAAGTTGTATGGATTCTAATAATGGAAGATCTAATCAATCAAGTCGCTCAAATTCGTGTAATACTTTCGATTATTGTTGAGATCGATCTACAGAACACACAATTACCTAAAGTGATGTATTGTAAATTTGGAAGATCTATTCAATCAATACGTAATTCCCATGAATACTTCGTATCACAAATGAACTATTATAGAAATTGCATGACTTACTTCTAATTTTACCAATCTGGATGGATCGCAATTTTGGTAGAGTCTTCAATTCAAAGTCGCCAGCAAAATCACTGAAACTGAATTCACCAATTTCTATCGATTCCAGTGATTCACAATTCAATATGTGGAATGACTTCGACTTGTTATTTGCTTTGATATAGTTCCAACCGGCCTGCTTTTCACAAGTGAATGACTCGATTCCGATTATTATAGTTTTCAATTGGTTCAATCCGTCGATTTGGAATGTTTGAACGGATTCAAAGCAATTATTGCCGATGTTAATAGATCGTAAACGCTTGAATTGATTCAGATCCAATATACCCATATCATTACAACAATTCGATGAGATCGTCAAGTTCGTTACTTGCAAATTTAGATCGTATAAATCCCTTGTTTCCATGACTGTTTGTTTTATATCAGGTAGTAAGCGCGGCTTATACCTTCCTTGCAGGCCATACCAGCCATCATTCAGATTTATTCCACTCACTTCTTCTCCATCTCTCCATTCACATTCTCGAGTAGCGATTCCAGTCTTTTCATCAATCAGACATCCTATCCCTTCACGAACAAACGTTTCATTATCTTCATCATAGCGAAAGCCACCTACATAAATCGGAATTCGTTTTGTTGGATCCAAACTAGCTGAACCATTTCGCTTCAATTCTGTCATCGTGTCTCCCTTAAAGAGTCGAATTATTTCTATCATAAAGCCATCGTTCCAAACACCTTCCACAACAATATCTCCACTTTCTTCATCATATTCTATACCCCAGCCAGCTCTCTGATATCTTTCATTGTATTCCCCATGATATATTAAACGATTTGTGTTCATTGACCAGATATCCATATACGGTCCTTTTTTGTGGTTGGTTATTCGATAATAGTCTTGCTGTTCGAAAATATCTTGGAATCGTTGGCGAAAATCGACTCGACCATTTTTGTAGGCAATGAACTCCTCTGATTTTACTCCTTTTTTAGTTTCTTTCCATCGTTGTTTTAATACATTATTTTCGTACAGAAGTACATCGCCCTTTTTGGAACGCAACAGAAATTCGTTTTTATGATCTCCCTGATATCGTTGGGCTGTGTATTTTATTCCATTCCTAGTTAAGATCTCTGGATGGCCACATGACATAAATCCGTGTAGAAGAAACTCAGATCCTCCTTTCTCACTCTTGCCGACTATCTCTTAACTATCCAAACAAAAAATACAATCAGAACCCATTATCGTTTCCAACAAAACAAGAATTAGGATTTATTACGTTAAAGTGAGTGAATGTAAACTGTGATATCGTTTTTTCAAGAGGTACCATATATATATTGAAATCAAACATTGTGTCTAAATGGTAAACTTGCAGAATAAGTAGGAAATCATTGTGGGGAATACAAATTTATGATAATGTTTATATTTATTTACTATAAAATAAAAAACAACTTTATTAGTGAAAAATGTTAACCGTTCATGATTGTGTACATCGTCAATAAATAGGTTGAGCCAGTATGATACAGTTTTACGCTTGTTTGTCATTCCTAATTTACAGCTTACTGTACTATTCTGATGATCACGTATCTTAGAGGCTGGCACTCATCTACCTTCATTCCATCATAGTACCTTATTACACAGTATCAATCAAATCAATGGTGATAAAACAATACTGTGAGTTTTTGTTCCTACCAATAATATGGAAGGGGTACTTGATTGGATGAAAATTATAAGAAAGGTAATCGGTGTTGCCAACCTCTCTGTTCAACATGAAAAACCTTAAGTTAAAAAAGCAAACACAAAACCCGATGATATTGTTTCTTTCAGCAAACTCCTAACGTGGTCTGCTGGGAAGAGTCGAAGGCCGAATGGTACTGACGTAGTAGGCGGTAAACAGCCCACTCAAGATCATCTGCAGGTCAGTGAATTGTTTCTTTCTTTCTTTCTTTTACAAGTTGATACAAAAAAGATTCATGAGCATTAGAGCCACACACTCCAAATCATTCTATTCAGCGAACGTGCATCCCTTGTTGTAGCATAACGCATCCCGACAAACCCTCTACCCCATCAATCGCTTTGATTCCGTTTGTTACAATATGATAAGGAGAAAGTACTCTAAATTTCGTATACAATCTTCTAGCTAATCTATTTCCTAGTGCTATCTATTTTTAATCCCGTACAGGTTGCTTTATCACATTTCACTTATGGCGCTGATAAGATAATATATGATAACCACAAACTACTGCATTGTTATTCTCCACACTTAGCCGATAGAGAATCTATCTAAATTGCGTGTAAAACCATTCTTTGGTAAAAACCTAGATAACTGTATGGTTTGATGGTTTTTGACTTTAGATTTGACTCTTTGATAATAGGAATACTGGCGTGAAATATGATCTATATCATAGTGATTATTGTGACTAAGATCATCAGTGATTCATTACCCCATAGCGTTCTTCACTCGTGGAGTTTCACATTCAAATGGTACAGAAATTACATTGATATTGCTGCACCATCTGATAACCCAAGTCCATTCTTGAAACTAGCTGTATGTGTCCATCAACGTTATAATGTCCTGATTACAATATATCGTGATTGAGTTCGTTTCCTATCATCTTAAGCTGCGGATATGACATATCTACCAACGATCATGAGAAAAAGATGTAATTGTCGAAAACGGGTGACCGCTGTTTCTGAAATCAAATACTACTACTACTACTACTAATAATAATAATAATAATCTACTTATTATGAATTATGCTTTTGTACCATACTGCAACAACTACACTTCACAAAGCAAATGAAGCATAGGACCCGGTTTCCAATACCAATAAGTATACTACTGCCATCAATCAGACCAAGAGAAGAGATAATACAACTCTACAAACCACTCAAGTATGTGGTAATTCACAGTTATGAAAAATACGACAAATAATTTTTACATTTTAACTACTGCTCCAATATTTCTAATTTGAAAGATAGAGATCAATAAAGAGTCCATAATTTTGCTATTCAAAAAACAAGCATTTATTATGGCTATTGAACTCTATTCATTTTCTGTAAATAGGGACAATTGTATACAAATAATAAACTCTATAAATATATCTATAGTAGTAATAATTGCCGATATAAATGGAACCCCAATTAATACACTTCCAGGTACAAAATGTGTGGAAGTGGCAATAAATTGGGATTAGTCTATTTCGGACGAATTTCTTATTACTCATATTGCTATAGACAATGGACTAGCTACACATCAAGCTGGAAATTATCATAATGACTCTACTTTAGTTACGTCTATCAAAAATGATTATTATGATGGTGAGGCTAATATTTATACTCACGATAATATAAAAGTAGCGACGTTTACTTACGAAAAAGGTGTGGCGAATGGAACATGCACTTTCTACCACCGATCTGGAAAGCTTTCCTTTCAGAGATATTTGAAAAATGGCTACCGATATGGAATCGGGGTAGAATACACTGAAGAAGGGGAAGTTATATATAAAGGCGTTTTCAAGGACGGTCATCAATATCCTTATATTTCTATAAGGACAGATGATTCAAAATTGTGGTATGAACGAGATCAATATGGCAATCTAAAAGCGACAGATCATAAGGTTGAGAATGGACTGAATCATGGAAATTGTTTTTTCTATGAATGAGGAAAGTTATCTATATTAGTAGATGGGAGCACAATAAAGAGATTGAGACATTACACAGGTTTAGTGGAAATAAAGTAATTTCCTATAGGGATGGGAAGATTATTTTTGTAGGCAGTTATTGTATGAAGTCAGAGTTCGAGTTTTTTACATGATCAAGACAGACTGAGTATATAGACAGTAACCCCTATTTATCACAGCCAAAGTACGGGACAACGAAGAGTGTTCCCAGTAGCAACAAAAATAATCATAATTATAATTATAATATGAAGAAGAATTCCAAATCATCCGAAACTAAACGCAAGACAAAACTTGTAGGTTGCAGTGAGAACGGCAAGACGTTAATAGTACGTATCATGAAAGCTCTTTTCTTGGTAGCAGTTTGTATCCTAGTTTTTGCATTAATCTGCTTTTCAATGAGTATATATTGGCTGGACTCTTTTTTGTGATTATTATTATTATTATTCTCTTTATACTTTCTTGTGTACTCTATTTTTTTGTGGATTGATATTTATTAATCTACGCCCTGTTGTCAGCTATAAAACTCCTGTTTTGATCAACTAACCTCTACCCGTTCTAAAGAGTACTAGCGACGAGTATGTTGGATTGAATATCTTTCTTGTTTGTTTCTACCAACAAACGATTGGAATGCTCACTTTTTCGGACGCGCAAAGTTATTAAAAAGACAATTATAGATTCCACTTCTATCAGTAATTCTCCAATCCGAATCAGGATGGCTTTTTTGGTAGTCCAATATTTCATTCAGAATCTCGTTTCGACAACTCGTATTCCCTTTACGGAAACGCTCTCCATATTTCTTATAAAAACTCTTTTCTTGTTTACTAGGAGTACGTCTTTTGCTTCGATTTTTCGTCTTAATATGTTCTGTACAGCGTTTCGGTTTATTCGTAACAGCGGCTCCTTGTTCGGCTAGTACTTGTTGAAACCGTTTTTCGTTTCCATTTATAAATACTCGAACTTCTTTTATTTCATAATCTGCGTGGATAGTTACAATTCCGGTCTCTTTATCAAAATGATAGTGATCGGACTGTTGAACTGGTTCTATGAATATATTCGGCAGATAGTCAATGGGATCCCAAATATAGTCTCCGCAGCCATAATTATCGACTTGAGATACATTACCATTTGTATCTTTCACATCATTCAAACTTTCGACATTCGTATATCCTGTGTTTCAACTATTTATGTAAAAATACCCTCGACACTTCCTCTTTCTGGAGAAGGTTCATTTGTTACATTTGGGTCGGGCGCGTCCTTACTATCATTGTTGCCTGTTAAATTGCATGTACTCATTTAAGAAAAAAATGAAAAATAACAGAGATCAAACAATGAAACTGCCGGTCCGTTTATTTTTGCAATTCTGTTTCTGTGGATCAGTCTCTTCAAGATTCCTATTTTTCTTATCATTCTTATTGTTACGAGTACTTAGTACAAACAAAGAATACACACTAAAATACGGAATCGACACACCATAACTTCAGGTTAGTGCTTTTTCGATTTTTTCTTACTCTCTCTAACACAATTGTTGTAAATAAACTGATAGATATTCTTCTTGTCTGTATAGAAAGGAGTAGAGGGAAGTTGCCACTCTTTGTCTTTCTTGTGAAGAAGATTTAATATCTCTCGATTCTCACCACTATAGAGTTTACTTATAATGTCTGCTACTTCAATAGCCTTTCTCGGTTGCAATAGTGAGTAAGTCTTGAGCAGAAACATTCTTTCTTGTTTGGACGCTCGCTTCCGATGTCTAATTATATTTTGTACTCGAGAAAAACTACTCTGGACATCAATAGTAAACAAATATTCAATTCCTTGCTGTATTTGGATGCACAACTGTCCTTGTAATCTAGCGACTTTCAAAAAACCTTTTTCTTTACCAATTTCTTGAAGTCAAACAATCCCTCATAGCCGTACCTTTTGGATCTGGATTATCTAGGTCACTTTCCAACGTGGGACTAAATTCAGATTGAATACATTCCTGATCAGGAATAGGAAAATAAGGTATCAATAACGAAGAGGTCAATCCAGTATCATTAGGGAGATCAGAGTCTAAATCTTTATTATCCATAATAAAATTTGACGAAGAGTGAAGTGATCGTGTTTTTGAAAATGTTCTGTTTTGTTAACTCACTTGATAATAGAGGATTCCATATGAAGTTATTCTGTTATATATTAGTTCGTGGCAATAAAAATACACATTGAATGTCTAAATAATGGAAATGTACTATTCTGAAAATGAATGGCTCTTTCTGGAGTGTTATACCAATACATCACGTTCAATATTTGCAGGAACACCGATGCTTCGACCCAACTGGATAGAACCTGCCTTTCCACAATACAATATGATTATGGGTTAGACATTCAACAGAAACATCAGCAGAATAGTTTTTATAATCCTCATATTGATATATTTCAAAAATGATAATAAAGCAATAAAATAAACTGTATTAACAAAAATTGGTATTTGATTGATCACTTGTTTCCAGAGTTATTTTAATGGAATCTGCATATGGATGTGTATGAATAATGATTTTGAATATGCATGATTGCCTTATGAACACATATATTGTTATTTTTACCATATGACACATTCTACAGTTCATCGCATTTTCACTCTCCTTTTTGCTGTCTTCAAAAATATATAAGTCTTGAATGAAATAGGAAAATCTAGTATGTATCAATGAAGAGATCATTGTATTTATATTGCATTCCATTCCTGTAAACCAATGCCATCTTTAATCAAAGAAAACAACATCAATTAGTCTTTAGTACATTAGGACTTCTTTTAGCAACCGAATTCCGCAAAATTTCCTCCAAAGGATCTTTTCGAAGCAATAATTGACGTAACGAAATGAAAGCCGGTCTAGAAACATCCGGCTTCCTTCTTTTTCGATCGTTTGTTGCTCCTTCACCACCATCACCCAACATCAACCGGGTGATGCGTTGAGCTTCTAATGAAGGTGGAGGGGGAGGAGGAACAGGCAGAGTCGCAGGATCAGGCTCGAGATTCTTCTGCAAAGACGAGGATTGCGGAGAAAGCGACGTCTTGGATGATGATGCGATTGAATCAGATTTTGCAATCTTCTCTTCTTTTTGATTCTTTTCGTTGCTCGGATTCTTTCCAGAAGTTGAAGATTTTTCTTCCTTTGCCTTCTCGACTGCGCCTGTCTGTGTTTGTGTTTGTGTTTGTGTTGCTGCTGTTGCTGTTGTTGCTGTTGTTGCTGCTGTTGCTGCTGTTGCTGCTGTTGCTGTTGTTGCTGTTGTTGCTGTTGTTGCTGCTGTTGCTGCTGTTGCTGCTGTCGCTGTCGCTGTCGCTTTCTTGGTCCGCTTCTTTTTCTTTGTTTTCTTCTTCTCTTTGTCGACAGGCTCTTTCAGCAACAATGCCGCCTCTCGATCCGCTTCTTCCTCCTTCTTATGCATCTGGAACGCTTCGTCCATATGATTGCATAGAAGCCAGTAAAGGAACATTTTGAACCGATGAATACAGTAATGAATCCCAATCTCCTCTGGCTTCTTCTGATACGAATAAAGAGCCTCGCTTTCCAACTCGTTGAACAGCTGCGACGGCTTGGAGGCGGAGCCAGGCATCACGCACCGGTCGTACATCGCAGCGAAATCGATCATTTCCGACATTTTCTCTTCCGTGATCATCTCGGGAGGCAGGTAAAACCCGCTCTCATTTCGCACAATCTCGATTCTCCGGCTATCCGTGAAGAGCTTCGTGTAGTTCTCCATCGCATAGCGGAGAGAAAACCAATACACACTCTCCTTTATCTGCATGTTCAGTTCCTTCTCACTCACCGTCGTGATCGTTTGCTTCTTTGCCAGAGACAGCTGCTTCCAGTACTGCTTGAACTCCTCCGTTCGCAGATCATTCACGATCGCCATCTGATGTCCGTAGATGTTGCTCATCGGAAATTTCGCCGAATCAGCGGCTCGGATTTGATAGGGGACGATTTCTCGCTCTGTGAGCAGCTGGAGCTGCACTTGCAAACTACGCTCAACGCCATTCCATTCCACTACGCGCAGTAATCGATCGAGAACGAACCCGAGTTGGAGCTGACCGTCTTGGGCGTGATCGCCTTGACGATTGACAGCAAAATATCACGCTGCGAGGAGTTTTCGACCGAGGGATCGATCGGCTGCTTCTTCTGAATCAGCGCTCGGAGAACCGTTTCGTCCATGCGAGTCATTGGGAGGGATGCGAAGTACCCTTCAGGGAGACATGGATACGACGTGGAGGGGTTATGCAGCGAGAGCAGCCGGTCGGCTTTGAGGAAGAGAGACCGTTTGACTGCATATTTGTCGAATCGCGAGAGCAGAATGAGGTCCAGAATGGAGACAAACACGGAGGAATGCGTCGAATCGAGCATGATTCCTCTATTCCTCACTCCGTCCTCTCTCCTGTACTTCTCCGAGATGTGGCAGTTGTAAAGATCCTCGTACGCTTGGATGATCATCTGACGCAGATACAGCTCGGTCTGCTTCAGCTTTTCCCCGTTTCCACTGTTCCCAGCAAGGCCAATCGTCAGCACGTAGAAGCAGGCGAAGAAAAGCGACTCGGTCAGCACGTTCAGTTCGAGTGGGAGGTTTCGCTGATGCACCACCGCCTCGTAGATTCGTTTCAGAAGCACCAATCGCTCCGTGGACTAGTTCGAATGCGTCGATCTTGCCGTACTTGCAGCAAACAGAAAGGATACACGCGATAGATCGCAGTGCCGCACGCCACATTCCGCATCACATTGATTCCGATTTTGAACAGCGGGAGAAGAGACTTCGGCAGCTGGAACGGCTTTGCGCAAACGAACGGACTCACTGGATTGCCGAGACTCGAGATTTTCCCTCTTCTTGAAACACGGAACTCGGAGAGTTACCCAGTGAGAATCGAATAAATGGCGGGCGGGTCGGTGCAGTAGTCGATCGCTGTGCGTTTCTCGAGATTGGTGAGACAGAAGGAAGCGTCATAGCGCATCAGAAGCCGCAGAATGTCCTTCCGATTCTGACTCGCCGCGAAATGAGCCGCCGTGTTTCCCTCATAGCTACGATTCATTCGATGGATCCACACGCACTCCTGCTGATTCACGTTCGCCCTCTGCTTCAGAAAAAACTCCACGATCTTCGGGTATCCCGCCAACGCCGCCACCATCACTGCATCGTTACCCACGTCCCCTTTCGCTACAGGGCGTCAATCCGTTGTAGTTCGGCGCGTCGATCAGCGCCCCATACTCCACCAGTTTCTGCAAAATCTCCAGATCGCCGCTCCAGCACGCGCGATGAAGCGCACTGTCCCCATTGCGATTGGTTAGCGTCACGTCCGCCCCGTTCTGCAGCAGGTGATTCACGAGTTCGTTAGCGTGGTGCGTTGCGGCGATGATCAGCGCGGTGGCGCCGTCCAGATAATCGCCGTCGACCTGGGAGAAGAAGTCGGAGGTGCAGTTGATATCGCAGCCCGCGGTGAGGTATTGGTTGAGAAGGGAAATGTTGCTAAATGGAAGTCAGAGCGAGTGGAGGCACTTGCAGCGAGCGGCGAGGAGAAATTGGGTCTGGAGAGAGAGCGAAGAGAGAGAGACGGGAAGGATTTGGATGGTGAAGGAGAGGTTGTCGTTGCTGAGGAGAGCGGAGTTGAGAAGCGTGGAGAGACTGATGACTTTGTTGAATTTGTGGCTCTGGCCGGAGCTATGGAGGGATCAGGAGACGCCTTGATGGAATACCTGTCGAAGTAGACGGGGAGAGAGCAGTAGCGATGTGATTGGCGTGCATCGACGGAAGCAAAGTCGACTTGAACCGACACAAAGCGACAAGGAGTCGGAATGGTATCGGTTTCGTAGGTTAAGGTGCTAGGAAATAGAGTGTCTGAATTGAATAGCCTACATGGCCATAAAACAATTCGAGTCGGTAATGCCTTTCGATAACTCGTCGTAGTTATGAGAAATCGAAACCACCCAGTGGTTAATCTCGATCGACTTCAGGTTTTTCCTGGAAGCGATGGCTTGGAATCAGAGAGTTTTACAAATCCTACAGGAAGAGAAGCCGCGGATGTTCTTGGAAAGGTTTGGAATTGTAATTCTCATACAGATAGCATAGTCGTGCGGATCGTCCCCAAGATCAGATATAGACGACAGTTCTTTACAATTTGAATCAACTAGAGAGTGAACTCGCCTCGAAACAGTCAAACAATTGACAGTGAGAGGGATTTCATTTTGTATATCTGTGATCGCGATGGAACTTTTCTTTTCTACAATTTGCTTTGTCTCTTTGTCGACTTCCTTCTCAACTGGCGTGGGAGTGGGAGCAGCTTTCTTTTGCGTTGCTGCCCTGTTGTTCTTCTTCTTTTCTAAGTAATAAAGTCCGGTCGAAACGGCCAACTAGGCATCGGGATTGGTATTCTTCAAAACGCTCTACTTGTTACTCTCGCTGCTTCATTCTCACAGTGAACTTCCCTATAATCACCGAGGTCTAATTTCAAATTTTGCTCTTTGTTCCAAAAATAGAGCGGTTTTTTTTGGATGCGTTAAGTCCACAGATTCTCCTTTGTTCTTCAACTTCGCAGGTCATGAGCAGTAAAGCAAAGGAAAACGTTGTATTCCCTGTGTGTTTTTCTGTAAATTGAAGATGTTTGCCGATCCTTACTACACGCCTAGCAGCGATATTGGAGGGACTTTTTTTCTCGAAGTTCCTTTTATTTGTGCATTTGAATTTAGGGAGTTGGACCTGAAACCGCCCAAGCTCCGCAGCTGCCCCCGCAGCCCAACAGACGTTCCCCTCCTTTTCACTCAGGCGAGATATCAGCTCAGCGTCGTCTCAGCGAAGGTTTTGGCGATGGTTCGTCTACCCTTCCTGGTTTTCCGTCCTTGATGCAGACAGACGATGTGGACATGATGTATCTACCTCCTGCAGTTCCCGCTAACTCGTTGTACGATTCGTCTCCATTTTGTTGTAATGTTTCAGGAACTCTACCGATCCGCTGTTCATTCCTTCTAGTTTTTCTCCTTCTGGAAGAAATGATTCTTCTCGCACAGACAGCGTGGAGTTTCTCTCTTACCAGAATCGCTTTCCCTCCGAGCCCAACGGTCTTCACCGCAAGAGCGAGCCCTCCTACCGTTTTACCGACTACTCCTCGCTCTACCCTTCCACCAATGGCGGTCTCGACTCCTTTTCCTACGCGGACTACTACGACTCCTACGCTTCCGGCGCTTCCTCGATGGCTCCTTCCCGCCAAGGCCGCAGCGTCGACTACCGTCGCAACTCGCTGGAGTCGGGGCCTCCCTTCCTCCGCTACTCGGCCAACGCCCACTTCTCCACGTCGCTCTTCGACGACTCCTTCTTCCCTGCGGGTTCTCGCTCGCGCGACGCCGACATGGTTCCCACCGACAATTTCCTCTTCGAGTCCCCGGGGCTCGCTCCCACCAACGAGGTTTCCACGCTTCCCCCGGCCACGGCGTCGCTCTCGAAGCGCACGCCGCCGCCTCTGCCTCCCCGCTCCTACCTGGGCGGCGATGGGCGCGACGCGTACAGCTTAGTGCTGCCCTCCACGCACTCCGCGTCCACGTCGTCCATGCTGGGCAACGCCTCCAAGCCGGTCTCCGGGTATTGGTCGCGCACCATCACTCCCTTCGCCGACCCTGCAGAGCCCGCCGCGGGCGCGCAGAGCGGAACCCAGCTCACGGCCAGCGCGGTGCCGTTCGTGGGGTCGCAGAGCCGCGCGGTGGAGAGCTCTGCGGGCGAGACGGCGACGGAGGGAGAGGCGAGTCGACCGGTGGAGGAGAAGAAGAAGGGAGACGGGGACGATGTGGATATCGCGAAGCTGTACAGCGGAGAGGAGACGCGGTCGGCGGTGATGATCCGCAACATTCCGAATCGGTTCAGCAAGGAGGAGATGTGCGAGATTCTGAACGAGTTCGTGGAGGGCAAGTTTTCGATTATGAATATGCCGCTGGATTCAAAGACGCATCGCAATTTGGGGTACTGCTTCATTCAATTCAACTCCATTCCCGATCTGATTGAGGCGTATAATCATGTAGGCGTCGAGGAGAGGGTGGGAAATGTAGTTGCAAGGCAAGAATTGGCCCAAGTCAGAGTCTACGAAGAAATGCCGATTCTGCTACGCCAAGATTCAGAAAGATCCGAATACTGCGACGACCGAGGATGCGGAGAAGGGAACCAAATCAGTTTAGAGGCCGTTTTCATCTGTTTTAGTGTTGGCGGATGTTTTTTGCAGTGTTTGTTCTATATGCAGTGTTTGAACAGGGTCGCCACGGTGTTTTGCGCCTCAAAGTGGATTCTACTACCTGGATCTTATCTAGACCCACCGAAGCGCAATATCAGCAAGCTCTCGAATTGGGTGAACTTCTCGCTCGGAACCACTTTATCATCATATCTACTTATCGAATTCCGAATTGTTACTTAACGTTTTAAAGGAATGGAGGCAATGGAGGAAGTATGGAGGCATTGGCGCTGGGATGCAAGAAGGTGGAGGGAGCCGTCTGTGAGGGTGTTGTCGTTCCCAGTGATTTGCCTATCGAGTCCAATCCCTATCTCACACGTACGATTACAGCGAAATCGATGTTTGATCGACTCGATATCCTTACGAAAGAAGCCGACGTGATTATCGCTCTTCCGGGGTATCTTGGAACGCTGAATGAAGTGATCATGTCTGCCACCCTCAACTACATTACGGACGATAATAAGAGAAAGCGAAAGCCTATCTTTTTGTCCACCCATCCCTGGAAAGCGATATGGGATTCGATCACTGCCGAGCTGGGTGTATGCTAGATCGATCGAGGCGCTTAGTTGTAGTTGAAACCTCATCACCGTGATATCGTTCAGTTTTTCGATGATGTATCTGTCGCTATCTCTCCTGACGATGTAGAATCAAGAGCTGATGAAGCTGCTCTCTTCCATTTTCTCTGTTTGTTGTCAAATGCCTTATTGAGAATAAATCCGCGGTTATATGACATCTGAGGGATTTGGTATCATTATTTCTTTTTGCTGTATTACTAAACATGGATTCTTTCGTACAAGCTATGACGACTCAACACATCTGGGAAACTGCGGAGTGGGAAACTCTGAAGCAAGATGTGCCTGAAGTCACCAAGCTCCATCTCCGCGACTTGCTCCAGGTTTGCATCGTGTGATCCGTTTATTGTAGGACCCGGAGCGTTTCTCCCAGTTCTCTGTCGAGTTCGACGGCATTACTTTGGATTACAGCCGCCAAAAGCTCACTCCCAAGGTGAAGGAGGATTTGCTGAAGCTGGCCGAGCGTGCCCAGGTGAAGGAGAAGCTTGTCTGCGTTAACGCTCTGTCTGATGTGTAGAACGCCATGATGACGGGTAAGAAAATCAACATCACGGAGAACCGCGCCGTCCTCCACTCTGCGCTCCGTGCCAACAAGGACGAGCAGGTCTTTGTGGACGGCAAGAACGTGGTTCCTGATGTCTACGAAGTCCGCGAGCACATTCGCGACTTCTCCGAGCGCGTCCGCTCTGGTGCCTTCTTGGTATGTTCCGCCTGCCTTACTCTCTCACCACGCAGGGTTGCACCGGCAAGCCGCTCACCTCGGTGATCTCCATCGGCATCGGTGGTAGCTACCTGGGTCCCGAGTTCGTCTACGAGGCGCTGCGCAACGACCCCGTCGCGCACAAAGCCGCAGAGGGCCGCGACCTGCACTTCGTGGCGAACGTGGACCCGCTGGACATCGCGCGCAACGTGGAGAAGCTGGACGCGGAGCGCACGCTGATCGTCATCGTCTCCAAGACCTTCACCACCGCCGAAACCATGCTCAACGCGCGCTCTCTGCGCCGCTGGCTCCTCGAAAAGCTCGCGTACGCGCTTCTCTTCGCCGTCTTATCGTAGCGGAAAGGCCACCGAGGCGGAGATCATCGCGCACCACATGTGCGCCGTGTCGACGAACATCCCCGCGGTGACCGCCTTCGGCATCGACGCGTCGAACATCTTCGGCTTCTGGGACTGGGTGGGCGGCCGCTACTCAGTGTGCTCGGCGGTGGGTCTGCTGCCTCTGTCGCTGCAGTACTCCTACGCGGTGATGGAGCAGTTCCTGCAGGGCGCCCACGCGATCGACGAGCATGTCCGCACCGCCGACTTTGCCCAGAACATCCCGGTTATGCTCGGTCTGCTGGGCGTGTGGAACTCCACCTTCCTCGAGTAGGCTTCTTTCTCTTCCGTCGAGTGCAGCTATCCCTGCCGCGCGCTGCTCCCCTACTCGCAGGCGCTGCTTCGCTTCCCCGCGCACATCCAGCAGGTGGACATGGAGTCGAACGGCAAGCGCGTGGCGATGGACGGCACGCCGCTGCCCTTCGCGTCGGGCGAGGTGGACTTCGGCGAGCCGGGCACCAACGGCCAGCACAGCTTCTACCAGCTCATTCACCAGGGCCGCGTGATTCCCTGCGACTTCATCGGGTTCTGCAAGAGCCAGGCGCCGCTGGAGAGCGAGACGGAGGCCGTGTCGAACCACGACGAGCTGATGTCGAACTTCTTCGCGCAGCCCGACGCGCTGGCGGTGGGCAAGAACGAGGCCGACTTGGAGGCGCAGAACGTCCCCGTCGAGCTGCGTCCGCACAAGTTCTTCTCGGGAAACAGACCGTCGTCGTCGCTGCTGTTCCCGGAGCTGAACGCGTACACGTGCGGAGAGTTGCTGGCGATTTATGAGCATCGCACCGCGGTGCAGGGATTCGTGTGGGGACTGTGCTCGTTCGACCAGTGGGGAGTGGAGCTCGGAAAGGTGCTGGCGACCTCGGTGAGGAAGCAGCTGCATGGATCGAGAAAGGAGAACGCGGAGGTCAGTGGATTCAACCCTTCGACCACGGCGATGTTGAAGAAATATTTAAGTGCGTGGTGTGTTTGAGAAATACATTCGTGTGAAGGTGTTGAGTTTTTTTGTTTAATGTTTGTGTGTGTGTGTGTGTGTGGAGGAATGGGAAAACGAAGAGAGGAGCGATGGTCAGACAAAGTAGGAATTATCAAAAGAAACGTTTTGAACACGAGGAACAGCACGCGGTCTTGGTCGAAAGTGGTGGGAGTCGTCGCTTTTTGTGTATTGATGTTTCCATTCAACGGATGCTGACTCTCGACTGTCCAAAGTGTCTATTTTCTTTCTCTTTTCTGCATTCTCGCATGCACACAACCACGTATTTCACTCTCATTCTTCAACAAACACGCCAAAGTATGTAACAATCACTAAACCGAACCTCTCTAACGCCTACACATCGATTCTCCGCCACTCCCCCACATCATCCCCGCATTCCCTTGTTCTTCTTCACATTCGCACTTCCGAAGACCACGCGCTTTCCGTTGATGTTCAGGCTCTGCAGCTGGATCAGCCGATCCACCGGCCGCTGCTCCGAGAAGTTCACGAAAGCGAACCCGCGCGTTCTGCCGTCGGTCTGTCGAATGATGTTGACTCGCTTCACCTCGCCGAACGGCGTCAGCGCCATCTGAATCATCTCGTCCGTGAACGTGTCGTCCAGCCCGCCCACGAACAATCGATATTGCTGTTGCTGCTGCTGTTGCTGTTGATTGGCCCCACTGCCTCCATTGCCCCCGCCGGCTCCGTTAACCCCGCTGCCCCCCGCCGAACTGCCGGCTCCCGAGTGTCCAGAAGCCCCGCCGGCCCCGCCGGCGCCGCCGGCCGCGTTGGGAGCGTTGGGGAGACATTTGTGAATATCGACTTTGCGTCCGAAGAACTCAATCCGCGTCTGCTGCAGCGCGTCCTCCAAGCTCTACCCATCATCTGCGTGCCGCACCGCTACGATCCGCGAGTAGAACACGACGAACCCGAAGCCGCGCGAGATCCCCGTCTCCCGATTGCGGATGATCTCCACCGACCGCACGGGGCCGAAGTACTGGAAGTACGCGCGCAGCACCGACTCGTCCGCCTCGTTCGGAATGCCCCCCACGAAGAGCTTGCAGTCGTCGATCGGGTCGTCCGTGTACTCGTCCGCGCTGTGGAACGGAACCGAGGGGACCGAGAACGCGTTCGACTGGTGCAGTTGGGACATCTGGGACATCTGGGACATTTGGAACATTTGGGACATTTGGGACATCTGAGCCATTTGGGCCATCTGGGCCATTTGGGCCATCTGCTGCATGTAAAGGGGGTTTTGGGACATCTGGTTCATTTGGGACATTTGGGACATTTGCTGCATATATAGTGGGTTTTGGGACATTTGGGACATGGGGTTCATTTGGGACATCTGGCCCATTTGTTGGGAATAGGCCGGATTCTGCATCATTTGGGCCATCTGCTGCAGATAGGCCGCATTCGATGGGTTCTGGGCCATCTGGGCCATCTGCGACATTTGGGCCAATTGGGCCATTTGGGTGATTTGCTGAAAATAGGCCGGATTTTGGGCCAATTGGGTCATTTGCTGCAGATACAGCGAGGAGGTGGACGGATCCAGGTTGGAAAGCGCCGCGTAGAGCGAGTTCTCCTCTCCAGAGGAAGCGGGCTTTGTGGAAAGAGGGTTCTGAAATATGTTCAGAAGCGCCTGCTGGTAGGCAGACACCATCATTTGGTACATGAGTTGTTGGCTGGGATCAAGGTCTTGAGGGATGGAAATGGCTGCTTTGGTCTCGGTTGGATTCGATGAAACGGCTTGGGAGGTAGATTCGGAGGTGGAGGTCGGAGCAGGATTTGGCTGCTCGGGTTTAGTGTCGTCTGGAGCCTGCGCATTTGAGCTGGGATCGCTTTTCGTATCTGTAGATCGCTTTTCGGAGAGCTGGGTTGTGAAATCGATTTCAAAGGTACCATTGTCTCCAGAGAGTCACGCTTCGCGTTTGGATTCGGATGACACTTCTCTTCGACGATTCCAGCACATTCCCAAGCCTTTCGCTTCGAACTTTGGGAACGATCCGATTTCAACGAGCTTTCTGTATCCGAGTCTTTATCTTCAAACTGATTATCAACTTGGGTAGAATCGTTAGCCAAACTAGACGTATCCACGCCACTCTGCTTCATATCCCCCAATTCAACTCGTTTTTCATCTTCCACAGGCAATACTTCGTCTTGTGATCTACAATAAAACCACTTCCAACGACTGCTCACCTTTCGCTAGTCTTACGTTTCGAAGTAGCATTTGCAGCTGTACTCATTCTCCGTAATGTGTAAAGTCAAAAAAACGAAAGTAATTCAAAAGCAAAACCAGAAGTGTAAAAACAAGCTCCGTCACTTTATTCTGCTGCAACAAACAGATCAAAATTGTTTCATTTCCAAAGATAGTTTCCTTTCCTGCATCGAAGACGTTTCTCTCAAGGACCGCTCATACGCCTCTCGGTTGAACGTATACTCGTCCTCCAGCGTGACAATAAAATCGATATTCTGCTTGCACACGGGGCATGTGTTTCTTCGCATATACCAGTGCTCCAAACAATCGATGTGGAAAATGTGATGGCAAGTGATGTTGTAAATGTACTCATTCTCTCCCATTTCGCACATGCAGATTGGGCACGTTAAGTCCACAGAATCATCATCCTCCTCCGGACTGTCCTGCACCACTATGCTCTCGATCGACATCGCGGCTATGATTCCTTTCGGCTTGTTTCTCTCTCTCCGCTCTTTTCTCTCTCGCTGTCTATAGATCTCTACCGATTACGAGCAATCCCCCAAACACCTACTCAGCTGCGGAATGAAAGATTTGAGCAGGATTTCGGAGTGAGAGCCGAGAAGATAATCGATATTGTATATTGCAGGAAGGAGCGAAGGATCAATCATGTGATTCCTCATCTAGGCAATGAGAGAATTGACGCAATGCAACCTCTTCGATATTCATTGTATTCAGCTGCGTTCGGAGGTTGAAGTGGTAAATGAACAACACAACATGGATCGCGATATAAATATAGCAACTGGCCACTACCACCGTCTCAATTAAGAACAACCAGTGGGGGAATGTAGTGCATGTGTTATAATCCTCAAAGTGGATTGTTGGAAGCGTCACGGCAATAACGAGCAGAATTAAGGAGATGATAAAAAACGAACAGCCGAGAATCTTCTTCGACATCTTCGCGTAGTGTTTAATTGAGTGGACGACAAAGTCCGCAAAACAAAACAAAATGAGGGCTCCCGATACGACCAACTGGTAGGACTATGATTTTACTATTCCCAAGTACACCTACTCCAATTGTACCAGTGCAATCTACTTTATTTGTAAACGAATATATAGATACAAATAGGGACAAAACAGCAACCAATAAAACAAGCGTAAAACGGAGCGCTACTATCCAACGCGTCTCATCGGGAAAAAAGAGCAACCAATTGATCATCAAAGAAAAGCAGCAATAAGAATGTTTATAGAGGCCTTTTTCGCTGAAACGAATGAGAAGATTCAAGGGCGTTTCACAACTGATCATGAGCTTCATAACTCCTATTAATAACGTAGCGATTTTATTGCTGATGTCATAGGGTTGTTTATTCGAAATAGGATTATAGGAATACTATTGAATCCTTCCGAAATACTTTAGTGTTTTGCAAAGTAGAACTTGTTCTTCTTATTTCGGAATCTATTTTCCCCGTTTACTTTAAAACTACACAGCAATAATATTGGTAATCAACACGTATATATTCGTTTCGAGGTGGTATCTAGTTTCCTCACAAATGTACCGATTATTATGGGCTTCTCGGGCCTGTGCGCCTGTATTTCGTTCTACTAGAGGTAGAATCGCGCAAGTCCCCGTACGATGTTTTGTGAGGAGTTTTGTGTCAAACGGCGCTTCTCCTGCTCGATCAGGCCTAAAATTTGCAGTTACGACATTGACTCTCATTTCTGGGGGCATTGTGGGGTGCTACATTTATCTGGACAAATCATCGAAATTTCGGCTATTAGAATATGCGAGAACCCATCGGAACGAAACGCTGAAAGGATCCAACTGGAGAGACTGTTTTGCCGTCGCCCTGGTGGATTTGTACCGCAACGACAGCGGAGCTCGCGTGATTGAGCGTATGCACTGCGGTCGATTCCTCGGAAAGTGGGTAGCGGACGATGAGATGTAATTGTACGGCTGTCCGTCCATAGTAGATGTACGTCCGAAATTATGACCGTTCTGCTGCTCCTCAGCAACGCAGACGGGATTTGTCTGATCGACGCGATCACGACCGGAGGGATCGCAGTCCTCAAAAAACTCTACGAGTTCAATCGAAGCGACTGCGAATCCGCCATTATTCAAATGATCAAATATAAGATATCCTGCACACACATACACACATAAGCACTACCGATTATAGCTACTTAACGCCACCCTCGCTGCATCATGCATCGTCTCACCGGCGTTCTCAGCGAATTAAACGAGCTCCAAAAACTCAACGAGCAAATCGAACAAAACGAGCAGAGCGACCAACGCGACGCGGCCCTGCGATCCTCAGCGATCTACAGCGTATCCAGCTTCCTCAATCCTCATTCATTCAAAGCTCGGATTGCTTTGGATTTTGCAGGGAAGCGATCTTTCCAAAATCACGTGCGACCAACTTCCACTCCCGCGGGAACAGGTACGGGCGTTTCCTCCCATTCATTCTCGATTCCACGCAGCGTCAAGCTTCGCTACGCCTCCCTTCTCCAACACGTGAAGCTCCCCGAAACGCCCCAGAACACCACGCAGTCCCGCGATTCTCGCTCCGAAACGCCCTGGAGCTCGCTGTGGACGGTTCTGCAGCGCTGGAAATCGCGTCGATCGCTTCGATCGCTTCGATCGCGCCAAGCTCCTTCGGACAGCGCATTGGACGCCGCGCTCCGCCTCGCCGACGCCAAAACCGCGGAAATCGTCGAGCTCGACACCGTGTACCCATCGATCCCCGCGGGAGAGGAGTCTGCAGAACCGAATTCCAAATCGAATTCGAATTCGAACGAGGCGACGCTGGCGTGGATCGATCGGCTTTTGGCGTGGAGCGACGAAGCGGATGACGCGGTGATCGTACGAATTCGATGGAACTTCCATGCAGGACGCATCGATTTCCGCGGTGAAACACCTCGCGGAGGCGCCGGTGTGCGCGGCGCATCTCGCGAACTCGGCGACGGATCTGCTGCTGCGGCTGTGGGAGGACGACGAGCAGGGCATTTCCTCGGAGCGTCGGCGCTGCGTGGCGCGGCTGGTGGCGTTGGTGAGCGCGGTGGCGCCCTCGGCGACGAACGGCGTGTACTGCCTGGACCGCTTCGAGGAAGTTCCGGCGACGGAGCTGCAGATTATCGGGGAGGAGCTGCAGCCGGTTGAGTCGATCGCGCTGTCGACGCAGCCGCAGCGGTGGATGCGCGTCGTGGTGCAGCTCTGTTTGCAGCCGGACGCGGAGGTAGGCGAGGGCAGACGCGTGGATTGTAGCAAAAGGAGAGCGGCGTGCGCGCCTTGGCGAGCTTCCTGCGGTTCAGCGAGAATCGCGAGCGCCTGGCGACGATGTGGGCGACGAGCGCGCTGCAGCTGGTGGAGCCGCAGGCGAGGGCGGCGGCGGTGGAGGAGGCGAGGGGCTACGTGCAGCGCGGAGCGAAGAACGCGAACGGACGGGCGTGGTGGGAGCTGCGGTGCCTGCTGCGCGCGATCGGACTGTTCTGCGGCGAGGAGCAATTGGCGCAGCTGCTGGGAAGCTGCGGACTGCTGCAGTACCTCGGAGCGCTGAGCTATCACGAGGAACCGTCGCTGTGCGTGCAGATCTGCAGGATCTTGTCGAGCTTGTCTGTGCAGGACTCGGAGATGGGGGTGCGGAACGGAGAAACGGGGTAACCAGTAGAAGATCACGAGGAAAGTGGTCCGGCAGAAGTGGAAACCGATTTTGAAGCAATGGAGCGAGCAGGGCGATACGAAACTGCACTTCTTCGCGGAGAAAGTGCTGTACAATTGCCTCCGATCCGAACAAGACCCTTCGCTCGACGATCCCATTTTCATGCTCTACGACGGATCCAAAAATACCGACGTTTTCCCTTCTTTTTTGCTCAGCCTCACACACAGCGAATCGCGGATATCGTCTTCATCCACGGATTGCAGGGGAGTTTCTTCTCCACCTGGATGGTCCAGCAAGAGACCTCCGATTTCCACCACATCACGTGCTGGCCCGCAACGTATCTCCCCGCCTACCTCGCCAACCACGACGTGTCGCCGCCCGTTCGCATCCTCTCCGTCAGCTACCACGCGCGGATGCGGAAATCTTCGTCGCCGCATCCCACGCTTTCCATCCAGGAGCAGGCCGCCGACCTCCGGAAGCGGCTGGATTCCGCGGGGATCGGCGAGCGGCCGGTGATCTTCGTGACGCACAGTCTTGGCGGGCTGATCGTGAAGGAAATGCTGGTGGACGAGAGCAAGTGGGAGAAGGGATGCGGCGTGAGAAGTAGAGATGTGTACGCGCCGCTCCTCCACCAAACCAAAGCGATTGTGTTCTATTCGACGCCTCACCGCGGTTCTCCGGTGATCAAGAAGAACATCTCGCTGCTGCACGCGCTGTTCGGGTTTACGCCGGTGATCAGCGAGCTCCAGAACGACTCTCCGCTGCTCCTCGATCTCAACGACGCCTTCCTCGATCTCTCTCCGCTCCCCGACATTCTCTCCCTCGGCGAGGAAGCGCCCATGCACGTGGGAAAGTACGAAGCGCTCGTGGTGCCGCCGACGTCTGCGAATCCGGGCGTAGGTGTCGAGGAAAGGGTGAATGGAAGGTCGGGGAGTTTATTCAGGTGAAAGGGAAGGACCACCGCACGGTGTGCAAGCCGAACGACGTGGAGGATCCTTCCTTTGTGATTCCTGCGGAGTTCATTCTGAAGGAGCTGGAGAAGATTCGGAGTCTGGACGATTGCACGGCGGAGAAGATCGTCGCCAAGGCGCGATGGGTCGATCGGCTGCGAGGGCTTTCGCAGAAGCAGAATTGGCGTGTTTGTTAACAAACAAGGAGCTAGGCGACGATCCAGCCGTCTTCGTCGGGTTGGTTTTTGCTTGGCTTCTCTTCCTCCATGCCGTCCTCGCTGCTGCACGAACTGCAAGAGTCGCCGTAGTTCTCTCCGTCTTCTTCGTCATCGTCAAACGCAGCGTAGTTTCGCGTAGCGTCCAAATACTTATTCACCTTGGGAATTTGCTCTGTGCATTAGTCACGTTGCTATGGTGGTGATGATACCCTTATTCTTCTCGATGAATCCATTCACAACAGACAAATCTCCGCTCTTTGAAGCATTGTAAAAAGACAAAATGATTTCAGCGATCTATGTTCAAATCGAATTGAAGCTCCCACTTCCTGATCGCTCCCATCTTCTAAACTACAATTGAACGTGTCTCCCATCTCGTCGAGCAAAAAATCTGATATTTCGTCCTTGTAAATTGCCGCGTCCTCTAGAGCGCGAGAATAGATAGCAATCGTTACTTCCCGTCGCATTCCAACGTTCTTGAACATTCATCAATAAATCGTTTTCCATCAGTCGCTTCATCATCAGACTATCCTCTCCCGCCCATTCATTTTCAATCGCGTGATTCAACGTCTACAACTAACCAGTAAAAACAATATCAAACGGCCCATTTCATTAAAACAATGCGAATTGCCAATACCAGAGCATCGAAGTCTTCCAGAGGACCGTCCATTTCAAAGAATGAAAAAGCTTGGGATCCCACCCTTTTGACAACGAGTTTTCGCATGCTCATTATTTGTGAACACTCATGCCCGATATTTTCACTGCTCTGAACAACGCTGAGTCGTGGTTCCCGTACCCTAGACTTGTATTGCTTCGCAGAAAAGAGTGACATTCTAGATTCTCACCTTGTTCCTCATTTCTTTCACCCTTACAGCGCTTTACATTTATCTCTCCATCCGTATCATGCGAAGAGAGAGAGAGGAGAGAGAGGCAATGAAAAAGGAGGCTGCCAAGTCAGAGGAAACGTCTTCTCCCGCCAAGTCTGAAGAGGTTGATAATTCGGAAGACTCTCCGAGCGAAGAGCACGACAAAACTATTCGCAAGAGAAAATCAGCTTCCTGTGAATAAGCCTGCTAGCAGGGGATCACTATTATAACTTCTTTTTGGTTAAACGTGTTTTTCTGTTTGCTTGATAAACAAATCGTGGAAAAGGATGATCATCGGTTTTCTCCAGTTTATGTTTCTGTCTACGGGAGCAGAGAGTCTCCTTACAAGCGTAGTGTCGGCCTTTCAAACACCATTTTCACTTTTGGGTTATGTTACATTTGTCTAGAATTGCGCAGAATCGTAGGCTACCGCTTTTTCTATTCTTATTTCGCAGTTCTATTGCATTCATGTCGCTCTATTCCCAAAATCTGCACAACTCCCTTTCTGCGGTATTTTAGTGCAGAACATGGAGATTTAATTGAGCGGGAAAGCATGGATTACGATGTCGTGATCGTTGGAGTTGTTTTTTGGTTTCCTGTCATTATTTTAGGCTGGATGTGCAGGATTGGCAACAGCAATCCGCCTAAAGACGGAGGCGGCCAAACAACAGAAGGACATTTCTGTATGTGTGTTAGAAAAGGGAGAAATGGTCGGATCCCACATTCTAAGTGGCTGTCTCTTCGATCCAGCGCCATTGAACACTCTCCTGCCGAACTGGAAAGAGCTTGTACGCCTTTTCGATTTTGTTAGTTTGATTCGATAGGACCCGCCGATCACACAGAAAGTAACACAGGAATCGATGCGTTTTTTCTTCAGCCAGGAGAACAGCTGCTCCATTCCCTCCTCCCTCATTCCCAAACCCACACGCCACACAAACCATTACATTGTTAGGTTCTCCATCCACTCCACCCTTGTTTTCTAGTCTAAGCAACGTCACACGATGGCTCGGCGAGATCGCTGAACAGCACGGCGTTGACATTTTCACAGACACGGGGGTTTCCTCCCTCCTACTCGAGCAAAATCGTGCCGTTGGAGTCATCACAGTCGATAAAGGAATCGATCCCCAGGGAAATCCGAAGGACGATTTCCTCCCAGGATACGAGATCCGCGGGAAATCGATCGTTCTAGCGGAAGGAGCGTTGGGCTCTGTAACCGAATCCGCGATTCGGCAGTTTCATTTAGAATCGAAAGGAGTTCGAACGTATGGATTAGGGATGAAAGAGGTGTGGGAGTTGCAGAACAGCGAGGAATTGGCGGGGAAGGTAATCCACACATTGGGCTATCCGCTCCAACGGGGACTAAACGATTCATTGTATGGAGGAGGCTTTCTGTATTTCCAAGAGCCGAATCTATTGCATATTGGTTATGTTGTCTGCTTTCTGTTTGTTGCCACGTAGATCGTAGGACTTGATTACGAAGACACGTTCATCTCTCCCTATGAGGAGTTTCAGCTCTTCAAACAGCTCGATTTTGTCTCTGCGTTTCTGCGCAAAGGCGAGCGACTGGAGTACGGAGCTCGCGTGATTTATGAGGGCGGGCTTCTAGGAGTGAACCTACCACGATCCATTGAGTTCTAGCAAATCGCTCCTGCATTCCCCGGAGGACTCATTGTGGGAGAGAGTTTAGGCGTCATGAACATGCTTTCCTTGCAGGGATCGCACAACGCGATCGAAACGGGAATTCTGGCGGCGGATTCGCTGCTGGAAGAGTGGGAGTCGCTTGCTCCCGGATCGGTTTCGAAGGCGTTTCCCGCGAAATTAGAGAAGAGCAGGATGCGGAAAGAACTGTACAATTCGCGTAGCAGTCGAGCGATGTTTCACGCAGGTCTGCTTTCTGGAATGTTCTATTCGGTGAGTGCTTTGGAATCGCCATAAAACTAGTTTGTGTCCGGCACGTTGCTCGGCAATCGCAATCTATTCACGCATTATTTACCTCCCGGAATGGATTGGGAGAAGACGAAAACGGCAAAGGAGAGCGAAAAGTGCATTCGCAGAGGGTACCAGAAGCCTGATGGTGTGGTTAGTTTTGATCGTGAATCGTCGTTGGCTCTGAGCAGTGTGGAATACCCTGAGGAGTTATCGCATATTCGAGTGAAGAAGGGAATGGAGCAGGTTCCTGTGGATTATTCGCTGAAAGAGTATGATGCTCCGGAGCAGAGGTTCTGTCCTGCGAATGTTTACGAATATGTGAAGAACGATGAAGGAAAGGTGTCTCTAAAGATTCATAACGAGAATTGTATTCATTGCAAAACATGTGTGGTTAAAACTCCGAAGCAGTTTGTGGAATGGACAGTGCCGAGTTCTGGAGGTCCGAACTACTCCGGTATGTAGTAAATTAGGTGTTTGAACGACTGTTTGTTTCCCTCCAAACTGAACGGATCCATAATTATGAATTGCACATCCGAAATCCTTCATCTGATTCCCCTGATTCAGCAACAACTCGAAGCAAGTCAAAACGCGGAGGTTCGACTGATTGGGTCTAATTTCGTAAACTCGCTAAACGAGATTGTGCTGTCTCCCAAAAATCACGAGGATCAGTTAACTAAAAAGAGAAAACTGTTAGAATGCGTGTCTCTCCTCTCTTCCACTATTTTGTATCTATTTTTGTACTCCAATAATAATAATAATATAGTAAACTTATCGAAATTGAAACAGGATCGAGAAGCGTCGACAAGCAAGAAAATGAGGAAAGCAAGGTAGTTCCGGATTTTAAACATGGTAACATAGATTCCCAAAGAAATTATAACAATGCTTAACGTGCTCTACACCGAGTGCTTACACTACGCCGTGTTGTTCCATTCTGACGACGAAATGTTCCTCCTCCTGCAAAACGTTCTTCAGTGGGATGTGGACAGCATCACGCTCCAAAAAATCGCCTTTCTCAGCGCATATTATGCCCTTCCGCCCATAGTCCAATTCAATCGCTTGATTCTCAGCAACGAAGCATTTACCCTCCTCCACAAATCATCCTTCACTTCCTATCTCTTTAGTCTCTTCGTGTTTCTGGCCACTTCCCCCGATGCAGTACACAATCCCTGCGTCCCGACCCTTCTAAAGGAAATCAACTCGCTCAAACAAACCATCCCAAACCCCACAGAACTCTATCGAATTGTTCGATCGTCTCTCCTCTTCTGGTTTCTTTTTCTTCAGCAAGCAAACCCGGATTCGATTTCCTTCCAAAGCGATTCGAACGGGAATCGCGAAATGGAGTGGGATGAATCGAATTCGGAGTCGAATTGGTTGTTTGTTGTCAAAATTGCGATGAGTTTGAGTGCTACAGCAGTCATGCACGCTGTAGATCCAATGATTAGCTGTTTGAGAATAGACACAACAACTCGTTTTTGTTCTCACAGAGAAGGAATCAGCTGCATCGCTTCCCGTGTCGAACCCGCTCTTTTTTCTCCTTCAGTGCATCGCAAAGAGCGAGTAAGAATTTGATCTATGTGATAATCGTCAGTTTGCAATGGATCGAACTGGAAACAATCTCTGCAAAACTGCTGATTCGACGCGAATGTGTGCGATTGGTACAGTTTGGAGCAAACACGCGGCGTATTCTTAGAACAAGGAGAAGTTTTATCTTGCAGAAATCACTGCGGTACTGGCGTTGATCGCTTTTCTGTTTTCTCCCTCCATTTCCTTCCCGATTTTGAGTTCAATTTGAGTGTCATTTGAATCAAAGCCTCGACGTCGGTGCTGCAAAGTACATCGCAGATCATTCGGAAAGTGGCAGTCCAGAAATGCATGGAAGTCTATGTACAACCCCATTAGATAGCATGTTTTTATAGAATGCTTGTCCAGATGAAGAAAAGCAAAAGTTCCATGATCGACTCTTTTCAATTCTTCTCAATCACATCGATATCGAGCCCACAGCGTAGACATTTCGATTCATCAGTGAGTAGATCGATCCGGCTCCTTCTCCTAAAAGAATTCAAGCAACATCAATCACAGTCAGTGTTTCTTTCCCTCGCTGCGCGTCACACACGCGATAAAGACGAATCAATTCGTTCGTTTTGCCTTTCTGCTTTGCAGGATGCTGGGATCGCAACCATCGAAAGGGTTTTAGGAGAAGAAGGCGTGTTTGATTCACTGCGACGAATCGCTGCAGCGCCATACAATGAAATGTATCATTCTCTTGTTACGCACCTTCTTCGCTATGCCATTCTAAAAACTGCGCAGAAAAAAGACGTGTCGCTCACCCAACTCGGAGAGGATGCCCTTCTCCACCTCCTGGGTGAAGGTACATTCTCTCTCCCTTCTCTTTGCTCATCCTTCTAGTCATCATGCAAGTCTCCCAAGGCCAAAACTGGCCATTCTGGAGAACCTTTCTACGAGCTCACGCAGCTTCTCTCCTCGTCACTCCCACAACCAACGATCCCTAGCCTTTTTCTTTTTGTTCTTTTTCTTCATTGTTACAACAAACACACAGGAACGAACACCCAAATAAATAAATAAATATTGTCACAACACCAATCAGTGTTTAATGACCTCCGGAAGAAGGATAGCCGCACGCAGTCTTCCAAGTATCGTAGATCCACCACTGCAGACCCGTCAGCGTACCAATCATCAGAATACGAGTTCCCAGACCGTTCCAGCATCCCTTCCAGCCCAGAATCTTCATCGCCTGCAGCATCGAGATCTTCTCCGCGGAGTTGTTCATCTTCGACACGCACGAGTCGAACGGATGCGACACCAGCGCGCAGAACACACCAGCAATGTAACCCGAAGCGAACGTCACCGTCAGCTGCGTCGCCTTGCTGTACGAGTCACGAGGCTTCGTCAGCAGGAAGCGATAGAACAGACCCACGATGTTCTCGAACGTGGCGAACTTCACCATCGTGTACGGGATCTGACGGCACCACAGAGGCACCAGACCCTTCCACAGAGCCTTCACGCCCTCGGGACCCGTGATCTCGCGCACGGCGGGCATCAGCTTGTTGGGGAAGTTCATCTCAGCAGGGCTCGTCTGGATGCGCACCTTGGTCGCCTCCATCGGGCACAGGAAGATATCGGCGAAGAACTCAGCCGACGCAGAGGCGGCCAGGTAGATCGTGTTCTTGTAGTTCTTGGCTCTCTCCTCTCCCATCAGGTTGATGTAGAAATCCTTGAACAGCTCGTAACCTCCGAACTTGAAGAATCCCTGCATGGCATAACCATAGAAGGTAGGCTGCCATCCGCGGTACAGACCGTTACGATTCCAACCCTCCTTCGAAATCTGCTTCAGACCATCCATAAGGTTCTTGTACAGAGTAGGGTTCGTCTGGCGACGGCACTTGACCAAATCGAGAGGGCAAATAGCGGTGTGAGTGGTTCCGCAAGAGAGAACGCCTCCCATAAAGCAGGTGCTGTAGAAACGAGCATCGTGCTTAGGCTGAGCGTCAGTGGCCATGAGCAGCTGAAGAGAACGGGGGTTGAACATCTGTAAGTGGGAAATTGGAAAACCAGAGAGGGGCGTTTTCAAGGCAGCGGTTCGCCTGTATTTCATTCAAGTATAATTTCAAATCTCATTCATTTCTGAATCAAACAATCCACAGTCTAATGATTACTTTTTCCCCATCGCTTTATAAAGAACAATGGCTGCCGCAGCCGCCACCACAGCCGTAATGCCCAGTCCCACAATTCCCTCTACAAAGAGAACACCTACACTGTTTCTACTTGACTGAACGATTGCGTCCAACTTCTGGTGAAGATCCTGCGCCTGCTCGTTCAATGGGTCCAACTTGAGCAGTCGTTCACAAAATAGACGAGACTGGCGCAGTCTCCCGAGTTTGTAGTAGGCGTACGAAATATTGTATATGCATTTGTGCGTTTGGAAACCTTCATCGATTAAGACTACACAATAAGCGCCCCAAGCATCTCAAACCTGTAAAAATCTCGATTGCCTTCTCCAATTCCTGCTTATTTTTGCTCCGAACTAAGGCACATGCGTAATTGAAAGCTGCCTACAGTATTAGCTTGAATCCGTTAAATTACTTTGGGAGTGGGAACATCGTTTTCAATATCACGCAAATATTCCTCTTTCGCTCTCTAGGATGAACCTACCAAAGAATCTGCTACGCGAATGGCCGCAATCACCTCAGCCTCGTTCAGAACGTTCGTTCCTTGGGATTCATACATTTCAGAAAAAGTATACTGTTTCGCTAATCATTCGTGTGGATTGGTTCTATGAATCGTCTATTGTCTAAAAAGCACTTGATAGGGGCCAATGATAGAGTTGGTTTTCTTCACTTCAAAAGCAAGTTACCTGTGAAAGTGACGCTTCACCTCCTTTCCTATTTTTTTAAAAATGATTCGTATGGAAAAAGCAGCGATCGAGTTTATGACAACGAATCTGGCTTTTCACACAATCCAGTTTGTGCGATTATTCATTAATTTATATATCAATGATTTGTGGATTAACTAGTTGTGCTTGTTGCTGCTTTAATGCACTCTTGGGGTGTGCAGGAAATGTTAAAAAGACAATGTCTAATGCTCGTTACTATTCCGTGTTTCTAATCTGGATGTTGTTTTGTATTATAATTCAGTTCCTCCCTAACAACGATGTAGCCTAATTTTTCTTTTCTGAGTTGTAGATTGTGAACAACAATCTTGACAAAGTGTTTGGAAGACATGGAATTGAGATCGTATATCGTGCTAGCTGTGCTATTTTCTGCTCCTTCCTGCTTTTGTTCTTATCAACTTTGGCATGGCCAGCGACGCATCATATGTTCTTGGGAATCTTCCTGCTCATTCTGATTTTCTTCACCTGGCTTTTTATTTGGGGAGTTGATTCCTCCAGCTGGATCGGTTTCTACCGTGGCTGTGCCCGCGTTGGATCTGTCTTCTACCTGATTCTCCAACTGATGGCCTTCGTCGATTTGTCCTTCACCGTCCACGATTTGTTGATCGTCAAGATGGATGAGACAAATGTTGTTTCCGCCGTCTCCCCTCACCTCTAGAAGCGATACAACTACACAGACAAGACCTGCTGCTGCGCCAACCAGTGGAAGTCGATGTACATTACCCTCGGTGTTTTCTTCACTCTCGGCTCCATCGCTTGCTGCATCGTCTTGTACTTCCTCCCTTCTCTTTCTCTCACCCTCAGCTACGGCCTGTTCCACAAGCAAGGCGTCTGCTTGGGCAACATCGTAATGATCACGCTCACTCTGCTAATGGGCATCACCTGCCTCTGCCTCTGTCTCACCGAGAAATTCAACCGCGGCCTGCTTCCGCCCGCCACGTTCTTCCTCGTGACCGTGTTTTATCTTGTGAGCGCGCTGCTGGCTTCGCCGAACGCGGTAGGATTCGATCGAATTCTCTGACCGTAGAACTGCAACCCGTATCTCTCGTCGAGTAACTACTGGCTGACGGCGATCAACGTGGTGCTGAACGTGATCTCGGGGTTCTGGATGGCGTATCGCATCAAGAGCGAGAACGCGGAGAAGGAGGACGAGGAGGCCGAGCAAAAGCCGGACGCGGAGAAGGGACCCAAGCTGGAGATCCCTGCGGAGGACAGCAGGCAGTGGTGTCTGTTTAATTTGTGCATGGTGCTGAATTCGCTGTATCTGGCGATGATGGCGTCGGCGTGGTATTCGGGGGATTTCACGATGCGGCCGACGCTGGTGTCGCAGTTCGCGTCGAATTCGACGCTGTGGATTTATTTTTTGAGTATCGTGGTGGGATTTGTGCTGTTCATGTACATCCTGTTCGCTCCTTTTATCAATCCGAACCGAAGATATTAAGAATTGTGTTATGATTGGGTTGTTTGTGGGACAAATTAGAGAGGAAGAGGAGGAGGAAGCACACAGGCACAGGGAGAAGCAACCAACCAATTTGCTAGGCAATCCACTTCTGCAAAATGGGTTTAGAAATTGGAGAGTGCATCGAATAGACATTCAATCCACAAGCAAACGGACACAGGGAGAAGCAACCAACCAATTTGCTAGGCAATCCACTTCTGCAAAATGGGTTTAGAAATTGGAGAGTGCATCGAATAGACATTCAATCCACAGATACACAGGCACAGGGAGAAGCAACCAACCAATTTGCTAGGCAATCCACTTCTACAAAATGGGTTTAGAAATTGGAGAGTGCATCGAATAGACATTCAATCCACAAGCAAACAAGAAAGCAAAGTGCCAAAGCAGAGTGAATCAAACAAACATTCCATTCCATTCCTTCAATCAAACAATCGAAACTAAACACACCGATAATCTCTCCGTCCATTCCTTTCTTCCCGTCTACTTCTTTCGCTCGAAACGCCATCGATACACCGCAGCAAACCCGTTCTCCCCGTCCTTCACCTTCACGCGTCGCCCCTTGGAGTTCAGATTCTTTCGCAGCTGGATGTGGCTCATAATCCGATCGATCGTTTGCTCGTCCTCCAGATTCTCGCCCAGCTCCTTGTACCGATTCTCTCGACGCTCCTTCAGCTTCTTTAGCTCCTTCTCGTCGCGGAGAGTGCCGGCAAACGACTGTTCTTTCAGCTGCGATTCGCTGAGACGATTGTATTTGCGATCGACCAACTCGGGGAGCGTGTCGAAATAGGTCGCTGCGGACCACGTCTCCATTTCCTTAGGGTCATCGACGAAGACGGTGTGATGATTTGACTCTTCGTTGTCCATGAACTGAAGTGAGGAAACCAACCGCTCGATTTTCTAGGATCAATGGCGTGGAATATCACTACCCGCTCCTTCTGAACTCGCTTTGAAGTTAACAACAAAGCGTCCTTCTCTTTTTCTGCAATTCGCTTTTGGGTCCATTCCTTTTCAGTTTCCCCTTTCTAAACGTGATTCGAACATCATTGTCTCTCACTTTCTTTAATGTAATCATATGAGTATGGAACTCATCGGGATTTTTCAAGGCAGCCTGCAACTTGAGCTTCTGGATGAGTTTTTGCTTTTTATGGTGCTCCTCTGCACGAATTTTGTAATCCTTCTTCTTTTCCAACAATCCGAGACTTTGACGAGCAAGAGGTTGAGAACGCTCTCTGTGCTCTTTGCTCTTCACTGCATTTCTCCAGGAAGACATTTTCTCTCACAAAAAGTTTGCCCAGATTTCGAATGACGATTTTTCCTCTCCTTCCTATTTTTGCAACAAACAGACAAACAAGCTTCAATGTACAAGATTCTCAAAATGGTTACAGAATAAAATTACGAGCCTGCACGCTTAATCGCCGTGCATTTCCCGGCATTATCCTCTTCGCGCGACCTCTTCATACTCCCTCGTTTCACCGTTTCCTCCCCTCCTGACGACACCGGCGACGCCGCCGACGCAAACGAGTGCGACGAAGCGCACGATATCGATGATGCCAATGATGCCGAGCCTCTCTCTCCCTGCTGCTCTCCCTCCGTCGATCGCTCTCTCTCCGCGCTCTCCGTCTCCAGCCTGCGCGGCACGCACGCTTCCGACCAGTTTTCCTTGGCAGTGGCGACATCGGCCATGCGCTGCGCGTTGTCGACAACCTCCGCGATGTCGCCAACCAGCGAGGATCGGCGCAGCAGCTCCTCCTCGGTGGCGGCGTCGTGGTGCAGGCGCTGCACGAGCGGCGCGTCGATGGACTGGAGGCGAAGCTGATTGATTGAATCCTCCATCGCGCGAAGAAAGCGATATTGCGCTTCCTCGTTGTCTTCCGGCACGTGCGGGTTGTCCAGGTCCAGGTCTACTTGGATTACGGTGCGTTCTAGCGGACATGGAGACGATTCTCCGACATCGCCCGCTTCGCGCTCAGCGACCGGCGAAAGCGAGGGCGTGGGCTCTCTCGAGGACGCAGAGGCCGGTTCTGGCTTGTCGAGAGCGCGCTGGCCGCCGAGATGAAATGGCTTCACTTGCTGCGAGCTCACGATCGTTCGGCGCTTGCGCGAGCGGTAGAGCGCCGGCTGCGAGCGATAGGAGAGCTCTGGGCGCGGAGTCGGAGTGGGAGAAGAGCAATTTGGGTCGCTCAGGAGTTCCCTCCCACTTAATGATTCCGATGGAGAACGCAACACAGAGAGCTCCTGCGTGGATTCGGGGTCTACCGCTTCGGCGAGTCCGTGGTTGTTCTCCCAGCAATCGTCCTGGACGTTCTCGGAACGAACTTGGGAGATGCGCGGAACGACCATCAGAGAACCATCCCGAATGAGGAGTCGCGATGCTAGGAGGTGAAACGTCGCGACAAAACCCACAAGTTGCTGTATCATCGGTGGGGATGGTATCTTCCTTCGCTGCTAGCTTGTCGGAGAGTGCCTGGTCGTGAGTAGAAGTCAATACGAAATACAGAGTTAATATTCAGGAGAATCTCAACATCTTCGTGCTTCCCCTGCTCTACGACCAGATTTTTATATTTCTCTGAAAGCTGGACCAACTGATCCGCCGTATACGAAGAGAAACACGTATTGGGAGTAATGCTCTCTTCTGAAGAAATACTAATCGTATTTGTGAGTTTGGTCGTGTTTTCTGCATCTACTCCTCCTCCTCCTCCTCCTCCTCCTTGTTCTTCTTTCGGCTCTTCCTTTTTAGCCACATTTTGCTCTTTGAACTTCGCAACAGATGGCGGGAGAGAAGAAGAGATCACCGTATCCGATAGGCGCGGATCTTTTGGGAGTTTTGACGGGCTCATTGAACTCTCTGACGAGTCAGGATTCTTGCTGTAGTTTGCGTTATCAATATCGATGAGCATATCAATGATCTCCTTCGACATGCTCGGAAGACGGCTTTGGCTGTTGCTGCTACATGCTACTGTTTCGTTCGTTTCCAGGACGCTCTCGCGAGGTAGGATGGTTGTGTCAGCCTGATTGAGAACGTCTTGCAACGTCTCCGTATCCGTTTCGGAATGGGTCAAATGCGTTATTTTATCGTTGACGAAGGATTTCGTGGTCTGACTCTCTGAAAGAAGAGAATCATCCTCTTTCAAGATTTTATTCAAATCATCCACCAAATTCGCCTCACTATCCGACACAAACACTGACTCAGGATTGTTCTACACATTACTCCACAGTTGTAAATTGTACTTCGGGCTCCTGCTCATTTGAATTTTCCTGGCTATTACTTTGACGGGAAGTGGAGTCCAGTGTTTCATCTCCCTTGTCCATTTTACCTTGAGTCTATCCTTGCAGCGATCTCATTTTCCTACCTCGTAATGCTTTCTGATAAGATCGATGAGTACAGACGACGCTTGGTTCGCCTTGATCCCGATTCTTTTGGCTTCCTGCTGAAGTTCATGCCGCTTCATACCCTTCAGCGTTTCCAAGTCCATATCCACGAAGCCAACCAACAATTCAAAATCCAACGGGAATAATGACAATTCCCAAAATCGGCTGTCGTTTTTCTCTCAAACAAGGCAATAAATATAACGATTCCAAACACCCTCGCTGCTCTTCTCCTCCACGCACCTCCCTCTCCAATAAAAGACGATTAGTTGAACAGTCGGGAGTGCGTGACATCTGCGCGGATTCCCGACTTCTCTCCCATGTACTGATCGGCTTCGTTCGTTCGCATCGGCACCACCTGTCCCTTTCTCCGCTTGACAGCCTGCTCGTAGCGCCGTCGTTTCTTCACACGCGGGTTGCGGTTCTCCTTCGGTCGGCTCGGCACCAATCCGCGGTTCTTGAGGATTTTCTGCGTGGCCTTGCGGCTCTCCCCTTCCTCCAGCTCGAAATCTTCGTTCACGTAATGCGCCGCGTACTCCTGCCGCGCCTCCTTCGCGCTCTGCTTCGCCTCCTTCCGCTTCTTCATCTCCCGGTAAAAATCGTCCTCCCCCGCCAAATCTTCGTCTTCGTTTCCCGCCAAATCTTCGTCTTCGTTCGACTCCACGTCGTCCATTGCGTCGTCCATTGCGTCGTCCATTGCATCGGGTTTCCCCGGTTTCTCCGATGGCGTGAGCATGTCGGCCCCTCGCTTGCGTGCGGCGAATCGCTGGAAGGCGGCTTCCTCCTCTCTACGCTTCACTTCCTCGCCTCGCTCCTACCGCGCCAGGGCGTTTCGCTCCTCCCTCGCCTCGTCTTCGCCTCCCTCCTTTCCCGCCAATTCTTCTTCGCCCTCCTTCCCTTCTCGCTCCCGTTCTCGCTCGTCCTCGCTCTCCGATCCCCGCGGGAGGCTTTCCCGCTGGAACCGCGCCTCGCCGATCCGGCGCTCGGCCTTGCCCAGCCGGTCGAGCAGAGCTCTGCATGACCCGCCCCCTCGTCTCCTACCTGGCTCGCACCAGCAGGGCGGTCAGCGGATGGCGCTGCAGGTCGCTCGACGGGCGGCGCTCGGCCTTCAGCAGCAGGTAGTTCAGCAGCAGCAGCGCGTAGTTCAGCGACAGCTGCGACTGGCAGTCCGCGAAGTCCACGCCCGTCGACGACAGCGCGCGCCCGCCCACCGAGGGACGCTCGCTACGCAGAGCGCGCGCCCAGGGAGCCACGGCGCCGGAGAACGCGCGCAGACGGCCCAGCAGGTCGGAGAGCATCACCACCACTTCCGGACTCTCCTTGCGCAGCAGCTTGCGAAGCTCCTCCGCCGACAGCGAGGAAAGGTCTTTGTGCACCTCCTCTTCCGCGATACCGAACTATAATGACACTTAAGAGCGAACTACCTACTCCCAAATTCAACTTGGCAGCTTCCAGATCGGTCGCTTCGACTTCCTCGTCCTCGTCGGAGGAAATCGCGAAGTCCTCAACTTGCAAACTCTCCTTCTGGTTTCTTTCCAACTCACGCGTTTCTCGCAGCTCCACACCATCCGCGTCAATGTCCTAGCCGTCAACAGACTCCACAACACGACACATCTTCCATTCCACCATAATAGTTGCTCTTTCGACCACCCCAAGCATGAATGTCTTCCTCCTTCTCCTCACTCTCCTCCTCGGACGAAGAACTCATCTCGTTGCTACTACTCGATACTTCATCCACAGAAACGTGGTCATCGACATCCAAAAGGTCATCCTCCGACACATTATCAAAGTCTAATTCATCTGCTCATTTAAAACCAAACCGCATCGTCTACCATCGGAATTGGTCATTGGAACGTCGAAAAAGTAAAAAGCACCAAAATACCCTCCTTTTTTGTTCTTTTTGCCTTCTCTCTACAATCGGAATTCCGGAAATCGGGGGTTTGTTCAAATATCATTTCATCAAACTTGATTCATTCAATTCAAATAGGTAGTGGAAGGATTGCAAAGATGCTAAACATTCTATTTTCATTATTATTATGCTTACAAAGTGTAAGGATGTTTCGAGTTTCTTGGTTATCTTCTAGGTTTTGTGTTGGGATCATTTGGAAAGTAATGTACATTACGTTGAAAAAGGAAAACTGATTGAATATACTGAGCAACATCCTCTTGTGCTAGTTCACTGGTATGCTTCTGTACACATGTTCTTGATGTATTTTACTACGTAGTGGTGCACTTATTGCAAGGATTTCGCGCCGACCTGGAGTCAAATGTCGGATATTGGGTATGAAGGGAAGAACGAATTCGAAATGATCAAGGTGGAGCTTGGAGATGACAAAGAATACGTGGATCGCTATAGTGTGGCCGTGTTTCCGGATTTTGGTGTCTTTGTGAACGGAGAGTACTTCCGATACAATGGACAGAAGTTGGCTGGGTACACAGTCCATCTCTTGTTTTCTGTAGCGATATTCTTCATTTCGCGGTAAATCATACAAGTGACGGAATTCTGCGCATCGTCGAGTCCGAAATGATTCCCTTCCTGGAGCAGAGCTCGAACGTGGTCTATCTGGGTCTGTTCGACGAGGGCGTATCTGCCTTTGAAGTTTCTGATGGTTAGAGCGAGGAAGAAGCGATTTTCAAGCGATCGGTCGTGCGTGAGAAGAATGTTCTCTTCGTTATCCCCACTCCCGAGGTGCGGGACGCGTTCCTCCAGGAGGTATCTCCGTTTCCCCGTTTCTCCGTAGCGTCATTTGGCGTCTCCGACGATCTTCGTTCTGAAATCATTCGACGAATATTTCGCGTCGCTCTCCGGACCCTTCACAGATTCCAACGTGCGCGAGTTCGTGGCAATGCACAGCGACCCGGTGGTGTATCCGACCTCGAACCCACGCGTTCTCTTTTTGAAATGCGCGGCGTAACGCGTAGTACAAAGACTATTTCTACCAGCATCCGAAAGTGTGGACGACGATGCTGGTCGACGAGGAAAACGCCGTGTATCCCTCGCTGCGCACCGCGAAATTCGTGGAGGTAGGGACCGCTCTGTTTAGGACGATTCCTTTGATAGATGTGTCGGAAGCTCCCGGGAATGAACTGCTTCTATGTGGAGAAAAAGGAGAAACGGATGTATAACGGATACATCGCGAATCTGAATCCGGACTATCCGTTCTTGCTCACCGTGCATCGGATCCGCGGGTATCACTTCAAATACGAGTGGCCGTCGATCGAGGACGAGCCGATGGAAAATCTGGTCTTCTTCGGCCAGAACATTCTCAGCGGAGCCGTCAAGCCGTTCATGCGATCCAAGCGAATCACGCCGAAGGAGGGCGAGCTGGTGCGCGAGGTCGCGGGCAGCGAGTTCGAGAAGGAAGTCATGCAGAGCGAGAACGACGTGGTGATCCAGTTCTACTCGAACGTGTGCGACCACTGCAAGAAAATGAGCAAGCGGTTCGAGAAGGTGGCGGCGGCGCTGCAGGACGATCCGTCGCTGACGTTCTTGCGGTATTCGGTGAATGAGAACGAGATCGATGTGGAGCAGATCTATGTGGGAATGGAAGGAGGGAGCGAGGCGTAGGCGTCGTATTTCCACAGCGTGCTGTATGTGAGGAAGGGAGAGAAGGTGGAGATCGTCGAGTATCCGCGAAGCCGAAAGTCCTGGCGAACCAAAGTAGAAGTGTGGGGAGGGAGGTGATAAAAATAGTCGCTGATTCGATGGGTGAAGGAGCAGAAGCAGAAGCAGAAGGAGAATGCAAGCAATGGGGTAAAGGAAGAAAACGAAGAGGAGGAACTGTGGATTGTTTGTTACAAAGGCAAAGCACCAATTCTCTTGGATGAGTGGAAGATCTCCACGACTTGTAGACGCCACGACGCAATCTCCATTCCTCTTTCCTTCATTTCTATTTCAACCCTTTCATCACACCACCTCGCCACCAAATCCGTTTCCCAACAAACAAGACAAAAAACCGTGAATATAACCTAGTTTATTCGATAATAATGCTCCAAGGATCTTCAGGGAACGGGTTGGGACGAGTACCCAGCTGAATTCCAGTAAGTTCATCGTACACACGCTGAGTGATCGGACCAGCGGGCTTCGAGGCATCGTTGGGATCGAGCGGAATATCGATCGTCTTTCCGTTGTACAGAATTCCGTTGATCGATCCGCAGACAGCCGCAGTTCCCGAGGTGAAGCACTCCAGCAAGCGGTGCTCCTCCGCAGCTCTCGCCACGTCGTGGATGGTGAACTCGCGCTCGGACACCTTGAACTCGTTCCACGAGCGAGTCAATTCAATGATCGACTTGCGGGTGATTCCAGGAAGAATCAGTCCGTTCAGCGGGCAAGTAATCAGCTCCTTCTCGCCCTGCTCATTAATCCAGAAGAAGAAGATGTTCATCGCACCTCCCTCCATGATGATTCCGTTCGGGCCCACTCCCAAGATCTGGCTGTAGCCCTTCTTTTCCCACTCGTGAGCAGGCAAAATAGTAGGTCCATAGTTGGCTCCCAGCTTGTAGGCTCCGTGACCACCCGGCCAGGCACGCACATGATTCTCATCTGCGACCAGCTTGATCGGCTTGAAGCCGGTGGCATAGTAAGGACCAGAAGGAGAGCAGATAGTGTACAACATGCATCCCTTGGATGGATGAACGCCTAAGAAGGCATCCGTGGCAATGCAAGTCGGACGGAGGTAAAGAGAGTAACCCTTTCCCTGAGGAATCCAGTCCTTGTCAACACGGACCAGCTCCTTGATAGCCTCCAGATGAAGATCTGGATCAATGGTCTACAATGTTGCGAGACAAAAACCACCTACGGGAAGGCAGAGTCTGGCAATAGAAGAGTTCATTCGAAGGACGTTCTCACGAGGACGGAACATACGAATGTGACCCTCATTATCACGATAGGCCTTCATTCCTTCAAAACACTAATACTTATCGACCAACAAAGAGAAATACAGCAGTTCCATAATGGAAAACGGAAGCAGCAGGATCCAAAACAATATCATGGTAAGGAACGATGCGAGGAGTCTCCCAACCAGTTCCAGGGTTGCGTGTCTCCATCATATGGTCAGACATGTATTTTCCAAAACCCAGTTTTTCATTAGCAACCTTAGGCTTGGGATGCTTGGTACGCTCAACGATAATATTGAACGTCTAGACATAAAAAAAGGCAAATAATGGCACAGATGAAAAGGAACGGGCAACAGTCATTCCCACTATAATTCAATGAATACACCGCAAGTCATACAAGTGAGAGAGCTTCTATGGAGAGCAGAGAGACTCATACTATTAAAAAAATTTTGATCAACTATAGCTTCTCTGTTTCGCGTACAGTTGTTAGAAATACTATACATATAAAAGTAATTACTGTACTTGTGAGGATGATGAATAATGAATGCTACTGGTACATAGTTCGATTCTTCCAAATCAATCCACTTTTTTAATTTGTATAAAAACCGCCACATACGAATGGATGGCTAATTGTTCACATAGTTACATATTACGAGTTTACCCTCATCAGCGATTTTCTGGAAGTCTCTAGTACACCAAAACACTTCAGGAGCCAACCATTAACAGTGATGCATTATCTCATCCATCACGTGTACTGGGGATCATTGGATTATTGTTTCCTTCCCTAAGTCAATATCCTTAAGAAAACCAATATGAGAAAACGATAGAAGGAACATTATGAGTAAGTGTAGTGAGTTGATAGGTCACCACCTTGCAACATCAAGTTAGAAGATCACAATGAAAAAAGCTCAGGAAAAGGAATATGCCAAGGTATAAATGAGTGTATTTGTTCTGATGACAACTTACAGAACCATAGATATTCTATTTCATTATACAGAACTCTATGTGTAGTATAGTACTAAGAAGAGAAAATATAATCAGTGACAAATGATATAGAATTAGAATGCTTGACAACTACTGTGTTTTCAGGGTAGAAGATAAACAAAAAACAGTTGTATCACTAAAATATGGAGCAGAGTAACATACATATTTGTTGACTCACAAATACAAATGTATTGCAAAAGAAGTGTTACTAGTAAGGTAAATACTATACGGATAGCGCAGAAATCATAGAGCACGCTTTGTATAAACGTCCTACTACTCATGTTATGGGAATGCATAAATGTTAATTGTTTTGGGATAATTTTCCTATATTTAACTATTAAATTATGTTATAGCGTCGTGTACTATACTTATTAGCATATTTCGTAAACTATCATTTGAGATGAACATACAGTTCCTTTTATAGGAAATATGAGCAGTAAATAGAACCAGTAGTAGAATACCAATACAACTATTTATGTTGCACTTGAGAACATGAAACTCGACGTTCGCTTAATATCACACTGTCATAATATGTAATGAAATAGGATAGTATACATTCTATCCTTTACAATCAAATACCATGTGAGGATTTACATAGATTTGCGTTTATATTATGTCTATTGGGATATGACACAACTTACAATAAAAGATGGAACGGGAGATTACGATTTCCACCCCATGAGCACAACTCTACAGAACAAGGCTATTCACACACATTTCGTATTTGATATTATTTGGAATAAGCAATAACATAGATAATCAATGTTCCAGAAGGCTTATAGTCAAATTATGAAATAGGGACCATGTTCATGTAGATGCAGCTACTCCAACAAACCACAGTATGGAATAGCAGTATACAAAGTTCTGTGTAGATAATCGTCTATTTTCAATACAAATGATGTATTTAAAATACCCATTATTATTAGAGTTTCTATTATTTACTCAAAACGAAAGGAACGAATAATATGTCTCAAAGAGTACGAAAGATTTCAAATAGATCTGAAATAAATATATTAATGCATGTATCGAGTCTAAAAAGACTCCAACACGTTTAACTCAATCATCCTACAATCGTCAGTCAGTACTTTCTCTGACTTTATTTTTATGTTATTCATCACTCTACAAGATAAAAGAAACGTAATAACACACAGTTCAAAAAATAGTACCCTTGTTTGAATATGAATCATAAATATACCAGAATGATATGTAGTGTGTTACGGCAGAATATTCAGAAGAATTAGACATTTCTTCTTCTCACCCTTCCAATGACTTTCTAAACAACATTTTAGAGAAATAAATATGCAATCAGTATGACCTGTACATTAAAAAGGAAAGATGTGTATTTGTAAAATAACATGACCTTTGTTTTTTTGCCATAAATATACAATTTAGGAACATGGAACTTTACGAACATAAAATTAATCTTGCTCCTGTGGTAAGACCGGTTTTAGCCAAACCACCTGGCTTGAACAAGGAGAATAGTGAGAATTGCTGGGAAAATAATATATCTGAGCAATTTCCAATACAACTAACTAATCAAGTTGACGGAGATGCCGAAGTATCGGTCAAGCAACCTTATCAAGGTTATGTTATTAAAATTACGATTGTTGACTTAAAAATGAATGGAGAGTCGTATATATTCTCAGACAAAGGCATACATATAGCAACACTGACGTTTGTTGATGGGATCGCTCTTGGATCATGCACAATAAACGACGACTCTGGTTTATCGTGGTTTGGAGGACGTTTTGAGAACAGTTATTGTCATGGAATAAATAAGGAATATGATAAATATGGAAATGTTACATTTGAAGGATTTTATGAAAGAGGAGAAACTGAGAATGCATCGTATGGAAGAAATGGAAGAATACTGGAAAGAAATAGATGAGGACAATACACTTATTCGTATATGTGAGAAGGACGACGAAGACCTAAATGATGGAATGTGTAATTTGTATAATAATGGGGCTATAAGCCGAACAAGTTACTGGAAGAACGGAAAAGAAATCGAACTCTTAAAACAGATTTTTGGCAAAACAATGATAGAATATTCGAATGGACAGAAGAAATACCAAGGCGGTTATAAATATCTTTCTAATGTTGGTTATATTCGCTATGGACAAGGAGAAGAATATGCTCCTGATGGCCAAACATTGCTTTTTAAAGGTTCTTTCATTTCTAATATACGTCATGGTATGGGAATAACATATAAAAAAACGAGTTAAAGAAAAAGCAAAACTGGATAGCTGGGTGTACGACAGTGGGATTAGTAATACCATTCCTCCTTATTGTTATAGCCCTTATTCTATTATATTTGGTTGATGTTTGTTGGGGTATATCTATTCTGTTTTTGCTTATTGTCATTCTTCAGTGTATCATGTTTTGCATGAATGATAAAGATGGAAAGAAAATGAAGTTTAAGCGAGCAAAAGTGTTTTCTCATTATATATTGAGGAATAACATTTACCAAGTACGTAATAGTGATCCATTGTCAGATAATGGATTCCAAATGTTGATTTATATTATATTAGGAATCTTTGGTATACTATCTATAGGTGCCATACTGTTTTATAGTTTAGCTAAACCTTATATCAATCTTATCCAAAGTACATATATCGTAAAGGATAATCGACTGAATTTGGTGCGCTATTTCACTATATCAAATAATCCTCGTTTGACCGAAATCAGAATTGGTAGTAATTGCTTTAAATCAGCAAAGACTTTTAAAGTTAAGAGTTTGTACTTATTAAAAACATTGACAATCGGATCAAATTCATTTACTAAACATAAAAATAGTTGTGATACTGTCAGTTCAAAATCATTTCATATATCTAATTGTGTTAAATTGCAATCAATCGAAATTGGTCAATATAGGTTCAGTGATTATGCAGGAGACTTTGAATTGATCAATCTTCCAACATTACAATCAATCAAAATCGGTTCTAACAATCACAATTCTTATAATTTCTATTCGTCATTATTCATAATTCAAAGTAATTAATATTGAATATATGAACTCATAATTAGATCTTCCTAAATTGAAATCAATCGAATTAGGAGATTATTCGTTTTCTAAATCTAAAAATACTACATTGAATAGTTAACTATATTATTTTCACTAATTACTTAGATCTTCCTCAACTGGAAACAATTGTAATTGGATATCACTCATTATTTGGTGAATGGGGAGAGGATTCTTGTTCTTTAGTTATGACGGGTAATGATATGTTGTTGAATCTTTGCTAATAGTCTAGACCTTCCTAAGCTACAATCCATAAAATCTGTCAAGTATTCTCTGTGGTCTCCCCGAACTATTGTTTTAAAAAGTATTATAAATTGACGATATTTATTCATTAATAGATATTCCTGTAATCAATACAGTTGTTTTACCTGATGCACTTAAATATGTTATATATTCAACAACCATCATAGAAAGTGGTTATGATATTCCACAATAATAATATAGATGTTAATACATCACTATCTTCTATTATTGCATATAATGATATTCCTTCTGGTTTTTCTCATTGTTCATCTCTTTCGAGTAAAACAATGAAATCGACATATTTGAGATTGTATGATAAGGACTGTAATTCAGCATATGTGACATCGTTTGATATGAGTGCAATGAAATACCTTTCGTATATTACGGTGGGGAATGAGAATTTGTATTATACAAATAAGTTCATTGCTTACGGACTCTTTATGTTAAAAACGATTGCAATTGGAGGAAACTCTTTTACCAAAAGTAAAAAGGGGCATGGATGCAATAGTGATCGCTCATTTTCTGTTAAAAATTGTGAAAAATTAGAATCAATAGATATTGGTACATATAGCTTCAGTGATTATGCAGGATACTTCGAATTACAGAATCTTCCTTCTTTGAAATATCTAAAAATAGGCGATGTTCATAAAACATCGGGATGCTTTTATTACTGTCGTTTTCAGATAAGAGGTAATCATTTGTTTTTGCAGTATTGCACAGATTTACCTAAATTACGAACCATTGAACTGGGATATGATTCTTTTGCCACATCTCTTTATACTGTTTTTGAAAGTATCATTGATCTTGATTTTGATTAAAGATCTTCCTAGCTTAACAAGAATTAGTCTTGGTAAATATTCCCTACGAGGAACTGACAATTGGTCATGTGGATTGAGTATGAAAAGTATTCTCTCCTTATTCACACATAATATCTTAGACTTAACTAATTTGATGACTTTGGAATCAGAAAACTATAGCTTTGATTATACTCGAAAAGTTACAATTCACTGTAGGATATTTCTACAAATCTTTTTCATAGATGTGAACCGTTTATCCAAGGTTGATTTACCCTGTGGTTGGTTCTCCAAAGCCTTTTCGCGTGTGACTTCTACGGATCTAATATGTTGCATAGTAATATTGTGCTTAGTTGTAGCAGTATCATCGAAATTAAGAAAGTACTTTTAAATAAACAGCATTTATTGAATTACTTTTTTAATTTATTAATGACTCATATTCTAATATGGTATAAAAGTGAATAATGTATTCTTAATTACCTGTAATACATGATCACGCTCTATTTATACTGTTTGTTAGTGGTATATTCTTTATAACTTTGGAATAACTCTATTATGTATATTGCTTCAAGTCATTGCTATCTAATAATGAAACAATATTGGCTCCCAGCATATAATTAGACAGAACATACTCTCTGAATTCTGAAAAGTGGCCAGGTCGTATATTGTGCAATGCAGTGCACATAAATAATATACCAAAATGATATATTGTTTCTTGTTAATACATGGCCAAGTATTGAGTATTCAAACGTAACAGATAAATGTCCTTGCTATACTTACAGCCTTATCTGTGTTCTTTAATTTCATTTTGTATTTCGAGGCATTTACAAGCATTGCCTATTTCACATAATACTCTTTTAACGTTTAGACAAACTCACTCACATGCTCAATACTGTGTTATGTTGCTTACATATTTAATTGAAGAGGAGATAAATGGAGTGATGAAACTGCTTTTAGTACCTCGTCAAAATATGTTTGCACTATAATCATTATAAGTTGAGATCTTGTTTAACATTCTTTCATTTTTGACTCCTATGAACCAAAATCAAGTAATTCATTCAGGGTGTACTTTATGTTTTGTAAATACAGTATCTCAATTTTTCCATCGTGAGTGCGTCAGTTTGTCTGTTCTGTTCTGTTCTGTTCTGTTCTGCCATGTTAATTATTAGTCTGGAGGCTTGTCATATTATTTTTTATTTTGTAAGAAACTAGAAAAATGGATTACTACCACGATAGCTATGGAAATGCTCGCAGATACGATGAAGTCTACAAGCCAGCCTATAAGGGTCAGATGTCTTATGGAAAAGACAGCTATGGTAACCCTGTTTATGAGCATAAGTAAATACTGTTTGTTTTATCACAATTCTCCATAATTAATGTTCAATAGAATGCAACTCACCATTGCTATTCATCAATATTTCAAGTAAAAGTATGTATTATATCATTCTGGAAATTGTGTGAAAGTCCATGTGCTTAGTTTTTCGTAAATGCCATGATTATGCAACATGTACCTGTATGTTGGTGATTCTCTTCAACTATTTACCACTAGCACCACCGCACTTTAAAATATAAATAACAGTAAACAAGAATCAACCAAAGACACGGTATAATATCGTGTACAAAGAACAGGAGTCAACATATTTACTAGTTTCACCAAACATTGGAACTGTATCAATATTGATAATAATAATAATATTATTATTATTATTATTGTGCCTTAACATACATGATCCCTACACTCTTCAAGATAGCAGGAAAAAAAGTAACCATCTTCCTATTTAAGAGTTCTATTGTAAGAATAATACAACATCTAAACCATATAAGGGCAATAACCTTCTTTTCATAAATACTCAGAAGAAAAGTGTCTCTCTCTCTCTATTACTTTCTTCTGTGGCTGTTATTACTATCCGGCCAAAAAAAGATCGATTCTGTATCTAGACTTCAAATACTGCCCCGAAACGTAATATTGGACTTTATTCCTCCTGGATTCTGTCTTTTACAAAGTAGAACAATTGCACTAAACTCTTTATCGAACCAGAATTCGAACAGTTCATGTCCTTCTTTGGTAATCGAATGCTATTTTTCTCTAAACCAGCAAAAGAAGAAAAATAGATAAATTACATATGGTTTTTACCTTACTTGCTGTGAATAATATGAATACAATAAAAGAGAAGCGTACAGTGATAATGCCTGTTACACATTTTATTGTTAAAGTTTTTAATCCTTTATGGAGAGTTTTAATACTGGGTGGGAATCCCAAGTAATAAAAACTGGTATGACTCCTATAGCATACTACATTAAGCGGTGTTGTAAGAAAGATATTATAAATGAATTGAAACGTTATGGAATTGAAATATATGATATTGATAATGAAGCACATAAAATACGTGTGAGTTATCGCTGTTCAACTGCAAGTTCAGGTGATCGGGACATAAAGAAAATAGTCATTGATAGTGTATTGAAGATAACAAGTAAATTATGTGTTATTCCCTATACTTGGCCCAATTGTAAATGGTCCTTTGATTTGCTTTCTTCAGAGGTAGAGCTCGCAACATCTTAGTCGTTTTGCACTGTATTACTAATATATAGCAAGAGTACCGTTTTCTTTTGCAAAGAGTTAGGGGTAACCTATTTTGTGGGATATTATGATTATTATCCTCTCTTTTTAACTCTCCTACCAGATATTGAGAAAGCATTATGGAGGAAGTCTCAGGAGTTGAATCGTGGCTACTCATTATCAACAGCTTCTGCCTTTAATTACTTGGAAGATAATAGAACAGAGTTTTTGCCACGTAACTATGACCACGATACACGAAGCTATTGTTCTGCCCCGGTCATGGGCGTGGAGTATTCCTCGAATCATACTCCACAATACCAAATCGTTCTCCCCGAATTCTCTTTCAACGACGGTACCTACTCGCCCACCAAGTCGCTCAAAGTGGATGGCGAGCTATCTCCTATTTATAGCAATGTGCTCGAGAAGTCCAACAACACGATCAACATTTTCAGCAACGGCGAGTTATCAGATTACGCCGTGATTTTCAAGTTCAAGCAGATCCGCTCCCTCTTCAAGATCGAAGCCAACATTACCGTCGAAGGGTTTCTCTTCAACAGCTGCGGCTGGTACGTGCGATACCGCGGGGAGTCGTACTCCGCGGAGACCGCTAAGAAGGTCTACAGCGAATGCATCAGCGGCGTGGCGTTCCAGCATCGCGCGCGGATTTCGCTCATCCTCAGCGACAAGGAGTACATCGACCTCCTCATCTACGTCGTGGAGGTCAGCGAGAAGTCGCTCTTCGATTCGAATTCGATGTAGAAACTGCGTTCTGCACCGCATGAACTCCAACGAGCTCGTTCTGAACGGCAACGATCCCTACTTCACTCCCGTCCGCAACGTCCTCAACAGTATCTCTCCCTTTCTTTTTTTCGCTCACTCCCAGGCCTCAACAACCAGCTGATTCCCCTGCCCTCCGGACCCGACGATTCGGAGCAGGTGCTCCAAGAAATGGACACCACGCTCGTCCCCAGCTCCGAAGTCACCGGCAGCAGGCTGCAGGGCGTCTGGAAGGGCAACTGGAACCCCCGGAAGCTCCCGCTGATTCCGGAGGGGTTCAGCTGCTTTTTGAGTCGCTGCCGACGGGAGGATTTGTTTGCGTACCTACTGGAGATGGTGCATTTTGACGACCCGAGCCAGCTGCAGTGGATTATCAACTGCAAGGACGGGTACTTCGTGGTGTTTCCGAAGAAGGGAGCGCCGAGCCAGCAGCGATGGAAGAAGATCAAGCAGCGGATCGTGCCGAGCGAGTTCGGAATTGATTTCGCGTGCAAACCGATCTTGTTGGGCCCGGAGAGCGATGCGGAGCAGGTGCGAGATCGGATTGAGAAGGAATCGGAAGGGTAGAAGCGAGTGGGGAAATTGATTGTAGGAAAGCCACGCTTTTTTCTGCAGGAATGAGTTTCTTTATCGTGGGAGATAATAATTCGGTTTTTAAGATTTTGAATAGTTTGCAAATGTCTCAGTTATCTTAACTAGCTATGAGTTGTTTGTTTGAGAGAGCGCTTTCCGATTTTCATTTTCTGGTTTATTCAGTGTAAATCTCCTTTTGGAAGTATATTTGCTATTTGTGTTATCGATGTAGTAGCGATTTGAAGTCACTCTCCATGAATTCAGGTGTTATCGGTAATCAGTTCCTTAGCCAGCAACCAATGTCTGCACTAGGTCAGAGTTCCTACTACCAGCAAGTAGATAGTACGTGTTTGGACTTACAGGAAGATGGATTTGAATCAAACTCAACAAAATCGAAACTTGAAAATATCTGAGTTCTGGTCGAAAGTAATGGTGGAAATGACCAAGCTGCCAATCAATGGCGACAAGCATCACGAACTTCCCATGGCTCGAATTAAAAGGATTATGAAAATGGACGACTCGGTCAAAAGCTGCGTAATTTCGATCCTCTTCGCTTATTTTAAGATGATTGGTTCCGAAGCTCCCGTACTTATTGCGAAGGCTTGCGAAATTTTCATTCGTGAGCTGACGTTGGTGGCGTGGATGCACACGGAGGAAAGCAAACGTCGCACCCTTCAAGTAGCCATTTCTCTCTTCCTCGCATCCAGAAAAGTGATATTATTTCCGCAGTGTGCAACAACGAGATGTACGACTTCCTAATCGACATTATTCCGCGCGAAGAGACCGTTGAGTATTCGCATCAGCCGGACAGCAAAGTGGGCTACGACCCGCTTTATTATGGCTACGTCGCGCTTCTCTTCCTCGTTTCCTCTAGAATCCCAATCAAATGATGGACGCGCAGATCCCATCCATGCATGCCTCGATGCCCAGCTTCATGTCTTCGAACCAGAATTCCTACCAACAAAGCGTCTCAACGCTCATGCCGCCAAGCCAGCCTTCCTTCACACAGGTCCCGCAGGTCCCTCAAGTGCCGCAGGTTCCACAGGTTCCACAGGTTCCGCAGGTGCCGCATGTGGCGCAGGGAGTGCAGGGCATGCAGGTGCCGCAAGGGACGAACAGCTACGTGTATATGGACAGCATGCAGCAGATGCAGCCGAGCGTGGTGCAGGGGGGAAATGTGATGGGACAGTCGATGGTGAATATGGTAGGGGTCGGGAGAGGCAGTGACGCGAAGTATAATTTTCCGGAGAATTAGGAGAGGGGAAGTGTAAAGTAGAGGATTGGAGATGTTTGTTGAAATTATGTTTGGGTTTCATTTTTTGTTGCTTATGGCCAGCCATCATTATGTTGTCACTGTGCAGCAGCCCACAACCGTGACGCACTGCATTAAGGGACACTTTCTGTCGAGTTCTAGTTTGGATGTGATCATTGCGAAGGGATCCAAGTTGGAGTTGTATTCCGTATCTGAGTCGGGGCTGACTCCAATTTATGATGTGTCCCTTTATGGAAGGGTTGCTGCTTTGACGAAATATGGAATAGAGAGTTCCATTCCGTTGTTTTTGATGATGGTTAGATAGTGGAAAGGAAAACATAGTGATTTATACGGAAGATTTCTATTTTATTGTCCTCTCGTCTCCATTTGTTCAGATCGTTATTTTGTAGTTGTGACGCCTCGACACGAGAAATTCCCACTGTTGTGCGTGGCAATATTCAAAATAAGATAGGAAGACCTGTTGACATATCCTTTCGCTCCCATTTTCGGTTCCTTTACAGTCAGCGAGCTCCGATCTGCCGAGTGGATCCCACAAATCGCATTTGTCTACTTTCCCTCTATGTTGGTTCTCTCAAAGTGCTTTCCCCTCCCCTCCCTTCTCTCTAGTTTATTCCGCTCACAAACGAACTCAACGTGGCGTTCCACGCGTTCGACATCCACATCAACGAGCTGGGCATTCGCGACCTCCAATTCATCCCGTCCAACGACCGTTCGATCCGATTCGCCATTCTCTACAAATTCCGAGGTCGTCGGCAAGTCCGCGTCTACTCCCTCGATGTCCCCAATCGCCAAGTCATCGACATTTCCCCGCGGTTTTTGGACCTCGCCATCCCCGAAACGTCGAACGCGCTGATCCCCGTGGACTCCGGCTCCTTCCTGATCTGCTCGAACTCCCAAATCCTGCTCTGCGAGTTTCCTCCGATCCCCGCGGGTCACGCCTAGTCTCTCCGGCACCATCATCTCGAAACTGTCCGTGTCGATGGAGGGTCCGGTCACGTGGGACGAAATCGAGCCGAACAAGTACCTCCTCGCGGATAAGGAGGGTTTTCTGCACCTCTTCCTCCTCCTCCCCGATCATCAAATCCGCCACTCCGAGCTGGGCCGCGTGAGTCCCGGCGCCCAGGTCCGCTACATCGACAACCGCGTGGTCTACGCAGGGGTCTACGCAGGTCCCTCCGCGCTGCTCCGCATCACGCAGAACGCGCTGGAGCCCATCGCCAGCTTCCCCAACCCCGGGCCGCTTCTCGACATGGCCGCCGTGCAGGGCTCCGTCCCCGGGGAGACGCACTTGCTCGCCGCGGGCGGACTCGATGCGGTAATCGCGGGGAAGCGGGTTCATTGTAGACCGCCGCGCTGGTCGAAGTGCGCAGTGGCGTCGAGTGCAAGCAGATCGCTATTGAAACTGGGGAAACTGGGGAAACCGATCGGAAGGAGAACGGCATGAATCAAATTGGAGAAACCGTGGAAACTGGAGAAACCGTGGAAACGGAGATGGAAGGAGGCCGGGAACTGCCGTTGCTGCTGGAAGGCTACGAGCGGTCGCGAGCGTTTCATTTGGCGATGGGATACGGTTCGAGCACGCAGCGATTCGTTCTGCGGGACCGCGCGTTGCGTCCGGAGGGGGAGCTTCTTCCGTTCCGGACGCTGCACGTGGCGCAGTGGGGCGACAGCGTGGGGTTCGTGACGCCCTCCGGGCTGCAGGTGGAGGGCGCGCGGCCGGGCTTCGTGGCGTTCCCCGCGGCCGTGCAGCTGGCGGCCTCCGCCGGCCGCTTCCTCGCGGTAGGGAGCTTCGCGCGGCTGGACGTGCTGCGGCTCGGCGCGGCGGGCGAGGCGAGCGCGCTGGGCTCGGTGAGCTTCGCGGAGGAGATCAGCGCGCTGGCGGTGTGGGAGCGCGAAGAGGACGTGGTGGTGGGCGTGGGGGAGTGGATCTCGGGATCGGTGCGGATTCTGCGGTTCGGGAAGGAGGGAGGCGAGCGGGGCGAGAGAGTGGAAGGCGCGCTGGCCAGCACGGTGAAGTCGATGATGTTCGTCGAGCAGAACGGCGAGCTTTTACTCCTCACCTCTCTCGTCACCGGCGAAGTCGCCATTCTGCAGATTCGCGACGACGCCTGGTCGATCGTCAAGCAGGTTCCCTTTTTCGACCGCCCTCTCACCGCTAGTTCCACGTTTCCTCCCTCCCTGGCACCTGGGTTCGATCCAATGACCCCGACTCTTTTCTATTGGTCGGTCCCGAGTCCTGCTTCCTCTACCACCGAAACACCAGTTGGTTGTACCTTCTCCGTTTCTCCGTTTCCTCTAGTATGGCTCCTCTCGACTCTCCGCCGCTCTGCAGCTGCGCCTCGCTCCCCGACGAGCACGAGCACCGCTTCTTCTTCGTCTCCGCACGCTCCTCCGCGCTGTCTCTCGGCGAAATCGACGACGTCCGCAGCGTCCACGCGGCGCGCATCCCGCTCCAGCACAATCTCCTCGCGCTCTCCGTCCAGCCAGCCACGCAGTCGCTGCTCCTGCTGCTCTCTCGCGCCGCGGCCTCGCAGAACGCCGCTCTGCTGCAGCTGCGCGACCCCAAGACCTACGCGATCCGCGACGAGCTGCCGCTCAAACCGTCCGAAATCGCGCTGTGCGTGGCGTCCGGATCGATCTTCCCGCTCTCGAACGCGCCGGAGCGCAATGAAGTGTTCGTGGTGGGCACGGCGTTCGTGCTGCCCGAGGAGAACGAGCCGTCGCAGGGGCGGCTGCTGGTGCTGCGCGCGGTGGAGCATCGGCTGGAGCTGGTGGCCGAGACGATGCTCTCCGGCGGTTGCTTGTCGATCTGTTTGTTTAAAGGAAAGGTTGTTTGCGGCGTGAATAGCGAGCTGCAGGTCTTTGACGTGGACGAGAAGACTTCCACGATCAGCAAACTCGCGAGCGAGGTGGCGTGCATTTCCGTAACGAGCCTCAGTCCGAACGAAGCGGACGAGACGATCGCGCTGGGCGATATTTTGTACTCCGTGGTCGTGTATAAACTCGTTTTGGAGGTGGTGCGAGGTCGACAGCTCGCGCAGCTGGAGTGCATCGCCTCGGAAAGAAGACGACGCGATGTCACGGCGTTGGAGCGACTTCCTGAGGCCCAAAGCGAAATGGTGGTGGGCGACGCATATGGGAACTTGATGGTGATGCAAGTCGTGGAGGAAGCCGACTTGGACCGATCCAACCCGCAGAAAATCGTGGTGACCAAAGAGTCGTTCCACTTAGACGATCAAATCAATCGCTTTGTGCCGGTGCAGCTCTTCCGGAGCGGCGCAGAAGACAAAAAGAAAGAGAAGCGGGCGGAGGAGTCGGAGATTGCGTTCAACCTGGCGTTCGCCACGGTGAGCGGCCGGATCGGAATGATCGGCGCGCTGAACGACCGCGAGTTCCGCATGCTGCGCGCGATCGAGACGGCGATGGAGAACGTTGCGGTGCGTGCGAGCGATGACGAGTAGGTTATCACGCCCGTGGGAGGCCTGGATCACAAACAATGGCGCTGCTCGAACACGCCGTTCGGCATAAAGAACCTCGCCTATTGCATCGACGGCGATCTGGTGGAAATGTTCCTCGAATTGGACGACGAGAGCCAGGCCAAGATCGCCGACTCCGTCTCCACCGAGCTGCGCTCCGCGCTCTCTCCGCAGTTCCTCATCGACTACCTGCAAGACGTTCGTTCGAAGCATTGCCCTCTTTGTTCCAACAAACAACCCACGCCGTCCACTCAAAGAACCCCATCTTCGTCAAATCTTCCTTGAACTGCGCCAGCTTCTCCGCGTCCATGCATCGTCTACCGCTCAGCACGCTCTCTCTCCCTCACCCGAACGTCCGGCTCGGACCCGCCTCCACGCCCTGGAAGCCCCAGATCGCCTTAAACAGCGTGATCGAGTCCACGCCTTCGCCGTATTTGTTCCCTGCGTAGTTCACCAGCGAGATAAATTGGCGGGCTCGCGACATGTCCTTCCGCGCTTCCGCCCAATCGCCCTTCGCAAACGCGTTCAGAATCCGGTCGAAGAGCTTTCCCGCCACGGAGAACGTCGAGCCCACGAAGCCCGAGCAGCCTGTCGCCAGCGCAGCCAGCATCGCCTACATGCCATCGCATGAGCGCGTCTACCTCCTCACGACCCATCATGACGGTGTAGCGACCGTTGCTGGCGTCTAAGCAGAGTCCCATCTCGAAGGAGTTGTAATCCGTGAACTTCATGCCGCACAGATTGGGAATGCGCGGAGCGGCCAGCTCCAAAAAGTTGTGGATCGGGTACGGCGTGTAGTTCACAATATCCAGATGATAGTAGAAGACCGGAAGCTTGGGAATCACTTTCGCCACATCCTCGATCCACTGGACCAAGTGGCCGAGCGAGCGGGGAGCGAAGAAACGCGGAGGAACCAGAGCGACTGCGTCGGCTCCGTGCTCCTAGACAGTGACGTCGACGAGCAAACACAAACAGCGGCATGACGACCGAGCTGTTGCGCTACAGAGAGAGTCTCGTGACCAATCTGAATAATGACGCACAGTCCGTACTTGTGACCGACTTCAATCCATTTCTCGGCCAGCTACAAGCTTAGAGGGGCAGACACGGCAACTACAGCTTCTCTCTCCTCCACAGACAGAAGAATCGACTCTCCGGTAGTTCCGCACACAAAGGCTCCCGTAACATGGCTATCAACCAAATGTTTTGCCATGGGCTCGACGGCATCCAAATTCAGAGACAGATCCTCGTTCATAGGCGAGTGCACGGCACAACACAGACCTTCAAACACGAAGGAACTGGGGTCAGCGGGATCTTTGTAGTAGAACTACGAGTAACAAAAATCTCCATTTTCCAAACTCTTCTTGCGTTCGAGAACTCGGTTTTCATTTGTTATTACTCAGGTAAGAATGACTTGAACAAAACAATTGCGATTTACAACCGCGGTTATTTCCACTTTAATTTTGTTCCGCTGCCATCCCCTTCGACTGTACGTGTATCGAAACAAACAAGGAGCGACTCAAAAAATTCACACAAAAGATAAATTACAATAGATTTTGAGAAAGAATCGAATCACCCACTCAATTAATCACAGAAACTTAAACGGCGATGGCTTCTGAGTAGCTAAAAACCATGAAACCATCCGCAAAGAAATACTTCGATATTTGCATACAGAGAATCCTCCTTTTTGACCAACATCGGTGTTCTGCAGTGATCTGGCGAGAGAAAACCTGCAGATCGGTTATCTCTGCGATTCACAGCGAAAAGAGTCGACTACGTGTATTGATCAACCATGGTAGCGTAATAGTCACTAAGTGCATTCGAGCGATAATCAGCGAGGCGGGGTTCAACTAAGCAGAGATTTGTACTGTCGAGGGATCTGCTGGTAACGCATGAAGGGAGCAAGTACGAGATTCCAAGAAAAAGGAAAATCTGCTTCGCTGCTCGTTCTGGAAGCGCGAATAGGAAAGTTCTCTAGGAAATGAGGCCAAGAAGACTTGTCAAACAAGATGATTCGTTTGTAAAACAGCTCGTGCTTTCGGATTGGAATCTCTACCATCCGTGGATCCGAGTTGCAGACCCACTGTACAGTCTTCCGATTTCTTGTTTTCAAAATCTACTGCGAGATCGAAGTTTGCTGATCTCTTTCTTGAGTGCTGTTTTATGGTAGCCTTAGCATTTTGCAATGACATTCAGACCAAAACAACTAAACAAGGCCAAAAGGATAAATAGTAAAAAACAGCTTGCTTGCAGATATCTGTAAATATGAGACAGATCAAACTCTGAAATACAGAGATGTTAGACGAAGAAACGAGATCACGAAGAGAAGCACAGATTCTTATCACAGACCTGACGTAGATCGTCTCGTTTAACGCGGATATGGAAAAAGTACGATGAATACCTACTCCAAAAAACCTTATTGAAATAGAAAGGGAAACAATATGGGGATAATATTTAATTGGGTACCAATTATCTCTATAACTTTATGGTTATTACCGACCATAAATTCATCTTCGACCCAATCAATCATGGCTTTGAATTCAATTTTAAACTTAAAGCTGACGCATTTCCTCAAACGAATCATTTCTCTCAATTTGTCATATTTTGAAGAACCCCGGGGAGCACCCCACCCAACCAAAGAGAGTTTATAGGAACAAACATTCCACAAGATCAACTATTACAGTTCATAAGGGACAGCTTCATGGCAATACGCCGTCGGATCCAGCTCGTACACCGTATGCATCTTCACCTCCATGTCCGGAATGGACGCGATGGGCTTATCCATAAAATACGCGAGCAATATGCGAATGACCGCCTGCACATCTCATCCACCGCTCCCTTCCCCTACCACATGTCCGACGATCAGCACATTGTCCCTGCAGCTCACGATTTTCATGATAACGGGGCTCAGCCGGTCCTTCACGTCCAAATACGACTCTCCGTCGGGGTATCTGTACTCCAGCTTATTCCGCTTCCGCTTCATGTATTCCTCCGGATAGCGCTCCTTGATCTCCTGGTACGTCATCCGCGCGTAATCGCCCCCGTTCAGCTCGCGCAGCAGCGTGCACCGCTCGATCTACATGCCACGCTCCGCTCACCGCTACGTTGTAATCGCCCGCGAGCGGCCGCACCGTCTGCGCGACGCGCAGCGACCGATCGCAGAGAATCGTGACGTTGTCTTTCTACTCCTCAGCCCCTTTTCTGCGTCGCTACGCCGCGACTCCGGATGAAATCGTGCAGTTTCCGCGCGAACTCCGCGCCGTTCTGGTTGAGCGGCGGGTCGCCGCCGAGGATTCCGCGGCGCGTGAAGTCGGTTTCCCCGTGGATGCAGAGCCAGATTTTGCGCGGAACCAGGTGCGTGTTGAGGAGGTACGACACGACGTCGCTCTCCAGGACGCCGTTGCAGTGGTTGGCGACGATGTATTCGCCCACGTTGAACAGACGGATGTATGATGACTCGCGATCGCGCTCTTTGTCGAGAGGCTCGTAATTCAGCTTGTAGTTCTCGAGACGTTGGTAGAAATCGGCTAACGCCTCGTCGGGAGAACGATCTTTGTAATCGGGATTTTGGAGTTTGGAGAGACAGTTCTTATGGATCAGTTCTGGGTCGTCGCAGATGCTTTCGAGGTAGAGAACGTGAAATCCGAGGCTGGAGCAACGCGAGGCGATGTAGTTACGACGATCCACGTTGGAGTTGGTAGCATCGAGGAGAGCGACGTCCCCTCCTTCCAACAAAAAGCTTATGAGTTCTGTTATGCGTTAGAGAGAGAAAAAGAAGCAAACCTTCCAGGGCGAGAGAGGCGTAGTAGGCTCGCAGCTCCATTGCCTCTTTGTTGCGTGGATCGAAAAATGACGACGATTCTCCGGTGTGTCCACTCTGCCAATTAGAATAGCAAAAAATATTGACAATTCGGCGGTAGTCACCTGCATTGAACACTTTTGTCTTCATTCCCTTCCAGTTCAAGTAGCGGTGAAGCATTTTCGAAATATAACTCTTTCCAGTTGCCTAAATAATTAGTAAACGACTTCGAAAATACGGGTAATCCTATCATTACAATCACGGTCTTCTGTACTACAGTATCAGAGTCGCTGAGACACTCCAGTGCCTCTACAGTAAAACATCGGGCACAAAACCCTACCAAGCTCAGAAGGTGACCTCACATGCTTTCTGTATTCTTCCTCACTCGGTGGATTGTCTTGTTGCATTAAACTGCCATACACGAGAAGTACAATTACCGCGGTTATCGCCAACCTTTTTCCCACTGTTTACTTTAACAAACACCGCTTCAAACTAAAGGAACCACTTTCTTCTTCCCGTCTCAATCTGCTTGTGATTGAACTTCCACTCATATTCCGCATTCAGCGTGTTAAATGTTCCCACCTGGAGATACCTCGGCTTCAGCGTGAATCGAGGCCCCAGTTCCTGCAGCTTCGCTTTCTTCTCGCTCTCGAACACATACCGATGCTGTCGCACGAAGATGTAATCTCGCTGATTATGAAACGTTACCACGCGCCGCCCATCGAACTCGGGCGCTGCAGGGAACATGGAGCCCAAGAACCGGCCGAAGCGGCGGCCGAGTCGCGTGTTGAAATTGTTGAGAATGAGCTCGGGGTTGTGATCGGTGACCGCGCCGCAGCCCGAGATGTCCTCGTGTGGAATGAACGACGTTACCTTGAACATCGCGGTGGGGCCGGTGGGGAGGTGCGATATCACCATGCTGTTGACTTGGCGCTGGTTCTCGCCGATCACGATTAGGTGGGTGAAGCCTTCCTCGCCCGCTCGACGGCACATTTCGACGAGGGAGTGGTCTTCTAGCGATGAGAAAGTGCGAAAAAGGAAGCCAACCTCGTTCAAACAAGTGGCAATTAGGGAACAGAGCCATCACTTCGCTAATAAATAAATAGGCATTCTTGGATGGTTTGCGGTGCGTCGTTATCATAATTTTAGGAGTTAGCTTGTGAGAAAAATAGGGTTCAAACTCATCATCAGCTTCATCGCAATGAACTTCGTCATCGTTTTGCGTAACAAGTGTATCATCAAATTCACGTCGATCCTCTTGAGTTTTGGGAACCTACAACGGTTTACTCACAAAAATGCAGGACTTACTTCCTTCGGCACTGCTTCTTCTCCTAACTCCTTCCTCATCTTCTCCTTTTCAACTTTACGCTTCTTTTTCTCCAACTTCTTCTTGTGCTTGATTTGTTGCCAAAGACGTTCTCTAGCCTGCCTGTTCTTAATGGTATTGATAACTACGGTAGACTTCTTCTTATCCTTATCCTTATCCATTGGTCGGAACAAGAAAAACAATGACAATCAAACTCTCCAACAAACAATCTTCTAAATGTAATCAAACTGCTTATTTCGCTGCCTTCTTCTTCTCTTTCTTCTCTTTCTTCTCTTTCTTCTTTTCTGCCTTTGCAGGCTTTGCAGGCTCTGCAGGCTTGGCGGACTTTTCAGCCTTTTCAGCCTTTTCAGCCTTTTCAGCCTTTGCAGGCTTTGCAGGCTTTGCACGTTCTGCAGGCTTTTTGTCTTCCACTACCACAGCTCCAGGAGGCAAGTAACGGACCTTCAGTCCAGTGAGCTGCTCCACCTTCTTGATATCATGGCCCTCTCCATCAAATGTGGCATGGGTCACCTCGTTGCTGAACTTCTCTGTGATAATGATCTCGCGAGTAAAGGGTCGACCTACAAATTATGGCTGATTTGGATGACAACCTGGAATCACTCCCTTCTTAGCATCCTTGTAGCAAAAGAAGACTTGACAAAGAGCCTCATTATCTCCCTGCGTCACCACGAACGTCCTATCTCCAATTTTAATTTCAGAAACAGCTACAAAGTCGTAAAAACACGAATTGCAATACCTTTATCGTCCTTCAAATCCATCTTTATTTTTTCTACTTCCGTATCAGGAAACTATAAGGCTCATTCAGAATTCGCATTCCTACATCGACGGGAGCATGAATCAACCAAATCTCGTTCTCCTTCTTTGATACAAGCTTTTCGGGCAGCGTACACTTTCCCGAGACTTCTTGGTATCCTATGATGGGTGTGACAGTCGAGGACATAGATTATTGGAAAAGCAGAAATTTACCCAAACTATTGGATTTCCAAAATTACTTCAGATTCGTGTTTCTCACAAACATCCCAAGAAACTAAATGAATAAAGTCGTCAAGACTATAATCCTTCTGTTCTCGAGTCGTTAGATCCTTCACCACGATTCTAGACTGCTTGAAGAGTTCCATCTCACTCTCTCCAAGCAATACAACGAATCGCAAATTGCTCGCAGACGCTTCCTTGATCCCCTTCTTCAGCGATCCATTTCCCCCACAAAGCATGGTGGCAATGTGATGTTGCCTCAGCTTCTATTCCTCAGACAATTTCAAAAATCGCCACATTCTCGATTTTCAAAGCAGCTGAACGCGTTTCGCGACATTCCTCATCTCCAATTTGCACAATCTGCAATCAACCCAACTAGCCAAAACCAACGCCAACACCCGACGCTTCGTTCGGTTTTTCAATGCTAGACAACATCAAACAGCGCTCAATGCCCGCAGAAAAGCCAACACAAGGAACGTGCTGTTTCCCTCCAATTTTCTCAGAAAGCGATTCATAGCATCCTCCTCCCTAAAACAATAACCTTCTTCTCAAAAGAGCGAAGTACGATGACAGCTCCTGCTTTGGTGGCAAACTCAAAAACCGTGTGGTCGTAATAGTCGAGGCCTCGAACAAGCCGAGGATCGATTCGAAAAGGAATGGAAAGATCGGAAAGATCGCTCTGAAGTCTCTCAAATCGCTATTGGTTAAAAAACAAAGAAAAGAAAAAGAACGCGAAGGGAAGTAGAGGATAAGAACGAAGTGATTGGAGGCGAGGTTGCGATGATGGTTTGGTCGTTTGGTTGTTTGCTATCTAAGATTCGAAGCACACTGCCGCGATCAAATCGAGCCTGGCTTTCGTTCGACAGCGAATCATAGTATTTGGAGAAGTACGACTGTTTGTGAGTGAGGATGGAGAGGGAAGGGTACGAGCAAGGCTTTGCGGTAGTCTTTCATTTCGGCTTCGTTTCCTAACGAATTGAGTAAAAGTTCGCTTTGAGGGAGGAGATCCAGATGGCGCAGAATGGAGTGGCAGAGAGAGATGATCTCCGTGTCGTCGCTATCCGGATTGCACCGAATAATCTCGCCTCCGAATTGATGGAATTCTCGATATCTTCCGTGCTGAGGGTTCTCATATCGATAGGCGCTTCCATACTAGTGAAAAAGAAAGTAAGAAATATACATAGTAAACTCTATTCGCAGAATCTAAAGCACGATTATTCAGAACGGCTCTCACAACGCTTGATGTGAACTCAGGGCGGAGACAGAGTTTTCGTCCCGATTTGTCCAAGAATGTATACATTTCCTACATAAAAGCGGAATAACGGATGTACCTTTGACACAATATCGCTATCTTCTCCAACACCGCGAGAAAATAATTCCTCTCTTTCTACAATCGGCGTCACAGTTAAAAAAACAAAAGATCCAACTGAATCGAAAGATATGTTCGAACGTACTGCAAACCATACAATTCACATTGTTCCTTCATAATATCGATGACCTACATATAAAATCAACCACGAACAAGGAAAACACGAGCAAAACGCCAGGCATCGTTCCCAAGAAGGTCTTTCATGCCTTTCACGGGTGCTAGTGTGGAAAACATCCTTCGTATCATATCTGACTATTCCCAAAGGAATCCTGAAATAGTCACTATTTTCAGTAAACAGTCAAAATGACTGTCACCTACTGTGGGACGCACGAGAAGGCGTCCGTATGGTTTAATAAAGACATTGAGGGGATCGGAACATCTCTGTTTGCTGAAGGGATTTTGCTGTTTGCTCTAATCACCCAGCTCGTATATTGTTTCACTTACTTCCTATCTAGACGTTGTTTATTCCCGACGTGTCACAAAATGTGTTTCTACAGATCGTTCTCAAGATTACAGATTGTATATTGTATCTGCTGTGTGTGTATTTGCATTTCCGATGTAGACATACAGTGTCGGCTCAAATTTAGGTATGTTCACAAATCCAGGCGCTGTTCCGCACAATGCGTATCCTTTTGTTACGATATCAGGAGGAGACGGTGATTTGCTTCAGCGATGCGGAATTTGTGACGCATACAAACCAAGAAAGTCACATCATTGCAGGTTTGCCGTCTGTTTCTGTTTCTATCGCATAGGATTTGTAATCGATGCATTCTAAAGATGGACCATCACTGTCCTTGGATCAATAACTGCGTGGGGATGTTGAACATGAAGTTTTTCCTTCTATTTCTGATATACACCTTCGTGTTCTGTATTTTAGTCTTTATCTGTACCATAATATCTCTTTCTCACGGAATTGACGATTCGGATGCAAAGAACAGTAGGTACTTTCCTACGTGATTCATGGTTGCAGTGATCGTTCGGGGTGTTTCTGTTGTCATCTCTGTCCTCTTCTCCGCTGTCTTCGGTATTTTCTGCCTCATTCTCTTTATCGAGTCCCTCATCTCCGTAATTACGGGCGACACGAGTGCGATTTGCCATCCTTGCATTGAATGACTAGAAATCGACCGTCTGAAGGAAATCGAGTCCAGACACAGCCGCACGACCAATCTGAGCGAAGTCTTCGGTGGGAACGGGCGTTTTTCGTTGAGTTGGCTGCTGCCCACGCGTCCGACTTACTCGCACTTCGAATCCTTAGCGGAGTATGTTTTGGACCCCGAGGGGCAGCGCTGGGCGCGCTACACGAGCGACTTGGATTGTTTTGTTTGAGAACAAACACTCGAGTGATCGGAAACAACGGAGGAAAAACCAGGACACATGATGGGCGGCGAGATGCACCAGCACAACTGCCCGTTCTCCAAAATCACGAACTGCGGGCTGTACGACAGCGTTCCTGTGGAGGATGCGACGTTCATCGGCACGGCCAGCGCGGTAGGGACCGAATTGAAGACTTGGAAGGTGGCGAGGGAGGGATCGGTGACCGGAAGAGGCGTGAAGAAGGAAGAAGGAGTTGTTGAAGGGTCGGGAAGGGCGGAGCCGGAGTTTTGAGTGGATTGATTCGCGGTGATTGGAGGGAGGACGGAGTCAGACTCCGATGGATTGTGGAGAGGCGTTAATTTGGGAGAGAAAGAAGCGATGATATTGGAAGACTGAAAAGGAGAAGAAGAGGAAGAGGAAAAAGAAGAAGAAGTAGAAGAAGTTAAAGAAGATTGATTCATTGATTTGGGTCGCAACCGAACAAACTGCAAAAGAACGGTTCCCCTGAACGAAAAATTGACGAGCGAATCATTCATTAAATGCACAGGCAACACGACGGTGGCGTTTTGCGTCGCATCGAACTGCTTCCAATCGATCAGCATCGACGCGGAGGTCTCAATCACCGACATCTCTCCCTGCCGATGCAGCAACACAAAGAAATACAGCGAGGGCAGCGAGGACGCGGACAGCCACGCCTCCTCCTCCACGTTCGTTCCGAAGAAAACATCCTTCTCCGCCTTCACGCGCAGCGAGCACGAAAACACGCCCCCGTTCCGCCGCATCGGCCAGCCCACAAACCGCGAGGAACCGAAGGAAAGCGAGCAGAGGCCGCGCAGGTCCATTCGCTGCACCGTATTCAAACAGAGAAACACCGAATCGACGTCGTGAGACATCGAAAGCGCGCAGCCAAACACCACGCGATTGAACAAACTGGTTCTCTGTTTCCACGATTCCGACGTGCTGAGATTCGGTTTCGGAGAAGGCGACGAAGAATTCGACGAAGAATTCGATGAAGAATTCGATGAAGAATCGGAGGAAACATCGAGCGGCTCCTCAGCGAACCGAATCTCCTTTCGCAACTCCGCGAGGCGTTTCATCGAAAAGGAGGGAGTTTCGGCGGTAAAAATAGGAGTTTGCGCGGGAGGGATGGCGGGCGTTTCACGCGGGATGGCGGGCGTTTCATTGGAGGGGGGCTGACTGCCGCGATCGACGGAGCGAAGCTCGGAAGAAGGAGAGAGCGAATCGCGATGCGAAGCCGGCGAATTCGATCGAATTGGCGGGGCGTTTCGTTTTAAGGGTTGGCGGGAAGGGAGTTTCGGCGAAGATGGAAGGAGCGGGAGGGGGGCGATCGGGAGATTGGCGGGTTTGGATTGGAGAATCGGGGAAACTGGGGAAGATTGGACGCGTTTGGAGGGAGGGGGGTTGGAACCGCGGGGATCGGGGGCAAAAGCGGGGGAGGTGGGGGTGGATTGACAGGAGTTGGTGGAAGGAATGGAGAAACGGAGAAATGGGGAAACCTGAGGGGAAGAGGAAGGAACCGAAATGGAAAAGGAAGATTCCGCGGGGGAAAGAGGGGGCGACGAAACGCCCGAAACGCCCGAAACGCCCTTCTGAGTGGAATGCAGAAGAGGAGAAGTGGGGAACGGAGAGGACGGAGTGGATGGCTTTGAATCCTTGGGAGAATCCAATGGATTGCCGGCCTTGGAAGCCTTGGAAGCAGGCGGAGAGTGAGTGGATTTGTTCAATGATTCATTCAATGATTCATTCAATGATTCATTCAATGATTCATTCATTTCATTTACTAATTCATTCAATGGCTTCAAAGGCTTGGATTCATTCAATGGCTTCAAAGGCTTCGATTCATTCACCATTCGCATCGTTTCACCACCCAATTTCACGCATTCATTCACTTCATTCCCTGATTCCTCTGCCTTCGATTCATTCCTCGATGCCTCCACGCCTTCCTCGCTTTTCCTCCTCGCTGCTGGCTCTGCAGCAGAACGTTCTGTTGATTCAGCTTCTGCGCGCAGCGGCGAAGCAGCCAATCGCCTTCCTTCTCTCATCATTTTCTTCTTCTTCTTCTTCAGATTCCCTTTCTTCCCGACGTCCGCAGCGCTCTCAGCACTCCGAGTTTCTTTCTCCAAACCCTTCGATTCACCCGAGCGAGTTTTATCCTCCAATCCTTTCATTCGCTTCAGCGTCGAAACGACCGGCGGATTTGAGGATCGCTTGGTTTTGGGCGGATCGGAGAGAGACAGCAAAAAAAGGAAGAACAGCGCGGAGAGGAATCTACATCGCACCATCCCCGCGGTTCTACAGACACATGACGGTCATGAACTGAATCTCGACGTTGTTCGACAGCTGCACAAACGCGTAAAACGCCGCATCCGCGAACGATTTTCTCGCGGGTTCCCTGCGAGGAATCATCTGAAACGCGTAATAGGACGCGTTAACCGCGGAAAGCAGCATGAACCGGCGTCGCTGCGCCTCGGATTGTTCCAATGGAACCTTCCAAAGCACTTCGGCGTGCTCCAAGGCGGATTGATAGCAGTGGAAATCACTAACAACTCAGCGAGCGATGCGGAGAGTACCTTCCGCATTGTTCGACGTAGGGGAGCAGGGAGTCGCGAGCCTGCGCGACGCAGGAAGTGTCGAGCATGCGATCCAATTGAGCGTAAATTCGATCGGATGGGTCCAGAGAGGACTGGAAGAGCTCGTAGGCTAGAAGGTACAGCCAGTCCTGCTCCCAGAGTAAATAGAGATAGGGGTTATCGGTGGAGGAAGAGCTGGAGATAAAGGAAAAAAGAGAAAAGAGACGAGGACATGATGGATTTCCAAATGTCGTAGTCGAAGTAGGGACGGTGCTGCATATCGTTCTGCTTGATGAATGCCAGTTGAAACATTCCAATATCCTTCAGATAGAAGATTTCATCGATTAGACAACTCATTTTGCTATAAACCTAGAAATCAAATCCAAAATCCAAATAAACAAATTTATGGTCCAAAAGATCAAGAGTCTCACAAGCATCATGAAGAGTCAGCCAAGAATTGCTTGGACTATCTCTTTCTCTTTCCAGTACAAATTTTAAACGAATGAGCACAGCCTTACGATACAACATAACATCGTTCTAAACAGCAGAAGACATTACAACTTACATGCCTTTCATCCGAAAAAATAGTATCACTGGCAAACGAAATCCATTTTAAGAGTTTTCCAGCCTCATATAACTCACCATTGACGATAAACTGATAGACTTCTAGGGTTCCCTAAAATAATAGTAAAATAATTCAATATCAACTCTAGTAATATAAGGATCATCATCAAGGACTGGAGGTAAAGCAACATTAGAAAACAACAAACTACTTCAAAACCTTATCAAAAAATACAATACGCAAAAAACTATGCATGTCGTACTAATCAGACTCTTAAAACCTCTATGCACATAGCACCCTATCTGCGACCAATGTGAATGGCACAGAAAATGTTGTTGCATATGAATAAAACGAAAAGACTAAAACCTCCTTCTAATTTGACACTTTTATGAAAAACAGAGTCTCACCATTTACAAAACGGAACTTTATGAATAATTCAGCTTATAGCAGTCAAGAATTCCCATGAAAAAGAGGTATTAGAAAAGATGATTAACAAGATGCTCAAAAACAAATTACAAAAACATTATTATGTATGATACTAGAGTAACAAAAATGGAGATAGAAAATGTGAAAAATATGTATTCAAGGAATGACAAAAAAAGGAACAAAATTTGGCATCATAGAGATATTAAGTTTTACATAGATACACAACAGGCAATTTATTCATGAACAATATCTTAGACAATTATGTAAGTAATCAATAAAATCAACGCGTAATAGCCTATAATCCCCAAAACAAGTTAATAATTCAAACATGTGACATAAGGAAAATTATTGAGTATCTAATTTTTTGTATCAACAATGCTATCTGTGCTTGCTCTCTTAATAATAATAGTGAAATTATCATATGTACAGGGTAGTATAGTGGAGAAAGAGAATATTACTCAATCAATAATCACGACGACTACCGTTCAAAATCGTAGACTTGCTGAGCAGTGTTTTAGTAGGAATGAAAACACAAATGATAAATAGGCGAGCCTATCGAATATACTACGAAGCTGGGTGTAACTACATTGATATTATGCCCACCAGGTATTTGTGAAGAATATGAGTGAAATATAGGAAGCAGCTGTATTGATGATATTTGTCAGCCATGTCCTGTTAACTACTACTTCTATGTTATTGACAGTATCACAATGAGATGCTCACTATGTTTGAATGGCTACTTATGTGAAAGTAAATTTGATGGAATAGAATAACATATAGAAGAAGGAATGGATGACTATGCTATGTACGACCACCCTTGTAATGCGACAAATGAATTCTGTAAAAGTGGCCAAAAATACCAAGTATCAATAAAAACAAATGTGTTATATAGATGAATGATGGGCAGCTGCTCGTAGAAGAGACTGACCAATTTGGTCAAAATATACATGTTGATGTTACTAGCTGTCCAAGAGGTAATTACTGTAAAAACAATGTACAATACATATGTCCTGCCGGAACCTATGGAAACACCTTGGGACTAAGCACGCCTCTGTGTTCTGGATTGTGTGTGGCAGGATTTTATTGCCCTGAAGGAACAATCAATTATGTGCTGAATAGATGTGGAGCTGTCGATAAATACTGTCCTCAAGGATCTTCAACTCCACTGCTAGCACCAGAAGGATACTATACCACACCCGAAAACGGTAACGTCATGACAAGAACAGGCATAGAAATATGTCCGCCAGGTCACCACTGCACTGGAGGTGTCAAATATGTTTGTCCCGCGGGTACTTATGGATCAATTGAAGGATTGACTACAAGTGAATGTTCAGGATTATGTGAAGCTGGATATTATTGTCCACCTGGATCTACAAATTCGACTGCAAATGATTGTGGAAGTGTAGATAAATACTGTCCTGAAGGAAGTGGATCACCGATTGATGTGAGTGAAGGATATTATTCTGGACCTGAATCATCGAATGAATCAAATCGATCTGAACAAACGATTTGTCCAATTGGCAGTTATTGTGTGAATGGAGTGAAGAATGAATGTCCTGCTGGTACTTATGGATCAACTGAAGGATTGAGCAATGAACAATGTTCAGGATTATGTGAAGCTGGATACTATTGTCCACCTGGATCTACAAATGCAACTGCAAATGATTGTGGAAGTGTAAATAAGTATTGTCCTGAAGGAAGTGGATCACCAATCGATGTGAGTGAAGGATATTATTCTGGACCTGAATCTGAGAATGAATCAAATCGATCTGAACAAACGATTTGTCCAATTGGCAGTTATTGTGTGAACGGAGTAAAGAATGAATGTCCTGCTGGTACTTATGGATCAATTGAAGGATTGACTACAAGTGAATGTTCAGGATTATGTGAAGCTGGATACTATTGTTTAGCTGGATCTACAAATGCAACTGCAAATGATTGTGGAAGTGTAGATAAATACTGTCCTGAAGGAAGTGGATCACCAATCGATGTGAGTGAAGGATATTATTCTGGACCTGAATCATCCAATGAATCAAATCGATCTGAACAAACGATTTGTCCAATTGGCAGTTATTGTGTGAATGGAGTAAAGAATGAATGTCCTGCTGGTACTTATGGATCGATTGAAGGATTGACTACAAGTGAATGTTCAGGATTATGTGAAGCTGGATACTATTGTTTAGCTGGATCTACAAATGCAACTGCAAATGATTGTGGAAGTGTAGATAAATATTGTCCTGAAGGAAGTGGATCACCGATTGATGTGAGTGAAGGATATTATTCTGGACCTGAATCATCCAATGAATCAAATCGATCTGAACAAACGATTTGTCCAATTGGCAGTTATTGTGTGAACGGAGTAAAGAATGAATGTCCTGCTGGTACTTATGGATCAACTGAAGGATTGACTACAAGTGAATGTTCAGGATTATGTGAAGCTGGATACTATTGTCCACCTGGATCTACAAATGCAACTGCAAATGATTGTGGAAGTGTAGATAAATACTGTCCTGAAGGAAGTGGATCACCGATTGATGTGAGTGAAGGATATTATTCTGGACCTGAATCATCCAATGAATCAAATCGATCTGAACAAACGATTTGTCCAATTGGCAGTTATTGTGTGAATGGAGTGAAGAATGAATGTCCTGCTGGTACTTATGGATCGATTGAAGGATTGACTACAAGTGAATGTTCAGGATTATGTGAAGCTGGATACTATTGTTTAGCTGGATCTACAAATGCAACTGCAAATGATTGTGGAAGTGTAGATAAATACTGTCCTGAAGGAAGTGGATCACCGATTGATGTGAGTGAAGGATATTATTCTGGACCTGAATCTGAGAATGAAGCAAATCGATCTGAACAAACGATTTGTCCAATTGGCAGTTATTGTGTGAACGGAGTGAAGAATGAATGTCCTGCTGGTACTTATGGATCGATTGAAGGATTGAGCAATGAACAATGTTCAGGATTATGTGAAGCTGGATACTATTGTTTAGCTGGATCTACAAATGCAACTGCAAATGATTGTGGAAGTGTAGATAAATATTGTCCTGAAGGAAGTGGATCACCGATTGATGTGAGTGAAGGATATTATTCTGGACCTGAATCATCCAATGAATCAAATCGATCTGAACAAACGATTTGTCCAATTGGCAGTTATTGTGTGAATGGAGTGAAGAATGAATGTCCTGCTGGTACTTATGGATCGATTGAAGGATTGAGCAATGAACAATGTTCAGGATTATGTGAAGCTGGATACTATTGTTTAGCTGGATCTACAAATGCAACTGCAAATGATTGTGGAAGTGTAGATAAATACTGTCCTGAAGGAAGTGGATCACCAATCGATGTGAGTGAAGGATATTATTCTGGACCTGAATCTGAGAATGAAGCAAATCGATCTGAACAAACGATTTGTCCAATTGGCAGTTATTGGTGTGAATGGAGTTGAAGAATGAATGTCCTGCTGGTACTTATGGATCGAATTGAAGGATTGAGCAATGAACAATGTTCAGGATTATGTGAAGCTGGATACTATTGTCCACCTGGATCTACAAATGCAACTGCAAATGATTGTGGAAGTGTAGATAAATATTGTCCTGAAGGAAGTGGATCACCGATTGATGTGAGTGAAGGATATTATTCTGGACCTGAATCATCCAATGAATCAAATCGATCTGAACAAACGATTTGTCCAATTGGCAGTTATTGTGTGAATGGAGTGAAGAATGAATGTCCTGCTGGTACTTATGGATCGATTGAAGGATTGAGCAATGAACAATGTTCAGGATTATGTGAAGCTGGATACTATTGTCCACCTGGATCTACAAATGCAACTGCAAATGATTGTGGAAGTGTAGATAAATATTGTCCTGAAGGAAGTGGATCACCGATTGATGTGAGTGAAGGATATTATTCTGGACCTGAATCATCCAATGAATCAAATCGATCTGAACAAACGATTTGTCCAATTGGCAGTTATTGTGTGAATGGAGTGAAGAATGAATGTCCTGCTGGTACTTATGGATCGATTGAAGGATTGAGCAATGAACAATGTTCAGGATTATGTGAAGCTGGATACTATTGTCCACCTGGATCTACAAATGCAACTGCAAATGATTGTGGAAGTGTAGATAAATATTGTCCTGAAGGAAGTGGATCACCAATTGATGTGAGTGAAGGATATTATTCTGGACCTGAATCTCGGAATGAATCAAATCGATCTGAACAAACGATTTGTCCAATTGGCAGTTATTGTGTGAATGGAGTGAAGAATGAATGTCCTGCTGGTACTTATGGATCGATTGAAGGATTGACTACAAGTGAATGTTCAGGATTATGTGAAGCTGGATACTATTGTTTAGCTGGATCTACAAATGCAACTGCAAATGATTGTGGAAGTGTAGATAAATATTGTCCTGAAGGAAGTGGATCACCGATTGATGTGAGTGAAGGATATTATTCTGGACCTGAATCTGAGAATGAAGCAAATCGATCTGAACAAACGATTTGTCCAATTGGCAGTTATTGTGTGAACGGAGTGAAGAATGAATGTCCTGCTGGTACTTATGGATCGATTGAAGGATTGAGCAATGAACAATGTTCAGGATTATGTGAAGCTGGATACTATTGTTTAGCTGGATCTACAAATGCAACTGCAAATGATTGTGGAAGTGTAGATAAATATTGTCCTGAAGGAAGTGGATCACCGATTGATGTGAGTGAAGGATATTATTCTGGACCTGAATCTGAGAATGAAGCAAATCGATCTGAACAAACGATTTGTCCAATTGGCAGTTATTGTGTGAATGGAGTGAAGAATGAATGTCCTGCTGGTACTTATGGATCGATTGAAGGATTGAGCAATGAACAATGTTCAGGATTATGTGAAGCTGGATACTATTGTTTAGCTGGATCTACAAATGGAACTGCAAATGAATGTGGAAGTGTTGATAAATATTGTCCTCGAGGAAGTGGATCACCGATTGATGGGAGTGAAGGATATTATTCTGGACCTGAATCATCCAATGAATCAAATCGATCTGAACAAACGATTTGTCCAATTGGCAGTTATTGTGTGAATGGAGTGAAGAATGAATGTCCTGCTGGTACTTATGGATCGATTGAAGGATTGAGCAATGAACAATGTTCAGGATTATGTGAAGCTGGATACTATTGTTTAGCTGGATCTACAAATGCAACTGCAAATGATTGTGGAAGTGTAGATAAATACTGTCCTGAAGGAAGTGGATCACCGATTGATGTGAGTGAAGGATATTATTCTGGACCTGAATCTGAGAATGAAGCAAATCGATCTGAACAAACGATTTGTCCAATTGGCAGTTATTGTGTGAACGGAGTGAAGAATGAATGTCCTGCTGGTACTTATGGATCGATTGAAGGATTGAGCAATGAACAATGTTCAGGATTATGTGAAGCTGGATACTATTGTTTAGCTGGATCTACAAATGCAACTGCAAATGATTGTGGAAGTGTAGATAAATATTGTCCTGAAGGAAGTGGATCACCGATTGATGTGAGTGAAGGATATTATTCTGGACCTGAATCTGAGAATGAATCAAATCGATCTGAACAAACGATTTGTCCAATTGGCAGTTATTGTGTGAATGGAGTGAAGAATGAATGTCCTGCTGGTACTTATGGATCGATTGAAGGATTGAGCAATGAACAATGTTCAGGATTATGTGAAGCTGGATACTATTGTCCACCTGGATCTACAAATGCAACTGCAAATGATTGTGGAAGTGTAGATAAATATTGTCCTGAAGGAAGTGGATCACCAATTGATGTGAGTGAAGGATATTATTCTGGACCTGAATCTGAGAATGAATCAAATCGATCTGAACAAACGATTTGTCCAATTGGCAGTTATTGTGTGAATGGAGTGAAGAATGAATGTCCTGCTGGTACTTATGGATCGATTGAAGGATTGACTACAAGTGAATGTTCAGGATTATGTGAAGCTGGATATTATTGTCCACCTGGATCTACAAATGCAACTGCAAATGATTGTGGAAGTGTAGATAAATACTGTCCTGAAGGAAGTGGATCACCAATCGATGTGAGTGAAGGATATTATTCTGGACCTGAATCATCCAATGAATCAAATCGATCTGAACAAACGATTTGTCCAATTGGCAGTTATTGCTCGAACGGAGTGAAGAATGAATGTCCCGCTGGTACTTATGGATCAAGTGAAGGATTGAGCAATGAGCAATGTTCAGGATTATGTGAAGCTGGATATTATTGTTTAGCTGGATCTACAAATGCAACTGCAAATGATTGTGGAAGTGTAGATAAATATTGTCCTGAAGGAAGTGGATCACCAATTGATGTGAGTGAAGGATATTATTCTGGACCTGAATCATCCAATGAAGCAAATCGATCTGAACAAACGATTTGTCCAATTGGCAGTTATTGTGTGAATGGAGTGAAGAATGAATGTCCCGCTGGTACTTATGGATCAATTGAAGGATTGAGCAATGAGCAATGTTCAGGATTATGTGAAGCTGGATATTATTGTTTAGCTGGATCTACAAATTCAACTGCAAATGATTGTGGAAGTGTAGATAAATATTGTCCTGAAGGAAGTGGATCACCAATTGATGTGAGTGAAGGATATTATTCTGGACCTGAATCATCCAATGAATCAAATCGATCTGAACAAACGATTTGTCCAATTGGCAGTTATTGCTCGAACGGAGTGAAGAATGAATGTCCCGCTGGTACTTATGGATCAAGTGAAGGATTGAGCAATGAGCAATGTTCAGGATTATGTGAAGCTGGATATTATTGTTTAGCTGGATCTACAAATGCAACTGCAAATGATTGTGGAAGTGTAGATAAATATTGTCCTGAAGGAAGTGGATCACCAATTGATGTGAGTGAAGGATACTATTCTGGACCTGAAACTGAGAATGAATCAAATCGATCTGAACAAACGATTTGTCCAATTGGCAGTTATTGCTCGAACGGAGTGAAGAATGAATGTCCCGCTGGTACTTATGGATCAACTGAAGGATTGACTACAAGTGAATGTTCAGGATTATGTGAAGCTGGATACTATTGTTTAGCTGGATCTACAAATGCAACTGCAAATGATTGTGGAAGTGTAGATAAATACTGTCCTGAAGGAAGTGGATCACCGATTGATGTGAGTGAAGGATATTATTCTGGACCTGAATCATCCAATGAATCAAATCGATCTGAACAAACGATTTGTCCAATTGGCAGTTATTGTGTGAATGGAGTGAAGAATGAATGTCCTGCTGGTACTTATGGATCGATTGAAGGATTGAGCAATGAACAATGTTCAGGATTATGTGAAGCTGGATACTATTGTCCACCTGGATCTACAAATGCAACTGCAAATGATTGTGGAAGTGTAGATAAATATTGTCCTGAAGGAAGTGGATCACCGATTGATGTGAGTGAAGGATATTATTCTGGACCTGAATCATCCAATGAATCAAATCGATCTGAACAAACGATTTGTCCAATTGGCAGTTATTGTGTGAATGGAGTGAAGAATGAATGTCCTGCTGGTACTTATGGATCAACTGAAGGATTGACTACAAGTGAATGTTCAGGATTATGTGAAGCTGGATACTATTGTTTAGCTGGATCTACAAATGCAACTGCAAATGATTGTGGAAGTGTAGATAAATATTGTCCTGAAGGAAGTGGATCACCGATTGATGTGAGTGAAGGATATTATTCTGGACCTGAATCTCGGAATGAAGCAAATCGATCTGAACAAACGATTTGTCCAATTGGCAGTTATTGTGTGAATGGAGTGAAGAATGAATGTCCTGCTGGTACTTATGGATCGATTGAAGGATTGAGCAATGAACAATGTTCAGGATTATGTGAAGCTGGATACTATTGTCCACCTGGATCTACAAATGCAACTGCAAATGATTGTGGAAGTGTAGATAAATATTGTCCTGAAGGAAGTGGATCACCGATTGATGTGAGTGAAGGATATTATTCTGGACCTGAATCATCCAATGAATCAAATCGATCTGAACAAACGATTTGTCCAATTGGCAGTTATTGTGTGAATGGAGTGAAGAATGAATGTCCTGCTGGTACTTATGGATCAACTGAAGGATTGAGCAATGAACAATGTTCAGGATTATGTGAAGCTGGATACTATTGTCCACCTGGATCTACAAATGCAACTGCAAATGATTGTGGAAGTGTAGATAAATATTGTCCTGAAGGAAGTGGATCACCGATTGATGTGAGTGAAGGATATTATTCTGGACCTGAATCATCCAATGAATCAAATCGATCTGAACAAACGATTTGTCCAATTGGCAGTTATTGTGTGAATGGAGTGAAGAATGAATGTCCTGCTGGTACTTATGGATCAACTGAAGGATTGACTACAAGTGAATGTTCAGGATTATGTGAAGCTGGATACTATTGTTTAGCTGGATCTACAAATGCAACTGCAAATGATTGTGGAAGTGTAGATAAATATTGTCCTGAAGGAAGTGGATCACCAATTGATGTGAGTGAAGGATATTATTCTGGACCTGAATCTGAGAATGAATCAAATCGATCTGAACAAACGATTTGTCCAATTGGCAGTTATTGTGTGAATGGAGTGAAGAATGAATGTCCTGCTGGTACTTATGGATCAATTGAAGGATTGAGCAATGAACAATGTTCAGGATTATGTGAAGCTGGATACTATTGTCCACCTGGATCTACAAATGCAACTGCAAATGATTGTGGAAGTGTAGATAAATACTGTCCTGAAGGAAGTGGATCACCGATTGATGTGAGTGAAGGATATTATTCTGGACCTGAATCTGAGAATGAAGCAAATCGATCTGAACAAACGATTTGTCCAATTGGCAGTTATTGTGTGAACGGAGTGAAGAATGAATGTCCTGCTGGTACTTATGGATCGATTGAAGGATTGAGCAATGAACAATGTTCAGGATTATGTGAAGCTGGATACTATTGTTTAGCTGGATCTACAAATGCAACTGCAAATGATTGTGGAAGTGTAGATAAATATTGTCCTGAAGGAAGTGGATCACCAATTGATGTGAGTGAAGGATATTATTCTGGACCTGAATCATCCAATGAATCAAATCGATCTGAACAAACGATTTGTCCAATTGGCAGTTATTGTGTGAATGGAGTGAAGAATGAATGTCCTGCTGGTACTTATGGATCAATTGAAGGATTGACTACAAGTGAATGTTCAGGATTATGTGAAGCTGGATATTATTGTTTAGCTGGATCTACAAATGCAACTGCAAATGATTGTGGAAGTGTAGATAAATATTGTCCTGAAGGAAGTGGATCACCAATTGATGTGAGTGAAGGATACTATTCTGGACCTGAAACTGAGAATGAATCAAATCGATCTGAACAAACGATTTGTCCAATTGGCAGTTATTGCTCGAACGGAGTGAAGAATGAATGTCCTGCTGGTACTTATGGATCAATTGAAGGATTGAGCAATGAGCAATGTTCAGGATTATGTGAAGCTGGATATTATTGTTTAGCTGGATCTACAAATGCAACTGCAAATGATTGTGGAAGTGTAGATAAATATTGTCCTGAAGGAAGTGGATCACCAATTGATGTGAGTGAAGGATACTATTCTGGACCTGAATCATCCAATGAATCAAATCGATCTGAACAAACGATTTGTCCAATTGGCAGTTATTGTGTGAACGGAGTGAAGAATGAATGTCCTGCTGGTACTTATGGATCGATTGAAGGATTGAGCAATGAACAATGTTCAGGATTATGTGAAGCTGGATACTATTGTTTAGCTGGATCTACAAATGCAACTGCAAATGATTGTGGAAGTGTAGATAAATATTGTCCTGAAGGAAGTGGATCACCGATTGATGTGAGTGAAGGATATTATTCTGGACCTGAATCATCCAATGAATCAAATCGATCTGAACAAACGATTTGTCCAATTGGCAGTTATTGTGTGAATGGAGTGAAGAATGAATGTCCTGCTGGTACTTATGGATCAACTGAAGGATTGAGCAATGAACAATGTTCAGGATTATGTGAAGCTGGATATTATTGTTTAGCTGGATCTACAAATTCGACTTCAAATGATTGTGGAAGTGTAGATAAGTATTGTCCTGAAGGAAGTGGATCACCAATCGATGTGCCTGATGGTTTGTGCAGTTATCCGTTTGACGTACCAGCATCTAATAGATTTGATTTGTACACTCCGACTGCCTGGGAGATTTGTATTGATGGAATGTAATTTGTAATGAGTGTCATTGTGATTGTAGATTGTACAACGGTGTTCTATTTGAGAATGAGTTAGGTGATATTCTCTGTGCTAGTCATACTATGGATGTGTTTATTGTGAATGATATCGTCGACTATCAATCTGTTATTTCGAATTTGTTTATTAGATCTGTCAATCTACCATACGAAACCTTTGTATCTTCTAGCTTAGTACAGTATTCGAACATTACTCATCAGGTTTCGTTCACTTTACAAGATAATGCTATTCGCCAGGTATGTAATGTAAGTATTTCCCTATTCTATAGTTGTTGAATCAGTTCTCTCCATTCAAATTCAACATCACTGCTGTGGATCAAGTATCATCATTCACCTGCTCGGTTTCTGTCTATTTCAATGATTATAATAATCCTCCCGTTGCCCTGGATTCTGCTTTTGAGTTACCTTTATACTCACCCAAGTACTCATCATTGGGCTATGTTGTTGCATATGATGTTGATTATAACCAATCTCTGCATTATTCCATTCTCAGTATTCTTTCTCCATTGATATTACTTAGATGATTCCGTTTATTCTGCTTTCTTTGCTGTGAATGATACTACCGGAGAGATTGTTTTACTAGATAATAATATATTTGCCAAGTCGTTTACGGATTGTACTTTAACGGTGTTGGTGGAGGATGATGGCATACCAGCATTGAATGATACGTAGAATCATTCATATTCTTCAATCGTAGATGTTCTATTTACATTCACATCGTTGATCCTGTCAGTATTCCAATTGAGATTATTCATTATACCAATATTACAATTGAAGAAAACAATGATCCGAACACTATCATCGATAATGTCCTTGTTGTTAATGATTCTAGATTAACCTCAGTTAGTTTCCATTACGGTATAGTCATAATCAATGATCTACTCCTAGAATCTTCCGTTATGTCTATTAGAGCGAATGGCTCTCTCTGTATTCATGAATCACTTAATTACGAGCATCAATCGCTCTATGAATGTCTGGTTCTTGTTTATCTTGCCAATTCTCATGTCCCTGTGGCGATGGTCCCGTTATTTGTGTTTGTGGTGGATATATCCTTTATTATCAATAATGCCATTTTGTTTCTTAACTTCACGTTAATGAACCTCCCACTATAGTTACGCTCACCGTACGTATTGATGAGAATGCAAGTCCTGAGACTTGGTCTGAACAACTCAGCTTCACGGATGAAGTTCCAATCTTCTTGAGTTCTCATTTCTAGGATATCTTCCAAGAGCATACCTTCACGTTACTCACACCCTGCTCACACTCGATCATTCAGCCATTCAATCTATCTGAATCTGGAAAATTGATGCTAACATCATCGTTGGACGCATATCAGTATAATCGATATCAACTATTGGTTCAGTTGTGTGACATATCCTTATTCTATTATCAAGGCTGTTTTCCTTCACTTCACTCTGGAATTCCAAGGCTTTGTTCTGAAGAGAATGTCACGGTTGTTGTGTCGGCTGTGGACAAGGCACCCATTTGTTACCCAGATCTCTTCCATCTTCAAGAACACATACCAATAGGATCAGTCATTTCCACATACCAGGCACAAAGCAGACCACACGAGCAAGTCGTTTACACGATGCTCAATACTTCCTTCATCACCATTCATCCATTGTCTGGAGTGCTTCAGACTGTCCAAGATATCGATTATGAAACCACATTGAATCAACAGTAGACTACTTTTTCTTCCTTTTAATATAGGTTTAATTTCACTATCCGTGCATCTCTAGCTACAAATATGTCTCTTTACTGTGAAACATACCTCATTTTCGTTATTCATGATGTTCCTGAAAGACCTTTGTTTATCAAGAATCAGAACTGGAGCGGTGGCATTATTCCCACAGTTGCTTACATCAATGAATCCGCCAGTGTTCACACTGTAATCGGTAATCAGCTTCTTTTCACCGATCCTGATATTCATGATTCGCATGCATTTACCTTGTCCTGTATTGATTCTACCATTTCTTGTCCTTTTGATATCAATGATCAAGGAACTGTGTATCTCAAGGATTTACAGTATTTCGATTATGAAGTCAAAGAGCAGTGGCCAATTCGTGTCAGAGTTACCGATTCTTCCATGTTATTTGATGAGATAATGCTTTCAATCCATTTGCTTGATGTGAATGAACCTCCACATTTCCCACAAAATACTCTGTATCGCATTGGAAGCTATCCTCCTCAACTGTACGATTCGATTGGCATTCCTGTCACTGCTGTTGATCCTGAAAATAACATTGTGAGTTATTCGTTGTCAAATTCCACTCTCTTTTCCATTGACAATATTGGACAGATTCGACTGATTTCTTTTGCGGTAAATCCATGGATGTCATATAATGTCACCGTGACTGCAACAGATTCAGAAGGACTGATTGATTCTACTCTTGTCATTATCTCGTTCAACACAGATGATTCTAACTCGTTTGAAGTGAAGAACCAATCTTATATTGTTGCTGAGGACCATCCTATTAATATCTCACTATCACCTGCTCTCACTGTTATCGGGACGTTTGCTTCACCTCTTCGCTATGAACTGTCATCCTCTGCTTCTCCATTCATGATTGATACAGAGTCTGGATTGCTTTATCATTCTCTCCCACTTGATTATGAATCTACTAGTTTCTACGCCTTCCAAGTCGTTGTTACTGATTATTACGGTAATCAAGCTATCGGAAATATCACTATTTCTGTTACGAATGTTAACGAACCTCCAGCACTCTCACAGGATTCATGCTTGTCTTATCGTAGTATTATGGAAGAGAGCGAAGATAATACTTTCCTCTATCCAGAATTTATTGCTACGGATCCTGATTTCAATGATACTCTGACGTTCTCAGCAAGACCAATTCACAGTTCTGATGATCTTCCATTCCGAATTCATCCCACACTGGGATTGATGTATGTGACCAATTCGAGTTCTCTGAAGTATCAATATCATTCGTATTATGATTTCTTTGTCACTGTAACGGATTCTGGAGGCTTGAATGATTCTTGCTTAATTCATATTGATGTAACGAAGAGGAATCATCCTCCAGTACTGCATTGGATTCAGAATGACATCTTTGTCAGAGAAGATATTCCTCAAGGTTCACTTATTTCAATTCCTATTTTCGCCACGGATGATGATCAGCTATCATACTCAGTCACAGACATTACAAATACTACAGTGGAAAACTATTCCTTCCCCTTCTCTTTTGTGGCAGACGATATTGTACTATCGGTTGAAGAAATGCTTGACTATGAGTCTATCTCTGAGTATCGTTTGATGCTTTGTGTCTTTGATTCTGTTGCTCAGAGTAGTTGTGACAATGTTACAATCCATGTCATTGATGTCAATGAACCTCCGATGTTTGAAAATGACTCTTATTCACTCTCGCTTCCGGAAAACACTCCTGTAGGAACTTTCATGCTCAATGTCACTGCCTCGGATCCAGAAAACCACACCATCTACTATTCGGCAGATAGTTCAGTCATTTCGATTGATAAGTGGTCTGGACAGATTTCTCTGAATATGAAGCTCGATTATGAGGAGACAGAGTCGTTCAATATTACCCTTATTGCGATTGATGAATATGGGTTATCTTCCTCCGCTCTTTTGATAATCAATGTGATTGATATCAATGAATCTCCAGTTTGCCTTGATTCAATGGGGAGTGTTGTGAATGTGATGGAAAACGAGCCAGTGGGATCTGTCATTGCTACGATCAACGTTACCGACATCGAAGTTCAGCACGGAAGGCAATCACTTTCTTATTCTCTCATCGATGATGATGTTTCACAATTTACTGTAAACCAATATGGAGAAGTGATCATTAACGAACCTCTCAACTATTGGAATCAGTCCCATTTTACACTCCATGTCCACGTGGAGGATAATGGCATTCCGGTCTTGTCTACTCAGTGTTCGATTACTATCCATGTCATCGATGTAAATGATCCTCCAACTCTCCACGGTCCTTCGATTATTCATGTGGCAGAAGATATGCCGTTGTATAAGCCCATTGAAACTGGACTGTGGGTATCTGATCCTGATGTGGGGCAACAATTATTCTTTGATATTGAGTTGAATGAAGTATTTGGTATTGACCCACTGAGTGGCAAATTGTTCTTGAAGCAGCACTTGGATTATGAGACAAGAAATATGTATACCATTCAGATCACTGTGCATGATATTAGTCAGAATCCACTCTCAGACTCGAAAATACTTACTGTACTCGTTGATGATGTGAACGAACCTCCTCAATCGTATGAAACTGCATTCTTTGTCTCTGAAAGTACTCCTGTGGGAAGCATCATAGGATTCATTTCGTATCACGATCCAGATCAAGGAGTGAATGGTACTGTTCATTGCTACCAGCAAAGTCATTTGGACCTCTTCAAAACGCACAACACCACGTGCAGAGTTTCACTTATTTCGGAGCTTGATTATGAACAGGAACAAGAATACAATCTTCTCATTCAGTTGATTGATGGAGGTGGACTCGTCGTTAGTAATGTTATCCGCATTATCGTTGTGGATGTGAATGAACCTCCAGTTATATCTGTTCCTTCGACTACCCTTTCTATTGTGTCTGATACGCCGATCAACACCACTTTGGCTTATCCCATTACAGTTTCAGACCCAGAGAATGACGATGTTCTATTATTCCTCTCCAACTTTGTGGCTCCTCTCCCGGTTTCATTGATTCATGTAACGGGAAATCAATATGGATTGATGGTCAATGACACTCTGACGAATTCGTTCTCGTTCCAGCTGAATGCACTGGATAACCATGATCTGTCAAGCAGTGTTCTGATTTCCATTGAAGTTATCCCTGCAACACCCATCAACCCCATTTATCATCCTGTTTCTTGCTATGTTGCTGAGTGTTCTGACTTCCCAGCAACTCTGGAGAATTGCACATTATCCATAGAAAACAGCGACATGTTTACGAATGTCACATTTATCAAGGAATTCAGCATCGCATCCAACGACTTTGCCATTCAACCACTCACTTCCAAAACGGCATCAGTTCAAGTCATCGGTGAAGTGGACTATGAAGTAATGAATCACTATGTGATTCCAATCCTTATTGAGGGAGTGAACTTACAAGGCAAGCTGCTTTCGATTCATTCCTTCTTTATGATTGATGTCATTGACGTGAACGAAGCTCCTGTTTTCGATTCTGAGCCTACCATTGTGTATGTTTATGAGAATAGTGAAGAAGATACGGTCTTATATCCATGTCTGCGTGCTGTTGATCCAGATGTATCTGACTGGAATTATACTATCGTGTATTCGATGAGTGCCGAGAATGATACAAATGAATGGATTGGCATTCAAACATATACAGGATGCTTGGTTGTGAAGCAAAGTGGACTTGATTACGAAAACTCCACTCAACCCAAATCATTTGATCTTCAGATCGTGGCTACTGATATTCATGGAGCGTATTCGACACGATTTATACATGTTGAGGTGTTGAATGTGAATGAACCTCCATTCTTCTCGTCCTCTTCCTACTATTTCACTCTCTTGGCGCCTGTTCCCTTGAATACGGAAATCGGATATCCATTGCCTGTTATGGACGAGGATCTGAATTCTGTGAATACCTTCTCCATTGAGCAGCAATCCTGTCCCAATGGATTCAGTATCGATTCTGCTTCTGGACAATTAATTACTGGATCATCTCAGATCCCTCAGTTTGGAATATCGCTCGATCACAACGTTACTTGCATTATTCATGTCAAAGTGGAGGATGAAGGAGGCCTTTCCGATTACACTCTCGTTTATGTCACGATTGTCAGTGATGTTCGACCTCCTGAAATACACTCTGATTCGTTCACAGTTCAAGAAAACCCCGCTGAAAACACGATCATCGGCACACTTACAGCTACTTCAATGTGTGATTCCACGTTGCTTGGTGGAATTGAGTTCATGGTCCTTCCTTCTCAATACTCCCACATCGTGTCTGTGGATGAAGATCTGTTGATTGTTAAAGAGCCAGATTATTTCGATTACGAAAGTTTGACATCTTTCAGTATTCTTGTATTGGCAGTGGATAAAGCATGCTTCAATGTGTCGTCTATTAAAGAAATAGCCATCTTTATCAGTGATGTCAACGAACCTCCCATGGTTATTAATGCCTTCTATCACGTCTATCCTGGAGTTTCGTACCCATTGAGTCTGTCTCCTTCTATTATCGCTGCTGATCCAGAGGGATCTGCTCTTCACTTTTCGCTCCTCTCTTCCAATCCAAATGTCACTATCAATGATTCAGGATTTGTTCAGCTGCTAGGAGATCTCACTGCTACTATTCCCAATAATCCTGAGATTGCTCCCTCCGTCACGACTCATCGTTTTATCTTTACTGGAATTGTAGCGGACAGCTCAGATGAAGCCTTGTCTTCTCAGTTCAATATTACCATTGATGTTGATAAGCTCCATCAAGAAGACCAGGCTTCTCTTCCTTCGTATTCTCTCTCTTTCAAAGAGGGAAGTGAATCCAATAGAAGCATTTCAGAAGCTACTCCCGTTGGTTCGGTTGTGGGCGAGCCATTTGAAGTTGAAACAGTCGATGAGAATCCAACGCTGTTTTATCACATTCCCATGTGTTCTCCTTATTGCCCAGTATTCATTCACTCTGTGTTTGGTTATCTTGTTTTGAATACTACTCTTGACTTTGAGAGTGTACCCAGCTATCAGCTTAACGTTACTGTGACGAATGGAGTCGTTCTGGAATGGATCTTAGTCACATTGGTTGTGGAAGATGCTGATGACTGTGCGATCACCTCGATTACTCCTCAGTTACTAACGTTCTCCAGCAATCACTTGATAATGAGTGGTCAAAACTTGTCTCCGAAAGGACAGGCATTCGGATTCTCTGGGCAGCTTATTACAGGGGAATCTTATACGACCGATTTTGATGCTATCTACACAGTCTTTGACGCAATGGACGGTGTCCTTCAGACTGGATCTCTTTCGAATTGTAGTGTCATTGGAATGGATCTGGTTGATTGTGAGATGCCTGCAACGATGGGGTCCTATGCGAGTATTCAAGTAACATGGAAATCATCCATTCCTTCATCGATTCAGCATATCTGCTCCATGTCTACATCCATCTTGCATTATGAAGATCTGCATTTAACAGACGTCAAGAATTCCAATGGAATGAGTACAACCGGTGCAGTGGTTTGTTTCGTTGGAGAGAACATGGGAAGCTCGGAGATTTATTCTCCAGCCCTTGGATCGTCTCACCTTTCTGCTTCTGCTACCTTGGTAGATTCTACAGAGATCTCTTTGACTTCTTGTGAATACAACTCCGAAGAAGAGATTTGCTGCTTGCTGGATAATGGCTATGGATCAATGATTCACTGGAAAATGTGCTTGTTTGGATCTTGTTCGACGCTCGAGAAAGGTTCGTTTGCTGTCCCCGTCATCAGTAATGTGTCTGCTTCAGCGAATCTCAATTGTTTGGGAGGAGATGAAATCACGATCTATGGTTCAAACTTCGGGACAAATAGTACTGCATTAACCGTCCTCATGGGATCCGATTCAGTCCAGTCGAAATTAACGCACTGTGAATTCGTTGTCCTACACTCAGTCATCCGATGCAGAAGTGTGGAGGGATCGGGAGAATCGCTTGTATTCTCCGTTACTGTGGGAGATCAAAGCTCGGCTCCCTTTGTTTCGTCTCTTGCATACAGTCCCCCTGTGATTCAAAATGTGTATGGAATTGGATCAGCCAATGCGTTGACGAGTGGAGGACAGGTCGTCTACGTATCGGGATTGAATCTGGGAGCGTATGATGGAGTGTCGCGCCTTCTTTATGGAAATAGCACCGATTTGCCGTTTGTAACCTCTCCTTGTGATATGATTCTGCCTCACACTCTTCTGAGATGTATCACTTCTCCAGGCAGCGGATATCAAGATCGATGGGTTGTAGAGGTGGAAAGCCATCGTTCACAGCCTTTCATTCAGCAAACAGGAATCTACGGCTATCCGGCAGTGATCGATGTCGATAAGCTCCATGTTGGAATGCCTCCAGAAGGGGGATTGGAGATAACCATCACTGGTGCGAATTTTGGTTCTGAGGATGCGTTGCTTCGTGTGTGGTATGTGAATGAGTTCGGTCAGAGTTATCTTCCCGAATGTTGGATCCATCAGAATCACACACAGCTGAAATGTATCACAACTGCAGGCATCGGAAAGAGCATACAGTGGAATATTGAAGTGAATGGACTGCTCTCCGAAAATGTTTTCACGATGGCTTATGTGACTCCTACTGTTTCGAGCGTGGAGTGCAAAACTACAGGGTGTGGAAGAGTTTCTGGAAATGAAGCTGTGGTGCTTCGTGGCACAAACTTTGCAAATGCAACTATCGAGGCGACGTATGGATTCACTGGATCTGAGTTCATTGCTCAGCAATGCCATGTTGTTTCGAATACAATGATTGAATGCTTGACTGCTGCTGGCGTGGGTCAAGAATTGATTTGGAAGGTATGGATCGGCGGACAAGAAGCAATCGTGTCTTCTACAGCTCTTTTCAGTTATGACGAAACGGAGATTAGCTATTTGGAAGGAAAGCCTATTGCCTTGAAAGGCGGAGATTTGGTGTTCATTCACGTCTCCAATGACTTCGTTGGCTGTTCGGAATGCTCCTTCAAAATGATGTTCAATGGAGTTTCAGTAGATGCCGCCATTCAGAATTCGACCACTCTTGAAGCCATTTCGCCCCCAATCCAATACATCGTCATCAATGTCCAGGTGATTGTTTACTATCGTCAGTATCTGGTGGAAACGACGAATATCATCAGTCTTCCCATTCAAAACCCTACGATTGAGTCCACGATGATTCAGTCCATCTCCAATCTGGATACCTATCAACTCTCTCTTATTGGTGAGAATTTTGGTTTCCTGGAATCGGTCGTCTCGGTACATATTATGTCGTCAGAAGGTGAGGCGAGCAACTGCACTCTCGATCGGGTTAGCAATGATTTTGTGAGCTGCAGAACGCATTGCAGTGATGGAAGTGTTTATTTGGAGAGAAATACAGTTCAGAGCAATACCGTTGAATTCGCCACGAATTCTGTGAGGTTTGATTTATCAGGCTTTTCCACAGATATTGAGGGTTATCTCATTTATCCACAACTCTTCAACACCACTGGAGGAGAGCAACTCACAATTCGAGGCGAAGACTTCCCTTCTACATTGCAAGTGACTATTGGAAAATCGCAGTGTCAGCGAAGCAGTTTGAACTCCACTTTCTTGAGCTGCATTGTACCGCCTGGAGAAGGCAGACTTCTTCCTGTGAGAATCATTAGCAATCAGAAAGTATTACTCCAGATTTTCATGAGCTATTATGAGCCGTATATTTCCACCGTATCTCCGTCTTCATTACAGTTCGATACGCAAATACTTGAGATTGAAGGTGTCAACTTTGGATTGAATCCCCTTGTCTTGGTTTCAGGATTCAGTTTTGGTTCTCTGAATTGTTCTGTAAATTCGCACACTCATACTTGGATCCAATGCTCTCTTGAAGCCATTGATGCACTTGGACTTGCGCTTCAAATCAACGTTGCGGACCAGACGAGCAACACCGTGATTCTCACAACCATTCCACCCAAAATCGAATTGATTGAGGTGACCAATCTCAATGGAATGGAGCTGCAAGGTGTTCCCACAGATGGCGAGGGAATTCTGACGATTCATGGCGTTAATCTTGACGCCGATGTGACTCTGTGTCGCATGAATGACCAAACGTTGCAAATTGTTTCGAGGAATTCTACGATCGTTCAGTGTCGATTAATCCCTTCGTTTGATGCAGTCGCTGCTATTCAAATCCTTGCAGATTCGCTTCACTCCAATATCGTTTCAATTCCCTATTTGTCTCCAGTGATTGCCGCGATTTCTCCTTCAGAAGGTAATACGAATGGAGGAGAGACCATCACCATTTATGGATCGAATTTTGGCTGCAGCGATGCAAACAAGGACTTCATTCAAATCCACTTTGGAAGCAGTCTAATTCCTGTTGATGCGATTCATCATTGTTCTCATGCATCGATCGAGTTCAAGTCCCCAGAAGGTCAAGGAACCGATATTCCAGTGTATATCAGTCGCTATAACTATTCATCGCTACACTCCTATTTCAATTATTCTGCTCCTGTTATCCACGCTTACCAAGCTTCAGTCATGAATCAAGATCAACTAGTACTGAAAACGCAATCTTCGCTGATGTTTGAACAGCCAGTCTTCATTCTGGATGGAGCGAACTTTGGATCGCATTCGGCAGAAGTGTTTGTCTCTGGCAAGGATTGTGTGGTGTTGCAGCAGAGCCATTCGCAGATCGTTTGTATTTCTCCCTTATTCCTGGGAGGCACGCACGATATTCACGTTGTTGTTGCGGGACAATCCAGCAACTCTGTGAATTATACATTCCCCAGTCCTCAGGTCACCGCGATTCAACCCCTCATGGTGGAATCCGCTGAATCCACTTTGTATCTGGACGTTTCCCATCTTCCTCCTGTTTCTGGATTGCAAATTCAGATTAAAGTTGGTTCCATCGTGGTTGATCAATGTCATGTTTCTCTCGCCTCAAAGGATACAATGCACTACATAGAGTGCCATTTACCAGAGCTTCCCAGAGGAGAATGGAAAATGAACTTGGCAATTGCCTATGAGGAGATTTCCATTCCAAAAACTTTCGAAACGCTCACTGTGGTGTGCAAAGAAAACCAATACGCTGCGATTGGCGAGTACTGCGTTGTCTGTCCCGAAAACACGTATTGTCCTGCCAACTCTTCGATTCCAGAAGCCTTACCAGGAGGATGGGTGGTTGAAGGTGAAGATGGCTCCCATTCCATCGTTGAGGAATGCTTCTATTCGGATGCTTGTATTGGAGGAAATCTCTGCGCCCAAGGATATCAAGGATTCAAGTGTTACGACTGTGCGGCAGGGTATTCTCGCCTTGGAAAGTGGAGTTGCTCGCAATGTCCCTCTGGATTTAGCAAAGCATTCCCCATGATTGGGTGGATTGGCGTGTGCGTGTTGCTGTATATTGCCAGTGTCTGCCGATATTCCACTCGATTCGTTTGGTTTACTCTGCTGATCGATGCCTTCCAGCTGATTGGACTGTTGTCAGTATTCAGAGATCATTTCTCATCCATATTAGCCCCTCTGATCGATTTCTGCAGCATGTTTGTATTGGAAATGGACATGTTCCATTTGGACTGTTATTTCCCATCGATCAGTGAAAGTACTATTTGGATACTTGCTCTGCTCACAATGCTGTGTTGCTTCGTTCTTGGTACAGCGACTCGCTTCCTGTTGAGTCACTCAGAAAAGAAGGAATCCTGGAATCGAGAATCAGGAACACTCTTGACACACTTCACCAGTCTCTTGTATGTCTTATTGTTCCCGATTCTGTACCATTCTCTGCAGTCTCTTTCATGCAACAACAAGTATTACATGCAGTCACGAGGGGTTAGTTTCTCTGGTCTAGCGATGTGTTGGCTGGACGCAGATTATTCATGGGTGCTGATCATGTCTGCCCTAGTTTTACTCCTGTCTGTTGGAATGATCTTCTATTCGTACAGCCAGACAAAGAGAGATTTGGCTTTCATGGAGTCAGCTTGCTCTTCGAAGGGAGCTCAAAGCATGATTCTTCCAGGAAAATCGCACAGAATGGAACTGTTGGGAAGAGTGTTCGAGAATCAATCACCGATCTGCTTCTTCATCGCAATGATTCCAAAGAGCATCGTTGTCTTCTTCTTGATTCTTTTCCGCGAAGAAATCCATCTGCAGACAATCTTCATTCTGCTGTTCATTCCAATGCTGTGTGTAGCCATCTTGTTCACCACTCCATTCAGAATAACGCAGAAACAATTGAAGAAGCCAATGGCAGAATCTGCGGTCGATTCATCGATCTCTGGAGTTGGAGAACACCTTACTCAATCAGCAACGACCCACAAGCATTGGTATTTCAATGTAAACTACCTGTTGATTGAGGAATTGCTGCTCTTCTTGGGTTTCTATGCTGATTCAATAATACCAACGTCTCAATTATCAGCATGGAGAATCGCTGTGGAAGTCTTTATCATTATCTGTTCTTCTCTGTTCGTTATCAGCACGATCCTTTCGGGAATCGGTGAGTTGGCCTTCAAGAACGCCAATTCATTCTTTGATGTAATAAGCGAGAAGAAAGCTCAGCCAATCACAGAACAAGTCATTCTGGCAAGATTCCAGGACAAGAAAATAGAGGTGAACAGCGTAACTCAGAGATGGGAGGAAATTCCGAAAAGAGATGAGGAAGAACAAGAAACAGATGAAAAGGAAGAGGAAGAGGAAGAGAGATCTGAGGAAATCGGAAATGTAGATGAAAGACACCAGAATCAGCTTGATGCAGCGAGACAACAGAGAATCGTTGAAGCCATTGATGCATTTGGAAAACGCTTGTCTACGGACTCGCATGATTAAGAACATTGTATGTTCTGTTTGTTGTGATAATAATTTTCAATAATCCCTTTACTGATAATCTTCAAAGTCCTCGTCATGAAAAATTGTTTTTCTTTGCTTATGGCCTATTTTTTCGATTACCGGATTTACTTCGAAACTAGTTTTCTCTTGCCCTCTGATCTAACAAAGGAAAGATTACAAAAGGCAGTAGACTTAGCAATTCAGGATCGCTTTCGTGTTTTTCTGTGTCTGATAGATGAAGAACACAAGTGTGGATACTTGTCTGATGAAAGAACAACCCTTGAGTTGGAAGAAGTATCTGGCAATACAATCAATGAAATTCACAACAGTGTCATTTCCTTATGCAGAGATGATACGAAAAACGGCTTTCGCTTATTCTGGGGAAGTGATAAGGATAACCAGCATTATTTGGTAATTCATAGTCATCACGGCGTAGCTGATGGTTTTATGATTACCACATTCAGTCATTTTCTGTTCTGTGAGGTAACTGGAAATGAATGCAAAACGCCTCTTACGTTTTCTCTCACTCACCCTATGGAAAAGGAAGAGAACGTCGCTTTTCCTGGCCATTTTGACGATATTTCTGAGATTGTTCCTCCTTCAACCTATCCAAAGACAAGCATTTCTGAATCAGATAAAATGAACAATATTGAAAGAGTTGTAGATGCTGCGACAACAAAACGAGCCTTGAGTCTTGGAAGAGCGTATTCTGCTATTGGAGGGAATAACTGTGTTCATGGCTTGATTCTCTATTCCTATCTCCGCGCAATCCTCTTTTCCGAGTCTTTGCCTCAGTCAGGAACAATGAATATCAATACGGTAGTCAACATGCGACGTTATTTGAAGTCAATGGGAGAGGAAAGCCCTTCCATTTGCGTCTCCTCGTTCCCTGTGAATGTGTCAGTGGAAGGATTGCTCACTCATGAAGAAAACTGTGGAACGATTCAGCGGAAAGTCAGTTCCAATCTGAATAAAGGACTTCCTCTTCAAATCCTGTTAGGAAAGGTTTCTCCGTCTGTTCCTGAAGACTGCGTGGAGTTGGAGGTCTCGAATCTCGGCGTGCATCCTGCGAACATCTTTACTCGCCGTTTGATTTCTCAAGTGATCTACAACAAGTGTGAGAGCGCTTCGATCTCGGTTGTGGTGTGGCTAGACCAGGAAGGCTGCATGCATTTCTGCCTTGCCAGCGTGGATCGTTTTGTCTCGATGAGTCGACTGGAATCATTCGCCGATGAACTTGTTCATCAGATTGCCGAATTGGCCGTTGTGTATCCTGTTTGGCCCAACAAACAACTCACTTACAAAACTCAACCATCACATCCTTCATCTGATCCGCCACCAATCGCAAAATCTCCGGAATCTCCTTTCTCCGATTCTCCTTTTGCTTTCGAATCGACGGCCAAATCTCTCCATGCTTCGGATTCGCCCGCACACAATCTCGAATCACTTCATTCTGCTGCTCCTCCGTTCCGTTCTGCAGCTCGAATATATACAGCAACGCCCAGAAGTCGCCGATGTCCCCATTCTTCGCCAACGCACGTCGCAGCCACACACGCGCCTTCGACACGAGATGCAAACTCCAGAAGAGCTTGCCAGCCGCTAAGAACACGTACGCATCGACCTCCGTCTCCTTCAACGCGGTCGAAATGTACGACCGACGCTGGATCTTCGGGATCGTCGCGATGGTTTCCGACCAGATCCGTCCGTTCGAAGGCATCGTCTGCCTCGCTTTCGACAGAAGCTGATTGGCGAGCGCCGCGTTCCCCGCGTCTCGCTCCATCCGCACCGATTCGATCCACAAGTCCTCGCTGGTCGGACACTTCTGCCGCGCGACTTCCAGTAGCGAACGCGCCTTCATAATCGACGTAACCCGCCGTTCCAAGCGAACGTACAGCAGCCACAGTGGAACCGACGCGGGACAATGAAGCAGACCGTTCCGATACGTCGCGCGCGCCTGCTCCACGTTGTTCTGCGCCTCATAGAGCTGCCCGAGCATCAGATAAAGCTTGGCACAGTCGGGATATTGCCGGATTCCTTCGTCGAGAAGCGATTTTTCCGCAGGTTCGTTGTCGGTTTCCCACTCCAACAGCGCGGATTTCACCCACACGCGCGCACTCTTGCAGTTCACGCGCGCTCGCGACAAGATCTCCCGCGCACGCTCCACTTCGTTGGCCTCCCACTCGATCTACCTCCTATCCACGCCTCAAAATCTACCTGGAACGCGGTCAGCCAAATATTGCTGCTCGCCAAAAACGGCGGATTGGCTTCGTTCACCTTCATCGCTTCCTCCAACTGCTCGCGAGCGCGCACCGTATCTTTCTGCTTGACGTAAATCAGCCGGATCAGCAGCAGCCAGAGATTTTCCGAGGCTGGGCATTTCTCGACGGCGAGTTTCAGCACGTTCTCCGCGCTCTCAACGGACCCAAAATCGTCCTCCAGCTCGTACGATTTGACCCAAAGACTCTCATTCGCTATGCATAACTCGGCAATGCCCAACCCCAACTCGGAAAGACCGAGAGTGTGTACACATAAATGGCTCTGGCAGTCTCAATCGCGCCCTCTTCGACGGCCTTGCTGGCGTCGTCGGTCCACGTTCGCAGTCGATCTTCCTGTTCGACGCCCACTTCGATGACGTTGCGGATGATGGCAGCGCACGTGACCACGGCCCCGGCCTTCTCCATGTTATACGCGTTTTGGATCCACTTCGCGCGATCAATGACGACCTATCCTCGATCATTGCGCTCAAAACAACATTGTTATTCCGCAGACTGCGCAGCGACTTCTCGATAATCTTCTCTACGTTGTGCTGATTCCCGTTCGCTTCCTCCAGCTGCGCCGCCGTCATCCAGATCAGCGGGTCCGTCGGCACGGCGCGCCGCGCTTGGTTCAGCGTTCCGCGCGCGTCCTCGTAGTTCTGCAGCTTCGCGAGCGCGAGCCAGAGCTCCACGTTCTCGGGAATCTGCTTCACTGCGCGCTTCAGCAGCAAAATCGCGCCTTCTTCCTTCTCCAAACTCACGGCCTGCTTCCACAGCACCACCGAGTTAGGGATGAACTCCAGCGCCTTCCAGTACACGCGGCGCTTCGCGTCGACGTCGTCCTCCAAATCCGCGGCCGTCAGCCAAATCTTCACCGACCGCGGCAGGTTCTGCGCGGCGTTCGCGATGAGAATCTTCGCGTTCTCGCCGTGGTTGAAATGCACCGCCTCCAGCCACACGCTCTCCGACTTCGGACAGTTCTCGCAGCCTTCTTTAATCAGCTTCCGCGCCGCCGTCAAGTTCCCTTCATTTCAACCATTTCTCTCGCACACCTGACTGCTCCTCGATGCGCGCAGCGCTGATCCACAGCTGCGGGTTCGTCGGGTTCGACAGACACAGCCGGTGGTACATCTGACGCGCGTTGTTCAGGTCGATGAGCTGATCCTGCGGAAGCGTACGAATGCTGTCAAGAGAGGTCAGATAACCGCGGGGATCCACAACCGTCTGGCCGCTCACGCTGTCCGACATGCGGTCCAGTTTCAGAGAGAGGATCTAGGAGAAAAGGAGAAACGGGGAAACACCTTTTCGCGGGCCGCGCTGATGGATTCGGAGGTCATTCCGGAGGGAGTGTCAAATCCGCCGAGAACTTGCTGACGCGGGTCGAGATAGGATTCCATGCTGTTTTGCATGAGGCGGGATTGAATGACGGAGTCAGGGACGGGGGTGTAGATTTCTTTCTCTTTGGCTCGCTTTAATTTTAAACTATGGTCGCCGATTTCGGGGATGTTGTTCCATTCCTCCATCGTGATTTCTTTGAGGCCTCTCTGCGATTAATTGGGATAAACAAACGGACTTTTAAATCTTCGAACTGTCGGTTTAGGTCCATATGCTCTTTGTCTAATTCCTCAACACGCTTCTGATCTAAATCGATTTTGCGGTCACGACGACGCTCTCCCATGCGGTCGTCTACATATTTGTATATATCATCAGCTTCTTTGTCATCTTCATCATACGGCAAGCTGCTACATATTATTTGCAAATACGAAGTATGTACCCAAACATTCCATCCTGAAAACCGGTGAAGTTCTCAGCGTCACCATCTTCTCCAGCAGCACGAGCTACTCCTTCCATAACACTTTGAGGCGTCTATTCATTATTCAATAAACAAAATAGAACAGTTTCAACAGCATCGGCAGGACCAATATCAGATCTGAATATTAGATAGAAATAAAAGCAAAATACTGTGTAACAAAACCATGAGCACCTCTTCCAACTCCAGGAATATAATTTGGAGGAGCTAAGCGTAATGAAGCGAGACAACTCAATACGAACGAGATCATTATAGTTCACTGGTCTCTTGATACCAATTCCGGACATAAATTATAATTTTAGTCAAAGAAAGGAAATCAATGTAACCATTATTCTAAATTCTGCAACAAACACCCGATTGATGAGAATAACAAATGGAATTAGTTCATTCTTCCGACACAGTTTTTGGCTCCGCACAGACAGACCAGTTCCCTGTCCTCGTATTGGAATTTGTAGTCGTAAGTGATTTCTTCTCCGGGGTTGATGTCTCGGTTTGCGAAGAAGATGATTTTGTTTTCGTTGTTGATGTTGACGACGCGCGCGTCGCAGTTGGGATCGCAGCAGTGATTGATGAACCTGCTTTCGTTTCCCTTCACCGTCGCGTCCACGATGTGTTCCGCGTCCATTCGGAAGAAATAGCACCCGCCCACGTTCCTTCGGTTGTATCTACGCCTCACCGCCGCGCCCTGCGCCCACACCGCCTCCCGCGCGTTCGCCACGTCCTGTCCCACGACTTCGCCTGCGAATTCGATCACCATCATTCCGCGCCGGAACGCCGTTTTCGCGAAGAGTCCCCACCCGTGGATCGGGCTTTTGATCACTTTCGGCTGCTCGCTCTCCGCGCGGCACTACGTTCCACGCCCTCCCCGCTCCTACCTGCAGCGCCCGGTATTGCCGCAGCAGCTCCGTCGTGCCCAGCGTGTCGCCGGCTTCCCACGCGGGGCGGGACCGCGCGTCGCTCAGCGTCTGCCGCAGCGTCGAGAGCGTCCACGCCAGCGGCGTCACCGTCGTCTGCACCGGCACGCAGCGGCTGCACATGGCCTTCTCGGGGCCTGGAGGGGCGGGAGCAACCGCGGGGATGGTTCCGTTGGTTCCGATGGTTCCGATGGTTCCGATGGTTCCGATGGTTCCGATGGTTCCGTTGACCCCGTTGACCCCGTTGACCCCATTGGCCCCATTGACCCCATTGACCCCATTGACCCCATTGACCCCATTGACCCCATTGGCCCCATTGACCCCATTGACCCCATTGGCCCCATTGGCCCCATTGACCTCTCTGCGACGCGTCGGAACTCGCTGGATCTGGCTCTCCTCGAACTGTGTCTCACTCCCTCCCCGCGGTTCTACGCGCTCTTCCCGCACGCGGATCACCTGCTCCACGCGCGGCTGCACCTGGTGGTACCGGTACGACGGGTAGCCCGCGGGCGGGAACGCGTGGTACAGGCTCGCTTCCTGGGCCTCCAGCGCCTCCACCACCTGCGGGATGTTCAGGCCGAAGAACCAAAACCCGTCCAGTTCCGAGTCGCGCCACGCGTCCGCTTCCCTGCACACCGGTTTCACCGGTTTCTCCGATTTCTCCGATTTCTCCGATTTCTCCGATTCCACGTCCATCACACCGCACTCCCCTTCCGACCCATTTCTGTTTCTCTGTTCCGCGCGCTCGCGCAGTCGCAGCGTTTCGTAGTGGCCGTTTCGCTTCAGCGCGGCGCGCAGCTCCGCGTACACGCCTATTTCTCACCATTCCCGCGATTCTACCTTGAATGTCGTGCGAGCAGAAGCGAATCTCGGACTGCATGTCGCTGATGCTGAACACGGGGCGGCGCAGCGGGTCCTCGCCCTCCGCCTCGGCGTGGATCTCCAGGCAGTACAGCGTTCGCGTCCCCGGCCGCTTCGCGCTCCAGAACACGCGGAACACGCGGTACTGGTCGGGGAGCAGGAACCGCTCCGTGTGCATGCGCGGGGAAATCCCCACCGCGCCCACGTGCGACACCGTCACGCTCCCCATCCGGATCAGTCCGCGCTCCACGCTGCGGCTGCGACTCTGCCGCGCGCCCGACCGGAACACCACGCGGTGGTTGAACCGCGTCGTGAACAGCTCCGACGCGCTCACCGCCACCTGCGCCTCCGACGCGCCCACGCCCCGCGGAACACCACCGCCCGCCGGACTCGAAACGCCCCGCGGGGAAAACGGGTTGAACGACCGATCGACCAACCCACCCGCGGGGAAACTCGACGGACGGTGGTACTGGCAGAACGCCTCCTTGTTCACGCGGATCAAACAACCGCCCTCGCGCCCACACGCGAAGTGGAAGCACCGGCTGCACCCCGACGCTCCGCACTTGATCGACGCACCCGAACGCTTGCACACGTAGCACTGCGCAGAACGGCTCCGGTTCTTCACCACAGTGTATTTCTGGATCGAGCTCTCTTTCTCGTCGATCGTGATCCCAGAGCTGTAATACACGCAGTTCAGATGCACCCACTCCCCCGTCAACGTGCACAGCATCCGACCGCACACCAAGTTGTCACCAACTTCACCGCACAAATCGCACGCACGACGGTCATCCACCGCGTGACCCTCCACGCCCACCAACGGAGTTACTTCCATTTGTTCCGTCGAATTCTCTTCCTTCTCCATTCCATTCCATCCATCGCTCCATTCCCGCGAAGAATCGGCAGCGATGGGTTTGGATGAGGGAGTTTCGAGGGGAGTGAGGGGATTCGATTCATTATTAATGGTATTGGTATTGGTATTGGTATTGTTGGATTCGGTTTGAGTTTCAGGTTCAGGTTCAGGTTCAGGTTCAGGTTTAGTTTCAATCGGTTTCGATTCCACTTTCTCAGCCTCCATTTCCACCTTCTCAACCTCCATTTCCACTTTCTCAGCCTCCATTTCCACTTTCTTAACCTCCATTTCCACTTTCTTAACCTCCATTTCCTCTTTCGGACGCGAGAACGGGAATGTTCGCAGCACGATGTTCCCAGAAATCAGCAGCCATTCGATCGGGCTGAACGGACACTCCGGGTTGAAATACGTCGGGAACAATGGCTGGCACGTGTACAAATACGCCGCTGCGTTGCAGGCATCCTCCGTCATCATCAGCAGAGACGAGTACAGTCGACGGATCTTCCACAGCGTCTTCTCCGACAGTTCCTCCACCGGAATTCGAATCGGACTCGGACTTCCGTCCTCTTCCAACAAACGCTCTTCGCTCATCAAATCGCGGAACGACGAGGGCAGCGACGAATTCAATTGCTTCGGGTAGAACACGTTCGGTAGATCCGACACCACCAATTGATGAATCGTCTTCCCCGGATATAAACGCGATTCCAAACGCGAGGATATGAACTTCGAGCTGCGAACGGACAAATCTTCGGCGATTTTGTTATCGCGAAGTCGCTCACGACGACTCGATCCGTTCTCGTTCAACAACTTCAAATACATTTTATCCGATAGAGTTTGGAACAGCAGACTGTTCGCCTATCAATCAATTCATTCATCATTCTCATACTCGAACAATCGTACGAACCAGATCGCACCAATATGGCTCAAGTTGAGTCTCAATCTTACCTCGATTCGATTCATTCAATGGCAATAATTCTTTCAGTCGCAATTCTTGACGTTTCTCTTGAATACCACTTATCAAATCACTTATCGTTGTTTCATTTTCTTTTTCTTTTTCTTTTTCTCCTCCTTCTCCTCCTTTTTCTTCCTCTCCTCCTTTTTCTTTTTCTTCATTTCCAATCACTTTCATAGTTTCATTCCTACTTTCATTTTCATTTTCATTTTCATTTTCATTTTCATTTTCATTCTTGCTTTCATTTTCATGTGGATTCGCATGTGAATTCAGATTCAAATTCAAAGATAAACTAACTGGATTCATCAAATTCGATTTCGTTCGATTTGATTGACGACATCGTATACAATGATAAGGATTCCGAGTTATCTCACTTTTCAACCATTCCATCATATCATTCATTATACAACGATGATGAATCCATTGCTCACATCCATCACAAAACGCCATATCAACATCCGAAGCATTCCAAGGAGTATCACATACAGCACATCGTTTAAATCGTTCTTCTTTGTTGTAGCAATTCCGACAATAGTCACGATGATAACTCCAACTCGTTGCCGTTCCTTTCAATCCACACTTTTTACACTTGAAACAATAACCACACACAAACAAATTCAAGTTGTTATCGTCCACATAATTCAAACAACTCTTGTGGAAACTACGATCACATCGATTGCAACTGCAAATCTTATCCATTTCCTTCACTACATTTACACTCAAACCACAAACCTCGCAGATCTTACAATTCGGACAGCGCCATCCGCATTTCATTTCATGATTCGCTGTCCCGTTCGCATTCACACAATACACATGATAACATTCACCACAATCGCCACAAAATAACATTCGATCTCGATCGCCCGTTGAACCACAACTCAGACAACAATCCATTGCGATCATTGACGCATATTGAGGAAGAATGTATTCCACCACGGGAGGAATCAGCGAATTCGAATACGGTCCAGCTAATGGAGTTAATGGCTCCAGTTGTTTCTCACTGGATCGATAATTATCATAGATTTCTACGATCTTCGATGCTTTGCGACACGCTTGTTTCGCACTGTTACTCGGTTCTGGACGAGTCAGTAGCTTCTCTTTCGATGCCTTTATTTGACTGATCTTCACACAATAGTCACCAGCAACACTTCCACTCAAATATTCATTCAGTACTTTCTCACCCTTTTCAAATAGATCCGATGTACACTTCCACACTTCATCTCCAAACATATTGTAAACAAATGCGTTGTAGCACATTCGTTCAAAATCATCCCGGAATTCTTGACTCTTCGAATATTGTTTACGTCGAATTCGATCTTCCATCAACTCCAAACAAACCATATCTTCGCGAGATATCATATCGAAATAGTGAGGCGCGATTTCTTCTGTTATTTGATTCAAAAAGATTCCTCGACTGTCAAGTTCTTTCAATTTCAATAACACTTCCATCATTTCTTTTCGACGACATTTCGGACATCGATACACTTTTGTTGTTTCTTCTTTCACAACATCCATTCCTGGGTTCGAATTCGTACTAACATTCGTATCTTCTTCAATACTCTCTTCTTCACTTCCTCGACTTTCCATTCCATCTTCAAACACACTGTCTTCACGACGACGTTGACGACGATCATTCTCTCGTTTCCGATTCTTGTTGCTGTTGCTGTTGCTATTTCCATTGCTATTGCCATTGCCACTGTTGTGTTTATTGTCACATTCACGATGAACCCATTCACCACATTCTTCACATTTCACACATTTCTCTTTCAATTCTTCAACATCCATTGTCTTCAGACATACATTGCAATACAATCCTTCACGATAGTTTTCTTGAC